CTCGCCCCCCATGCACTCGCCCCCCATGCACTCGCCCTCCATTCACTCGCGGGCCGAGTCACCTCCGAGCACTTCGGTGCCGAGCAAGGCGAGCTCTTTCAAACTGTCATCGCGCAAGAGCATCTTCCGCCGACGCCCGCGCACTGGCGGCAGTGAGGCAAGCCCGGCGCCGGATTTCGCGAGCTCCCATTCCCATGCGCATTCGCACTCGACTGAGCGGACGTACGCTGCGGAATCTCCTGTGCTGCACGGCGCGTCGCCTTTCGGCGGCCTTGGCGTCGATATGGGTGAAGGCTCCAACATGGGCCACGCGCAGAGGCCAAAATTCAAGAGAACGCAGACAGGTTCGTCACATGCAAGCTCAGGTAAGAGTGAAGCTCACTCTGCTGCTGCTGCCGCTGCTGCAGTCACAAAGGAACCTCAGCTTCTGAGATCGACGACACCGACCGCCAGCCAAGCTCAGCTCCTGCAGGCCAACCCTTCCTCTGATCTGCGACTAATGAACCTGCAGCGGCATGCGGATCAACCGCCATTGCCGCTGCCAGCACCAAAAGCACCGACCTTATCTCGCGGCCCTTCCTTTCGTCAGGCGCGTGGCCCAGAGTATGGGTACAACGGACGCACGCGAAGCAACTCCATGGTCTCCCTCGGCAGTGTTGGCGGTGCGCAAAGTCAAAGTGCAGGTGGCGAGCGCATGAATGCGTCGGGCTATGGCGGCCCTGTGCTGGAAATGTCCAAATTGGACAGCGCTGGTGGTGCTGCCGGACTCTTCGGTGGCGGGGGAGGAGGTGTGACTCGTCAGAGAACGTCTTCTTTGATCCCGAGCTTGCCTTTCCTCGGGAGCCCTCGCATACGCACGCTGTCGAACGGAGCAAATAGTGGCTCATTCCCAACGGCGGGCCCAGTGCCAACTCCGCTTCTGCCAAGCAGTCATGCCTTTGCTCCTATCTCTTCCTCCTCTTCCTCTTCATCGGTGCAACAGACGAGTGCAGCGATGAGCAATGCCGTCGCGGCAATAACTGCGCGCGATACTGTCCTTCAAAATGCGCTCCGTCGAGCGTCAGCTGCATCGAAGTTTACTGCCCCTCTTGCTACTCCCGAGCCAATCCTCCTCGCCCGGGGTAACCTGCCGCTGACGACTAGCTCTGCGTCATCATCCACGCCAAGTTTGGCTCTCGTGTCCGCCTCTGCCTCTGCATCGGCATTAGCTGCATCCCCGACCCCTTCCTCCACACCCGTGAGCGGGCGCATCTCTCTGGACCCCAACAGCCCAGTTATGACGCGCACGACGCTTCCGCCCTCCGCCGAAGAAGGGGCTCCACCACCAGCTATCTCCGTCGCGTCGGCACCGAGCGGCCGTCTGGAGCCTTATGAGGACGAGAGCCCGGATGAGTTCATGCAACGAGCGGCGCACAGCCTCGAAAAGTCCGAGCTGGCCGTCGCACTTGCGTCACATGCAGTTCCGTTCTACCTCGAGGCCCTGCAAGCTTGTATGCGACGATTCCAGTTCGCAGGTAATGCCCTGGACATCGCCCTGCGCAAGCTACTCATGGAGCTCTGTTTGCCGAAGGAGACCCAACAGATCGATCGCGTGATGGAGGCGTTTGCGATTAGGTATAATGAGTGCAACGAGGGACTATTCGCATCTCCAGGTGAGTCTTAGTGCTCGAACCTTGCTCTGCTCCATCATTGTCTGACACGTCTACACGCTTTTCTAAGACCAACCGTACATCCTTGCCTTTTCGCTCATGATGCTTCACACGGACCATTTCAACAAAAACGCAAAGCAAAAGATGAGCAAGGCTGATTACGTTCGCAACGCTTCGTCCAGCGAGGCTCCGATTGAAGTCCTCGAGGTCAGTTCGAGCGGCTTCGAAGCGACTCTCTCTGTACTGACCCTACACTTTATTCCAGTACCTTTATGACAACCTCATCTTCACGCAATTCATCTTTGTCGATGGCGACAAGCGCATCGGTATCCGCAGGCCTTCGGAAAGCAGCACTGGCTCGAGACTAGCATCACTGACGTCCGGCGGCTCGAGCTCGAACAGGAACAAAATCGATGCGTACGGCATTATCACACAGGGCCGCACGCATGAGCTTACGCCAAACATCGGAGACATCATCCAGGAAGACTCACCCTTCTCGCTTGGGATCGACTACTCAACTTTCGATACGGAGATGCTGCGTCGCGCTTTCAGCAATGCACCCACGATCGAAATTGTCACACCGCCACGGTCAGGCATTCCGATCGGTGCCGCATGGAGCGGCAATGCTCAGGGAAATCCTGCAATGATGTCATACGTCATGGAACAATCCGAAGCCATAGTGACACTCAAGGTAACCAAAGTCGGTGTATTGAACCGCAAAGATGACCCGATCGAAGGAAGCGGCAAGAAGCATGCGAAGAAGTGGAAGCAATGGGGCCTGATCCTGACCAGTGCCCAGCTTCTCTTCTTCAAAGACACAATCTGGACTAGTGCTCTGCAGTCGCAGATTGCAGATCAAGTCGGCGATGCGCAAGTCCACGGAGATCCAATCAAAGTCAACATCACTCCTCGCATTACTTATTTTCGGCCTGACGGCGTCCTCTCGCTTGGCGACGCCATCGCTGTCCTTGACGAAAGTACTGCTTGTCTGCCGAACGCATTCAGGCTATATGCGGAACAGGCAGGACAGTCCCGGCAATACCTCGTACAGGCATCATCGCACGAGGAGATGGTGGACTGGATGACAAAGATCAACTACTGTGCGGCCTTCCGGTCGGTGGGCATCCGCCGTCTCGATATCTTCTTATCAGACGAGCGGGTTCAGATGATGCGCACCGAGTTGTTTAACTCTTCGATCTCCGGCTCATCTGCTTCGATTTTGTCATCTGATTCTTCGGCAAGTTCGCAGCAGGCATCGGGCAAATTTGATGATTTGCTACGCGAGTCTAACGTGCAGATTCAGCGTCGACTTAGGGAACGAGCCGAGCAGGTGGCGCCGAAAGTGGGCTTGTTAGATAACACCCTTCGGGCCTTGCATCGCGAACTCGAAGAGCATCTGCGGCTGGCGCGTCACTTTCACATCATGACGCCTTTCCAGAAGAGCACGCGAGAACGGATCGAGGCAGCTGTGGTACCGCTTGCAACGAAGGTGCGAAGACTCCGTCTGGAAGCGTTCAAAGCCCACAATAGGGGCATCATCCTCGCAAAAGAGTGCGATCACTACAGGAGGCTCTCAGACACATCGACTCCCGTCATACCACTCTCTACGGATGATCTGTCCGCCAGGGCACAAGAGCCAATGATACCTAAGAAGGAAACCGAGGATAGATTGAGCGTGCCGGGCTCCGATGCAGCAGCAGGACTGCGTATCAACACATTCCCCAGCTCTTCTCGACAGCGGCCTCTTGCCGAAGAATTTACACCGACGCTTCGATCTTCGCAGGAAAGCGATGAGAAGACAGGCAGGCGAGGCGAGACAAGCGATTTCCCCTCTGATAGCCCTACCACGCCGGCCAGGCCTGGTCTTCCATGTCAGACCTCTGATGGCGGCCCTCCATTAACTCCCATATGGAGCCTTAAATCACCGACAAGCAGCGCGGCTACCATGACGCCCGTTACCGAATCGCCGATTGACTCATTGACAGATTCGGGTAGTGTTGGCAATCTTTCGAGCTCGAGCGTAACACCCTCTAACCTGGCCTCTATAGAAGAGGCCGCTGATTGGCATGCAACCGCTGCAGCGCAGGAGAAGCGCGTCAGTCTGGCCGCCTTGCCGACCATATCTGCGGATGATGTCGAGACGCTTACGCGGGTTCACAAGAACGGGAGACGCTCACAACAGAGGTCTACAATCGATAAGGACCTGTTCACGCCGCCAAATTTCAGCATGAATGATCCTGGACCGTTCGCATAGGGTCACCTTGATTCAGTTCAAACCCAATCACCGCTTTCCGTGCTTGAAAGACCATACACACTCTCTTTTCGCCTTTTCAGAACAGGCACGCACTGCACCCACGTTCATTTTTCTTTCTGTATCATCTTGAGTTGGGGCCTACAAACGTCATGGATGTCTATCTCTGTATTCTCAACAGTCCAAAAAATAGTCCTTCTGGGTTCAAATTTACTGTGCTCTGACTCGATGTATGCATACAATGGATCTTGCTCTACAGGTCAGCCAAAAAGCGTCCGACGACTTCAAACGAAGCAATCATGACTCCGCATGCAGGTGCAACTTTTGCCACGCGAGGAGAAAGGCCCCGGAAGAGACCAGGCATACCCTCCATCGTGTAAATGTGGCGCAGAATGGCAACTGTGCGAGCGCTCGCATTGCGTTGCGGGCGCTGGGCCTGCAGCTGCGCAACTCTCTCTGTGCCATTTCCAGTGTCACTGTTGCCTGCGCTGGCTTGCAGTCGAGTCTTAATTAAATCGAACGGATGCGTGGCAATGGCCGCGACAGTTCCTGACGTTGCGCCGCTGACGAAGGCGACGATGAACTCTTCGCGTTGTCCCTTTGCATTCCCTTCGCCCAATCCGCCGCCGGTAAGGGCGCGCTTCATGGCCTCGTACCCAGTAAAGTAGATCGCGCTGAAGGGCACGTCGCGCCAGAGGGTGGAGCCGAGGCCGCGCCAGAGAACCGTGACGCCGTCGCGCGTTACCTGGGCGCGCAGCGAGGTGAGCGTCGCGCCGAGTGAGTTGGACGACGATAAGGACGAGGAAGCTTGGAGACGCGTGCGCACGAGCTCAAGTGGCGTGACGAGCGTAGCGGATAGCGCGCGCGACAAGGCGCCTGCTGCAAGTGACGCGAGCAACGTGTGCGTCGTTACGCCCTGCAAATTGCTATTGTTAGCGCCACCAACCGCCACATAAGTTGCACGGTTTCGCACAGCGGCGCGCTCTTCTTTTTCGAGCGAGAGGAAGAAGGCACGGAAAAAGTCGTAGCATGTCATGTACGTCACCTGGCTCGGGATGGTCATGGCCAGCGTTGGTGTGAGGCCGCGCCAGAGCCCCTTGATCCCTTCCCGCCTTCCAACTTGGACAAAGCCATCGCGTATGCCCGTTAGGCGGGTAGAGGTAGAAGGTGTAGTGAATGAGGTGGATGAGGAAGATGAGGTCGCCGCACGGCGACTGTGCCCTCCTTGCTGAAGCGCCGAGACGAGCCGCGACCATGAAGGTTTTGCGTCGGCTCCTCCTGTGGTAGCTTGCGGCGCTGTGGCAGCGACATCAAGATAGGCGAGCGGCCCGGCCGTCTGCAGTATGCGCTGAGCTATCGCTCGATCCGGAAAGGCGCAGGTGGAGGCTGATTTCATGTTGCGTGGCAGATGCTGCGGCACGGAAGTGGAGGAGTAGAGCTGATACGAAGATGTAGCTGCTTGTCTAGTCAGCCTGCCACTTGCGCTCGCAACCGATGTCGAGGAGCTTCCTGATACCCCTGCATGACTACCAGCAAGAGCTTGAAAGGAGGATGTCGTGCGATCAAGGCGAGGGTCGTACCGACAAGCCAAAGAGTCCTTCTGAGCATTGTCGAGAAAGAATGTTGGCTGGCAGCACGTTGCTGGATTGCTGGAGGAGGCTGCTACCGCTGAGGCAGACAGCGCCGGAACAGCGCGCTGTTTCCCAAACGCTTTTTCGGACATTCCAGCCGTTCCGGCATTCGCAGACAGGGTCGGCGGAGGAAGATGTTGTGAAGGTACGAAGAGGGTTTCGGGAGGTGTTTGCATCTGCAAGCGAGTCTTGACTACGTCGAATGGGGTCACTGCGGTGAGACATAGAGGTAAGAAAATGGTCAGTGACCTTGTGTCAGTGGGCCGTCAACCCACCTCGACTCGTTTGAATGAGGCGCAAAGGACTTACTCAAAAACGAAGTCGTGATAGCTCCCGTGCATGCTGCTATAGCCTTCCTTGATCTCGACACAGGCTTGCGGCCGGTTGGGGTAAGTTGTTGCTCATCTTGAAGCTTGACCGACGACGAACTAGGCTGTTGCTGCTCGCGCTTGTGCCCAAGCTCACGCGCATGCACCCGCTGCTCTTCCCAGTATGCCTCGGCAAGCGCATTATACGCCGTGTTGGCGCCTGCTGAGGCCATTTCTCCCAATTCGCCTGTACGACTGCGTGCCAGCAAAGTAGAAGGGTAATATAACAGTGTACGCTGTGATAATTTGAAGACGATGCGCGACGGGTTGGAAGGCGTGTGCTCTTCCTTAGTCGCGGTGGTCGACCGCAAGCGTCTTCTGTCGAAGACGATAGCAAAGATCCGTCCCTTTGCGAGCTCGAGGCGGGAGCAGTATGCGAATGGGCAGAGACAAAGCAATGGATCCGACCTCCCTCCTGAGCTTATAAGGGTCAGACGATCATCGATAGATCAGATCTTGGCTGAATCTTGATATGGCCTTAGTTTGAATGGTGATGACCTCAACAAAAATGTGCAACTGCGCGCGACTACTAAAGACCGGGGGAGTCCCGTCGGGGGGTACGTAGCTTGGTCGCGGCATCTTTCACCAGACAAATACTATGGTCTTGAATACCTGCATCGCACAATAGGGTATAGTTTGAGGGCACAGCGACGCGAGCAATTCTATGAGCATTAGAAGCCTGAGGCAGGGCTCAACCCAGCATTTGCTAGACCACTGCTTCTGCAACGTCGTCCGTTGACTTGAAGGTGTCATTGAATGTGGAACAGCAAGCGTGAGCAAAGAGGCATGCAAGACGGCGATACCTGCCCGCTGAGGTAAAGATCTTGCGTGAGCGTCTTGCACAAAAGGCAGGGACCTCCCGCTGGGCGTGGATATAATTCTCATCTGATTTTCTCGCGTTCATGTCAAAGATTGGGGCGGAATCAACGGGGAGGGGCCCGTTCAGTCAGCCAAGCTGGGTAAATCCTCGGGGGCTTCTTGGCTGGGCCGGTAGAAACACTCTGTAATCCGGTGATTTTCGCACCGCAGCTTCAGCATTCCGTTGTTGCAGGTATGACTGTCTGGGCTGCTCGCGTGACCTTTTCCGGTGTGCATGCAATATTCTTCTCGGTTCGGCACCGCCGACGGGCCATAGGCACTGCAGCACTGTGGCAACAATCCACAGCCCAGATGTAGCCACGCTCATTCTTCTTTTTTTCTCCAATTTTTTTGGTGTTCCATCACCTCATTTTCTCGCGCCCAGAACCGTCCAGCAGCGACTGACATTGCGGCTGCCCATTATCGCTGGCATCTCTTCCATTCCATCCAAAGCCATCCATCCATCCACGAGCACAGACCACAGTACAAAGACCTCAACAGAGCAGAGCACAGCAGAGAACAAAACAGACTGGCATCCTTCCTGCGCAGCAAGGACATATTGACCGTCAACAGTCCGACACGTGATCGAAAGGTTCAGTTTCTCGCATTCCCGACACCAGTACCCACCGCCAAGACCAAAACATTTGCTTTCCACCCACAAGGGGAAAGAGCATCTACCGCAAGAGAAGGTCGACTGATCAATCGACGCGCTACTGCTCGTTCCATTAGGTCCTTCGTATCAAGTTTCGGGCCTGCATCAACGCCTGGCCGCTCCTTGCTTCCTATTCCCCGCTACTTCACACCCTCTTGACATCACTGAATCAATTCACACGCCGCGCGATTTGCAGTTTGTGACGCACAGAAACGAACAACTGTGCACCTGCTAGCGCACTCAGATCATGGACTCTGCTTCCGCTGCTACTCCTGCCTCTAACAACACTTCGCAGCTTCCTCCCAACGCCGCCGCCGCTTCCAAGCTTGCACTCGACAGCGCCATGGCGGCAGTCTCCAACGGCGCAGCACCAAAGGCCGGCCTTTCAGGGCGGTCGCAACAATCTGCAAACGGGTCTGCATCGGCCGAGAACGATACAACAGCAGCAGCATCAACAACATCAACAGGAAAATCAGCAGCAGGGGATGAGAGCAAGGAAGAGGGCGAACTGTCGAACGACAGTGGCGTCGACGTCGACGATGCGGTCGCCAAGAACCGCGCTGCATCTGCGTCCGACATGAGGACCGTATTTGAAGACCCAGAGAACTTCAACGTCAAGCATCCGCTCGCGTCACGATGGACTCTCTGGTTCGACAACCCGTCCCAAAGGGGCATGGCCAACATGCGCGGCAGCAAGGACTCGTGGGGCGAGGACCTGAACAAGGTCGTCGATGTCGACTCGGTGGAGGAGTTCTGGGGGCTGTACCACAACATCATCCCACCTAGCCAGCTGCCAGCCAAGGCGAATTACTACCTGTTTAAGGAGCCCATCAAGCCCATGTGGGAGGACCCGGCGAATGCCAAAGGCGGCAAGTGGTCAGTGCAGTTCCCACGAGAGAAGAGCAAGAGCCAGATTGACAACATTTGGCTATACACTGTGAGTTCGAGCCACCTCATCGATCCTGCTCGTTCGCACTCCGGATTGGGGGATCCATTGACGTCCGATGATGTCCTTTTTCACACTCTGCAGATGCTCTCGGCGATCGGGGAGACTCTCGACACGCCCTTCCCGTCCGGCACACCGCGCGCTCTAGCTGACGGGCCGGAGGACGAGTTGATCTCGGGCGTCCTGCTGGCAGCGCGACCGAACTTCTACCGCGTGGCCATCTGGACACGACGGAGTGACCAGGAGACTGAAGAGATTGGCCGGCGACTGATGGACATTGGCAAGAACTTCAAAGTCAACGTGCTCGGCCTCAAGCTCGACGAGAAGGTCAGTAGCAATTATGGTACTGAAATTGAGTTCCAGAGCCATACAGAGAGTGAAAAGAAGAGGGGAAAGAAGACGGTCATCTAAAAGCTACAACTGTTGCTGCGATCAGAAAGGGAAGATGGCGCCTAACGCGGCTCCAAAGGGCACTGCATCTAGTCTTGCAGCACGCTAGTCCCTTCATGCGGCGAGCGCGTATCTACTGCCAGATGCCATGGCGTCCCTTACATGTGCTGGCGCCATCAATTTCACGCAGAGCATATGGAGAAGGGAGGGGGGAAGAGGAAGGGGAGGATGGCCCTGGGCGGCCGGAGTTGTCTGAGATAGGAACTGGTGGCGCGCTGGAGCATCTGGAACGAGAAGCGCAGACGGCCAACGCGACGCAAACGGTTACGTTGGCTCCCACGACTCTATACAATGGCTCGTGGCCCTGGCGGCACAAGGCGGCACCACTCCAGCCTCTTCTCCCTTTCATCGGCATCAGCTACGAGGCACGGGGCGACTGGCTGTAATTGTACCACTACTACTACAACCAAAAATAGCTTGCACAAATACAAAGCGAGATGTCTCATGGTGCCAGCTGTGTAGTGCGAGGGCGCAGAGCAGCATCTGGTCTCTAGAAGCAGCCAAGAAAGGATGATGGTGACCTGAGTTGTGGCCGTCGGTCTCGGACTGCCGATCCGCACATCGCGCTGATCGTCTATGACTCTGCACAAGGCCCAGCGCGCGTCCCATCTAGGTACGTGCAACAGGAAAGGAAGTAACCTTTGCGAGAAGGAGGATGACAGCATCTACCTGTACTGTCGCATACAGTCATTCCACGTTGTCATTGAATGGGGTGCGTTGTATCTTGGGCAGGTACATCTCATCAGAAAGTGATCTTGCATTGTCATTCATTGTTCGCTTTCGCAGTCTTCCGACATTTGCTGCCGTCTGGCCATCATGCCATCAGCTGGATGTGGTGCATCGATCCAGTGCCATTTGCGTTAAATATGTGATTTGACCCAAGCACGACCAAACTTTGCAGCGTTGTGGAATCTGTGCGGCCCCATGCCAGCTTCCCGAAAGCGGCCGAGCTTTGCCCACATTGGGGAATATACGTACACAAGACCAGGGCGAGAACGAACCGGACAAAATCGCCTACATCTCGCCCCCTCCCCCCCTGTGCGGGGAATCGCCCCTCCGCCCTCTGGAGAGTGCCGGAGACGGAGGTGCTAGGCTGTAGGCAATTGCCCGCAAGCAGAAGTGGTTCTGGTGCCAAACAATGGTATGCACCTCCCCTCGCGCATGTGTTACGACGATGTATGTTCTACACGCCGGCCGCTGCTCTGCCCCCCATTGCTGATGATATGGGCTGTGGAGCTGGTAAAATTGGCCTTCCAATTGGATGGGTTACGGGGGCAAGGACGCGCCAGTCCTGCCAAACCTTCTAGAGTATTCAGCACAACTTTTGCATCTTCACCGCGTCACGCGCAAAGCATTACCACCCCAGGCGGGGCGCGAATTAAAGCAGCCAGCCAGCGCTCTTTCTTTGTTTTTGCTACCGTTGGCAACGACGCGACGCGCGGGGGCGGGGCGTTGTGGGCTCGGCGCGTTGTGGCTTCCGCCCCTCCTGTATCCATACCTTCACCTCGGCTTTTTAGCAGTTCTCTCTGGACACGCTGCGACCAGCCGACCACAGGATCCCAGCTTGCATCCACCCAGACATCCTCATCCACAAGCCCCTGGCCATCCGAGCAACACCACCGCCCTGCCACTTTACACGTTCCTTTCACCCGCTTCGTGCACCGCGTGGAGACGCGCTGCAACCTGCGACAGCACCGCTCTCTTTTCTCTGTCAAACAGGACGCCATCCAAGTCGCCAGACAGGCGAGGCAACGTAGGCTACACGGCCACGTGTGCAGGTATATCCAGCTGTTGTTGACGAAGAGCAAGAGGAGAAAATACTAGAGAGTGCAAAGAGAGGATGCCGCCTGCAGGACGGAGATCGGGCAACTTTGGCGGGAAAGTCGTGCCGGGGACCAAGTCGACGAGCAAGCCCAGCAAACCGAGAAGTGAGTCCCGCCCATGTACATATACCCACCCCAAATGTGCAAGAGCGTGGCGATAGGAGACATTGGGCACGGTGAAAAGTGGTGGGTCCGACGCATGGCATCCATGCGGCGCTTGGATTGCCCTGAACAACGCGGTCAACTTGCGGTTGACAACGGCTTGAATAAAAGCACTGCCTTTGCTGCTGGCAGGCACCCATGAGCTTAACTTACATGCAGTACCAAATGACGGTTCTTTGGGTTTCTGGCTGATACCAGCTCTTTCATGCTCGTTCTCGTAGCATCCGTCGGCGACACATCCCTACGCAAAAAACCGCGCTTCCGACCGGGCACCGTCGCGCTACGAGAAATCAGGCGGTACCAGCGCTCGACCGATCTGCTGATCCAAAAGCTTCCATTCGCACGTGTCGTGCGCGAAGTGGCGGATGACTTCATCACCAGCGTCTACGATGGAACAAGCGGCGCCGGCTTGCGATGGCAGTCCAGCGCCATCCTCGCGCTGCAGGAAGCGACCGAGGCATATCTCGTTCATCTTTTTGAGGACGCGTGAGTTTCTGCACGTCATGTCCCCCGCCGCGACGCCGCGCTGAGTAGCACACTGACGCGATATTCTGCCTGTCTGCGCTCATGGATGCTTACCTATAGCAACCTATGTGCAATTCACGCCAAGGTGAGTCTCGGCCGACTCTATTCCGGCACCCTTCCTGTCTGCAAGCTAACAAAGTCACCTTCTGGCTCTTTTATCTTTCAGCGTGTCACTATCATGCAACGAGATATCCAACTGGCCCGACGCATCCGCGGCGTGTGGGGAGGGCTTGGTTGAACCAGACTGATGTGCATTCCGTCGATTCAAAGTCCACTTCATCCTCAACACACTCTGCATTACTCTGACATGACTTTCTCCCAGGCATCGTTCCAACAGCATTTGTACTATCATCAGCATTACAAACAGTTTGGTTGACACAGTCAGCTGTTGCATCCAAATAGGGGCAGGGTTGTTGAATGAGTTGTTCAAAGAGCAAAAGTTTCCACTCGAGTATACTTGCAAGGCCCATTCCTACTTGAATGAAGGAAAGCGAAACGACTCTTTGGGGGGGGTCCACTCCCACTAGGAGCCCATGCCACAGATGCTGAGCTGTCTCATCTCCTGCAACACATTCTCCACCTGGCTGTCTAGATTTCCACTGGCATAGTCATCCCGGACGCTATCGTTGAAGAAGCGCTGCACGCCGCCCATCTTTTCGTAGCCTTCCTCGGCAAACTTGGCCTGCATCCGGATCATCGCCTCGAACGATGGGTCCAAGTACGGGATGCGCAGGCTGTGCAGCTGAGGTAGCTCTTCTCTCAGCTGGTCATCTAGCGTCTCAAAGAGCAGTTTGGCGTCCTCCAACTCCTTCTCTGCCCTATAGGCCACGGCACGCAGAGAGACCAGCAGGTTAGCATAGAATGGCACGAGGCGGGGTAAGGTGGAGCCACGCACCTTGGTAGCTTGCTTGGGTCGTCGCTCGGCTTCTCTTGAAGTTTCCGGTGCTTGGCGCGCGCAGCATCGTAGTCAAGCAGCTGACAGCACCGCAAAAGGGGGTCCGTCAAGAGATGGAAGAAGCAGCCCGTCGTTGAAAGAAATACACACCTTCTTATTCCGCTTCTCGATATTTTTGTTGATCTCGGGAAAGTAGCTGGAAAGCTTGCCAATCGGCTCGAGCACCGTCGCGCGGAAAGGAGGATCAAGGTCGCGCGCTATGCGGCCGTCGAGGTCGTCTGCGGCTCGCTTGTAGGCGTTCGCGGCGATCGCTGGCTCACTTGCATCCGAGTAGAACGACTCTACCGACTCGGCGATGCGCAGCTGTGCTGCTGAGATGCCTGTTGTTCGAAAAAGACGAAGCTTGTCACACTCGATGCTGTTTTCCCTCACAACCGCGTGCGCTGTGCACTTTCAAAGAGAGAATATGCCCAGCTGGAGATCGACGCACCTCGAACAGCATCCAGGTATCCCTTTGCCTCCTTCTGCAGCGCCCCTGCCTGCTTCTCCAGGTTTTTGGCCGTTGCTACATTCTCAGTGAACGCGACATCGTCTGTGCGCTCGACCTGCCCGGTCTTCTGCATCACCGATGTTCCGGCGCGGTTGATGGCCTTTGTGAAGCCTTTCCACGACATGATGGGCCACAGTCAAGGTCGAGTCGAGTTGGAATCGGTATCGGGATCGTGCGTGGATTAACGGGTGCGTCTACGTTCCTGCCACCTACTTCCTTGTGCCTCGCGGATCCAGCGCAGCTTTGGTGGTAGCAACGATAAGGGCACCACTATGCCGGCAAATTGAAGTGTATGTATTCAAAGTGTGTCCGGGTCATCCAGCCGCTGATTCCATTGATAGGCAGCATCGATCCATGTATGTGTGTGTATACGCCCACGACACACGCCTGGTCTGAGTCGTCGGTGTTGGCGCCACTCGGCAGCTCACCGATCTGCTGCTGGAGTCTCAGTCTCTCTTAACCCTCTCCCTCTCAGGTGTCTATGGCCGGTCCGGGCAGTGCACAGCCTTTCTTTTTTTCTCTGGAATTGCTTCAAGAAAAGAAAGGTCTCAGGATTTTGCACGTCATCTGTGCGATTGGGAGATGGGCGCGCCACGATTTGTGCGCGTCCAAACAGTGTTGTTGATTAAATTCCCATAGGGTTGTTGATTCGTACTTTGACGGGCCTCTCGCCCGTTCCGCTCCACTCTCTGGGAACATCGCATCAACTTTGGCAACAGGTTGCTGCGCTTCGCCAACGTCATTGTACATGGCATCGATCATCTACAGCATGTGCAAACGTGATGGAGACACTAGGGCTTGCTGTGGAGGTCACACTCCCAATCTACAAACGCGGCCAACGCTTCATGTCGACCTGGAACTCGCAAGGAGGCCAGCGATGCCTACTTGCTGCCGTTCAAGGCGCGGCAGCTGACAGTCCTCTAGTTCCCCGAGTCTGATGGCTCGCAAATGATTCGCATTCCTAAGTACATGCACTTTTTATTCATACAGGTCTTTACTCCGCAGCAAGAATTTGAGCCTCATCGAACTAATGGTCCTCCGCCTTGAAGTACCATAGGAGCTGGCCCTTTTCGTCACCATATGCGTTCCTATAGCGCATACAACCCATAATGGCCATGATGAACATCCATCAACTCCGCGTATCAAGTTGTCTTGGACAACCATGCGCAAGTATCTCGTTTCCCTCAATGTAACCCCCATCCTCGCACCGTCACCTACATCGTTTGAAAAGGGGGGGGTGGACAGGGTCACAATAAATAAACTTTCGGCTGACGAGATCTATCACCTCGGGTGACCGGTAAGACCTTTCATTGACGTTCATGGGTATTAGCCCCACTTTTGCCCCTGACGTGACTATTTTTTCCCATCCATACAGTGAAACAAATGATTGACAGCGTGAAACCTTTCACACGTATCTGAGCGTCACTTCCACCACCATCCCCTTTAAAGACTTGGAACCTGTGTTCGGCGGTAGGGATAAGCTTGTTCAAAGATACGTTGTCAGAATCAGTATCATTCATATACGTTTCAAACATCATGTTCCATCCAGTTTTCTATCTGTTTTACGATGAGTTATTATCCCAAGTCGATATGGTTCGATCCTAAGGAATCTTTCTGTCAGTTGATCCGTCATGTCATGCATCAGTGAAAGGCTGAAGGTCAGCAAAACATTAGGCTCATCCGCCGGCCATGGTGTATGATGTCACCGGCCAACCGTCATTCGTGACTAGGAGCAGCTGTCGACGCGTTCGGCCACAGCGGCAAGTGTAGCAAGCAGATCGAATTCAGCTCGCATCAATTAGTATTCTCGTTTGATGTGCGTAGCACATCTTGTGTGGATGCAACACCATTCTCATACAGCGTAAATAGTAATCACACGCATCTCATCGCATTCGATCTATGTATTTAGTCCCCAAAGAATTCACTGCCGCCTCTGTCCAGAAAGTGATTGACACATGATCCTGCTTGCTTCTGGCGCCCTATTCCCTGAAGATCCCGACCTGCCGACGAGAAATGAGCTAGGGTGACACATGAGTCCACTTCGCCGATATGCTCGCCCTATCCGCAATCTCCAGGGTGTTGTGGAATGCAGCCTTTCAGAAAAATCTGGAAGGCGTCAATGATGAACATGCCGAAGGTTCCGACACGCGGTGCCGTCGCGTTTCTCTGACATGAGTGCTTCGTGCTGAAGTATTTACCTCTTGGAGTTCATGAGATCGCAGCCAAGCCATGCTTTGGGATGGCAAGAAGTACAGAGCTCTACGACCATAATAAACGATGTTTAGTCGAAGGTTCGACGAACGATGGAATAGTTGTTCGACTCCGATGTCTGCAGCCCCTGTGCCAAGATGCGTAAGTCATTCGCCCAACTAATTGCATCAGGCCATCTCGTACGGACATCCTCAGACGCGCCAGCAGGTGCGATTTTAGGTAATTCGGTGCATCGTCTTTAATCTTGTGCACTTCTGTGTGCCCTTCAAGAGCTCGCCTCCCGTCTCTGCGAGCTCATTGGAACTCTTCGAGAATCTCGAGGAGTCTGGCTGGCAGCGTGCGTGCGCTTGTCCAGGCTCTTGCTGCTGCTTGACAATATTGATTGGCACTGTCTGTTCTTCAGCGCCTTCTAACTGTCGATGGGCCTCGTTTGATTGGCACCTTCTTACTGCATAAAGCTTATCAGCGAGATTTAAACAGAGGCTGGGTGAGTGGCTTTCTCGTTGGCAAACTCCTGCAGGATTTCTTCGAGATGGTCCGACTTTTCCCCAGCATCGTAACAGGTGCAGGGCCTTCTGGTAATACATTGGAAGCTCCAGACCACGGCATGATTGTAAGCTGCTCTTTGTTCGCTTTATGGAGCGCTAGGTGCTCAGCTCGGTCGTTCAGAAAACGGAAGCGTGCTCTTCATTGCCGATCTGTTTTGCACGCTTGTGCTGTCTATTTTCCTTTGGATTAGGTTGAAGTCACGGTAGAGAGGCATGGTAGCACAAGATTGCTCATCCAGCTTTGACTATCATGATACAGTCCTCGCTCAATTTCCGACATACGAAGTGGCAGTCAATCAATGAGCATCCGGACAGTGTGTATGCAATGAAGAGTAAGTTTGATTTGGTGCGTTGAATGAAGCTCGAGATCGAGTTGAAGATCCTGGGAGCCGCCCCACCGTGCATAATATGGAAGAAAAAGGCTTATCTACCGTACAGCTGAATTCAGGAGAGATTGGTGAAAAGGACGAAGCGGAACGGTCTCAAAGCTCTTGTCAAGGCACGCAGCCAACCTCTTTCTGGTACCAAAACCAATGTGTCCAGATATCCTATCCGTCAGATGGAGCTGCCTCTGCAGGCGTCAACGAGTCAATGAGTACATATGCACATTACTACATTGAGGAGTTGAAGGGAGGGACGATCAACGGCCCTCATTGTGTACCAAAGCCAAACAATTGCACGCAACGGACACCCGCGATTTCTCGCGTCACGCCTCACCCACCATACTCGCTCTCCGCGTCTCTCTGTCAAACGCGCCGGTGCGGCGTCAGTTTGCTGCTGTCTGCACACTCACCTCTTCTCCAAGGCGCATTCCATTCAATCGGTTCAGTAGCCGCAGCGGTGGCCTTGGTGGTAGTGGTGCCAACAGTGGGGTCTCAGCTGACATCAGTGGTGGAGCCGAGATGAATGGCTGTAAACGCGGGTTGGCTCGCGACGATGACCTTAATAGCGACGTCGAAGCGATAGAAGTGAAGAAGATAAAACGTGAGGCGAGCGGGGATCTGATGCAGTGTGTCTTCTTCTTTTCGTCTGACTGCCTTTCGTCATTTCGCTTGCTTTCTTTGATTGCAATTACATTTCGAAGTGGCCCCCATTTTCGCATTTGGCAAACCTGAAACAAGCAAGGTCACCCGGCTAAGCCCATTGCCTTCTGTCGTCGCTACTGATGCGTCCTCGTCTGTAGCAACCTCGAGTAAGCACACATATCTTGCTACGAGTCCCCTAGCCATCTCTCTGCCTACATCGTTGCCCAACAAGATCTGTTGGCAGATACATGGAGACAATCAAACTTGTTTGGCGGGGACATTCGGAGAACCTGCCGTTGATTCGTTGCAAGCGCTGCACTCTAGTAGCTCGGCAAAGGGCAAGGGAAAGGCCGTCGTCGCCTTCTTCGACCTGGATTGGACGTTAATTAAGCCACAGGGGAACAAGGTTCGCTCCGCCGATGCTCGAAGTGACTCGATTCGAACTCTTCTGATACCTTTTGCGTCTTCGATGCGTCTCTAGAAGTGGCCAAGTCCAACGGATGAGTTTGACTACGCATTTCTCTTTCCCAATGTGGTTCGGAAGTTGCAGGAAGAGTACCAGAAGGGGTGAGCATTGGGGTATGCTCTTTTCACTTACGTCGATACCGAATTTAAATGCCGCCATTGATACTGCAGGCGAATTATTGTTTTGTGCTCGAATCAATACCAGACACTCACAGGCTATCGCAAGGCACGAGTCAACTTCAAGCCCGCTGAGACCGCCAAGATGCAAGTGTGGCAACGTAAGCTGCTCAACATTGTCCGAGCGCTGCGCATCCCATGCTACATCTTTGCTGCGATGGCCAAGGACGAGTTTCGCAAGCCGCACCGTGGGATGTGGGATGCATTCCTGCAGATATGGGCGTGCGATTTAGGCCGGGGGCGGACGGAACTCGCTATGCTCGCCAGCGAGCCGAGTGGGGACGTCTCGTACTTTGTAGGTGACTTTGCTGGCCGCTTAAGCGACGGTGAGAAGGATAAAGACTACAAGGACACGGACCGCAAGTTCGCCATCAATGCTGGCCTGCGCTTCTTCACCCCGGAAGAGTTCTTCCAAGGCGTCAAGCGCGGTGGAAGGCAATTTGAGCTGCAAGGCTTCAACGCCAAGCAGTTCCTGGCACGGCAGAATTCGACCTCGGAGGCTGCACCGTCGCTGCTGCCAATAGGGACGACGGAGATCGTGCTCTTCGTCGGACTGCCTGGAGCAGGCAAGAGCACTTACTTCAATCGACACTTTCGACCGCATGGCTACCAATGGGTCAACCAAGATATCCTCAAGACAAGGGACAAGTGCCTGAAAGCTGTAACCCAGCATGTGAAAGAAGGAAAGAGTTGCGTCGTCGGTGAATTTGCTATGATGAGCTGATGCGCCATATCCATGGAGCAGCTCCTGACTGCAACATGTCACTTTTTTCCTTATCCCTTCACCTCAGATAATACAAACAGGGACAGGCAAACAAGAGCATATTACGTGGTGAGAACAGCGCAACCCATTCTCTGCATTTCATTTCATTTGTCTGCGCGTCCTGAAAATCTTGGTGCCCGTCCAGAACCTCGCGACACGGCACAACGTGCCCATTCGGTGTTTCCAGTTTGATATGAACATCGAACAGGCTTGGCATCAAAACGTATATCGAGCGTTCTCGCCCGATGTGAGTCCGGCAGACAGCGGTGCGGAAATTATTGAGACGAGCTGAGTGCCTTTGTATGTTTCCCATCGTTGGACTGGCTACTTGCAGAGCACATCAAAAGTGATTCCACCTATCGCCTTCACCTCGTACTCGTCGGGCTATCAGGAGCCGACCAAAGCGGAAGGCTTTGCGGAGGAAATTCACCACGTGCCGTTTGTCTTTAGGTGCGTGAAAGAAAGTCAGAAGTCTCTTTTTACCCCTCTCAAAACGCGCCAGCAGGGCATGCAATCAGCACATTTGACTGATGTCTGTTTGACTTCACCTGCCTCGCTCGCACTTTCAATCCCTCTCTCGTAATTTTCTGGCATTTATAGCGGGACAGAAGAGGAGCGCGAAAGATACCTGCAGTGGTATGCTACGCGCGACGATTTCTGAGACAACGTCGTGCTATCGCCTATCAGAGCTTTATGCTGTTCAGACCCACGGGAATGCCCGAGGCCAACAGAAAACGAAAGGAATGACGGATTGCAGGCAGCAGGAGTCCGTAGACTGTCCTGTATTTCAGCAATTTCCGTATTGTTGCAATTAGGCGGGGAACTCCGTCTTGTGCGACGGTGTGCGGCCGTTTCAAACAGCGACCGGTGTCTTTCCGTTGCAACATCGTGGCCGAGGCGTTCCTGGACTTCTCACTGCTTCACTCTTTGACTCCGCATTACATGAACGAAGTGCTCCATCCTTGCCTCACGCCTGCAGCACTATATGAGTAGGAGGGCTCTATGGTTGACTTATGCTCGCGCAATGCACCTGCTCGTTGCGCTCCTTGCATCACGGTTGCTTACTGTGAATTCGAATCTAGTACCTAGTTGAAGATGAGCGGCCCGAATTCCTTGACCATCTGGCTCACCATTGGCATGGGCTTGGGCCTGGTCGCCGCCTTGATCGGCCCAACACCAACGCGGCTACCTGACAGACTGGCAGTGATACCCGACTCTGCGGTGCATATCGACAACCATATCTACGACAAGGAGGACTTTGGCTGGGACGACGCTGAGCACCCGCTGAAGCTCGTCAATGGCGCGCGCATCCCCTACTTCGTCGACACCCTGCGCGAGAAGCTTGGCAAAGGACCGCTGAAGCTGCTCGATGTCGGCTGTGGAGGAGGTATTGCGACGATCGAGATGGCGGCCGCAGGGTTCAATGTGACAGGTGAGCTATCGTGCTGTAGATCACGGTGATTCACGCCAAGAGACATCGGGTGCGCTGACAGCTCGTACAGGACTCGATGCCTCCGCAATTTCTGTGAAAGCGGCCGAAAAGATGGCAAAGGAACGCAGTCTCAGCATTCAATACGTCCATGGCAGCGCGTATTCGCTGCCGTACCATGACGATAGCTTTGACGCCGTCCTCTCCTCCGACGTCTTGGAACACCTGCACGATGTCCGTCAGGCTCTAAAGGAGGTTACACGCGTGCTCAGACCCGGCGGCGTCTTTGTGTTTGACACTATTAATCGCTCAGTGTTTTCGTGGGTCGTCATCATCCGCCTGATGCAAGACTGGCTTCGCTACATCCCGGAGGCAGTACATGATTGGAAACTATTTAGTAAGGCATTCATTTAGGATCACGCTCCTGCCTACAGTTCGTTGCGCAATCACTGACATGAATGCACTTCCACTTTGACATTGATAGTAACGCCTACAGAGCTTCGACGGGCACTACAAGATGCTGGCTTAGAGCCTTGCCCTTCCGGAGCGCAGCATGGCATGCGTCCGACTTTCCGCCTGAACCCGCTATCCATCAGCCGCAGGCTGATCAAGCAAGGCCCAGGAGCTTTTATCGATGTATGGAAACAGGATATGTTTTTCATGGGCGGTTCATACCTCGGGTACGCAACAAAGCCATAATCTCAAAGATCTATATCGATGAATGCTTAGCGTGCCGACGGCCCGTCTGTATTAGTGTCGCTAGGAAGCAATTTTGCAATTATTGACAATGTCGCGCAATGCATCGTGGCTACCGGCCGCCTTGATGTCGTTGACCATGAACGCTCGTTCCTTGCTCGGCGGCCGAAAGCGGTCGGTGTCAATTATGTAGAGCAGGTGCTGCTTGATGTACTCGAGACGCGGTACCGCACCGTCTGCATGCTCGACTTGGTCTACAAGCCACAGATACTGTCGACAAAGCTCGAGGGGTTGCACTTCTTGACCGGAGAACAACGCCGGGTTCTCAAGGAGATGTTCTCCGACCATTGCGCCGTCTGCTCCAGTTGCTGCGAGGTTGCGGCGGACGTCCTCGAGCGACCGCACGTTGCCGTTCGAAATAATGACAACCGAATCTGCCAGTCCAGCTTCCTGTATCCGCTTCACAATCTCTGCGACGACCTCAAGTCTTGCGGCACCATATCGACGCCGAGCGGTGGAGGCGTGCCGTGCATGCAGCGTGATCATACTCGCACCGCTGTTTGCTAGCTGCAGTGCCAGCTCCGCCGTCCTTTCTGTCTGTTCGCATAGCCTGAGCTTGACGCTGACCGGCAGGCCAACTTGGCTCAGCGAACGGACTAGGGCATTGACCAGCGGCCAGTCTTTCAGATTGAGCAGGTATGCTCCGTAGTGGCCTTTCTGTGCGCGGCGCTGGGGACAGCCGAGGTTCAAGTCGAAGCCGTCTGCGAGATCACTGAGGGATTGTGCAGCATCATATAGTTGCTGTGGATCATCCCCAGCTAGCTGGACAATCTGCGGAAAATTCTCTTGCTTTTCCCGTAGCTTCCGGCCCAGCTCTAGCTCTCGGCGTAGTTGGCGAAAAAGAGCAGGGTCGCCGATTAGGTCGTTGGCGAGGTACATCTGCGTGAAGGTCATCTTACAGCCGTGGCGCAAGCATAGCAGGCGGAAAGCGACATCGCTTTGATTAACGAGTGGTGCTGCGATGTACCGAGTAGCCTCTCGCGCCCAATGTGCGTGCCAACGTGGTGGAGAATTGGGCTCAACATCATTTTGACCGACATCGTGACCGAGGTTGTCGAGCCTTGGTGCTGTCGGCATAGGCAGTGACGCAGGGATGGACCTTTGCTCTGGGGATCGAAAGCCCTGGAATCTGCCGAGCAAGGGGTCAAAAGAATGCGCACGATAACACAGCTCTCATTGGCAATGAGCGAAGCTTGAGCTAGAGCGCCTCGTTTCGCCTCTCGCGGCGTGAAGCTCGAAGAGGGTCGTCGCTTGATAGTAGGCTTTTAGAGTAGACATCCATTTCGAAAGGCGGACTGACACCATCATGCTGGAAACTTGATGGCTCGTTGTATCGGCTGAGAGGGCCGAAAAGGAAGCGTAGAAAGAATGGGGTCATTACATAATGCTCGTGTGTGAGTCTTATTCCATGACGCCGCCTAGGCCGATTTCAGACCGTTCGGCCACTCCTTGGCTCACACTTTTCATTCAAAGCTTCATGCCTTCATCCATGTGAGGCAAGGCGACAAACACTAGGCATCGGGAGGGCAAGCGCGCCACGAACCCATTTCCCGGATTGCCGAAATGAGACTGTTTAGAGATGTCAGAGGCCAGAAGGGACTCTTGCTGAGAGAGGGCTCAGAAAGTTGAGATCATGACGGCACGTGCAGACGTAATCCAGGGCTTAAATGCACATGTCCACAAGGTCGACCATTTGACTCCATTGATCATAGATTTGAAGCGTAGATGCTTTGCCACTTGCTGTTGCGCCTTCCTTCGCACCCTATATAAAGGCTTGTACCCCTTGCTCATTTCTCTTTCTCGCAGCGAACACATCCAACGCCCTAAAGCGAAATTTTCATACTATTTCCAACTTTTGCTCGTGTATCCTAGCGAAAACATCCCTAAAATCAAGGTGAATGCTCAACACATGGTCAACACGGTGCCGCGTCGCGTTCTAGTGAGTTCTAGTCGTCAATTCTTCTTGCCATCCGTCCGCCTTAGGGCCAAACGGACTGACCTGAAGATTCATGACTTTCGACATTTTGCAGGCAAGGCCCTCTTGTCTCCCCCACTACGCTAACCGTTTCAATAGCACCACATCGTAGGCAAAGGATGCCGCGAATCAAGTCACAGCGGACACCAGGGCGCAAGCGGAGAAGGGTGCAGACCATACCCGGGCCGGTGTTGAAGAGGCCAAGGTAAATGATCACAACATGGCGTCCAGTGTCAGCGCTAACGTGGAGGAAGCAAGTGACAGCTTGAAGAACGCTGCCGAGCCGGTCAAGGGCTACGGTACACCAGCTAGCAGTGTCAAGAAAGGGTTCACAGACGTAACTAAGACTAGCCGCGAAAATGGCAGCACGCTGGTCGATGAGGCCAAGTCGACCGCGCGGAAGGTCCCAGACGGTGCCAAAAAGGCCACGGGTACGGTCAGCAAATAAGGAAGCTGCGGCTGTGACGCTTCGATGTGGGATGTCTGTACATTGTACTTGGCAATCGCGTGTATCGCTCCGTCGCGTTGGGACGGCATCTGGCGGACCCGTAAGATTGCACTTTCCATTGTCACCGTGCATCGGATCTCTAACCTGCTCTCCCTCTGCTCCATAGGGCCGCGGCCTGAAGAATGGATGAAATGAGGCTCAATTGATGGACATGATTCCAAAGCCATTATGTTTTTCAATTTTTGTAGACATGCCATGAAGTCTGTAGTTCTGGCTGCTGAGCTTATCAATTCTTGTCTTTCAGACCCGCTCGTTCGCGGGCTCACGCTCACGCGACTAGGACCGCTGAATCGCACCTTCACTCTGCTGACACTCGATAATGCTGCTGATGCCCCGCATCCTTAAACTCGATCAGCCCTTTACGCCCGTGTTCGTCAGTATCCGCGCATCATCGCATCATCGTGCAACTCCGCATAGTCTGCAGCACCAATCCTAGCCGACATTATGTTGACTTTCACTGCATCCAGGAGCTCGCTTCGGCCGGCCGCTTTGCTGTTACCCGACCCTCTGAACACACTTTTGCCTTGAGCCATGCTTCATGGAACCCGCAAGATCCCCACGCGCCTACCGATGATGAAGTATGGGGCTCAGAAAAGGTGGGTGCCACGGCTGGGTCATGTTTTCGAGTCGAATTTTCCTGAATGCCGTATGTGTCACATTATGCTTCATATTCACGTTCGTTGTGACCATCCCGATTGTAACACAGATCACATATGTGCGCCACACGAAAACCACATTAGATGAGTCGGTTCATATTGGAGAGGAAGAAAGTCAGCGCAATCATCTGCAGACGGGCAAGTCCAAGAAGGAACAACTGGACAGCATACTAGGTCACGCTTCGGGTAAGGGGTCGGCCAGGGTAAGGAGACGTCTTTAGGAGAGATAGGAGTGCAGACACATGGTGGTGGCAACTCCAACATCGGCAGCACCGTGGGAAAGAAGGAGACAAACATTTGATGGCTCGTACCGCACCCAGATCCGTTCGAATTGTCCTCTTTCAGAGACCTCAATGGTGCTCCGTACAATGTAATGACTGCGAGGCTAGGTTGGTCGCTCGTCTTGCATCTCCACAAACCTACGGCTGTCGTGTTCAAAACTACCGTTGGGCGAATTACGTAATACATTCCATTGAGCCCTCGGATTTTCACGGCATCGTCCAGAATACCTCACCATGTGGTCGAGTCAGATGCTCGTATCCATACACTCAAGCACCTGCATATTGCATTCGAAGGCTTGATCAAAGTGCTGGCACCCAAAGATATCGCTTTACACCTCATCTGAACGGCAAGAGGCAGCAGGCAGCTTGCAGCCCATTCCAGGCGCAATGAGCGATCGCAGCTCCATGAACGACAGCAAACAGGAATGGTCAACATCCTCTTGGAGGAGCAAGCCAGTTGCGCAAGATGTGGTCTATCCTGATGCGGAGAATCTCTCCACCGTCTTACAGCAGCTCAAGTCTCTTCCCGGCCTGGTCACTCCAACGGAGGTCGACCGACTGCGAAAGCAGCTGGCTGATGTGGCAGATGGAAAAGTGCGCACTTGTCCCCGTGCTGTATCAGCTCCTTGGGCACACGATACTGTACCTGTGTGCTAATCCTTTTGTTACACCTGGTTACATGTCCGTAGTCTTTCCTATTACAGTCAGGCGACTGCGCCGAGCTTTTCAGCTACTGCAATCCCACCCAAATAGAGGCGAAGCTAAAGCTGAGCCTTCTCATGTCCCTGATCATCATTTGGGGTGCCCGTGTGCCTGTTGTCCGATTGGGACGCGTAGCGGGCCAATATGCCAAGCCACGAAGCAAAGCCACCGAGGTTGTGGATTTTGATGGTGAAAAGAAGGAGGTATTGACTTTCAGGTGTGTGCATTCCTCTACATTGATGGTGTTCTACTCGCAAACTGAGCTTTGCACACGTGTACTTCTCAGAGGCGACAACGTCAACGGCTTTGATGTTCGCGACCGCAAGCCGGATCCGGAGAGGCTGCTGAAAGCTTACTTCCACAGCTCTGCTACCCTTAATCACATTCGCGCTTCACTGTCGAGCGGCTTTGCAGACTTGCATGCGCCCATGTCCTGGTCCTTCTCACATGTCCGCTCTCCCGCCTTGCAAGCCGAGTTTGAGCGGATCGTCGAGTCTCTCACCGACGCGTTGGATTTCATGAAAACTGTAGGTGCAGATCCCGAGAGCAGAAGTGAAAGCGGCAGCTCACTGAGCTCTGTGGACTACTACATTAGGTGAGTGTGGCATACGTACATTGGAGTGTGCCTTCCCTGACATCCTTACCCACGTTCCTTACACAGCCACGAGGGCTTGATGCTTGAGTATGAGGAGGCTCTCACGCGTGTACAGAAACCCAGCTCGAAGGGATTACACTCAAACTCGTCCGCAGAGCGCGAAGAGAGAACCCCGTCAGAAGTACCGTACGTTCTGTCTGCGCACACCATTTGGCTTGGCGACAGGACACGACAACTGGACGGCGCGCATATCGAGTTCTTCCGAGGGATACGCAATCCGGTCGGCATCAAGGTTGGCCCCTCCATGAAACCGGACGAATTGGTCAAGCTGCTTGATGTCATCGACCCACGGTGCGAACGAGGGCGCGTGACGCTCATTGGAAGATACGGAGCCAAGAATGTTGATGCGCTCCTTCCAGCTCACATCCGTGCAGTCAACGCATCGTCTCACGCTCAGAGTGTGATCTGGTGCTGCGATCCAATGCACGGTAACACGACCTCCTCGCCTTCTAACCCGTCCGTCAAGACGCGGCTGTTCAGCGACATTGTGACCGAGCTCGCAAGTGCCTTGCGTATCCATCAATCCCTCGGCAGCAGGCTTGGAGGCGTGCATCTCGAACTCACAGGTGATATGGACGAGAACGGTTTCAGCGTGACCGAGTGCGTGGGTGGGAGCATGCAGCTGCAAGACCGCGATTTGGCGCGCAACTACCAATCGCACTGCGATCCACGACTCAACTATGAGCAATCGCTCGATATCGCTTTTCTCATCTCGCATTTCTTGCGTGGCCAGCGCCTCGGCAAGACCTCCGGTGCTTTCAGCCCGGCGCCCGCCAGCACCCTCGTCAATGACCAAGCGGGCGGCTCACCAAACGAAGAGCAGGACCAGATCCTCTCAGAGCTCGTCAAGGGCATCTCTGCTCGCCCGTAGATACAAGGCACTCTACAGACTCGGAAAAATAAGTACTTCTGGACGGAGTGCATTTTGCAATGGAATACTACATCTGGTGATAATACCCATGGCTTGGCTGCATTCCGTCCTCCGCATCCGGTATGCCAGGTCCGTAGGCAGCGGGAGATTCGCCATAGGCGTACATGGCGGCAAGAGCCGCGGCAGGCGGTGTCCCAGCCCCACTGTAAGGATCCATGTAGTGCATCTGCATGTAGGCGGACTGCGCGACGGCAGTTGCCGCATAAGGGTTTGTTGCGGCATACGGCGGAGCGGTGCCGTCCCGATTCAAGCGACTGGCCTCACCAACGCGGCCATCGTTAGCGCCGCCATACGCATAGCTGAGAATCGCAGGGTCGGCTCCTGAAACGACCGGCGTGCTGGCGTGATCGCCCGATCCGGAACCGGGTCTGAACTCGGCAACGCGTGCTGCGCTGGCTGGGATCGTGCTGGGCTTGCGACCGTGGACGTGGCTGTGACCCTGCTTGACGCGCTGTAAGGCAGGGCCGACGGCGGCATGCATGGCCTGATCATACGCCTCGACGCTGGGCGGCGTGCCTGCGTAGTAGGACTGCATCTGCATAGCCATGGACGATGGCTGCGGGTAGTAGCCGACAGCGAGCGGCTGTGCGCCTTGCAAGTCATACACCATGCCAGAGGCATCCATCGCAAAGCCTGGCGGAAGCATTGGCATGGCAGGCTGCAGCATCGGTGGAAGAGCTGCTCCTCTCATCGAAGGCCGGCTTGACATCCGTGCGCTCTCCGCCTGGCTCTGCGAAGCGTCATCGTGCTGCGGCGTACCGGCAGCGGGACGTTGGCCGTCGTGGCTCTGCGTTCCAGAACCGGATAACGACATAGCGAGACCAGAGGCCGCTGGGGAGCGTGCTGCAGATATGATGGTGCGAGCTGCCGAAGAGCCAGGTAGTCGGACCGGAGGAGTCATGGTAGCCGCTGCGGGCCCGCCGGCGACAATCTGCGTAGCTGCAGCCCTAGGATCAGCCGCAGCAGCTGCGGAACCTGAGCTGTTGAGCTTGACAGCTGCAAATCCGGGGCCTGATGGTCCTGTAGGTGCACGCAGAGCTGCCGAGAGACGGGCTGCGGCTTGCATTTGCGTACCATCCGGTGGAGACTGCGGCTGCGAATGCGGGTCCGATTGCGCTTGACCGCTGTCATTCTGCGCTTGTTGCACAATTAATGGTTGAGCAAGCGAGCCTAGCGCAGGGTGAGCCTGAGACTGAGCCTGAGCCTGAGCGGCAGGCGGAGTGACGGCTGGAGTCGTAACCGCGGCCCCACCGCGATTTTTCCGGCCCTTCGCTCCCTTGCCACCCCGATTTGCCCTTTCGCCTTGCTGCAACAGCACATCGAATCCATCATGTCCCCAGCGACCCTCTGGCGCACTTGTAGATGCGATGAGACCAGTGGCCTGAGCCGCAGCCGCCGCGGGTGTTGAGGCGGCGGAACTTTCCAGGCCTTCTTGAGCCAAGATTGGGCCATCATGCGCCGAAGCTGCGCTCTGATCCATTTCTGCAGATTGTGGCACCTTCTCTGGCGCAGCCGTCCTGTCCTCCTCCTCCTGCTTACGCCGCGGAGGCTCGACCCTCTGCCGGCGGAACGTCGTCTTGCCCTCGAGTGCATCGTAGTCGACATCGTCATCATCGTCACCCCATCCAAGTAAGCCTGATCTTGCCGCGCCGGACCCCTTGAAGTTCTTCCCTCTCGGCGCCGGAGGAGTTCCGCGGAAACCTCCGCGCACACCTCGAGTGACACCTGCTCCCCGCGGAGACCGCGCATTATGCATGCCGTACGAGGAAGGCCGAGTACCCGCCGGCGCTGCTCCACGGCCGGACTGAGCGTGTGCATCCGGCGGAGGCGGACCCGAGCGCCCGCGCCACCACCCGCTGAGCTTGCGCATGCTCCCATCCATAAGACGCTCATCGTGGCCCCAGAATTGACCGACGCGCGGCGTGAATGTTGGATCGCTGCTCAGCTTTTCGCGATACTGCTCTGCTGCACGCCCTCCGCCGCGACCACCGCCACCACCGCCTCTACCACCCCTTGAGCCGCCGGCCCCTGCTCCTCGTCCCATACTACGCGCGCCGTCCGCAGCGCGTGCCTGTTGACGCGGACTGCGGCTGGGCGAGTCTTCCCGAAGCGAAAATTGATCGAAATCTACCCCTTCGAGCTCAGCATCTACGGGGGCCTTGAATGCCCTTTCTGAATCGTCCGCTTCGAACAGCTTCTTTGGCGGCTTTTTGGAGCCTGCAATACTATTAGCTGCGCTTGCGGCTGATGAGCCCGCTTTGTTTGATCCGCTCTTGCTTTTCTTCTCCCCTGATAGCGCAGCTGTGCCTGAGATGGGAAGGTCGGACGAGACGATCGAGTCCCATGACTCGGGTTTGTCCTTCTTGGCCGATTGCACCTTGCTCTTTCCTTTCGTGGGGCCAGTGACGGGGTCTGCTGCTTCCGGCACTGACGAGATAGTGTCGACCGCCGGGCTTTCCGCCCTGTGCTCCTCATCTTCGAGATCCCCTTCACTCTCATCATCCCCGTCGCTAACGTCTTCATCATCAGAGCCCTCCTCCTCTGAGCCTTCGTCGGAGCTGCTCACACTTGACGAGCTCGCGTGGCCTCCGTCCCCGGGCCCATCGTTATCCTCTTCCCCTTCGCTCTCCACATGATCCCGGCCGTGGTTCCGGCGCCGCAAGAGTGCTGTGCGCCGCTTCTTGGGACGTGAAGCAGGTGGCGGAGAGGCAGCTACAATGCGAAGACGCAGGTGGAGTCATGAGGTCAGCACGAGGCGCACACGGATCAAGGCGAGGTGGAAGAGTGGAAGACTTACTACCTTGAGGTGTCTCGAGGGAGGTGTGAGCCTCTTCTTTCGGCTTGCTGCCGCTATCGCTGCTGCTGGAGGCGACGGGATTAACAGCCAAGGTGTTGGTCTGTTCGGTGGAAGGCTGTGCGGCGGTGGCCGCGATGGTATCGGTATTGCTCATATTGCTCGCGTCGGTTGTTCTATACAGGCTTTCACGGAAGGAGTGCACAGGGGTGGGTGGAAACAGAGATCAGGGAGATGCAGCGTCTCCTGCTTGCCTTTGAGGTATGCCCTGTGGAATCCGGCGAGAGGAAGCCTAGAGAGATGTTGGAGGTCGGACGGGAGAGACCTGACTTGCACCTCTTTACTAGAAACCGCAATGCCTTGTTGAAGAGAGCAGAAAATGGCGCACAAAAAGAAAGATTGCTGCCGCTGCCACTCTCGCTTTCTTTCTTTTTTCTTGCCATCGTGTATTCATGAACACATTCGTTGTCTTCTTTCCTTGCGTGTTGGCATCCATTACGGCTGTACTGATTGGAAGCTGTCATATTCCCTGGGCGTCGCATGCGTCACCTTGCGCAGTTTTGATGCGTGCAAGACACCGGTGCACACATTTCACAACTGCGGAGCACAGAGAAGCTGTCACCTTCGAGGCGGTACATGACGGCTGTGCGCCGGCATATGTGGAAGACGGGGTACTCGTACAGTCATCGGGCTTAGCCTACAGCGCAAAGCTTTATCGGTAAAAACGACATCAGTGCAGACACGGGTTCATGCGTTACGACCATGTCATCACGGGTCTTCATTGCTGGGACACGCTGCGGCGCAGTGGCAAGCAGGCTCCTGTGAGGCAGAAATCTCTGCAAGGTGCTGTGTCAAAGATGCGGCGGTTCCGCGGAGGCTGCGGGCCAGGCGTGGCATCACACTTGATCTCCTGCTGCTCGTGTTACACGTTCGTTGTGGGAGAGGCAGAATGGATTAACCCCGCGGCCGGGGTCCCTGTGGTCCCATCGCCTATTTCGAAGGCCAGCCCGAGCATGCTTTGCGGAACCGACTCCAGCTCATGCGCCAGGTAAGGGACGAAGCTCGGATAGGAATCGCCGTGCGCCTGTCCGAGGCACAACAGTCAGTGTGGATCTTGAAAGAAAGAAAGCGTCGTTCATGTGCCCAGCTTGTCTGTACGACGCCACCAACTCCATTGCCGATGCTGCCAAGCTTGGACTATTCATAGCCGACCCTCGCGGAGAGTCGTCGTCGGATCCGCTGAAGCTCGGCTTTAGCCAGATACATCGCCGGCCGCCAGGGACGGTGTCAGGCTGTCAGTTGCGTTTGGCCTACGCGATGGGCAGTCCGCGGTGGAAATGCTGACGCTCAGCTTGTGAACTATCAATTTGCATTTCGACCCAACCCCTTCAGTCAACCTCTGGGCAGTTCCAGACAGAGTGCAGCCATTCTCATGGCGAATGAATATACCTCGTTGAACGGTGTCCCAGAGCTAGATCGGGCAGCATACCTTAGCTGGTTCGGCGCTTCGAATTAAGTGCCCCCAAGGGCAGTATGATGGGCGTGGGCGCCGCTCAACTCTGCGTGCCGCAAACTGAAGAACACATCCCATGGCCCGTTTCGCTTAGTTGCGTGCTAGTAGCGTGTGGATATACAGCAGGAAGTGTTGCTCGGTCGATGCGCCCGCCCTCTCAGAGCGTGTATCGAAAGTAGATAGAGTCCTCTCCCTTTTGGGCGATATCCACGATCCGCCTCTCGTTTTCCTGCTCAGCCAATTCGCCCCGTTCATTCTCATCAGCAGCACCATGCTCGGAGTTCCGCTCTTCTGCCGCCTGCGCACGGTCGCGCTTCTTATTCACCCATGCGAGGTAGACGCTGGTGGACGATGCGAGGAGCACAGCGAAGAGGAGCAGGCCCGCTGAGATCCACATGCCTTTGCGGTAGTATGGCCGTTCATGCGACGGGAAGAGGCGCGTGCCGAGCAGAGGTCCACATTGGCCGATCGTGCCACTGCACGTCCAAACGAGTGGGTGGGGTATCAGCAGGGCAAAATGGGAAGCAAAACAATGTCGAGGCAACCCACAAGATGGTCAGAGCAACTACCATCAGATGAGAGCGTATCGACAGTGTCAGCATCAAGAAACTTGCCATTCTCGCGGAGTACATGTTTCCACCATGCCAACTCACATCCCTTTTTAGACTCGCCGTTGCTGTTGTTAAGCAACCACATATAGCATATGGGAATATACGTGAAGAGCGAGACCGTCACGAGGAACAGCACCCCGTACCTCTGCCAATTGCCATCCAAAGTAGCGAGCCAGAAGTATCCCACTGCTCCGAGGGCCGCAAGTATGGCGACAAATGGTCCGCGCAGCTGCACGCGGTCCGAGATCCGGACGATGCACACCGCCACGAGGAAGGCAGCGAGGTACAACGGCGCAGTCAAGCCTTGTGCCCGCAATGATGAGAAGCCGGCGCCGGACAGGATCGTGGGCAAGTAGACAGGAATCCCGCCGTATCCTACATTCACGATGAAGAACAGGATCGAATTCATGTAGCACAGCGGATCTTTCACTGTGATTAGAGACCAAGATTCAGCAACCCAACCTGTTCTTTCGCATCTTAACAAACGCCCATTGCTACTCACGAGCCTTAAATGAGTGATCCCAATCGAAGCTCTTTAAGAATCTTTCCCTTTTCTGTTCATCATCCCCCGTCATCACCTTCAAGTCTTTTTCGATGCTAAACAGCCGTGCTCGCAGAATGTTGCGCTCCTCTTGGGTTAGGAAGCGCGAGGCCTCGATTGAGTCAGGAAGGAGGAAGAAGATGAAGACTGACATGAGAAGCGTTGGTGCAGCCTCAATTATGACTGGGGCAGCAGGGCAATGTGTCTCGCGTCAGATATTTTGGCGATCGATGGGCTTGAGCTGCAGCCAATACCTTCCACTCACATAGCAGGCGCCACGGTGGAACGGCAGACTTAGTTTGCACGATGCCGTAAGCGAGTGCGCCACCGAACGCAGATGCGATCGCACCGGCCGTGGCGTACCATGCGAAGCGGATACCGATTTCTGTGCGTGGATAAAAGAAGCCTGCGAGTGACCGGAGGAGAAAATGTGGTCTTATCAGTAAGGAGATTGCTTGCATAAGCTATAGAAAAGATAACCAACTCAGGTAGAGCGCGACACCTGTGCCGAAGCCGGCTTCTGCTGCTGCCATGAAAAACCTAGCCGCCTGATTAAGGATCCAAGGAAATACCATGAATCTATCAGCATAGCCGTAGCTTAAGATATCTGTCTTGCGTATTCTACTTACCATCATGCTGCTCCAATTGAAAGCCGCCGCTTGTAGCATGCTCGCGAGCCCCCAAACAAAGACACAAGCGCTCATGTGCACATGTGGTGGGAGGATTTTGTATCCGAGCAGGAGAAATTGGAACAGAAGGTAGGCGACGTAGAAGATGGTTAGAAGCCATTGATATTGGCTGTCGGACATGCCGAGGTCGCGAGAAAGGCCAGCCGTGTTGGCGTTGCCAATGTTGGAGCGATCGAGGAAGGCTAACCCATAAGTGACAAATCTGATACAAGAATGTACAATCGTCGCTTGGAGTCAGCGTCGCCATGTGACTAGCTTAAAACAATCGCGAAGCCCTATGCAAGCCGACTCACATCAGCGGCATAATCCTAATGTCCAACTTGCGCCTCGCCCTGCACTCTTGGTCATCTGACCACCATTTCCGCGAAGCCCATTCGTGGACTTCCATCTCCTGCCGACGGTCTGCGTCTTCCTTCAGTTCGACTGCGTCCCGCGTCGATTCTGCGCGACCCTGGTGGGTTATCGCGCGATGCACATTGCCGTCTGAGCCTGTGGCGGCTGTAGCCCGGGCACCGGCGGAAACTTCCTCAGACTTAGAGGAGAGTTGGCGCAATGTGGCCCCTGGAACAGCCTCCTCGTCTACGGCCATATCTCAAACGCTGCGTTCCAAGCAAATCGCGGCGCAACTTCACTTCTCACAGTTGTTGGACAGTTAACCCTGAATGCGGCAATCTACCTCGCCAGTTCCGGCTCGGATAATATATATATCAGCGAGGATAGCCATGGAGCTGCTGCGAGCGTGGGTGGTGAAAGTAAGCCAATGGGCAGAAGTGCATAGGCAATATACGAAGGCAGATGAGTCTGAGGAGCGTACAGCTGCATATAGCGAAGTGGTGCACAAAGTGGGTAAGAGGGGAAATTGCTGGTGAATGGGGGGCCCATGTGGCGACAAGGCTAATCACTTTGTCACGTGATCATTTCCGCCCTACGCTATTGTTCACATCGCATCCGCGACATTGCCGATCGCGCTAGAATGCTGAGATCGAGTAGCCGCAATTAAAAAGCCTCCTGGGCATGTCGCCGCTGTGGCTGTCTCGGCCGAATAGCATTCGGTGCAAGTGATAGTATGGCCATGTCGGAACGGAGCCCCAAGGCAAGCCACTTCATACGACAACTGACACCATGACGTGGAGGCAGGAGGTCACGGTCAACTGTCAACTGCAGTTGCTCCATCCAGGCTACGCTGTGAAGCACGATCTGTTCTTTAACTTGCTAGCGCTTCATTGGTTCAGCGCTCTGCGAAAGCACCTCGATAGCTTCTTGGCCCTTAGCACTCGCAATACGCAGAATCCGCGCGTGCCTCGGTTGCGAGAACAAGGGAGTAATTCTGATCCCAAGCGACACTTTCGTTCGCAGTCTGGCGCCCTGGAAACTCGGAGCCCGGAAGATTCGCAGATCATGTCGCTCGACTCTTTTGTCACCTTACTCGTTCACGACTCCCACTCGCTGAGTGGCTGGAAATCGCAGGGTAGTAGGACCGAGGCAGACAGAGTAACCTCCAGCCTGTTGGAGCTATGTGGGGATGGCGAAGCTACGCTCGTCGGCTCTCCCTCACAAACAAAAGACGCACCCATCAAGGCCGCCGATTCTCACTCCATCGCTGACGAAAACAAAGGGGTCACCACCGTCATCCTACGCTCGGGTCCACGAACAGACTGGTGGCGCACAGCAGCTGGCTGCCATCCCGAATCGGACGTCAACCGCCGCACGGGTCCCAGTTTGACGCTCCACGCCGACGCGCGCGTCAACTTTACAGCAGGCGTGTGGATCCGTTGCGGGGATTTCAAAGAGCGATTTCAGCAGGGTACGCTATTTGTACATGCTGGTAGCCTGAGTCAGATGGTGACTTCGCAAGGCAAGCCGGCTCAAAACGCTAATTGGCTCAAAGTAGGAATCGAGAGGGAAGGAGATGATGAATTTCTTGGGTGCGTTCGACATCCTCTTGCCCGCTTCTTTGAAATGGAGGCTGACGATTCGATTGCTGCCATCACACGGTACCAGATCGGTCGTGTGCAGCCCTTACTCGGATTGGGCCATCCAAAAAGCGCCTGTGCCCCCGTCTGCCTCACCTTCAACTTCTTCAGCAGCATCACAGAAAAGACACTGGATATGGGTGCAAGTCAAGCGCCACGGACCGGACGTCACGATATCTTACGCAGTCTCTCCACCATCTGCTTCTGCGTCTCACACGTCCGAGGCTGAGGCACCGCGCCGCATGCCATCAGAAAAAGAACTAACCCTGATGCGAGAGGTGAAAGGATTCAATGTTCGACTCGAAGACGGCAGTGTGCCAGATTCGCAGAACGACGCTGCATTCCAAGAGTGGAGAGTCGGGATCATGACATGTGGTCCTCTGTCGGAGCACACCGAGGCGATATACTCTGGCTTTCACATGTGCATTGATTCGTGAAATAAGGGCCCCTTGCACGGCTTTGCCTCGGTCGGTGTAGAATAGGTCGATGGTATTCCATGTCCTACGTCTCTGCAAATATTGCCCAGACACCCCACCAATTGCCCTTCTCCCAGCCCGAGCACTGTCGCTTGACGAACAGCTTTGACGGATCGGAGCCTGAGTACCCCTCGGCGTACAGGGAATCAGCAAAGGAGGCAGCAGCGGAGGCGACGATCTCCTCGAGCTCCCCTTCCTTGAAGAGATGATAATCTGCACAAGGCCCAGTCATTGTCAAAGCGCAAACATCTGATTAGCTTCTCGCTGAAGGAGAGATGTTGGTGCGGCGTGCGACTCACATCGTTGGTATACCGGAGGTGCCTCGTCCAAAGCCTTGACTTTCTCGTTCTCACAATCGGCTTTGCTCGCTTCCTTCCGCTTCGCCTTCCTTCCGCTTCCTCCAGTCGACATAACCCATGGCACCAGTACATCTTGCGGTTTTTCATCCATGACAGGCTGGTCATTAGTCATGTCTCGTTGGATTGATTTCGGAACTTGTGATTCTGCTGTTGCTGCTGCTCCGCTTGTGCTGGTATCGAATTTGCCTGCACGCCGTCCTTCACCGCGCTGCTCCATAGCCCATGCATAGATCATGAAGCGCCCGCACCCCGTACCGAAATCGAAATCGTGCTGGGCTGCTTCTGTCCCGCTGGACTCTTGGTCTGTCCCCTCGTACTTCTGCTGCTGCTGCCGTTGTTGCTGTCGTCGACGCGGCCGCACGAGCCTGATCATCTCCTGTACAGCGCATATACGCCGCTCCCGCGTCGAAAAATGATGGATCGTCGCGATAGAAATGGCATAGTCCATGCATTGCGGTCGCAGTGAGGAGGAGAGCGCATCCGCTACGGCTACTTCATTCCGCGCTCGGAGGCAGCATGGGCGACTCTGCTGTTGTGCGTCGAAAGGATGTTCGGACGACGAGGCATCTGCACTGGTCGTTGAGTTGGAGTTGAAGGCAGCAAGCGCTACCAGCTGGTCGCTCCGATCGGAGCCGACGGTCAAGATCTTTCCCTTGCCCTTGCCTTCCAGCTCACCATGAAGCACCGAGGAAACGGGAAGATACTTGCCGTTTCCGCAACCGAGATCAGCACCGACGCTGCCCGGCTCGAATGTATCAAGGAACGCTGGCACAAGCGGCCATGGCTTGTACCGCGTCGCTGAGAAGTGCGGAGCTATTGCGTTGTATACCGTGTGTACGTTTGCCTGCTCGTAAGCGACGGCATCGAAGGTGTTTGATGCATCAGGGGTCGAGGCGGCTGTTCCTTCTGCAACTGCGGCAAGAGCAGGCGGCACATTTGTCAGAGAGGCCGGTGTCGGGTCGGAGAGCTTTCCTGTCGAAGCGGACATTTCCGCACACCCCGCACAGCTTGTGAGCATCCACTGCGCAAATTGACCTGTCTCAGGCGCGCTCCAAGCAGCGAGCAGCCCATGATAAAGGAGGTTGAGGACGTGCAGGAAGCATGGGCTGATGACCTTTTTGTTGTTGACAGGCCAATCCGCCGATTACCGATATCGCCGACGAGGAACAAAAATGAGCGAGCATTGGGCGGAATGTATGGGACGCATTCTGCTTGGTTTCAGCGTCTCGCGTGTCTCAAATAGAATGAGGACAATCCTTACCTTTATTTGCTGTGCCGCCGACACCGAACACAATGCAAAGACATCATAAAGCCGACGTTTTTGCCACGAGTTTCCCTATTGCGCAATCACCACAAGTTGGCGATTGACATGCACGAGTGTCTTGTGCGCCTACAGATTCAAGTCTCGAGTCACACGAGCTGTCGTCTGTCATGGCCGCTAACTGCCCATGATCAACTCTCAGCCTCGAGGCATGGACCGTCTCGTTGGGCCTAGAGTGCTGCCCGCGCTCACAATCCTGAAACGCCCAGCCTAGCTCTCGCATTTGCGAAGCATCGTCGTCAGGACCATGGCGGAAGAACAGGTCGAGACCAACGGCCCGGCGCCAGATGCATCAGGCAACGCGATAGCTAGTGCCAGTAGGCCGCCTCCAGAAGACATGGAGGCGCGGGGAGACGGTGGGATCAAGCCAGCTCCGACCTCCTTATCGCACTCCCGTTCCCTCTCGCTATCCACTCCATCTTCATCGCACAAACAGCGACAGACACAAAGACACGTCACGGTCAAAGACCTATATCGTCAATTCGCGAGCCATTTGGGCGAAACGATCTCGCAGGAAGATGCATCCCTCCCGTTGGGATGGCAGTGTTTCCTGACGGGCGCGATCGATGCGCTCATGTATTCTCGCTCGGGCGTATGGGTCGCATTCCAGACGGGCAACATGGTGCAACTCTCGCAGAATATGTGCGTCCTTTGCTCTGGGTCTTGCGCACGCTTTTATTTCGAGAATGAGCTAAAGTGGCCGAACGACCACCCCTTTCCATCTTCTCTATAGAGCGCAATATATCATCCCATGGCGACCAGGTCTCACGCGGCAACCACTCGAGGCGGTCGAGCGAGCCGTGACCATATCAACATTTCTGCTATCCTCATTTATTGGCTCTTTGATTGCACGGAAGATAGGCCAGCGAAGACGCGCGTGGCTCGTCCTATCAAGCGTACTGCAGAGCTTATTCCTCTGGGGCACTGCTGGAATCTTGCTTCATCTGCCTGACGACGTCGCACCGAGCTTCCAGTGGTTTCCTGTAATACTTATACTTGTGAGAACGCGCTGTACACGGCAAGAAGGTGCACAAGAGGGAACTGGCTGATTCTTGACTTCACCACTGCTCATTCACGCGACAGACTGCGTTCAGCATGGGCTTGCAATCTGTCACATCGCAAATGGTGTCCAGTCCGGTACGTTTTGTATCGCCAGAGCGATTACGCATGGTCGAGCTGACAAGCAAGCTTCGTCAATCCTTATGTCATTCTTTAACAACCTCTTCGCTCTTTTCTCCACACAGCCTTGGGCCACAACAGTAGCCTTCACCGCAACCCTGACGCAAATCGGCTCGGACCCATACCTGCTGACGCTTGCACCTTCGCCACAGACGAGCGGAAGGGACCGACGGCTGCTGAGCGTGGTGATGCTCTGCTTCGGGGCCGGCGTCGCTGAGTGTCTGCTGAACACGGCGCTGAATTTCAAGGGGTCCATAGCGGTCTGTGCAGCACTCAAGCTGTTCCTCGCTCTGCTTTGGCTGGCTCCGAACGGCTCGCACTAATTTCCACTCGCGGCTGGAAATAACATCAGGGAGTCTGCCTTGCATCTCGCGTAATAATCGCCATCCGCATCCCGCACGCATTTGGCAGCCAATCAGATACTCCAACTCTTTGTGCCGACTATTGCACACTACCAATACCAACGAGGAATGCCGGTGCATGTCCATGAAGATTTCAAAATAGAAGTGCTGTGCCCCTCTGCTAATTGCCACGTAATATCTAACGAGTTCAGCCGTACATGTTGTTTCCGGCCCCATCGCCGGCTCCGCCCGCACCCCTGCCCATGCCGCCCATCATGTTGCGCGCCATCTCCTGCATCGACGGGTCTTGCATCAGCTGTTGGATTTGCGACATACTGCAAGAGCATTAAGGGGGATAATTTAATCCGTCATAATTCAGTGGATAGTTGCACGCTTCGATCCGTTGTGCGACACTCACTCAGGCATGCCACCTCCTCCGGAGCCCATGCGCTCGGCCATTTGCCTGATCATGGGGTTTCTTTAGGGAGGGGCACACCAGGAAAGGCCACAGTCAGCAACATCCCATCCGATTAGCGTATTGACGGTTTATACTCACGACATGAGCTGCTCCATGCCGCCATTGGTCATCATGTTCTGCGCCATCTGCGTGAGCATGGGGTTGTTGAGGAGCGACGAAAGATCCGGCATGCCGCCTGCTCCGCCCATGCCTGGGAAGCCGCCGAGGCCTGGCCCTGCATCGGTGCCTGCCTCCCTCGCGAGCGCATCGGTGCCACTCGAGGTCGCGGACGACGAGGACGAAGATGCAAGCTGCTTCTTGGCTGTCTCGAGCCCGCTCTTCATGACGCTGTTGGTCGGGTCGACATCGAGCCCCTTCTCATACGCGTCGACGGCCTCGTCGTACTTGCCGAGGCTAAAGAGCGCGTGGCCCATGCGGCTGTACGCTTTGCCGAACTTGCTGTCAATTGTCAGCGCCGCCTTGGCATCCTCGACTGCCTTGTTGTGCTGCGCGACCTGAGAGTAGGCGGCAGCGCGATTCGAGTAGTATACTGGCGACGTTGGGTCGATCTCGATGGCAGAGGAGTAAGCGGAGATTGCGGTCGAGTAGTCCTTGGACGACATGGCTTTGTTGCCCTCCGTCTTGAGTGACTCGGCTTTCGCCTTGTCGTCGGCGCTGACTTCCGTTTTTGTTGGCGCTGCTGTGGGGCCTGCTGATGAGGATGTGCTCGCCTCGGCTGCTGGTGCTGGTGCCGCACTACCAGACATCTTCTTCTGCGTCTTGACGAACACATCCCACACGGCCTGCAGGCCGGGCTGCGGCGGCTGTGCGAGCTGCTCTTCTGTGATACCGTGCGCCTGGGCGATCAGATCGGCTGCCTGTGATAGCTTGGACGCATCGACCACGCCGGCTGCCTGCTGCGTCGACGACGCGCGCAGGTGCGCCACGATGGCCGCTGCGAGAGGCTGCTTGTCAGTCATCTTTTCCAGCTGTTGAGCTGCAATCTTCGACTTGGGAAGTTCTGGCCAGGTAACAAGCCGAAATAGCCTTTCCTTTGAAACTCGGGCAAGGTAGTAATATGCCGTAAGGGGTATACGTACTTCCACGTCCGAGTCGTCGTGGAGAGGATGTGCAATCTAAATATGACTACGAGGTTCTGACTGGCTGGGAAGGGCAAATCGAAGGCGATCGACGGCGAGCGAAGCTGAGGGACATGTCACAACCCTAACCTCCTGCACGCCATGCTTCTTTCCATGGTTGTCGTACAACGCCCCGAGAGAGTGACTGCATAAGCAAACCAAGCCACAGCAGTCGGCAGTGCAAGAACCCCATCTCGTCAACCATGCCAGGGACTATCAGAAAGATAGCAAGTATGTGTGTATACATTGCGGGTGATGGTAAAGGAGACATCGCTTTCATCTCTAGTGGGCACCGTTGAAGCGCTGCGGTTGCGGAAGGGTGACAATGGCGCATGCTTTTCGTGCCATTTCGATATCAGAAACGAGCCGTGCCAGCGCGGATGAGGTGTGGGAGCTTGCGCAAGCCCATGCGCACCTTCGCCTGTGCACCGTCAATCGACCTCGCTCTTCGAGGTACGCGGCTGCGTAATCAATAATCAACACTCTTCGACCGTTGGCCAACGTGAGGGCTTATCATTCAAAGCCTAGCAGATGACGCAGTGCACGACTACTAAGCATTGCTATCGCCCCAAGCCTGTGCTACAACGAATTACACGACCATGCGAGGCATCGCAAACCCTGCCGAGAATGTCGCCGCAGGTAACAGTCGGCGTCGCGGGCACCGTGCGAAAGCAGCCTCCATCTCGCACCCCATACCGCAAGGCCAGAGGAGCTCCTTCTTGACCATCGAATCGAGCGGACCCGTTATGCGAGTGATCTCATCAGGCAGTGGTGGCGGCAGCAGCGCAGCTCCAGCCTCGGCTTCGTCACCTGGGGCTGCTTCCGCAGCAGCTTCGCCCGGCCGCGTGCACATGAGTCTTTTCGCATCGACGGATTGGACTCGTCACCCAGCACCGTCGGAATCGCCGCCCACACCGACGACAAACGCGACATCGACATTGACAAATGTGCATCGCTCCTTATCAAGAGCTGGAAACCCTGCTCAGCTGTTACACCCAGTCTCTGGGGATCACCACAATGTCGGCAGCGTCGGCGCCGCCTCTTCACCTGTCATCTCTAGACTCACTCCACCCCCGCTGCAACCTCTAGCCCCGACGCCTACGTTCATCACCACCGCGGCTGCGGGGAACACGGGCAATCCGGCTCCAGGATCGGCACTCTCTCGTTTCGGCAGCGAGCATCGCGCGGCAGGGGGCAACAATTCTGGGGGCACCGCAATTGCTACCAACAGCAGCAGTGAGAGCGTTGCCCAGCGAGAACGCGAGCGAGAACAGAGGATCAGGGTCACCTCTCGCGATGGTATCGAGCTCGCCGCGGGCAGCAGCAGCAGCCCTTCCCTCTCCCTCGGCCAAGCCAGCAGTAGCAGCGGCGCACAGCGGCGCCCCGTATCCCACCTCTCCCCCCTCAGCCTTCATCCTTTTGGTGATGACAGGAAGGGGCTGGATAGTGGCGAAGGCGTCAAGGGAAGGATTCGAGGAACGTCAAGTCAGGCGAGTGCTGCGAACCTTTCGCTTGAATTATCAACGCCAGTAGCCCAATTCGATGTCCATCCTACTTTTCGGTTTGACGCAACGCACCGTGGCACCGTGCTCGTCAAAGTGCAGGGCGTCAAGTTCTGGGTGCATGAGGACATCTTGCGTTTCAGCTCGCCTTTCTTTGAGGATCTGCTCGAAGGAGGATGGAAGGAAAGCAGGCTCAGCTGGCGAAGCTCGTTTTTCGGCAGCGATGAAGCTGCATTGCATGCGCCCGAAGTGGCACTGCCACTGGCAACTTCTTTGCCTACGCATGCCGTACAGCCCATTCCATCGAACATCACACCGCCTCAATCAGATGTTCGAGCGCTCCCTGAGCCCGCCCTACCTCCGGCTGTGGTCTCAAGTCATGAGGCGAGCGACACAAGTGGCAGAAGAGCAACTGCAGAGGAGATGGATGCGTGGCTGGCGCGCTCGTTGCGTAAAGGATCCGTGAGAGCCTCCTTCGTGACGGCGTACACGGAATTTGAAGAGAGCATGCAAGGCGCTGCCTTACCGTCCTCAATCTCTGAGCCGCACGGAAGCCGTCCGCAACTGCACGATCGTGAACCGAGCGATGCCAGCTCCTCCTCCATGGTCTCTGCCAACCCAATGTCCGCCGATGAGAAGGATTTGCAGCGGGCCGCCACAATCAAACGCCTCGAGAGGGGCGGGGGCAAGGCCAGCTTGCAAACAAGCGGAAACAAGCATGGGCAGCGTAGGGCAAGCGAAGGAAGCTTGCCGCTGGCTGCATTGCTGCAGCCGCAGCCGCAAGCGGAGGCGCAAGCCATAGAGATACCATGCACAAGCACCACTCGCCTTGTGAAGGACAACCCAACGCCATCATCTCTGCCCGACGAGCCGCAGAGCCAAGGAGGCGATCAGTTCATCGGCGGTCTTGGCGACGGTGCGATGCTCTCCGCCTCGCAGTTCAAGGCCCCGCAGCGCCCACGGCAGATTCAAGGCGTCAAAGCGTACGTAGAACTGCACGAGGAGGACCCATCGACGTTCCAGGACTTCCTCTTCTACATCTACCCGCACCTCGACTGCGCTATCACCTGGCTCTCGTGCGGCTCGCTGCTCTCATTTTCCGATAAAATCGGCGCACCGTTTCTGCATAAAGCCTGCCTCGACTTTCTGCGCGCGTCCTTGGCCGGCAGGCCGATTGAGGCGATGCGCCTGGCGGAAGAGCACCATCTGCCGGACGTGTACAAGGAGGCTAGTAGGCACGTGCTCGATAATTGGACCGCTTGGCAGCGGGAGGAGCTGGAGGCATTGAGCTCCGAGACGCTCTTGAAGGTGAGCTGAAAGCATCGAACTCGCACCCAGGCAGCGTCTTCTGACACATCATCCTCAATCCGCAGCTCGAACGCCGTCGCTCCTGGTTCCTCGAACGCGTGCTGAAGCTCGGTCTGGCGAACCCGCTGCGCGACTACGAATGTCACTCTACCTGTCCAGATCCCGCGGCGTGCGCGAAAGGCCTGCATGAGCGCTGGCAATCCGGCTACGCCTCGTCGTGCCGGTTCGCGCCGCCGCAGCCGAGCGGGATCTGGAGGTATCTCCGCGAGCTGGATGGCGCGTCTCCCCTGCCGCTTAGCGCGTGTAACAATGCGGCGAAGGCGTGGCGCGAACTGCTCTTTGACCGCATGTTCAACCTGCCAAGCGTGCCACACGGCGGGCATAAACGCCAGTTTCTGCATATCAAGCTGGAGCGCTAGCTAGGCTTTGCATCATGTCAATGGGTCATGATTTCCCGGGTATCACATCGCGCAGCAATTCGGCAAGCTCTACGACAATTGCGCGATATAAATAAACATACGGCATCAGCGCACGGGCCGCTTGGGGCATCACATCATCTGCTGGTGGCGGCGAGGAGGTCCTTAGACGTGAGGAGGGCGATGACGTTGTTGCAGCAGGCATCGTGGCTGATGCTGGTGGCGCCGTTGATGAAACGGAATATGGTCTTCTTGGCGCCGTACACAGGCCACGTGGGATGAGGGCGCCCGGCGCGCTGAGCCGGCGCGACGTGGCGAACGCGACGAGGAGCCTGCCGAGCCTGGCGCCTGCGGCGTCGCACGCCCCGGCCATGAGCCCGTTGAGGTCTGCACCGTGCGGGACGCCCTGCGCGGCTGACGCGGCGGACGCGGTGCAGCTGGCAAAGTCGTAGCTGTACGCGGGTGCGATTGTGCTGCGCGTCGCGTCTTTCTCACAGTCATTACGCGTCGCGCCGGCGGCCCCAACGCCAATAAATTAACTCTAGTGAAGAATGCCCCGGGCTTCAACGCGGACCACATCTCAACAGCGACGCCATGCATGATACATGCACGATACACATATCCATACGTGCAGTTTTTTTTGCAAGGTATGGCTTCGAAAGGACACACGTCCTTCACTTGACATGCACCATTCCGGGGAAACAGGCTCCAGACGTTTGCTACGGCGAGCCCAGCGCCGGGCGCATCCAGAGACTCATGCATGAGTACACAATGTGCCGGCTGCTGACGCGCTGATGAGAGCCCCCATCCGACGAGCGGTTGTCGATGGCGCCGGGGATAGGATCGACAATGCTGCGCATGGGGATGCCGCATGCCGTTGACTACCGAACGAACAAAAGCATGTATGATACAGAATGCGTTGTAACCGACGAGTACCTGTGCAGAGTGCTGTGTATGCATTACCTCCCCACCACTATGAGCTCGCTGCTAGTAAGTCTGGCAGCTGCGCATGCATGAACGCGATACGCATCCTGACCTCTCCCCCCCTTATCATCACATGCTGGGATTTCGAAACTTGGCCAGGATGGACGACGCGCTCATCTCGCCCGCAGCTGCCCTGCCGCTTTCCGCTGCACTTCGCGAAGAAAGACTACGCCGCGTAAGCTTGCCGCGTTTCCCACCACCGCCACCTGCCGCTAGTTGTGATGGCCCCGAGGTTATGGTGCCCATGCCGGCGTGCGCCATCATAACGCCTGCGCTCCCCTCGGCTTCGAGATTGGCAAAGATGTCCTCGTCCTCACCCTCGCGTGTGATTTGCTTCGCGCACCACACGCCAGCCCCATCTGGACTTGGCACATCGAGCCGGCGCCGCTTGCTCGCCGGCGCCGCCGTTCGTTGAGCACCCTGCAGGATGGTTGGCGCGCTGACGCTTTGCGCGAACCCGACGCCGCCAACGCTGGGACGCGCGTGCGGCGTCGGCTGATGCGCAAAGCGCGCAAAGATGCTGCCTGCAATGTATTTGCTCAATCGCGCAGGGCTCGGTGTACCGTCCACTTCGTCCGCTGCCATGCCTTTGTCCTTCCTGTTCTCGTTTTCGTGCCTGTGCGCCGCGTTCTCCAGTGGCGGCGGGGAGGAAACTTGCATCAGCGACATGTGCGAATGCGAAGCCAACTCTGACGACGCGGCCGCCTTGCGCTCTGTGTCGCGATGATCTGACACTGGCGCATCGCATCTGAAGGGCAAGGCACTCGAGTTCGACCTGCTGTGCACAGCGCGCATCGACGCAGTGGGCGACGCGATGCTGCTGCTGCTGCCACCGTCCTCCTCGTCGCTCAAGGCAAAGCCTGGAGAGGCGGTCGCACCGTGGGCCGATGCGACGCTGTCTCCTCTATCATGGTGCTTGTCTTTCGCTGGCGACGCGGCAGGCGAGGAGATCAGCCCTTCCGAGCTGAACGCTCGCGTCCTGAATGATGAGGGCGTCACTGCCGCATCGCTGCCGACGTCTGAGTGCCTGCGCGCGTGTGCATGCGTGAAGAAGGCGACGTCCTCGTCCCCATTACCGTCGTCGCAGTTGACACTTGCCATACTCATGCTCCCAAGGTGGATGGAAGCCGTAGGGGCAGGGGACGACTCGATCGCGTGCGGTTTGTCGGGGCTAGAGCGCTTGTGGAGTGTGCCAGCTTGTGCTTTCCATGCATGATGATGGTCCCAGTAGTCGAAATCATCAAAGTTGGCATTGCCGAGATCCTTCTCGCCGCCTTTCTCGTCCGCTGCAATCTTCCTGCCCTCTGCGTTCTCGGGCTGCCGCTTGCGCCCATGTCCACTGCAGCTGCGGCTGCCGGCAGCAGGTGTAAAGAATTTACTCTTTTTCGTAGCCATCATGTCTGCAACTGCGTCCAGCTCCGTGCGCTGTACCTGCACTGCTTTGATCGCCTCGCGCTTCAGCAACGTCGACGCAGACTCTGCTGAATGTTCCTCCTGCCCATTCTGTTTTTCTTTCCCCTTGCTGCTGCTGTTGCCACCGCCGCCAAAGAAGCTTGCGATCGACTGTTGCCCTGAGATCTGAGGGAGCGCCTTTTCCTTCTTCTTGAACGCATAGAAGCTGCCGTTTGAGTCGGAGCCATTTCCGCTCGCCGCAGCGATTGCTGGATTCTTGCTGCGACTGCATTCCGGATAAATATCAACCATGGGTTGGCGAGTGATGGGGCACAAGTCGCCCGCGGCAATCAGGGCGCCTTGCTCGTCATCGATGACCGGACCGATAAAATTAATTTGGGCCGCCTCATTGAGCGCGCGCGGCGGTACGGGGTGCAGCATGGTGATGCGCCTGGCGCGCGGGTCCCACACGCGCTGGTGCACAAACGTCAGCTCGGCACGGCGGAACTGCTGCAGGTAGTCGGTAGGGACGGCGCCGAGCTTTCCCTCGAAGCGTACCTGCTGCACGACGCGGTCAGGCGTCTTGTATTTGCGCAGGAGGCGGTGCGCGTTCTTCAGGCCCAGCCCAGCGATCGACGGAAGGTAGTCGCAGCCGGACAAGATGGCCATCTGCCGGAACTCACTGATGGACCAGCCAGCGAGCGCGACGGTCTTGTTCGACGCAAAGCGCGACTGCAGGATCTCGACGACGGTCCCATCCACATCGAGCTTGAATAACACGCGCTGGCAGCCAAAGACTAGCAGGTCCGAGTCCTCCGTGATGATCCCTTCGATAATGCCTTCTTTTTCGAGGTAGGCGAGCTGGGCATCTGCTTCATACGGAGCCACAATGTAAGGGATGCCTTCTTTCCGCAGGAACTGGACGTCCGGAGAGGAGGGTGAGCATCACCACTTGACTCAAGGGGCAGTGGCCCCCGCATATGCAGCGTACCTTGATCAGCTGAAAGGCCATCTGAGGCGTAATGTCGACGCATTTGGCGAAGAGATCATGCGCACCGGCATGCCCTGCCTTGTGAGCATTAAGTGCCTTTGCGAGGTTCTCATTGCGTCGTCTATTCTCATGATGATGTTGGGGAGATGGGCAGTCAGCTCTCCATTCGTCGGAAACAGATTCGCCCAACCCTCACGTTTCTCTTTCCTCTTCCGTCCCTGCTTTGCTAGGCAGGCGGTCACCGTCAAAGACGACGTAAGGTTTGATGCCGTAATGCTGGAGCATGCGCAGACGTGCGATCGCATATTTGATATACCTGCGGGCGCGATACGCGAAGCAAGCAAAAATCAGTCAGCTGGAAGGCACAGGAGCCTGAGCTACATGGTTCGTAGATTCACTTGTCCGTCTTCTCGCCCAATACGAGCTCCTTTGCACAACCGTAAGCACCCTTGTGAAGCCAGACGTACGAGTCGATGCCGAGGGTCAGACCTTTGTAGTCGGCTATGTGCCTGTGCGTCTGCGGTGAGCGAAGGCACGGTCGAGAATATCAGGGAACCGACCAAGCGGGATGCGCCCTCATCTTGTGCATGGGACCTCTGCGGGCTCACCTGAATGTCCTTGAGCAGCGGCAGGAGTCCATGGATACCCATTGTGCTACTTGCCTACGCGGACACCCGCCAGCTTATTTCGACGCCGATTTTTCTCCATGTATCGAACCCTTGCGTCCAGGTCTGGTTCCGAATCGGGCTATCCTTGATGTCCCTCCATGCACGCTTTAAGCTTTGCCATGCGGCACGGTCTATGGCAGGTACATATCGACGCAGCCACCCCGAGCATCCTTGCCTCAGCTGAGCGTCCTTGCCTCGGCTGAGCATCCACAGTGCAGGGCCATCTGATATCTCGTCGGCAAGAGCTCTAGCGGCGACCGGGAGCACATCACTGAAGCTGCTCGATGAACATTGATGGGTTCGGTTGGTCCCCGTCTCGGCGCGACACATAGTGGTCCACTGTCACGCGTCGCGATTGTGCGTGGATTTACAAAAGCGGCTTATGGTTGCGAGCTGCAAGCGAAGCTGCACCGAGCGATACCCGAAGAAGAAACGGCGGCCGCCCATCAAAAGAATCGCACCAAGTCTGGGGCCCCTCGGGAGGTCCCTTGCACTCCACATCGCAGACGGCCATCACATCGAATCACCCCATGGGGCAGGAGCTACGGCCTGGCCATGTTGTATGTAATTTACAGCCGGGTCTCTTGTGCAGCTCTCGTCGGGCGTACGCTCTCATTTAAGCGACGTGGTCGTTCCTGCGCATTGTGCTGTCCTCCTCCCCTACTCTTCGCTTGAACCTCGCCCGTTCGGCCTTTCTCTCCCATCGTCCAGGCACACACCCGCCGTCGCAACTGTCTACCTGTCTCAGGATCACAGATCATGTCGGAAACAAAGGGCAAATGATGGACAAAGGTCACTCCCATCAAGCATATATAAATGCTTCACCGCCGACCCCGCTCTTTCCTCATCTCAACTCCTCCTCATCCACCACTGGAGATCGAGACTTGCCCTGCCCGGAGCCCTCGCACTTGCGCACTTGCCCTGCTCTCTTGTGATCCCTGCTGAAGACTGACGGCTGACTGCTCGTCATGCTCGCCGGTCGCCCCATGTTTTCCTCGCTCGGCGGCGCGCTCGCCGGGCTGCTACTCGCCACCAGCCGCGCGACCGCTTCGCCGTACCCAGTGCACGTCGCCACCTCGGAGCAGCTCTCCTCGTCGTCGCTCTTCAGCGCGCGCCAGTCCCAATCCCAGACGGCCGTCGTGCCCAAAGCCGATATCTCCACCTGCGCCACGTCCAACGGGCTCGCTGCCACCGCGTTCGAGCCATCGCTGTATACCGAACCGTACCGCCCGCAGATCCACTTCAGCCCCAGTTCCTCGTTCATGGTGCGTTGCCCGATGGTCATGCTTGCTGCATTGGACCGGTTGCTCACTATGGAACGTGCTTCCTGTCGACTCGCTGCCACTGTGTGTACAGAATGACCCCAATGGCTTGGTCTACAGGGCGGAGTCCGCCCCTGGCGCAGATGATGCGCTTTGGATGATGAGCTACCAGTATGCTTACAATCTGAGCGTTGCTGGTAACCAGCAGTGCGTTTCCTGCTTGCCAAGCATGCAACTCGATTTGATCGATCACTCCTGCTGACGCTCCATCTTCCCCTCGCGCGTTTCGCAGTTGGGGTCTCGCGACGTCCAAGGATCTCTGGCACTGGAAGCACCACGATCCAATTATCGCGCCCACCGCGCCTGGCAACGGCATCTTCAGCGGCTCGAGCGTAGTCGACCGCAACAACACATCTGGCCTGTTCAACTCTTCGACCCCGCCCGAACACCGCCTGGTCGCCATCTACACGCTCAACACACCCGAGTCACAGACGCAGCACATCGCGTACAGCACCGATGGCGGCTTCACATACACCAAGTACGCTGGCAACCCCGTCATCGAGATCAACCAGACACAATTCCGCGACCCAAAGGTGTTCTGGGACACCGTTTCGCAAAGGTGGATCATGCCGGTCAGCCTGTCACAGGAGTACGCCGTGCTGTTCTACGCCTCACCTGATCTCAAGACCTGGCAAGAAGTCGGCCGCTTCTCCAACTCCGGTCTGCTCGGCTACCAGTACGAGTGTCCCGGCATTATCGGACGTGTGCCCATCCAAGGAGGTCCCAAGGACGGGCAGGAGGCACACGTGCTCATGATTAGCATCAACCCGGGAGCAACCTCGCAAGGCGGCAGCTTCATCCAGTACTTCCTCGGCGACTGGGACGGATCCAACTTTGTCGCTTCCGACGGCGCCGCGCGCCTTTTGGAGTTCGGACCTGACTCGTACGCGGCGCAAACGTACGACAACACGCCGAGCGGCCACCCAGTCCTGGTCAGCTGGGCCTCCAACTGGCTCTACACTAACCGAGCCCCTACAAGCCCATGGCGCGGCTCGTTTACGGTGCCTAGGAACCTCGCGCTTAAATGGTACCCGCACAACCCGCAGACCAGCGCCTACGTCCTGACACAGGCGCCCATCGACATGACGCCCATTCAAGGAAAGTCGCTGAAGAGCATTACCTCTGCCCCCGTCGCCAACCAGACTGTCCCCTTTGTTGGCAGCGGCGCATTCGACATTAACGTCACCTTCACCACGGCCAACGCCACGTCGAATAGCTTCGGTACCCTCTCGATCGCGAGCGAGTCGGGCGCGCAGTCGATCCACGTCGGCGTGCTGATGGGCCAGCCCGCCCAGGTGTTCATCGACCGACGCAACGCATCGAGCAGCTTTGCTGACTCGACGCCATTCTTCGTCGACCGCTTCTCGACGATCGTCATGCCTACGTATGCGGACCCGGCCAACATGTCGTCCGACGCGTCTATCACGCTTCGCGCCATCGTCGACAAGAGCGTCCTGGAGCTGTACGCTCAGGACGGCGTCGCGGTTGGCACAACGAGCTTCTTCTTTGACGGCGGCGCAGACCCAGCGAGTGTGGAGGTGCTCAGCGGCGAGAACGTCAGCGCCAGCAAATTCACAGTCACCGCGCTCAAATCGACGTGGGACTGCTTCGTGCAAGCGTAGTAGGGAGCGCAAATTTGCTAAAAACAATTGCTGGAAAAATGCCGTCTTAGGGTTCTTCGAATTTTCTCATATAAATGCTAGTTTGAATGCGGGTACAAAGGTACAAGCTTGTTATGTGGTGGCCCAATGCTGAATGACACCAGTTGCTGTATCTAACCCATTGCCGAAACATTGCCACGTGCAACAACTATGCTTGCTTGACCAGCCGTGAGAGCCATGCATTGGGATGAGCTCGTCGGAGTGCCCGTTGGACCGGTGCTGCAAACCAAGCATGTGTATTCGCGTTTGGGCGATAAACATCCTACCCTACCAGAAAGGGAAAGGATGGATTGGATGTCATCAGCGCGTATCTCGCGCCTCGCAACAGCAGGGTTGGCACTTACAAATGAGCTCATCGGGGCTGTCGCATAGGCTCCTATGCGCCTCTACCCCAGCGTAGACGTGCCTCAAGCACCCTTGGTCTGTATTCCCGAGCCCATGCGCACGCACATTGGCAAGGATGTCCCCGAATGCCTCCTACACGCCCTAAAACGCAACGTGAGCGCGGTGGAGAACCTTGGCTGCTTTGGCCTCGCGCGCACATGCCAAAACGAGCTCAGGAATACGTCGATCGTTGGTGTGCTATAATACATAATGGCAGGCGCAGTGTAAAGAGGCGGCGCGTAGGGGATGATGCAGTTTGGCGCGCCTGGAAAGGGAATGAACGAGGGCGGATGGTGTGGAATCGCGTAAATGATCAGCTCTTCCCATGCTTCGACGACTGCTCTGGCGAAAGGACTCACCGGCGGCAGAATGCATTTGAATGACATATACGAGGTCGTGGTGATCGGTAGTGCGAGCTGCTCTAAGTTCGCGTTGGGATCATAGGCAGTAAAGAAGCCACTTCGAGGATGGGTAGGGTGCGAGGAGATCGAATCAGTCACGACAAGTGGCAGGCGCACAGGTATGTAATTTCATTACTTGTTGGGGCCGCCTAATGCTGTAACAAGCTCGTGGATGGATAAGCTATGGCAGGAAGTCAATGAAGTTGGTCCTTCTCAATCATGTCTGACGCGAGTCGATCGAACGGGGACGCACCAGACACGACGTAGAGCGTGTCGAAATCCGCATTGTTTCCTTTCTGTTCCGCAAACTTGTCCACGTTGTCAGGCGCAGGCGGCAAGGGCAATCCTACAAGCGACAGAGAAGAATAATTTCGCGGTGAGGGAAAAGGTTCAGCATAGTTGATAGAGTCAGCGCGGCCTTGTACATAGAGGGCAACATGCACAAGAGGCCATGCTCCTCGTGTATCCTTGGATCCGCGCGTTATTCACGGCCGCTCCTCCAAATGCGAGGTCGCAATCGCTCGCCTGCTCATACTACCCGCAGCATGCTCGACCCAGGTCGGCCCGTTCGTAAAGCGACCACTACGACCACAGCGGTAGCAGCAGCATTATTAGTAGGATGACGCGGCTAGAAATGGAACCAGCGCGCCCTTCGTCCTACAACCTCGCAATGACCTGAAATACACGCATTCGCCGGCCAAGTCCTGCCGTTGAGCGAAAAGGTACCGCTGCCATCATTGGTCAACGAGTCGCCACACACGATGAATTGCGAATAGTTGATTAGTTCACCGATGGCAGCGGTCGGCAGAGCGCGCGTGACGGTTTTGGCGGGGGGGAAAGCTGAAGAGGTGCTAGAGGAGGCACATTATTGGTGTAAGCAGGGGATTGATCTACGTTCAGGGAGTTTGTCGAGCTGCGGATGGAGATTAGATGAGCAGCTCATGTCGCCTCACTTTGCTGCTGTCCAATATGAGATGTGCAAATCTTCAAGTAGCGAGACGAGATCTGATTTGCTGAAGATGGAGTAGATATAATCGGATCGTGTCAACGGCGACGGAGATGTGACCTCATTACTCATGGTAAGCATCAAGCCTCTCATCGAATGCAGCAGCCTGCTTTCATGTTTAAGAACGACCGATAAGAACACGCGTTTGGTGAATCACGAGTAAAGCCGGACATGCCGCGTGCGTAGGGCGAGCCGCTGGCCGCGACTTGCGTCCATCAGAATCGGTGCGCATCGAGTTTGGCGGACTTTGCTGATTGGCATTTAGTCCGCTATCCGAATCCGAAGCTCGCTCGCTTCCGGCGCAACGTCCGAGAGGATCCCAGAGGGGCTCCCCATACGCCAGCGACTCATCGCTAGTACCTGGACGAGGTCCTGCAAACAGCCGAGGAAAAGCTGAGTGATGGTCATTGAGAGCAGACCAATGAGCTCCGCCTGCAGTCTCGCCTTCTCCCGTGACGGTCGCGCTTTTGCGGCATGCAGTCTGTGTGTGTGAAGCCGGCGTGAGATGAGCTGCTTCAGGTCGCGCTTACGGAACCAGCGACAAGCGGTATGCAATGGAAAGTGGGCAGCGCTGCTTGAGGTGAGTCCTCAGGATGAGCCTATTGGCAACGGCGAGAGGGCTGCGGTAGGAGTGACGACACCCTCAGCTGATAAAGAAAGTGAGTGCGACAGATGACTCGCTTGCGGTATGCAGAAGAATGGCAGAGATGAGCATAACGATACTCCACCTTGGGTTAAGAAAGAGATACCTTGTTGGCGGTGGTACTCTCAGCAGCTGATGCGGTGGCGAGGATGGGACGAAGGATACGGTCCATGTCTTGCAACAATCCAAATCAGACGGGGCCCGCCGACAACCTTCGCGTTGATCCAGTTCAGGATATACTCAGACCGGATCTTTTCAATTTGGACTGGCTTCTGGTTCTGTCTGTCTGTTCGATCATCTTCAACCCCAACCCCGGCCAAACAACCCGGGGGGGGGGGAGGGGTGACTTGTCAGATCGTTCGACGCCACGCGACTCGTGGAGCTCTCCGCAATCTGTCCTTTCCGCTAGATATGTCTCGGATCCTCCGTGAAGCGCACTGTTATCATGGTCAATGTCTATCCATGAGTCCAGGAGGACAGTTGTGTCCCGCCTGGTCTTTTGTTCGGCATATCCACCGTTTCCGCAATCTCTTCACCGTGTGATCGATGGGTTTTCACGAGCATCCACATGCGCATTCCGAGTCCCAGACCATCAATGTAGACTGCAGAGCTCGAGGTTTCCCAGTTGCACTCCTCATCCGATCATGTCGACGCATGCATCAAGCAGGTAAAGGAATTTCAGAACGCTCTTTGGGGGCAGATCCATCTGGGGGATGCTCCTGTAAACGACAAGGACTGGGATATGCGAATTGCAACGTCGGATTTCGGACGAGTGGGAGCCCAATCATGCTCTCCGGTACATCCCAAACACCTCCCCGCTCGCCTCCTGGCTTAGCATTGGTATGAAACGACTGACCGGTAGCAAGGAAGCCACGTAGGATTTCTTTTCCGTTTGCGTGCACTGGCAATTCGATGCCGCATCCAGTGTGGGGCCGTCGACGAGAGTTGAACGACTGGGAAGCCCCAGGAAGCTCATGACTTTCGGGCGACCGGCTGAGACACTTGCTCAGCGTGGACATGTTGCTAGACATCAAGATACTGCCCTGCTCGCGCCAGTTGCAGTTGAGATTACCACCTGTGAGCTTGGCGCGTGACACAGGGTTCCAGCAGACTGCGAAGGGAAGCAAGGAGTCGCAGTGCAGAGAGAAGAACACGTACATCACTTCTCGTTGGTTGCAAACCAAAGGGATGATTTGAATACACCAATATATGTTTGTCTCTTCAGTCTCGATGCTGCGCGACTTCCGCAATTTGCAGCCTTGAAAAGCCTGGATATTTGCACAGGCTAGGATGGCACTTGCTGGACAACCTGTAGATGGCGAGACCCGAGATGCTCTCGCTTCAGCTCCCTTTTGGCGGCTTCGGCGAGCAAGCCGTGCGTCTTAGCTGTAGGGTGGTAAATATCCCAGACTGTGCGTGTGTAGATGAGCCAAAAGACGAAATTTCCCGGCCCGCCGTCAGCGATCGCTCAACGCGGACGAAGTGGACAATCAACAGCGCTCACAAACGTGTTTGTCCGCATCGCTGCACAGACTCCTAGTGTTTGCCTCGCCGTTGTACACGCCCTTCAAGCACGCTGTATCCAAGCTAGTATAACCGAGCTGTCGTGCATGCCGGAGGATATGCGCGAAAGCCTGCTCCTCGTTCCACAAAGCTACGCGTGCGTCACGCGGCGTGCGCTGCTTTTTGATGTCGCATGCGAATGCGTCGGAGAAAGATCGCAGGAAGGTGTCTATCGTCGCGTTTCCGTAATGCTTACCGTACGGCGTATTTTGCAAAGCAGGCGTCGAGGGGACAAGAAAGTCGTGGGCGCCTGGAAAGCCCCAACAGCGTAATTCGTGGTCCGCAGACAAGTCAGCCGACAAACTCCACGGGCACGACGCACATAGCGAGCCGCAAATCCTGGATTCACCTGCTGCGTTCAATTCCCTGAGTGCGAAGTCCAGATCGGCGGCGACCGAGCGTGCTAGCTGGACAGGATCGAGGCCCCGTTCGTAAGAACCGTAAAAGGCACTGCGATGATTCGCAAAGAAAAGCTCATTTGCGGGTCAGTATTTTCCCTGAATGGCTGCTGTTGGAAGTGCGACCCACTCATTTCCACCACCTGTGCGCGTTGTGAAGCATGAGGAATGTCACAAGTCATAAACGAGCGTGCCCATGGGCCTGGCATTTAGATGGAAACGTGCTCACCCGAAAGAATGTAGAGTGCGTGCGGATCCACGCCGTGTCCGTGATGCTTGATGTACTTGTGCACATTCTCGAGAACGGACGGAACAGGGACTGCATGAATCCACGAGAAGAATCGGGTTAGAATTTCCGTGTTTCGCATGCAATACCAGCAGCTGCAAACGAGCGAGCGTGCTGCAGCAATCTCACGTACTCGTCGAATCGCGACCTGTATAACCCTGAATACGCGAGTTGTTCACTGTCGATCCGCCATAGGCACGATTGTCGATCTTGTTGCCACTCAGGTCATGAGCGAGCAGCTCGACCCATGTCTGACCATTTGAGAAGCGGCCGCTTTGTGATGGGTTGACCGCCCAGCGTCAGCACGCGAAGAGCGCAGGTGCACACAGCCCCTCAGCCGCCAGTCAGCACTCACTCGAAATATGCCGGGTCGGCGGGCCAAGCCTTGTTAGTGAACAAGTAGGTACCGTTACCATTATCACTTAATGAATCCCCAAAGACGACAATTTGCGAGTAGCTCGAGTGCTTCATCGCCGGCTTCGTAGCAGGATCAGGGAGGGGAGAACACCGTGCCACGACTGCGACGAGCAGAGGCGCTAGAAGATGTGACAGGCGCATTGTGGGACACAAGAGAATCTCATGAGGATACCAGTTCAGCCACCCCGAAAGTCACGAGATGCTACTAGGTGCATATGCTCTTGGAGGGACTTTAGCCCCGAGCCTGTCCGCTTGCTCTTACAGTCATAAAGAGATCGACGGTATGACATGCACGACCCAACCCAGCCAGTGTGTGACTGGGGCACACTTCCGTGAGGCGCGCAAGTTACACATATACCTGTGTCCCTATATTAGCCCTCTCGCTGTGCCTGGACCACGCAGTTGGCCCAGCCTTCCACTCGAAGCCACTAAATGCCTGCGCGAAAGTGATTATTGCGTCGGTGCAACGTCACATGCTCTCACAAAATAATATGCAATCATATTCGGATGCGCTTAAAAATGCGGAGAGAATGATGCTGTGTCGCGACTCGATGCAATGCAGTCAGCGCTCCTCAGTCCTCATCACCGTCTCCAACATTTGACATCTCGACATTCGAGGTTCGATTCTATGAAGCCTTCAATGGTGGTGCGAGGATGCGGTAATGATCTTTAACGTCGATCTGGTAGACCAGCAAATACATTGGTTTTTTCGCGCATGGACTATCCCTATCGGATCTTGAATACGAGAAAAATTGTCGGATGCTATAATGAAGGTATCTATTTATCTTGAGTTCATCGCGCTCTCCCTCTATCCTCATTGCTCCTTTCTGCAAATCCATGTCGAAGCGTACATGTTTACCGCATCAATTGGCTTGCCCGTCTCTCTGAAGTGCACCGGCTCCGCCTTGAAGCCACATGCCTCGAAGCGCTGCACGTACCACGGCTTGCGGCCAGCCGTTCGGAAGAGCACAAAGCCACCATTTCGCATGCATCTGTACAGCTCGACCACCTCACGATCCAGATCGGAGATGCTCTTGTCTTCATCGTTGCGCGCTTGCTCAACTGTTGGCACTGGTGTCGACTCCGGGACCGGGTCGAACCTGCACACCGGCCAATTAGTCGCGATTATTACACTGCGAAAGAACGCGGCGGCCTTTGTTGGGATGTAAAGGTTCGGTACTCACCAGTCCATGTGGTCCATCGTAATCGCGCGAGTCAAGCTCTCGTCCTCAAGTCCGCGGAGGACATTGACGATCGAGTTGGTGTGAAGGCGGAATGTGTCGAGCAGCTTCGCGCTGTCAGCCTTGAGCCTCTTGAACGCCTCTAACTTGAGGTAAAGCGGGCAGGAGTCCTTCGTGTAGTTGCCCATCAAGCACAACCGGTAATGGTAGTTGCTATTCTTGATAAGTGAGTAGCTCGGGATAGCATCAAGCGTGTCTATCGCAAATTGTTCGACCGAAACGTCCTTCCTAAAGACATTGTACTGATTCATTGGCACGCCAAGAGCGTTCCACAGGAAAGCGGGGTTGGAGAGGAAGATGCGGATGAAGGTCCTGTTGATCAAGGCACGTCGCAGACGCGTGTCCCATATCTTTTGCTGTTCCGCGACGGAGTCAGCGTCGCACATGCGCTTGACGTCCTTGGTGACGCCCATAAGCTGGAAGGCCCACTTGGCGATGCGCAGAGCATGGCCAGAGTAGCCTCGGAAGTAGAAGGCGCGGTCGAAGGTTTTGGTGTTGAGGCGCCAGAATTGGTATGCGTGCGAAGAGAGGTAGGGTGCGAGCTTGCTGTCGAGGAGCTCGCGGAAGTTGGGGTGCTTTCCTTCACCAAAAAGCTGCCAGAATTCGTCGTACTCGAGGGTGGCAATGCAGGCCAGCTTGAGTTCAAGCACTGGGGAGAAAAGCAATCGAAAACCTAAGTCAGTAAGCGCAAAGGAGCATGGACGCGAGCATTTGCTATTCACAGTGACCCTGACATGGGTTCATGTCGACTGCGTGGATCCGCTTTGGCTGTGCGGCGATGGCGTAGTGCAGGGCGTTGTCGCCAGCACTGGTAATACAAAGCACCGAGTCGTCCGTCGTCAAGTTAAGATGCTGCATGTCGACGTACGGGTCCTCCCAGGTGAACCCGTAGATCCAAGTGCGGAACATGTCGGCAAACTTGTCATCAACGAAAGGCAATCGCCATTGCTTCTTCTGGTAGTGAAACGAGCTGAGAGGAAATTGAGGGCCAAGGTCGAGCTTCAGGGCGCGCAAAGAACCAGTATCGGACCAGCGCTCGTCATTGAGGGAAGAGTTGCGGCGGCGTTGGGTGAGCGTGGCATTTTGCTGGTCAGATCGGAGAGTTACGCTGGAAGTGTCGGCAGACAGGTCAGACGAGGACTTGTTGCTGAGACGCTGGAAAGAAATTTCAGGGAAGCTGGGTGGAACGACAGTGCGGTTGCCAGCTTCGATCTCAAAGGCTTGCACGGCGGCAGTCGTGTCACGTTGGCGAGAGCAGCCAATCCAAATGTAGTAAGGGCTGACAAGGACATGTCAGTGACATTGATCGTGTGTTGGGAACAGGTGCAACTCACATCCTGACGATGAAGGGAAGAATGAAGTTGTTGCGGCCGTTGAAGCATTTGATTGTGCCGAAACGGTGTTCGAGGTCTGCAGTCCGTCGCGAAAACAGAAGAATGGGTGTCAGGATGGAATCCGGATGCAGTGTTTGCCAAACCCAATGTGCCCGGAACTTACAATCACGTCTGGCCGGGTGAAGCTCCACATGGTCGAGAGAGAACCATTGGCGCCAGAAACACCTGCTGAGCCAACCACAGTGTCTGCTAGCGTCACCGCCTGCGAACAAGCTCCTCTCCTTCGATGAGCCATTCTGATCGGAGACATAAAAGTCTGCAACGCCAAAGACGCCGGTCTCTGGATCAAGAAACTGGTTGATTCTGTCGAGGGTTGTATAGAAAGGGGGGATCTGTACGGAATAGAAGCGAGATGATCAAAGCTTGTCAATAAGCGACATGCTCCGTTCAAACGACTGAGGGACGACGTGTACACACCATAGAAAGAGAGTAGCTGCAGGTAAAGAGATCGACCTTCTGACCGTCCTTTAGACCAGGAAGGACAAATTCTTTCGCATCTTGGCAGTAAACATGAACGTTTTTCCAGCCTTTCTCGGTGAAGCGGCGGCGTGCAACTTCGAGCAACGGCTCGCAGAGATCGATGAGGTAAATCGCAGAAAGTTGTGTCACGTCAAAGTACTGATCCATTTGCTCAATGTTCCAGCCTGGGAGTCAAGCCGAGCAAGGGGAAAACGAGAAGGTGAGTGACATCAATACTGGACTTAAGTCTGAGCATATGACGCGGTAGAGCGGACGTACCAGTACCACCACCAATGTCAACCCAGACAAGCGGCTTGCCAGGGCGTTCTTCCTGCATTTCGCGCAGCTGAGCAGCGCAAAGCCTGGGATGGATATAGGGTAGCACATGAGTAGGTTGCGCGTTGGAAAAATCACGATATTTTGTCCGAATTGTAATAGCCTCACTTGAGCATAGTCTTCCTGCCCCTCAGGAGGCCGCTTCGAGTTGCATCGTAGACATTGGCTTGGCCTTGGTAAAACCTGTCCAGGCGTTCAACCTGGTTCTTGGTTTCACCGAGCGGCTGGAGGAAGCAGTTGTACGCGAAAACAAGAACCGCCTTGAGCGAAGTTCCAGCCAGACGAGCAATCAGCAAGCCTGTCAGGACAAGGACCAGTATACCGGCGAATCCGAGCCATAGGATGTGAGAGTGCGAGGAAAGCGCGGCGCTAGCAGCAGCGCTCGCCCGCTCATACAATGTTGATGCGCTTGTTGAAACGACCATCTTGTACGAACTTGCGATGGTGAGATCAGGCCTGGAATACTCGAGATTAAGCTTTTAGAAAGAAGAGGATAGATTGCGATTGCGAGCTGATGAAGGATTTGAATCGTCCGCAGCGGGCTGACTCGATGCAATTCTTTGGCATCTGCCTTCCAAGAGACCGTTGAGGTTTCTAGGGGATCACGAGAGGTAAGAATGACGAAGTAATGGGTGTTTTGGAGAGAGAGGCCTGTTCGTGTGACATGGACAAGTGCAAGGAGGGGCGATGCGACATGAGGTAAAGTGAAGTTGAGGTCGACTGTGGAACATCAAGAGGGGACGCCGGGACGGTATCACACGCAGCCACCGGCTACAAAGTGTCCGAACTTCGAGTATGATCCTGTAATACTCGAAGCCGCATCCACACACAACGCTACCTGCCGTCACTGGGCACATGCTCGATCACAGCCGCCTCTCCCGACTGACTGGCCTTCGACTGAGGCCGACCAATAACAAGTTCACACGAATGCCGGGGCGCGCACGTCGCACATGCCATTTGATTCTCGAAGCGATGCATTCCAACTCCCGCTCTTGCGTGGGCTGCTGCAGGCTACCGCTGCTCGCCACGCCGCCATAGGGTGATATTGTTCACCTCCGTAACACGTTCCGGCCGACCGCCAAAGGCAAGAGGAGACCTCTCGATACAACTAGAGAGCGTGCCGGCTTCATCAACACCAGTACAGCTGTTCTACTGTGGGGGCAATGCTGGCGTGCGCTTCTGTCCGCGAGAGCGGAAGTGCGAAGATTGTGCACGTTCCCACATGATCCGTGCGCAGCATGCTATCCACAGTGGCCTCTCGGCCGAGAGGTCAAGGCATCCAGGTGTTCCGCCTCCGTTGCTGTTTTGAACACTCTGCTTCACAGCCTGGTCACGTGATAGGGCATGCAATCGCCAACATCGTCACTACCCTCTACGCCTCGACAAACTCATACATTTGACTCAAATTAGAGTAGCTCCCCAGAGGTTGCATCTTTGCTCCTGCCGCGTGGTGATGGCGGCTGGATTGCAGGCCACCTGCAGAACTGATTCCGGGACCAATCTCTTTTATGTACACAATCCGATGTCGTTCCAGCACATCAGGTTCGTAAGCGCACTCAGACTCTTCATCATCAATATCGTTTTGATTTTCTTCACGAGGTGTTGCGGGTCCGTTAGGTTGAGGTCACGTACCTTCGCACAATGACTACAGGCATGAGAACAGGAGAACTGCGTGTAGCCCGTCTTTCCAGTCTTTGTATGGAATCTCCTGTGCTGTTCAACGTTCCAACCTTTTCACAGCTGATCAAGTCCTGCTAAGCCGCGCACGCAATTGTTGAGACTGCACACTGTAGAATTGTTCCAGCAGAGCCCATGTTCTGGATGTTTCGGGCAGGCGCGCGGCCCCCAGCAGCAGGGCCAAAAAATGCTATCGCGTGCAAATCGTCAGACCTTCTCATACATCCGCGATGATGTCCTTGAACTGGCTTGCTTCGGATTCGGTCGTGAAAGCAGAAGAACCTGGACGGCCTGGGCATATGAATCGTGATGCCTGAGATGAACTGGAAACGCCTCCAAGCGCGCGCGTTTCCAAGCTTTCCCAGGAGGTCAAGACAAGCCTAGGGAGCTTCTGGCTGCCTGGAGTCCAGAGTCCAGCAGTGCCTACCACCAGGGCTGTACAGGGCTGTACGTACAAAAACCAGGCTTATGTCATTATGCAGGCTAATGCGGGTGAGTTAGCCACGTGGCGCCTAGCAGAGTGGGGTCCGGATTGGCGCGCCATCACTCCTGTGATGCTTGAGGGTGTAAGCAAAACTTGCCCCAATATGCAGACTGGTTTCTCGGAATTTAGGCTAAAACTCCTCATTGGGACATCGCTTAGTTACTGTGGATGGGATGGGTTTGAATAGCGGAGACCTCGCAGTACCTTTACTAGAGCTTTATAGCAGTCATTCGGGTCACAAAATTGACACAAGCCATTAATGACGAAAGTCATGATTCCCCCAAGTTATGTCTGATATCATGGTGCCCATAGCGCAGGTTTGAATTTGCAGTCCACCTCTCATATTGGCCGGCAGGTGAATTTTCACTTTGCCAAATGTTACGCTCTCAAAACTCACGATGCCGAAAGTTCTTCGTGATCCTCATTGTGAGAACCAGGCGTTTTGAATACATTATTATAAGCTCACATTCCACGGTTTCACAGGCTCATCGTTAGGCCAGAATCAGGTTCCAGAGTACGCCTCTGTGCACCTGTTTCTACCATCAACCATTGAAACACATATTGCGTACCTATAGACTGTTGAACGCTGAGCACTGAACGTTGATCCATGTTAGATTATGGTTCTAACAATAGTCTCACGTTGGGAAGCATGTACCAGCCGACAGCGGAGAGTGGACAGGCACCAGGTTCTGATGATGCATTGCGAATAGCCAAAAGAGATCGCAATCGAAGAAATGTCGGAGATTCTCGGGAAATACACTTTAACATTTCACAAGCTGAATAAGTATGATGATTTCATTGAAAACGATGTATTCCAATTATGTCTCTCATTCACCCTCCCTCGTCGTGCATTGATGGAGTATGAAGAGGGGTGAATGTGAAATATGAGGTCATATTCGATCTATGATGCACGAACCGCGACGCCCCACTTCGGCGGCAGGTGGCCTCGCCGTTCCAGGCGACTGGCGGACTGTAAAGCCGTCTAGTGCTGCAGAGTAAATGTCGTCATAACGCATCGTTGTTGGGAGATATATATATGTACATTCACCACATGTATCTAACCCCGCCCGACATAACGAAAATATTGACCACCGATGGAGAGCCTACTAGAGGGATATGTACTCATGTACCTCAGCTGTCCGCGCTGCATAATCGAAATGCGCGGAACTAGGAAGTGAGCGACGCATCTTTGCAAGGTTGCGGAGTTGTCAGCAATTGTTGACGAATGATCTCATGCGCTGCATTCAAAGGGCAAACCTGCCTGTGAGCACTGTAGACTGAAGCGGACAGAGTGAACTCAACTTGGAATGTGTCGATGTTTTTGAGCGACGTCACTGCTTCATTCCTGGCGGATTGGAGCGCAAAGAGCCGGCGTGCGGGAATTGTATGCAGCTCGGATGCGAAAGCGGAGGAAATGCGTTTTTTCGGCTAGTACAGGTCGGCTTTCGGTCTGGAAAATCAAGGTTCCTTTCGTCGGGTAGACCGCAAAAATCGCTTTGGCATAGAAACTGACTTGTAATTTGCGATGACACTTTACATGATGTCGTCACTCATACGACGCGGCCCGCCAAGCTCAAAAGAAAAGCGATTATTGACGGCTCTCCGTGTGAAAGGACGGTCACTCCAGAATCGTCATCAATCTTGGAACGACTTCGACGGTATGCCGCAAGCATCCTCTAGCAGTCGGTATTTCTGCGAACCCGGACCGTCGAATGGGGGGCACGCCGGCCCCTCAAGACCTCGCCATTTGATTCAGAGTCCATCGTCGATGAGATCTGGGCATTTGGGACTTGAGCATCGAGCCAGTCAGATAAGTCCCTCCAAAGAACAGTGACACCGTGGAATCGCTCCATTGCGATGGTGGGAGATAGCAACATAGCTTAGCAGGAGCAGTTGCTTTTTTTTCCTCGCGTATTCAGAGCCAGCGACTCCTTCGACGGCCTCGTCGAGAGGAGGGGATTTTGCGAGCAGGCCGTTCGCTAGCTCTTAGCTTTGTGCTATCTTTGCCGAGCAAGGCCTCTCAGAAGCGCGCCTCACTTTATCCAAGCCGCAGACGCAGCTGAACTTTGAAATCGGCGGTCGCTGATAGTAACTGGGCGCCTGCGCTGAGAATGGGTTGGTTGTATCAGGGTTACGATCACCGACAAGTTCCATTGCGAATCCTCTCTTGTAAGAGAAGCGAACGCCCTTCCGCGTTCGACGGTTCCGTCGTCCGTATATCTGCCGATGGTGGCGTTTTGCTTTCGCAGTTCTATGTGTGGTCAGCGCCAGGTGTCAATGTTGCGGCCGGGGCCGGCCCCCACTCGCCTATTGCATCACTAACGATCGCCGCAGCAAGATTTTGAAACGCTGTGCCGTTTCAAATTTTATTTTGCTTGGAATCAACGTAACCAACCTTCATGGAGCCCAAAGGGAGTGTGACTCGCCGATGGTAGCAGCTGATGCCTTTCATAACGTATCGCTAGCGCCACCAGCGCCCAGCCATATCCGGCTCTACGCTTTCAGATGCGATGACTCTACAAGCAATCTGGTCCTACTTTTACAACACTCCTACAGAATCGTCACAACACGAACTAATAGACCTGCGTTAGCGGGGGCAAGAGCATGGCCACGATCATCAGCATGCGTGTCAGCATCAGCATCAGCAGCTTGGATGTCAATAAATCCGCCATATCTTACAAGAATCTCCCACCAATTCGGAGCAACTTGAACATCATCTCACCATCCGAGCAAGAGTAGCGAGCAGATGCTACCATCTCGCATTTGCACCAAGCTATTCAACGCCAACCAATATCCATTGCAAACATTCACATTTCACACCATCGAAAGACAGTACTTCATAGCCGCGTGATGCACATGAACGCACGATACCATTCAAATCCCCGACTCGCGAATTTTCTCTCACTAAAATTAGAAAGACCAGGCCAGAATCATTACTAAAATTGCAAGAGCATCATACGTGTATATGCGATACAAATGCGAGCGAGCAATGAGAAAAGCAACAAAAATCGATCGTATATCTTGTGTTGGGGGCGGCGACGTGTGATAAAAGTCCTATAAATACCAAACTTGCTGGGAGCTGCTTCTTCACCAGATATTGTTGGATGTAGAAGAACAGAGTGCACAATGACGAGATATTCCCGACACTGGCGGGAAATTTCAGTGCAGATGAATCAGTGGCCAAATGGCTCTTGGAAAGGCAGCTCTGGTTGCTGCGAAAGATCCGCCGAGTGTGTCGGTGGCGACCCCATGTCCCCGAACATCCCTGACGCCCGCGCTGCCTGGTGAAACGTCGATGCGGCGACATTCGGGTCCCCGCCTGTTCTCTTGATACGCTTAGCGTATCGCAAGCCACATGCGTCTGCTCAGAGGAATGGTCAATCAGTATGTGTATGACACTTGGAGAGAGACAGGCTATGCACTCACTGCAAAGGGTCTTTGGGCCCAGCGGACCTTTCCTCCACTCTGGCGAGTCCACGCGTCCACAGTCTGTACAGACATTGTCTCCGTCATCTGCCTTTGGTTTCTTCTACTCCAAAGCAAACAAATCAGTCCCATCATACAAAAATATCCTAGCAGCCTTCAACCACATACCTTCTTGCGTTTGTCGTCGCCTAATGCGCTACCGTCGTCATCGGACCCCTCGCCACCGAGCATCGAGTCGCTGGGTTTTGGACTCGTCGGCGAGACGCCGTAGAGGTTGGAGTCAGTGCGCGCGAGCGCGCTGGACATGACGATATTGCTCGATTGCCTCCAGGATGATTCGCCCATAGAGCCATTTAGCTTAGAGCTCTGCTTGAGTGTAGTCTCGAGCTCTGCTTGTATGACACTTGGGCTGTACGCCGCTGCACCGCCGTCTTTGCGGTCCCCTAAAGAACCGTCATCATTCATGTTCATCTGCTGGAGCATAAGTCGTAGGCGCTCATTTTCAATCTTGAGCTCCAAGAATGAGTCGAGCATGCTGATGGTCTTGGTCGGGTAGACGCGGCATGAACAGAAGAAGCACTGCAACTCATCCGGCTTTCCTGGCTGCACCATGGACTTTTTCTCTTTGTTCTTGGTATCCCTTTTAGTCCGCTCCTTTTCTTTTCCCTTGTCCGACTTGGCATAATCAGCCGCCAGATGAGCTACTGCTTGATCGTCATCCATCACCTGTGCGATAACATCCGGCGGGAAGTATGGGTGACCTGTAAACTCGAACACGACGTACGAGTCACCTTCGTCGCTACCCTGTGAATTGAAGCGCCCTTGGCCGACATTGCCAGGCCCGCTGTCACCAGATGAGACGTCCCCGGCAGCATCCGACGGCGAGCGGCTAGGCTTTCCACTGTTGTTGATCCGCTTCTTCATGAAGCGGAAATACATGTGTATTTCCGGTTTGGCGGACTCGAGCGAAGCGCTGAGATTGCGTTGCACCAGCGAGATGTCGTCTGGATGCACGAACTGGCGATTGGAAAAGAGCAGGGAAAAGGGGGTGTAGCGAACTTATAACTCTGCAAACAGGGATCACGAAACCAGAAAGTGAGGCACTCACATCCGTGAGCTTCTTGCCTTTGAGCTCCTCGGCTCGCCAACCGGTCATATCCACGATACTGGGACTAGCGAAGAGGATGTTGCTTTGCGGATCAAGCACATGCACGAAATCGAGAAGCTCGTCTACCATGCGGCTCGACCAGCCTTTGCGCTTGGTGAGATCTGTTGCAGTGGAGGTTCCGGAGGGGGTATTGGCATCTGCACCACGAAGGATCTTCGAGCCGAGCCCTGGTGGATGGCTGGCCGCGTGGCCTCCAAGCGCCGAAGGGGGCAGAATGGGGTGCGAGAGGAAGGTGGACCCCTTCGCAGTGCCGCCACCTATGAGCGACGACTGAATGGCCTGTGAAGCCGAACCGCCGCTGCTGCTACTGTCAGGATTACCTGAGCTCATGCCGGGCTGGATGTACCCGCTGGCATCGAGCATGAAGCCAGGGTGACTATTGCTGGCGCTCATGTCGCTCGAGCCACCCATAGGAAGGAGATTGCTCTTGGACCGCTGGTGTTGCATGTGTCTTGCTTCCTGCGTGTCTTCTTGCGTCCACGCATCCAGTGAGATCCGTCGTGGCTCGTCCTTGGTGACCGGTATGCCCGGACCAAAGCTTTGGCTGCTGATCGAGCGTGAGCTCATGCTGAAGTCCATCATCTCGCCGCCTCTGCTGGGTCCTGCGGCAGTGCTACTCCAGCTCGCGCGCTGCTGCTGTTGTTGCGCCTGGGCCTGGGCCTGCTGTTCTGCTTGCTGCTGCTGGTGTGCTTGTTGTTGCTGATAAGGCTGCTGCTTCTGCTGCATGGCGTAATTATTCGCAACGGCTGCCATGTCGGAAAAGCTGACAAAGCCCGATTGTTGCAGACGCTCGGAGAGCGACTGGGAGCGGATGGGTGAGCCATCTGGCCCCGGCCCAATCCCGTTCCCGTGCCCGGGTACCGGGCCGGATCCTCCTCCATTTCTGCTTGACATGCGTTCGCGCATGCTGACACCGCCATCGCTGCCCGTCACGACGCCGTCGTTGCTCCTGCCGCTGTTATTCGGCACCATGGGTACCGACGAGCGGGGCGTCTGGTATGGATGGCCGCCGGCCGGCTGGTTCTGCTTGTGGAACTGCCGGATCGGGCTGTCGACCAACACCCTGCGATTCGCAGCCGCAGCGGCAGAAGTAGTGTCGTTCGACGATGAGCCCTGATCCACTTGGGGCCGAAAGTCCGTGCCGACGGTCATGCGCCGGCGGCTCTGCTTGGGCGTGCGGGACAGGATAGCCTGCATCTCCTGCGGGTCAATGCTGTGGCTCTGCTGCATGATTGGCGCAGAGCTGGCGCTGGCTTGCTGTATTTTCATTGGGCCCATAGGACCTGGTGCTTGCGAAATCATGGCTGGCATCGGCCCAGCGAGCGTCGTCGACGGCGTAGCGTTTGCGCTGAATGGATACTGTCGAGACAACCCTGCGCCGCTCGACGAAGTAGAACCAAATACGTCGCTACCTGCTTGTTCCTGCTGTTGATGTTGTTGTTTCTGGTTATGTCGTTGCTGAAGTTGCCGCTGCTGTTCCTCAAAGTGCCGCTGCTGCTGCTGCAGTTGCAATTGGTACTGGAGTTGCTGTTCATGGAGCTGCTGCCGTTGTTGATGCTGCATCTGCTGCAACCAATTTGCAACGGCATTGCCAGAGCCCATTCCTCCGTTGGCACCAACACCTTGCCGCTGCATGGCTGCCTGAACCCCCTCGTTTATGCCAGAACCCGATAGCCGCTGCTGCATGCTGAATCCTATCGGGCCGCCATATGCTTCCGTTGCGGTTGCTGCGACGGCCGACACACCACCAGTGGTATCACGCGACCCTGACAGAGTCATCTGCGCCCCTCCTTGCCCTGGCACTCCTTGAGCGCCAATCGGCACGTGCGGCTTGTCGAAGCTGCTCCGATTGGAAGAGGGCACGTTGCCAGAGCCCATGCTGCATCCTTCTCCCCCCCGCGGAGCACCTGTCAGAGCTCCGACGATCCCAGTCATATTTGTGGATGAGGAGGATAGGCGCTTCGCGCTCTGTGCTGCCTGAGCAGCGCCGTACTCTTGGATCATTGCCTGCAGCTCGGCATTGTTTCGTTGATCGAGCGGGTCCATGCTGGATTTCATGAACTGTCGGAGCTGTAGGTGACAACTGACGGCGACTGATTGCTATGATCAGAGACCTATGTCCTCGTCATTGCAGATTCACCATCCACGAGCGAGCTCCCAACTCGGCTTGAACGAGCTCCACTGACAAGGAGTGGAATCTGTCATCGGAAGTTTCACAAGACTTGAGAAGGCGGACCGTCGGTATATTGCGGACTGCAGAGACAGCACTGGGTGTACGCGCAATACGAAATGACGCAAGCAGCCGCAGATGAAGTTGGCCGGATTTTCACCCCACTACCCGATCACTTGGCATGCAAAACAGCAAAATGATGGGCCAACGACGTTCACGCTCAGGATATGATGCAGTATTCCTGAAGATGTAGGTCCTTTCGCTCGTGTGAGACTGTTGAGTTTGAAAAGCCGAACTTGGCCGAATCCTGGTGGTGAATTAGGACCAGGAAAAATCTTCGTTGGACGTCAGCGCGGGCTTGTACCATCAACAGCGAAGCGGGGGCATAAAAAGAGGTCCGACGAGGGGTGCAGAGCATGTCAGTGTCGGATGCCCCTTAATGTAAACCTAAGATGGATGGAACTCTATCCAATGGTGGATTAGATGTCGAGAGCTGGGACCACTTTGGAAAAGGTTCACCAATCTGCCGGCGGCGCGCGCTCCGCCACAACCAATCTCCCCTTCGACTCACTTCCACCTCTTTTGCCATCAGCTCTCTTGCTAGAAGCAGCAACCGTCCGTCCTGGTCGTCAACCGATGGGTGCAGCTTGCTCGCCACCGATATAGCCTCGTTCTGCGGCTGCGCACTTCATTGGGAAGGGCCGTTCAAACGGTGCCAGAGTTGGCGCGCGCGCGCGCGCACGCGCTTTAGTGCTTGGTTATGAGTACGTGGTGTCCGCGTCTGGTTTGCGGAAACATTGCAATAGCACAGTGAACCCTACAATCTGACTAATTCATTTCACTACGTAACCAGCATATAGCAAGCGCGCTTCGCCGTGCAGTGCGTCTTACATTTAAGCGTCACTGCATCGGTTCGCAAACCACTGCCGACTGCGCGGTGGTGCGACTAGCGTCATGTAGCCACTCTGAACTTTGTCCAGACAAGGCGGGAATGTCGGACTGCACAGAAGACAGCCGCCAAAGTATTTTTGCCTGTAGGCCGATCACTTCCGAAATGCGGGCATCCGCTTTCTATCCTTCTTGGCTTGCCCAGCGCCAGATTTAGCTTTTTGGACGGCGCGGGCATAAGCCCAACCCGTAACGAGATTGCGCGCCAGGGCAGGCCAAGGCGCGGCTCTGGTTTTATTATGAATTAGGCACCTGGACGCGCAAAAGGCGATGATATGGCAATAGATGTACTGACTGGGACAAGGTGCGCCAGGACATGCCACAGCGGTCGACTGCACACTAGAGCAGAGGCTACGCACAAGCTTCGTAGATTTCTATATAAACCAACCTGTCACCCCGGAGTAGAGGACATGGTACGTAGGAGAGAGTCGCGTCCTGCCCTACCACGTGTCGAATAGGAATATATTTGGCCGCACTTCGCCTGGCAGGCTAATGTTGAAAACGATGAACATTTTTTGCTTGCTGGGGAATGTTCTGCTACGTTCCGCAGCTTGTGGTGACGAGAGGTTTGTCGTCATGTGCAAGCCCAGCTGGCGTGAAGCAATTTGATTTGGTTACAATTTTTTTCTTTGATGCCATGTGTGTGAGCTGTGCCGGGCAGCTGCACCAGACTTCAGATCGTACGGATGCTTCTTCAGGCTTCAGGCTGCTGAATTCATATGACAACCTCGCCCCAATATGCTAGCCGATGCCTTCTCCGATTGCTCGGACGCAGGGGTGCCGGTTTTTTTCGAGACACATCATCAGTCCAAGACACGGTGACTGGGACGTGCTCATTCGGCGTCTGCCAAGACATCAATGGATTGCAGCCTGCAGAGAACTGCTCCGTGCACACATACACACATACATCGCAATTACAGTTGCGTGTCTCGGAAGTGCACGCCGTATCCGGTTGCGCTCTGTGACGAGGCCCATTCAGGATAGGGGATATATCTCTATCTAGTGGCAGACGCGGTCTGCGGTGAACGGACGGTCAAGGGAAACCCGAGAATGTGCTCCAGAGGCTCTAGCTCATAGTATCTCACCATCTCATCCAACGATGGAATTCATCGACGCATTGCTCATCATCCATTCTGGAAACCGAATCTCCAGACACGAGATACAAGGTTTGTGCAGTTCTAATCATGCGATCAAGGATCATGGATTAGGGATCACCAATGTTTCCAATTCCGCCTGTAACAGTGCCACGGTGTCGATCAGCCCTGCTTCGATGGTACCCTTAAGGCTTGTCGCGAACAGTTCCCCTCCGCTCCACCGTAAGCTCTCACATTAGACGTCTCACACCTCATATGAAAGTCCTGACGTACGCTCCGACTGCGGGAACGATGCTCCACTGCGTTGACGAGCCCCTCAGTCCTAGTGTTTGTGTTTGCCCAACGACATTTAATTCAATAAATGAAGGGAACAAAGGCTGTAAGACAAGGATTACCGCCAGAAGCCTAGAGCGTCGCACAAAAGGACGTGCTTGCTTGTTATGAGCCTGCCGGAAACGTCGGGACATATGAATCAGGCATTTGTCCCCAAGTGAGTGGTGAAAAGCGAGAAACGGCGGGGCAGTCGAAAAGTCATGCTTGTTGCTTAGTACCCTAGGCCCATCGAGGCGATGTCAACGTGAACTTCACCCTCGCCTTGCGTCAGCTCCTCCATCACCCAGGTCGAGTAAGAGCCGTCCGACGCCTTGATCCCTTGTCCGGAAGTAATACTGCCACCGTACTGGAACTCCGCGTGCCAGAAGAGCGCCAGCAATTTCGATCCAGTGTGGCGATCGTCGGTGAACAAATCAAAGAGCTGTTGGCTCGTCAGAATGGAGATACCCGAGGCAGTCATGCCCTTCTTGTCGAAGAAGAAAGACGCAGCGTAGAGCTTCGTGCCAGCCAGAGACCCGCCCGTGTTCTTCGACACAGTCAGGAACTGCATAGGAAAGATGGTCATCCAGTTTGTGAGTCGTTTTCAAGCCGCATGATCACGATGATGAAGGAGAAGCTCGCCTGGCCGGATTGGACGGCAGCGTGATCTGGCCGAAAGTTTTGTCATCTTATGTACTATCATAGTAGTCACATGCCCAAAATTCGGCCTTCAGCATGTGGCCTGCGCCAGGCGCTGCAGAGCGACGCATGATGTGCACAGCTTCAGTATTCATCACCCTAACCCCTCACACGCGGATAGGAAGGGTAAAGGAAAGGCTCACTCAGCAATACCTCGTTTGCGCCCCGAGAAGGCACCATCCGTATTGGCTTTGAAGTAGCGGCCGTTGAGCGTCAAGCTAAGCCACTGGGGGATAGGAGAAATGACTGGCTGTCCGCATGAAGGTCATGGCGGTATGGAGAGCAGCATGGCAAAAGGCTCAACTCACCAAGGTTGAGAGTTCGGGGGTTTCTGACGGTGACAAATGTCATCGATATTGCCAAGATAATAACAGCTCGACGAGGACTTGGTGCAAGTAAACGGTTGCGACGTGAGCGTCGGGGGTTCGCACACACTGGCTTCGAAATTTCCGCTGATGCAGTCAGAGTCCTGTTCGTAAAACACGGTGGGTACATCGTCGATTGGCATCGTTCTGTTGCAGCTTTACCCACTCACCCCATGCGTACCTTGTAGGAGGTCGACCTGTCCTCCCCCTTTGCGTCGAGCCTTCCATTGTGACTGGCCTTCCTCTGCGACGGAGTCTGTGAGCAGTAGTTGCTTGCACATTACGACTGTAATACATAGGAGTCAATCATGCAGGAATGCCCATTGTGAGATGAAAGGCACCATGGATGGATGTGAGTACGCCCCCTTCTGGCGAGGAGGTCACTCCATTTTTGAATGTGCGCGGACGAATGATCACGCTGGAAACCCCCAAGCTAGCGCCTGGAGGAGAGGCAGGAGCGGGGATGGCGGCGATCTCGAGAGCAACACCAAGGAAGGGGGCGAGAGTTGCGAGTTTGATGTTCATGGTGAAAGAGTATGCCAGAGGGTTACAGTCGTCAGCAACCATCTAGACGAAGTCAATCCTGAATCCTTCCGTTGTCGAGAGTATCAACGCCGATGGTGGTGTGTTGGCCAGCCCGGCATCATCAACTCAGGGGTTTGGGGCGTCAGGTATTCAGGGTATCACACCAGGCCACACCGTACACCTTTAGAGCTAATTGACCTCAGTATCCATCCTTGCCCAGCATTTGAGCAAAATTCTCAAGCATCAAGAGGTTGAGAAGCTGTGGAGGCTCTATGGGTTGGCGATCAGACACCTGGTCAGAAAGCAGGATACACAGTCACAACACATTCCCCACGGCGCCCAATGGCTTTCAGCTTGGCGACCCCGCTTCCCGAACAGAGGCACAGCCGTGTGCCTGCCTGTCGCTGCAAAGGGTGGAGAGGGAGGGGGAAAGCACAAGATGCATTTGGAGTTGGGAGGCTGTTAGCTGGGAACACGTTGCGAATTGACTGCCGGCGGCCGGGTCTCCAGCGGCTCTTGCGTCTCGAATATGAGATGATTCCTTTTCGAGGTGCTCCCTTCCCTACAGTGTAGAATGGTGGATAATTGGGCGGAGGTGAGATGTCCTCATTTGTGATTCCCGCTGCGCATGATGTGGCGACGGACAATACATCGCGAGACTCGAAGGCTCGTCGAGAGGTTTGGACTCCCGCTGCGCTGCGCAAAACGCCCCAGACTCCCCCCGTTTCTGCATCCTCTCAGGTTTCCAGGTCCCGCCTGGCCGCCTCCCGGGTACTCCCCGTTCTCCCGCACTACATAGACCCGTCAAGCGAGGCATCCAAATTCCTGCATGACTCCAGCGCAGCTAGTAGCAGTGAGCAGATCTCAGGCAGCTGAGAGGCCCAAAGGAGGGGGACAAACACAATGAACCTAAATCATATCTAATCTAGCCTGTCACTGGACTCTACATATAGTCTGCAGGAGTAGGCGTACCTTGTGGCCAGTCCACGGGTCTGAGGGTCGTCCAGTCACCCAACCCTATTCCACGCGCACTCTCGGGGATCTGGCGAATGGCGGCGGACTACTAGTTCTGGGGACGGAACGAGTCATTGTTAATATACGTTCAGTCGTACAAAGTTATAGACACAGCACATAGGCATACGCACAGCGATGTCGGGTGGTGAGGCGACAGCAATCCAGGGCGACTTGCTTGTGGAGCAAACGAGGGGACATAGCAAATTACTTGTGCGCCTCAAGAGAAGAGGTGGAATGTACAGGCCAAGCCCCAGGTCTGACCAAGTCTACGGAAAGCCGTGCGTGACAAACGATGAGCTCAACGTCGGCGTATGTAAGCGGTGTTTATCATCAACAAGTGATCTAGTGAGTGCCTTCCAAGTTACAGTACCTAGCTAGCCAGACATGAGATCTGAGATCAACTGATTTACAGGCTCTGGTCAAAGTGATGCCATCTCGGTCCAACCAGCACAGAGCAAGCACTTTGTCGAGCAGTAAGGTCAACGCCCTTTTTAACCACGCGTCGAATCGAACCCAAAGAAATATATGTGAGACGATGGCCGAGAATGACCGATGATACACGAGAGAAACTCCGCTTTGTTGGTCTCGGAAGCGGATATCAGCGACGCCGGGAATGCGACGAAGGTTTTATTTGCGACGGCTGCGTGTCTTCTGCTTTGCGCTCTTCGTAAGCCTGGTTTCATTCCCGAGAGATCAAAAGCGTAGGTGGCATCAGCGCCCCGCCACTACATTTTAGCACGCCGCACGCACCGCAAAGTAATCCCTCCTCTCGCCCCTGGCGATCCCTCTGCAGAGTGTGAGGTCAAGTTCAGTCAGGAAGCGATTCTTGACCAGGATGGCGTCCACGCGTTCGGGACTTGCGTGCGACCCCGCGAGATCGAGACGGCGTAGCGCTGTGCAACCTTGCTCGATGGCGTCCAGAACCTCGTCTTGAACGTCAGCGTGGATGATCAGCTCCTGCAGCGTGCAGCGCGCTTGCCTCACATCCCGTTTGCTCCCTGAACTCAACGCGTGCACCCCGTCCACCCCTTCACCCTCCTGCTCCTCCTGGCTGTCCACAGCGAATGGCACGTCTTCCACTCCAATTGTGATACCGCCCAGATCTAAGCGCCTACAGACGCGCCCAACGTCGCGCACGAAACGGTGCATCACTTCTTCTTCAAAGGCGTTTCCGCGAACGATCGCTCCAGAGCGCGAGCCGAGGCGCGCATTCGCAGCGAGGCTGATGCGATCCATTAGGGGTCGGAATGCCGCTGCCCCTGCAGAGCTTTGCGTCATAATGCTCGCGCGTGCGCGTAGCACGGGCAGCAGAGCCGTGCGTACCGACTCGAGCGCTTCGGCAGATAGACCGTGTTCTTCGAGCCGCCGGGCTGAGTCTGGATGCGAGAGCGACATACGCATGTCGTCAAGAACGAGCGTCTCCAAACGGCAGTCCGACACGCTCCAATCTGGCGAGGAGGCTGTTCCTGCAGAGTCGGAAGCCGGATGAAGACACAGCGCATGGATGAACTTGTGGAAGGATGACGGGTAGCACAGCAAACCAGAGAGCACCAGCTTGCGTACTCGTGTAGGGCTCCGCATGGAACTTATGTCCGAAGGTGCTACGGACGCCTGGCCTTCGTAGCCAGGAAGGCCGAGTGCGAGGGCAAGCAAAGCGAAATTGCCTCTGTGCGCGATCTGAGTGTTCGCAATGTTGATGTTCTCAATGCTTTCAGCGCAGAGCCAGAGAAGACTGCTGATAGCTACATCTCCGATGGCTGTTTTGCGAGCCTTCAGTGTGCGCAGCTTGGCAAGCGGCACGAATGGTGGATCTGCTTTGGAGGCGTGCTCTTTGCACCTCTGTAGAAGCGCGATAACGGTCTCATCGTTCAGACGCTCGACACTGGAGACCTTGAGAACCTCAAGCTGCGCTCCGGCACCTTTGATGAGTTCCTCAAGGCCTTCGGGACCAATATCCGTGTGGTCAAGGTTGATGGACTTGAGCACGCGCCCACAGCCCGATGAGGACGACACGAGGGCTGCCATCGCTGATGCGCCGATGCCGACACAGCCACGCAGACTGACGGTCCTCAAATGCTGCCCGGATCGATAGGCCCGAAAGAAGCCTCCAAGTGTGCCAGTCGAAATACGAGTGAGGCCCTCTAGACGCAGACTACGGAGCGCTTGTTGCGCCGCAGCAGTGCTATGCCCAGAGCAAGATGCATTCCCGTCGAAAGAAGCGTCAAGCGAAGCGCTGCTGTTGATCGTTGCTGACCCAGGAGCAAGGATCAGGGACAGGAGGGTGGCAGGCCACCAGGGGTTGTTACTGAGCGCGTCAATGGAGCTGGTCAGTTTGACATCTTCCCTCCCCAGTACGAAATATGTGGCTAACACGTGCCGCGTGAGGCATCTGGGGTTATGCTGTAGGAGAGCTTCTTGAAGACGAGGAAAGAAGCTCGGCGGCAGATGAGAGCGAAGCAGGTACGCATTGCGCAAGTGCCAGAACTCCTTCGTGACAAGCAGATGCCATTCTCGTTGCAGTCGTTCGTGCTGTGTGATTCGCAGCCCGTCACCATCTTGCCGCCCATGGCGTCTGCTCTTTCCTCCAGTCCCTGAGCTACTTTCACTGACAGTCTCGCCAGCGTAATCTTGGTCCGCCCCTTCATCGTAATTGAAGAGTCCTGTCCGTGCTCTGTACTTTGGTGGTGGTTTTCTGACTGCCACCCGCGCCTTTTCCAATATGTTTCCCGCCCCGTTCGGCCCGTTTCTTTCCTTCTCTTTCTGTTCTTCTTCGCCTGCTATCGGTCTCTCGACGCCTAGAGGCAATACGTGCGAGTCAAATCGATGCGCTGCGGCACGAATGCACATGTCGGCGAGCGACAAAGGCTCTGCTCGGGGAGAGAATTGAGTTGTCGGCGCGAAGTGCCTCTCATCGATAGTGTATGGCAAAACCCTAGAAGATATAGCAGATGTGCGCGGCTGAGGTCCGTACAGGGACTTGATAGCGTCTTCCTTGTCGGCGCTGCCAAGAATGTCTTCTGCACGGATCGAGAGCTTCTCCTGCGGCAAACTGTTGTGGGTTACTTTCCGCCTTTTGTTTGACGATGATGCAGATCTGTGCATTCCATAATTCCCAGATGTTCCAGACTGCGTTCTCTTGAATCGACTTTGAAGGGAGGAGGACGATGGCAACGAGGTTGAAGAAGGGTTGGTGGTACCAGGTGCTTTTCGTATCACCTTGGTCACGACCACAGCGGGAGGTGGCTGTTTTCCCTTCGTCATGATGGCAGCGCAGCACCCTCAGACGCAGTCCAAATGGTTCAACACTGGATGTAGTATCAATATATCAATCTTAATCGTTTTGGATTCTCTAGCCCACAGGCAATGACATGGAATATGGTTTCTGGAGCACGGAGCTACCAAGAGTGTACTTCTTTCTGATGTCAGAAGTCTTCACGTCTCCAACGATGCTTTCCTCAGGCATCGGTAAACTAGGGTTGGGTTTTTGTTCAAGGCCCTTGTGCAGCTGATCGACGGTAGCGTGCGGCTGTGCGACTTCGCGCTGTATGTGAAGATGTACGCGGTACGCCATATTTGAAGTGTTCTCAATGTCTGCAGTGTGCGTACATGCAACGGCCGACACAGCTGATGCTGTTCTTTGTGATGCTGATCTTTGTACATGCAACGCCGCTTTAAATCCTGGCACACCTAGGAGAGAGAAGGATGTCCAAGGGTAGGGCAGAATGACGGAAGACAACTTGGTGAGGTCGTGGCGTCCTTGCCTGCTGCCGGCCATTGCACAATTGGGTCTGACCCTATGACGCCTGCCCATACTCCAGCTCTCTGCAGAAGAGATGCAGCTTTTCGGTGACATCTGGTCGCTATGTGAATCATGGCATGCGTTTGCGGCACAGCCTCGGCGGGAGCTCTCCGAGCTCGAGAGGCTTATCAAGGAGAAGGAAAAGATGATCGAGATGATCGAGCAGAAGATCTCGAACGATATCAGCAACCGACTCCATCGAAGCAAGCATCCCGACTTCATGAAGGCGGAGATATTCAAGCAGGAGCGCAACAAGCTGGTAGACCAGTTGAACATGAAGAAGAGGCCCGTGGGCGAGCGGCAAAAGCACAACGTCGCCAAGCTGGTCACGATGATGGGCGAGATCCGCAGGCTGTATCGCGAAGCGTGCGAGGAGGCGGTAGCCGCAAGGGAGAACGTGCTGCGCGCCAGGCTGCCTGTCGAATCGACGCAGCTCGCCTTGCAGAACCAAACATATGAGCGGAACCACCTGGTTGCAGAGGTCGAGCGATGTAGAGCATTCAGGTAGGTCGTACTCTACCGAGGGGCTGACGCACCGGCCCGAAGGATTCTCAATGAAGCTGATGCCCGCGCCCTTTACCCGGATGCTGCACTCAGGTCAATATATCAAGATGCTGAGCTGCACACTGTCGACGAGTTCTTTGCTCTCGCGCCGCCAGAGGAGACCGATCCGAGCGTGGTTTACGACGAGCACTCTACGATGATCGCGCGGCTAAAGTTCGAACTCTCCGAGCGCGAAAGGTGCGTCCACCAGCACCTGTTCCGCCGGTATCCCCGGAAAGAATACACGTTCCAGAATATTTGAGCTGACCTGCGAACGTTTTGTACGTGCACAAATCTACAGACTAGCCGTGGAGCAGAAAGCGCTGCTGGCCGAGAAGGCCGAAGCGTCGCGGATCGCCAAGCAGAAGAAAGCAGGCCTGATGCGCCTCGAGCCGGACCTTGCAAACATCATCAATGCAGCCAAGCCGATCGGCGAAGCGTTAGACAAATTTCTTGCTTGAGAGGGATGCAAGCTCCTCGGTCGCCTCATTCCGTGCAGCCGAAGCGCTGTGTCGGCATTTCATCTGTACTTGTATCCATGGCATTGTAAAATATCGACTCATTGCACAAGATTCCAGGACGGCGGCGCAGGTTTGGGGTAACAGCTTCTTGGCCTTGACATCCGTACACAGTATGCATTGGAAAAATCAGTAAATGAATAAGAAGATAAGATGCAAAAGATTCCATTCCATAACGTATCCATGATCCCTGCGTGCTGCCATGCTAATAAAAGAGTTCATCCATCCAGACATCCATTCCAATCATCTCTCCGTCGATGCGTCGGTGTGCTTGAGCCAGTGTATGCCGCACATTCCGCATTCAATGCACCAAGTCGTCGTGATATAATGAGAATGCCAAGGAGAAATCCAAGCGAAAGATCGAAAAAGTGCATCGCGATCGCCTCACCCGGCCCGCGCACGCTGATCGACAATCTAGCGTTCTCTGCATTCAGATTCAGAAGGGCAAGACAGCCGCGGCGCCGAGGGCGGCAGCCGCGAGTACGGCAGCGGCGAACGCCGTCGCGCCACTGCTGACGGTGCTCCTGTCCGCGGCGTTAGGGGAGCTGCTTGCGCGCGTTGAGCTCGCCGCGGGTGCGACGATCACCGTGTTGGTGCTCAGGCTGGGTGGGGTGAATGCCGCGAGACTTATCGAGGACGCCGTGACGGTCGAGGTGCTGACAAAGACCGAGGTGCTGGTCGATAAGGTGGAGGACGAGCTACTGGACGAACTGCTGGACGAGTTGTTACCGTTGTGGTTGTCCGCCATACCACCCGAGGGAGGGTTCGACGTCAAGCCGTTCGATGGAGACGGCTGTGCCTGGCAGTTGGATGTTGCGGGTGGCGGGTGCGCTGCAGGCGTGGAAGGCTGGCCTTGGTACTGTATGCGAGAATAAAGGGGTATGTCAGTCGGCCAACCCCTCCGTTTCAAGCGCAGAGGGAAAAAAGAGGTACATACGAAGGTCGACTTGAAGTTGTTGTAGATACCAGGTGGGTCGCCTGCATCACCTTGGCAGTCGTCGAAGCCTTGCTCGTTGTATGCTAAGGCGAGAAAAGAAAGCATGAGGTGCGCAATATACATGAGCGCCGGTGCTAGCACAAGCGGTCATGGAGTGCATCATTTTGAGACTTACCGTTGGTCGGCATCACCCAGTTGCAGCCCATGACATCGTAGATGTGCCTGCGGGTAAAAAATGTGCAAGTGGCGTAAGCACGCAATTCCGCAGGCGCAAGAGCGTCAGTCGACTTACTGGCACAGCTGTGCCTGGTACTCTCCAGAGCCAGCGAGGCAGGCGCGGAAACAGAACTGATTGGACGAGATGAACTGCATCCACTCCATGCTCTGCCGGTACCCGCCGCCCATGGCGTTCGAATAGACAAGGCCGCCGATCGGGTTCCCGTTACCGTCAGCGCCGTGCGGGTCCAGCTCGCCGCCCGCGTCGCCAGCCGCGACTCCGATGCGCGTCAGGTCCCCGGTGCCGACAACCTGGACGAAATATGGCGTTTTCACAAAGTGCGAAGAGGTGATCGTGCCGTCCGGAATCAGGCGCGTACCGTACCCAGACTTGGTGCAGTAAGAGATCTCGTACCGTTCCGACTCGCCGATCGTGGCGGTGGAAGGTGGCGTGAAGAGGCAGAAGTCGTCTGCAAGATCATATAACAAATGGTCAGCACATTTGAATCGAGCTCGTTCATTTGACCACAGGAAGAACAATGCCCATCGTCTCAGCCCGGCCTGGCGCGACCGAGCCCAGGCGAGAGCACATGTCGCTCGCTCTATGTCTCACCAGCAGAGTTGATGTAAGCAGTCTGACAGTTCGAGTTGGCGCTGGATGCGCCGAACTTCTGCGTGCACTGGTTGGTACCGGTCTGACCAGGCTGCCACGTGTCCGGTGGATTGTTGACGCTGAAGCTGGGCTGCTGCTGCGCGGCGGCGAGCGTAGCGCTCGTCGCTGCCAGCGCGGCCAGCGAGGTGGCGATGGCGGAGTACTTGGTGTTCATCTTTCAGGATGGTGCGTTGACTTCCTTGTCGGCGCGAGGGTGGGCGATCCACGATGATGCTGGTTGGTGAGATAGGGGGGCAGAGGGAAAGAGAATATTACTAGGCGCGTCTGGATGGAATAGCTGTGGTCCAAGTGTGGGGAGATGAAAATGCGCTCGGCGCGTAAATGCTATGTATGTAGTTAGTATAGCAGCCGGGAAACTGGTACGCGTCGCCGCGGCGATGACCTGCCTTATAAGGTAGGATGAGCCGAGGTTGGGTGTAAGGAGGCGTGCGCAAGTTGAAGCGGTGTGGTCGACTGGACGTTGAGCTGCCAGTCTCCCTTTATAGACGAGGATGGATCCTTCACCATCGTGATCGTCATGCGACCGCGACCGCCCAGTCTACGATTCCCCTTTTTTGTCTAACTTCTGTTTCTTCACGGGTGTGTTGGGTGTGTTTCCAACACCGTTCTGGGTCCTGGCTTCGGTGTTCCTGCTTCTCTGTCTCTTCGGTGCCTTTCCTTGGAAGTGCGGTGTGGGAGGACATCCACAGCACACTGCTTCAGTCGCTGCCTCCCCGCTACTCCGCCATCGAAGGGGGTTGGTAGCTAGCGGGAAAAGAGGCTTGTGAGAACGTTCTGTGTGCACAGAGCTTGAGACAATCAAGCGAGGGGACTGCCGTGAGTCAGGCTTGGAGAGATCAAGTCTCATACAATACGAAGGTGTCCCATGGTAACCCAAACGGGGCTCGGGATCCCGTGGATCGTGACGCCGTCGCCACGCTGGCTAGCCTTGCTCTCGTTCTCACCGCGTCGCCGCTCTGCTGACGCGGTGGCCCGCCGCGCACCCAGTCACACTGTCATTACTAGCCGCACGCCCAAGGTGGATATCTAAAAGGTACGGTGCAACCGCCCCCGCTTAACACTCAATACCCAATACTAACCACAACCCAGCCCGCTGCTTGTGAAAAAGCCCGACAGCCGGCACGCTATTGCGCTCGTCTCTGTTCGCTGCTGCACTCGTGGCTGGTGTGTAGCTGCCCTCAAGCCACTGAGGGCTTGTAAGACAGCCTGTCGGCGTCGGGCCCCGAAGGCTTCTGCGTATGGGAGCGGTGTTTCGTGACGAGGCCTGCTCAAATGTATCAAGCTGTGAGAGCATCAAAGCAGGAAACAGTCCGACTCGTCTTGAATTGCAAGTCAGACTTTTGCTGTCTGGAGTAGAAAAGAATACACGAGGCTACACACAATTCACAATGCTCATGTCGTTTTCAAAAGACAGGTGGAACTAGTGCAATGTTCAATAACAAGTTTGTAATGACAGAACAGTACATGCGGGGTGCGTGTGATGTGATATACGTTTACATAGTGTGCGCGTCTACGATTAGGCCGTGATGGGGATGCTCAAAATGCCTGGGGGACAGTGGGCATGCCCTCAAAAATCCACGGACTGTGCAAGTTTTGCTACATAGGGGCGAGGGAGGTGGGGCGAGCAGCGGGTATCAGTCAGTCTGTGGTCTCGTTATCCAATGTACACTCGGGGTACATCTGCTCACCCCTCCTTAGTGCGTCCGTCTCTTTGACGATCGCCGCATTGTGCTTGTCGAACAGCTCGACAAACGGCCGCAGGCTGGTATGGTCCCACGCGTGAACGTTAGGGTCGACGATCCCTCCGTCCTGTTTGTGATGCTTGCCGTCGCGCTTCAGCTGGCGGATGTACGCGTCCTGCTCACGCAGCAGCTGCGCCACCGTTGGGCAGTCCTTCTCAGGGTCGAACACATGCACCGATGACACGTCCAGCGGCACGCACACGCGCCCCGTCGCCGGGTGAACGACAAACGGACTCTTGAGAAGGTGGTTGAGGTGCTTAGACACTTCCGCATCGATACGCGGGTACGTATATTGCAGGATGATGTCCTCGCAATACGGCTTCCACACCTCTTCCTTCTTCTTTGCATGTGCCATCACGTCCTGCCACTTCTCCAAGCTGCTCTTGCTGCCCTTTGGCCCGGCAGACTCCCACTTGGTCCTTAACTTCTGGATTGCTTCCGTCTCCTTGGGCGGCAGCAGCGCGAGCAGGCGCTCCCAGCCTTGCTTGTCGCGGAAGCAGTCCTGGTCGCGCAGTACCACCTCAGCGAATGCAATCGACAGAGGCCCAGGCGCGCCATCCTGCCCGAGCGCACGCCGCAGCGAAGGATGTAGAGAACGCCCCGGCATTCCCGCACCCGTGTCCACTTTCTTGTTCTGGTTGGCGCTGCCGCGCACGACTTCAAGCCAGCCAACGATGGCCTTGCGCGCGTCATCCGCGAGGCTGCACGCGCTCCGGTCCGACACCCAGCAATGGATACCACGCCGACCGGAGTAGACCCAGAGCAGATGCTTGAAGCCAAAGTCGTTGCGTAGCGCGTCTTCCAGCACTTGCACCGCCACAGCGATGAATGCCCAGCAGCGCTTGCAGATCCCTTTGCCTGTGCAGCACGTGCGTATCTCGTCGTAGTCTGTCATGTCGATATCAAAGACTAACTCGCGGAACTGGGGCCTGAATGAATTCTTACTTGCGTTCTTTTTGTCCTTTGGCTGTCCGCGTCCAAAGGGAAAACGTCAGTGACATTTGGCCTGTAGAGATGCAAACCTTGTTCCAGACACACCTACCTTTCCGCTGTATACTGGCCCGATCTCGAACCTTGCTGGATTGAGACGCACCACCTCTTTCTGTAGCTCCTGCCAAGTCCCAAATGAGTTGTATCGCAGGTAGGCGTCGTTTTGCAATGTGAATGCGAATTCGCGGTGGTCGAATAGCTTTCCTGGCCGTTGCACAAGGTCATGATTCAGCCAAGTGAAGAGACTCTTCCATGGCAGCAGGAAACGATAGAAGGCAAGCATCGCCATTGTGTCTGTCGATTCTCGCTGGTCCATTCTGGTGCAGGAGGAGGCGGAAGCAGCCCCGCGGCGTCAGTAAAGCGCATGATGGTGCAGCTCGCCTTCGATCCCGAATAAAAAGAGGAGCCACGCAGCTCGACACTCACGCTCTCTCATCAAAAGCCGCCATGACCGCATCCATCTGCTCGTCATCGCCTTCCCACTCCATGTTGATCGGGTCCGGTCGTGCCGGCCCATACGGCGGTGCAACGGCTGCGACTGCGGCGGCTGCCATGATGCCTTTAGCCAACCTACTTTCCCGTCGATGCAGAAAGTGATCCAGAACCAGGACTGTGGCCAATATACCAAGCTCTCATTGGCTTGCAACAGAGCATACCAAGTGTGTAACCTGTAAATTGGATGTCCCTATCGATGAGATCGATGTAACTTTTGTCTCGCGCGGGGTGTCGTGAGGAGTCTCAATGAGAAGACGCGTCGCGTCATAATCTATGGCGGAGGGCCTGTGTGGCGGGCGAGGCGAAGACACGCGACGCGTGTCGCCCACGGGAATAACTGAGTCTCCAACACCGATTCAATTGATCCTGCATGTCGACCAGAGAGGGCAGGCGGGGACAAAGGGCAGCGTACAGAAAGGAGAGACGAAATGATGCAGATGGGCCAGGCGCAGTGACTATGGTACATGACGTATAGGACAAGGAGCCTGTGTGGCCCCCCCTTGGCCAGTGTACGGGTAGCGCGCGACCGACAGAACATCGATGAGTGATTACGATGCTCGTCCAAACACGTCTGGAAGTTTCTCTTCGAACGCCACAAGGCGATCCACCAGCTTCATGTCTGCAATAAAGGATGATAAACATCATATTTTCATTGAATGGTCAGAGAAATGCATTTATGCGAAGCCGTGAAGCAAGAGCAGAGAACGACTCACCTAGTTCTGGCCCGGTCATCTCGATCGTGCTGAACTCCTGTAGCACGTCACCAGACTTGCTCACTTTTCCAATGATCTCCACATATTGCAGGTTAGGCCAGTCATGCTCTCCCAGCTTGAGATCCAAAAGGAATCCACATGGTCAGTATTGTGCGCGATAGGAGACTCAGGCGAGGTCGTCACGTCAAACCGACAGTCGATAGTTGCCAGCGCTCTCACATTAGCTATGCTGACTTCGATCAGTCCTTCATCCGAACTCTTTAGCATGACGACATTTCCTTCTACCTGTTGAATCCGAAAAAAAAATCAGCCGACTCAAGCGCTGACAAACATGCGGGAGCGCAGAGAGGCCCCTTGTAAACGACACAAGACTTACACGTTCAACCTTGCCAATCACCCGGACTGTCCTGCCGGCAAATGAGCCCAGTCGGGCTGAGTTGATGTGCGGTGTCGCCCCTGTATCCATCTTTGGCAATGCCTCTGTATATCCCCCAGCTTTGGCTCAGCTAATTTCGAAGACAACTGCAAATACTAATTGACTCCACTTTCAGATGAGAGTCAGATGAATACATTGATGCCTTAGTGAAGGGATCAGTGAGCAAACGAACATGTGGCCGCGCGGCGGTGGGGACTGGGGAGCTGCCAAGTGGATGAGCATACACTTGTAGAACATCACCGAGCTATAAGACCCATGCATCTACAACGCCATGTTTCTGGGTATTCAACAATTTGTGTCTGACGACACCTCGCCATCATTCAAACGTCACTCCTGATCACGAGAAACGCATTGCCCGGCGGGTAAACAAGCAAGCACTATGGCCCTTACAAAAGAGCAGCGAGACACCTTGCTGCTCGCTGCCCAAAAGGCACGGGACACGAGCTACTCGCCTTACAGGTACGTTCCCTCTCGCGCTCCTCATCATGCTTTTTCGTCGCTGATGGAGGATTCTTTCTCACTCCTCCTCATCAGCAAATTCCGAGTGGGGGCAGCTCTTCTCTTGCAGTCGGGGAAAATCATTCCGGGTGCCAATGTCGAGAACGCTTCCTACGGTGGGTGGTTGAACAAAGGGGGCTATCAACCGCTCATCGATGATCGCACCCATGGCTGACAATGCGTCTACTTTCCCTCTCCTATTTTCCTTTCGCGACCCCGCGTTTCCACACGAAACTCAGGAGCTGCAATTTGTGCAGAGAGAACAGCCATGGTCACCTATGTGACCTCTACGCTCTATCAGGCGACGCCGCGGGACAAGATCGTCGCCATCGCCGTCTCCTCCGACCTCGATAGTCCATGCAGCCCCTGCGGCATTTGCAGGCAGTTCATCCGCGAATTTACAAGCCTGGATACGCCAATCCTGATGGTGAATACCAGCTGGAAGCCTTCATCTACAAGCGGCAATAACACTGGCACTGAGGGCGGCGGCCCCATCGAGACAGCGGAACACCTTGAAGATCCATATGAAGGCAACGTGCAGCCCGCAACGGTTGGGAGCGAGAAGGGCGTGACCGTCATGACGATAGAGCAGCTACTGCCTCTCTCCTTCGGGCCTGATGCCTTGGGGAAAGATCGTAGCCATGCATGAAGCACGTGAAGGATCCAACGTTGCACAGCGACCGTTGGGCCCAAGCAGACGCCGCCGCAGAATCTGAACCATCTGTAGCATACAACAGCGAGATCGTAGGGATACAGTAAATGAGCTACTCCGCACATGCGATAGATGGCACGCTTCGTTGCAATCAGTACCGCAGCCAGCCATACTTTGCGGCTTTCTTCTCCTTCTTCCGTTCCCTGAACCTGGCGAGGTCCTTCTTCGTCAACCTCTTTTTGCCCTCCCTCTCTTCCTCCTCTTCCCTCCGTCTTTTCTCCAAGTCCTCCTGCCAAGCTTTCGTGTCGAAGAAAGCTTCCATCTGCCGATTCGCCTGGGACGCATGCGTCATGCGCGTCGGATCGTACTGCCCACCAGCGCCCAGCGTGGCCTGTGCTTGTGGAACAAATTTTCCCTTTCGAGCGTCAAAGTGCCCGACGGTACGGTATGATCCGCCTGCCGAGACTGCGCCAGCTGAGAGTGATGATGATAGCGAGGGGTCGAGGAAAGCCAAATCTGAGTCTATTCCCGTCAATTGCTCGAATATCTCGCCCTGAGACGGAGCTGCATTTGACGAGGCGCTGGCGTCGGCTTGCGCGCCTGGCTCGTGCAACTGCTGACCGTCAGCAGTAGGTTGAGCTGAGCTCGACGAGGTCAAGGGATTGATCCAAGTCGTCTCATTTGTCGCCGAGTTCCAAAAGTAATACGCGCCTCGAGACGGGTCCCAAACTGCCGCAAGGGTACGTCATCAGCTTCAAGATTTCGGCAAAACAAACTCCGAAGTGTAATGATGCCCACCTGCTTGCCATGGATGCCCTTGAGGTTGCCTCCCGTCTCCGGGGCTTTCTGAAGGAGGCTCTTCCTCTTCTGGCAATGGCGGTGCCTCATCTTCATCTTCTCTGGGCAATGATGGTGGCTCGTCTGGAAGTGGAGGCGGCCCTTCGTCTTGCGCTTCGCTAGTATTTTCGTGAGGCAAAGGTGGTGGTTCGTCTGGGAGCGGGGGCGGTCCCTCATCTTCCGCGTCTGGGTCGTCTACGCCCGTGTCACCCGCTGCGGGTGGAGATTGAGCAGAGTCTTCCCGTGAGCGGTTTGGACCCCACTTGGAGCCATGATTTGGCCCTATTCGATCGTGTTCGTCGCCCGAAGTGGATGCTTCACCATCTTGAAACGGGGCCTTGCCCTTGCCCTTCGATGCTGCCGCTTCTCGGGAGGCCATGCTGCTGATATGAAGAAATTCGGAACGAGCTATCGGTTTGGCTCCTTCCCTTGATCGATGCTGTTCACACCCAGGCTACCGGTCCTGAGACGTCCAAGCCATCCAACATACATCGACTTGAAGGGACGCATGAGGTCGAGGACTAAAATGACGAAGGGAGGCTGAGTGGATGACCGATGACTTCACTTCTGCTTGTTGGGCGGGATTGCGGCCTGGTAATTCATCACTGGGCTCAGACAGGTTGCAGTTTTTTGGCAGTTCCGCCCACGAGGTGAAGTGAATTGTGGAATATGTCCCTGTGGTCTCTCTGCTCTGCTTTTCAAACCTCCTGGTCAGGTTGGATCCATCTCTTCTAGACCAGGTGTTTCAAGTTCCAAAACTCATGCCCCCGCTTGCTAGCCGGCCGCAGAGCTTGCAGAGAAGGTCACATAGTCCAAGCAACAGTCAGCAGACTTACCGCTCGCGGACATTTCCGGATTCCCAGGCTGCCAACGAACGGAGCCACGCTGTTGCACCCGTTCGCCCACAATACTTTTTATTTTCAGCAGGGGAGGGCTGTGGTCTGCAGTGCGCGGAACCATTCGCTCTTCCTCCAGTCGATTGCTCTCGGTACCTTTCAGTGTGTCTTGGGCGGCACCGGCTCCGACCATGACTTCTGTCGCGCATGCAGTGGCAGGCTTTACCCATGCCAATGCCTCGACGTCGTCGTTGGCTGACTCCTTGAGCAGCCTGCAGGGATCGAGCAGCGGCAGCCATGTCTCCTCTTCGCTGGGCACTGAAGACACAGCCATCCCAGACCTTGAATCCTTCCCACCAAGCGGCGTTCCAAAGCACGAGAAGCTGAGCGGCTACGAGTTTTACCGCTCTATTGGTTCGCCTCGCAAGATCGTTGCCCCGATGGTAGAGGGCTCCGAATTGGCTTGGAGGGTACTCAGCAGGCGGCTTGGTGCCGATCTATGCTACAGTCCAATGATCAACTCCAAGATGTACGCTGGTACAGCAAAGGGGAAAGCGCGACCTGCTTTCCGCGAGAACAACTTTTCAAAGAAGCACGCCGAAGAGGGTGCGAGTGCGATTACGCGAACCGGGAACGCAAAGGACACTGATCGGCCACTGATCGTGCAAGTGGGTACGCATGGCTTTTCCGTCACTTCTAGGATTTACTGACAGTATTCCCCGCTTATTCAGTTCTGTGGAAACGAACCGGCTCTCCTTCTCGAATCAGCGCTGGACGTCCAAGATCACTGTGACGCCGTCGACCTGAATCTAGGCTGTCCGCAAAACATTGCCAAGCGCGGTCATTACGGTGCATTCCTGCAAGAGGACTGGTCACTCATCTTTTCGCTCATCAATACACTCCATCTGGAGCTCAAGGTCCCTGTTACGGCCAAAATGCGTGTTTTCCCAAGCGTGGAACGCACTGTGGCATATGCAAGGATGCTCGAACGAGCAGGCGCACAGTTTATTGCGGTCCATGGCAGGACGAGGGAGATGAAAGGGCACAAAACCGGCCTCGCGGATTGGAAGAAGATTGCAGCTGTCAAGCAGGCCGTAAAAGTGCCGGTGTTCGCTAACGGAAACGTCCTCTACCCAAAGGATGTCGAAGATGTCCTGCGAGTTACCGGAGCTGATGGCGTCATGAGTGCTGAGGGCAATCTATACAATCCAGCTATCTTTGAGGAAAAGTCATTCTCCTCTGAGATGGAAGACTCAGCAGATGCAGGGCCCTCGAGGCCACCAATTGTCAAGCCTGTTGCGCAGTTTCCATTCATTCCCGATCTGTGCGACGAGTATCTCGACATCATCGTTGCGCTCAAGACCCCAGCCTCGCCACCAGCTTGCAAATCTCACATGTTCAAGCTCGCGCGCCCTGCACTGGAAGTACACCCAGATCTGCGTCGAGTGTTTGGTCAGGCGAAATTGATTCCAAGTGCAGAGGGTGAGGAGCGTGTGAAGGAGTACCGAGCGGCAATCCATACGCTACGGGAGAGGCTCGAGGCAGATATGCAAAAGGAAGAATACCTACGCCCGCCTGAGGTGCCGCGCAAGCACTCAGCTTCGCTCCTCGATGCAGCATCTGACGCAGACGTGAAGCATGCTTCGCTGAACGACGCATCTGATCCGGACCGACCAGCCTACATTCCGCATTGGCTCGCTCAGCCTTACTTCCGTCCGCCCATGCCTCCCGAAGAGCTGGAGAAACAGGCCAAGCTCAAGGAGGCGAAACAGAAGAACAAAGATAAGAATCCTTCCCATGGAAGGCTGATAGAAATCAAGGACGTACAGGCGAGGGCAGATGAGGCAGAGAATCAGGACGAAGACGAGCTGGTGAACGAAGCTGGTCTATCGACCAGCAAACGAAAGCAAGAGGGTGAGGGAGAGGAGGGAGAGTCGGCTGACAAGAAGAAGTTGAAAGTGGGTGCCTGAGAAGGATCACATGTATGGTAGACCGCTCGATGCTGATTCCCACGATATGCATAGGACCTGCTTGTTGATGCGCAAGTGCTTAAAGCCGAGGCAAATGAAGCTTTCGCGAAGGGCCAGTGGGATCGTGCTGTTTGCCTCTACGACGACGCTATCGCGCTCCTGCCTGCGCGCCACAGGATGGACGACGAAGGATCCGATGATAGTGGAGACGAGATGCAGGCGCAAGACAAGGGAAAGGGCAAAGCGACCGTGGAGGAGGAGGGCGAGCTCAAGACGCCCGCTGTGCTCGCCGAGGAGCAGGAGGTGTCGAAGCTGCGCGCAACATTGTACTGCAACATGGCGGCTTGCCACCTCAAGCTCGAGCAGTACAAAGTGGCCGTTGCTGCTTGCGGAGAAGGTGAGCGCCAATGCAGGAGGGGAACATGTGCCCGCTCTGAACAATGTTTCTTCCTCGGAACCTTCTTTTCACAGCTTTGCTGGACGCTCCAGGCTACGTCAAAGCGTTGCACAGGCGGGCCACGGCTAATGAGCACATCGGCAATTGGTCTGGTGTTTCATCAGCCCTAGATGGTAATATCTTTTCGAAGCTACTGCCGTTTCCGTTCGTCTCGCTGATGCATTTCGACTTGTTTGCAGACCTCAAGGTCCTGCTTACACTTAAAGACACGCCTGCATCGCTAAGGCCATCGATCCGCAATAAGATCGCTCAGTTGGAGCCGATGGCAAAGCAGCTCGGAGAGAAGGAGAAGGACGAGATGGTGCAGAAATTGAAAGGTATTGGAGACAGTATCCTCGGACACTTTGGCCTGTCCACCAAGAACTTCAAGTTCAAGCAGCAGGTGAATTTCTTTGACACCACACGAGCTATATCACGCAAAGGCTGACATTTATTCTTTGCGCACAGGCCGGCGGAGGATACAGCATGGACTTCATCCGTTGAGTCTGGTCTATGATTTCGACCAGACACCGTGAGGGTGTGTTTTCTGTGTAAATAGAGGGAAAGCCGACACCTCTCATTTAGCCTCCCCCTTTTGGCCATGGCGTGTAGGGGGAAATCACTCACATTGGCAGGAATTGAAAGAGAGGCGAGGGCAGCACATACGCTCCTTCCTGCCCACCGCTCCAGAAGCTCTACTTCGTCAGGCGTAATGAAAGCTGAGGTTGTGCGATTTGCAAAGCTGGAATAGGCGCAAGCATTACATGCATGTTGCATCCGTCAGGTTCTGCTGAGGGGTGTCCAAACAAAGGCGACAGGGAACTGCTCTTGCCGACTCACATCATCTGCACGGCTCCGGTCTTGATCTTGGGCGCCTCTGGCTCTGCGCTGACATTGTTGGCGCATAAAGCCAAGTGATTGATCAAGAACGTCTCCATTTCTAGCGTCGAGATGCCGGGATGCCTCTGCTCTAGGACTTCGATGAGATTTGTATTTGCGTCTAGGAATGCTGCATCTTGACGGCCTTGCGAGCCATAGAAGCTGGTTCATAGACGGACGATTCATGAGCCTCAGACCAGGATGAGGACTCGGACCAAAGCGCACAGACATACCTATCAGCACTGGCGTTCATCACGTTGCCCTGGACCTTTGCCTTGGCGCCATGAAAGAATCCATCTTTGACCTCAGGCGTCTGCTCCTCCAGAGCCTTGAGCAAAGTGTCATGTACTTCGCGGTCGCAGTCTAAGGGCTGGCTAATGTTATAAGGCTCTATGGAATCAGACGCGCGCTGCTCGGCTGTGGTGGTGGGATGAAAATAGTCGTAGTTTCTCGTGATGCCAAAGGATGTAAACGGCACGACGACGGTGCCGATTGGGAGGGTGGGATTCAGGGACCCGCACTTGGTGGAAGTTGAGCGAATGGGTCAGATGGATGTGTTCATTGAAAGGTATATTCTCTGATTGCTGCAGCTCACCGAGCCTAGGCTGCACAAATGGATAGCGAATAGCAGGTAGTTCTCAGTCGGAATTCTCACTCGGGGACATGTGAACGGCGTTTGTGCAAGCGATTCTCACCGTACTACGATCATGTCTCCCTGAACAACGGCACGGCATTCGCGAATGAAGAAGTCAACGACGGGGAACCCCATGCCGATCGCGACGACCGTGATGGGGACACCGTCGAATGTGCCGGTCAAAGTCAGCTGGATTGTGCGTTATTTTCAGGCGAAAGGACGAGAGCGTGGGTGAAACGGTGGAAGCGGTGTAAGTAAGGTTTGCACGGATAGTTTTCGGGATGCTTCAGAGCCGTACAAAATTCCTCTGCGAGTTGTGCTCAAAGAGAGCCTTGCCGCCGTCGAATTGGCTTGCGATTCGATGGGCGCGAACATGATCGCCGACGGTGATCTGGAGGCTCATAGAAACAGGCCGTTCATGGAGGCACAATTCGTTAGTCACACACGTCAGATCTTGTAGTTTGTACAATTGATAGACGAGCTACCTACGATTCGATTCGCAACCCTGGAATGAGGCGAGGTCAGACGCAGTGCAGACGAACGCCAAAGAAGGCGGGGTGACAGTAATGAAAAGGCTATACCGAAGGAGTTGCATAAAGTAAGCCAACTAACTCACTGTCCAGCTTTCGTACCGACCTGAACGCAACGTGTGCCCCGGAGGAAATGAAGAGCAAAAAGAGCGCATAAGTGACACCAAGCCCGTTGCTTTATATGTGCACGATGCGAAGTGGACGAAAGCGGGAGCAAGAGACACTACCCACATGATACGTGCGGCCCTCGGCGTCGCGCGGGAAGTTGGCGTCGAGGAGCACTTCCTTCATCTTGGGGGCCCTGTTCAGTTGTCAACTGTCTCGGAACCCGATACGTCGCTGTCGTGTTTGGTGCGGCAGTCTGAATGCTTCCTGTGCATCTGGTTGATGAGATTGCACAGTGGCCATAGCGGGGTCACCGGTCGACACGATCATTTCCAAGCTGTTGCTGTTGGGCCGCCGCGTGCGGAGTGCTGCACGGGCCCACGGGGCTTTTCTGAAGTCTTCGCTAGAGTGTCTCCCACTCTCGTTCGGTTACGACCTCCAGTAACCATAGCCGACGACCACATACGCATTAACCATCCAACACTCAACACCTCTTTCAACGCAGACCAACGATTGGCTTTCGATTAGTACAATCCTTAAATAGGCCATCATGCCTGAAGTCTCATCTGGGCCATAGTGGAGTCCTGATACAAATGTCGTTTGCAAAAACTGGTTGCATGCCCAAATCTATTTACAGGTATATTCGTAGTAGAGAAACATCGCCCGGAAACCCATGTAATGCTGATGGCTTCAGCGTACGATACTTTTGATGCTGATGATCGCCTCTGTCCGCTTCAAAAGCCGACTGATGATATAAAAGATATTGAGGAATACATGGCACTTATGCCGCCGGGCCCATGTCCGCCTTGGCGGCGAGCTCCTCGCGGTCGATCAGGTCAGCATCGCGCCCCTTGGTCTCGGGCACAAGGAAGTACGTGACGATGGCGCCGAGAATCGAGATGCCGACGAACTGCCCATTTGTAACGCCAAGCGCCGAAGAAGTCAGTGGTTCGTACACAAGCGGAGAAGAAATTCCACCAGCAGACTCACGATCCAGAAGTCGACTTCAGTGCCTCGGTCGCCGCCGATCTGGCTAGCGATGGCGCTGAAACCGAGCGAGGCGAGGATGGCACCGCACTTGCCGCAGGCGGCGGAAATACCGTGTGCACCGGCACGGACACGCGTTGGGAAAGCCTCGGCGGGGATGATGAACGTCGTGGCGTTGGGGCCGAAGTTGAAGAAGAGCTGGAGGAAGACGAAGACCACGAAGAAGCCAGCGGTATCCTTCTTGAGCCAGTGGAACGTGCCAGCGAGAATACCAAGGAAGAGCGCGTTGAGCAGGAAGCCGACGAGCTGGATCGGTTTGCGGCCAATGCGCTCGATTGTCGCCATGGTGAAGAAGTACCCCGGCAAGAAACCAGCTACGGTGATGATCAGGTTGCCGGTCGCGGTCCTCATCAACTTGGACCACTGGCCCTCGGGCGTGGCGGCACCATTGGTGAAGCCGATGGCAGAAAGAATCGTGGAGGTGTTAAGGTTGATGCCGTAGAAGGTGATGTCGACCAGGAACCATGCAAGAGAAGTACCAATGAGGATCTTAAGGTGCCGCCACTCGGAAAAGTACTCAATAAACTCGTTGTGCGCCTTCTTGCCGATGGTGGTAAACTTGAGGCCAACTGCCTGGTTCTCCATAGACGAAACATCGCTGGCGTCGCCGTCAGTGGGCTTCTTGTTCAGGTCATCGTCCGAGTCGACCGGGGCGGCGACCATGCCCTGCTGAGCGAGGATCTCAGGGTCATCCTGGATGCGACGAGCCTGGGTGAAACGCGTCGACTCGACCAGAGTGAGGCGGAAGTAGAGTACGGCAAATGCAGGGACGAGAGCGAGACCCTGCATGACGCGCCACGCACCAGTCAGGCGGGCGTAGTCACCAGCGACGACGGGGCCACGGTAAGCAGCAATAACGACGACGGCAACGACGGCACCAACAAGGTTACCCCAGCCCTGGTTAGAGAAGATCCATGAGAGTAGAAAGCCACGCTTCTTAAGGTGGGCACGGTCGGAGACGACGGCAGCGGACATGGGGTAGTCACCGCCAATGCCGATACCCATGACGAGACGCCAGCCGAAGATCCACTTGGTGACACCGTCGGGGCCGAGGTAGTTGGGGGCAGAGATCATGATAATAATGGCAACGATGACGATGATAAGCTCTTTGCCGTAGACGGCCGAGCGACCGAACGAGTCGCCGAGGAGACCGAAGGCGACCTGTCCGATGACGTTACCAATGTTGGCGGACGCCTTCAAGACACCGCCGTTCAGACCCCAGTCGACGTTGCTCTTGAAGTGGTGGGCACCCTTGGAGGGGTCGGGGAAGTAGGCAAGCAGGATGACGGCGTACATCATGTTAATGCTGTGAGAGTCATCGAGTGGAGGGGGCTCACAAATCAGAAAGGATTTGTGCGCCACAGCAAGCAACGATACAAACTCACATGAACAGGTCGTACGCGTCCATCATAAAACCGACACCGGCGATGGAGAGCAGCTTGACCTCACCGAGCGTGATGCCAAGGAAGGCCTTCTCCTTCTTCTCGACGAGGGCAAGGGGCGCGTTGCCCTTGGCGCCCGAGTGGTAGGCATCGAGATCAGCACCGAACGGCATCTTGTTTGTTGCAAGTGTCGTGCGGGTGAATGAGTGGAGGAAGAGGGTGCGTTCGAAGCGCTGCTGCGGGCTTCCTGTAAGAAGCGCGTTGCAGAGGGTGGAGACGACGAAGCGCGAGGATGTTGGTGCAGGTCACAGGGATGGAAGTTATGGAAGTGAGAAGAGGGAGGGAGGGAGGTTCTTCTTATATCCTTGCTCTTTGCTAGCTAACCAGACGACGAAACGTAAAAAAAAAAAGATAAAAAGCCCATCTGTCTCGAATGCAGAGGCGATGGCGGCGGCATGAAATTGCGTCCTCTGAACACACAGAGCCGCACACGGGAAGCAATCAGCGGCGGCGGTATGGCGGACGTTTGCACCGGAGAGGGCAGGGTTGCGTGCCGACAAGTGCGGGAGGAGCTCTCTCGGCCAGCAACAAGGGTATGCATAGTTTCACGTTCCTTCCACGCACGTTCTCAAAACGCCACACCCCCACTGCCCTGTGCACACAAACACACGCAGGGAGCGCCTTTGGGCATTCGGCCAGCCATTGCTCGCAACACCGCAGCTTATAGCCCCCACAGCCGTACGTATAGGATTAGATGTAGTGTTTGTGCGTCCTTTCAAAGCACTTATCTGGTGTCCAGTCAGTCGCAAACGTTCAGACACTGCGTTTACACTGGCCAAAAAGCAACGCTATCGTGCCGTCGGAAGGCGAACTTTTGTTCCAGGACAGCGGCCCGTGCAGCGTTCATGCAATCAATGTTACACAGCAGCTCTTTGTGTTCATTTTGAGCTCGTCGCACCACACGCCGCTCTTCGCCCCGCTTGCTGCGACTCAACTGTCGAGGGGTCTCTGACTCTGTCTTAGGTGTGCAGGTCACACTGGACGCAAAGCCTTATCCCGCCTGCCCCTGCAGCCGCCGGGAGGCCTCTCTCAATCTCCCGCTCCTGCGGCTCAACCTGGCAGGGCCACCTGACGTGGCCTTCCACGGTCCAGGCCCGGACTCGGCGACGGCAACTCGCAAGAAGAAAAAATATCAGCCTAGGTCCAACGTGGATCCTCATGCGGCCTCTAGCGTGACTTGCGTGTGTGACAGTGGTCAACGTGCACACGTTCTCGCATTCTGATTGGCTGCTGCTGAATGTGCCAAGCCCTCCCTCTCATGCTCCGTGGGGAAAAACTGGGCAGATGAAACACATCCACACCACACAGGGCACGTGTAAGAGGGCCGCGGGACGATTCAGCTGCGCCAACAGACGCAGTGCATGATCATGATACCGGAAAGTTCGCGGTGGCGGCAGTTTGGCGGTGAGTTGCTCTCTGGGAAGTTTGTCAACTTGAGTTGGGCATAGCGTCAGTGTATGTGCTGTGAACATTTTGAAGAAAAAAATCTGCAAGTGGAATGTTCGTGTAGCTCATACATACGTATGTATGTACTTTGAGTGCACATTAGGCTGATCACCGATAATTATTTGACATTACCGATCTGGCTTACGGTCGAATCCCGAAACGACGGTAAGGTGGAAAATGACATACAATGTATCGCAGACTATTGGCAGGTTACACTGCTACACATGCTCAGCAGATTTGATCATGAGACGCATTCTAGCATAGGGTGCGCAAAGGCAGATATTAGAATACCACGTCACAGAACGAACGACACCGCCTTTCTCATCGTCATCGTGTCGTTAGTTGACTGCAACGATGCATTTTTCCGCCGCGTCGCGTTTCATGTAGAGTATCATTGATCCAACATTTGCAACAGTCATCATTCTCACTCCTGCTTCTTATCTCTTTCCCCTCCGTCTTGCATCCTAGATCGGTAATGTCGCGCATACAACATCCACATCTCTTTCTTCGGTAGCATCTTCTCGCGTAGACTTCTCAACATCGACAGCAGGACGATTTGGCCTCTTGGCTCTAGTCCGCGACTGTCCGGCGAAGTGGTCAAGGCGGTGCCGCCGAATTCAAGCAAGGGAATGGAATTGGAATAAAAGGAAGAGTATTGCATGTAACTACCCCGCTGAATGAAGGAAGACTAGGTTTGCTCAGATACGCATTTCTACACGCACTTTCGTTTGGCGAATTGCTTCTGAGAAGCATTCGCGAGACTCGGCGCACGAAAGCCTCCCTTGAACATACTCTCATACATTTCGCCCATGGCGGCATGGACTAAAAGACTTCTATTTCACCATCCCAGCTACCTGGGATGGGCCTTTCCCCTTGGCCTCCCTTAGCTACCCCGGAAACTCGGGCCGCATCGTGTGCGTGCTGAACGCTCCCGTTACGGCCTGAGGACCACAAGCCGCCGAGGCCCAGAGGTGTCACAGCGCCGTCGCCACCGTCAGTAATCACTAGACAAGAATGGATCGGGCGATCAGTCCACGGTCTATGCTCCCAATTGATGACATCAGGTGTTATGCAGTCATCATCCGGGCATAAATACCATCGGATGTTAAAAGGTGAAGTCACTAGTCTGAATGTCAGTAGACGAGGCCTCTGAACTTTCGGACATGTACGATTAGGGACGCTAGTTGGTAATGCTCCTGACACTGGTAATGACTAATAACGACCAAAAGAGTAATCACTATGCCACTCCATCACGTTGCGAAAAAGCTCCCAGCTGACAGCGCCTGGAAGCAAATTTGCAGACGCTCGATGGTTGATGAAGGTATGCAGAACTGGTGGAGAGTCCCAAAGTCTGTCCCAGGTTGTCCTGGGGCATGCCAGATTGCCAGATGTATGAGGATGCGCAGTTGTCCAAAAGTAGACCCACGCAGCGGTTTGCACGACTCCCGATTTCAATGTACGTTAGGAGCACATCAACAAGTGGTTTATCAAGACTACATCTGGTGAGAAATGAAGCTCGTATTTTGGCTCACCTGGTCTGGTGGTGGCTGAACTCCCTTCAATTCTGAATACTCACATATCCAATCTCGATCCGGTCGCCGAGCTTGGCGTCTTGTTATGATGCAAATATTCGTACGGATCCAGTTACTCAGACGTGCACCGACGTACACGGACGCACATGTGATGCATTCATAGGTTACGATAGAATGCGTAGGCCGTGCTGCGCAAGTCTACAAACGCCGCGGGTGCGCTACTACGCACTTACGGAGACGTGCTACAGAAAATTAAAAGTTAGTAAGACTGCTCTCCGCCTGCACCACGCAGTACAAACTTTTTCGAAGGCGGGCGGCCCATAGACCTCGTCACTTGGATGTCTGCCCTTCCCTTGTCACAGTGCATAGTGAAGCGACAAGCGCCAAGCATCAAGCATTATCATTGGCTCTGAGAGTCTGACAGATAGCTTCGTGACCGTGACCTTAGACTTATATCGCAAACAAACAAGGTCATGTGTTAATATGTAGCATGTTATAGCCTGTCATAGCATGTCGAATGTCGAGGCTTGTCGTAGCTCGTCCCTCGGGACGGCCTTCGGCTGTCGGACATGACCGTGCCTTAGGGTCCACATTTAGCATAGCTCGTTAGCCATCTCAGAACGCACAAGCCATTTGCTCATTGTGTCGAGACAGGCTGAGACCCTGCTGCATCTGCTGAGCAAAGGCTCTCCCGTTCATGATTCCATGATATGTCAGCAAGCTTGCAATCATATACTACACAGTCAATTCTAGATACAAATGTGGTCACAGGTCGATACGCTTGAGTCCGAGCCTACCAGAGCTACCGCTTTCATTTAAAACGCCGGTAACTGGCCGGCTACAAGTGCATAGTTCGATAGCCGGTAAGCGGTTCGACATAAGGACATAATGTATGCAGTTCAACACTCTACCAGCTCTCCCCAGGTGACAGCAGCCACAGAAAGCCCCACCTTGGCAGCTTACACATTCGCCGTGGCTTGGGCCATGGGGAGACTCATGAATGATGGAGACACCGGAAGAGCTAGGAGATGAATGTCAAGACCACCATACCTGATGGCAGCCGATGATGCACGGCTGCGGGCTTGCGACAATAGTTGGACGCTCGATGACCGTTGACTGTTGACTGTTAACCGTTCACTATTGACCTTACTATTGACTTCTGACTACTGACTCGGACCATTGAACTTTAAGCTTTGAGCGTTGAGCGCTTGAGAGCATTCATCATCATTAAGACCGAAAGGTCTGGTAAAGAAAACAGGGATGCAGAGGGGCGCATACACTTGTGCCGGAGAGTAATCTCGAGTGCCGTCTTGCACGCGCAATGTCGACTACGAACCTTGCGTAATGTTTCGAATGGACGGCATCGAGCCACGGCTAGAATACAACGGACTGTACAAGGAGAGAAAGTAGGGCAATGAGTATTAGGCGTACTTCTCAAGGTCGAGTGTGAGGGTAGAGCTGGAGTTGAGGTCCTGATCGCGGTAGATGCCGACGAGTGCCTGCGACCTCTCGTACAGGGACGCCTTGAGCGAAATGACAATAAACTGGAATGCATCACTGGCATGCTGGCGGATGTAGTTGCTGACCTTGGCGACGTTCTGTGAGTCGAGCGCTGCGTCCACCTCGTCCAGGACAAAGAATGGAGCAGGCTGGTACGAGTGAATGGCAAATAGCAGCGCCAGAGCAGCCATTGTCCTCTCGCCACCTGATAGCTGGTCCATGTCACGGAAGCGCTTCATGGGCGGCATGGCGTGGTACTTGATGCCGCTCAGGTAAGGCTCCTCTGTGTCTTCCAAACTGAGATAGGCAGTGCCTCCGTTTGCCGCGGCCTTACCCTTGGTGAGCTCCTTGTAGATCGGATCGATGCGCTCCGAGATGTGTTCATATGCCTTGTTGAACAGCTCGCAACGACGCTTTTTGACCCGCAGGAACTCATCGCGAGTCACCTTGGCATCTCTGCGCGAGCGCTCAAACTCTTGCTCCGTCTCTGCCAGGCGCGTCTCGGTGTCGTCCAATCTGATGAGACCAGCAGATGTCAGCTGTCGCTTTATGGCAAGAACTCAAATCCAGACATTGCGTACCTCTCAGTCGCCTTGAGATTCGGCGTCATACGTTCAATCTCTGAGACAATGTTGTCAATGCGCTCCTGAAGAGTCTGCGCCATCACTGCAGACCCATCCTCCATCTCCTCCTCCTCCAGATCTTTGAAGGAGACTTCAATACCAAAGTTGTCCACCTCGGCCGCCTCGGTTGAGTCCTCGTCGAGCTCCATCGAGTCAGCATTTGGCGCTTCGAGAAGCGGGACTTTAGTCAATGAGCCTTTGACGAGCGGAAGGTCGATGTCCTCGAGCCTGCAGCGGCGATATAGCATGGCACGCTCCGCGCCAAGCTTCTCGATCGTGTCATTGCACGAGGCAATCTGCCTCAAGGCGGCGTCGAGCGCTTTGGTCGCCTGATGCAGCTGCCGCTTTGCACCTGTGTACACTTCGCGAGCAGAATCGTAGGTCTTCTGCAGCTCCTGCAGAGTGTCGCTCGCGCTCTTCATGTTGGAACGCAGTGTGACCATCTCGGCCTCGATCTTCTCCCGCTCAGAAGCCGCTTCCTCCATCTTGCGCTCTTCTCGCATGTGCGCCTTCTGCAGCGCTTTGATCCTTTCCTCGATGCTGGTCACGGTCTGGGTCTCAAAATTGAGCTGGTGCGTGAGGCGCTTGAGCTGCGTCGCATATTGCAGCTTGGCCTCGTTCTGATCTTCGAGGATCCTTAGCTGCTCTTGCTCGTACTCGCGAATGTTGGCCACGCGGATGCGAGCACAGAAGGCCGAGAATACCTGGTCCTCTTCCTGCTCGACCTTGCTGCGGAGGCGAGTGGCTTTTGATTCTGCCTTTTCGGCCGCGATCTGTTCACCTGCGATCTTTGGCTCGATTTCTTTGATCTGCGCATCGACCACCTTGAGCTCGTCCTTGGCACCTTGCAACTTGCCTGACGTGGCACGGTGCTCGTCTCGTACGGCTGCAAGCTCAGCTTCGAAGTGACCGATCTTTGCAATGATATCATCATCACTACCAATGTTGCGCTTCTCCTTTTGCAGATCCTTGAGCTCAGAGATGCACTGCTCGCGTTGACGGTGCAGACCCTGCATTTCTCGTTCCTCCCATCTTCGCGTCGGACTCTGCCCAGACTGACCACCAGTAATCAGACCGCTCTTGTGAATGACCGTGCCATCAAGCGTGACGGCTTTGACCTCCTGTTTGCGCTCGTAGACCACGTAACGAGCGACAGTCATATCGTCGCATACAAGCGCATTGCCGCACGCATGCTGGATGGCTCGCTGTACATTCGGCTGGTACTTGACAATATCGAATGCGAGACGAGCACCCTTGGCGATACTGCGGAGCCGATCGTTCATGGGCTTGATCTGGATCGTGTCGAGCGGGATAAATGTGGCCTGCCCTACTCGTTGATTGCGGAGATACTGCAATGGTGAACAAGCACGGGTACGTCAGACGTCAGAGAAGACAACGCAGGCGCGGCATCATTCAAGGCTCACCTCAATGCAGTCGATGGCGGTCTTTTCGTACTCCACAACAATAGAGTCGGCGTTGCGTCCAAGCACTGTCGAAATTGCGGCGGCATACTTTTGCTGCGTGGGCTCGCAAAGGTCGATCACCCTGCCACGCACCCCTGGAAAGATTTTTTGCAGGGTCATGATTGTCTCTCTCATCTTTGCCTCTTTCTCGCTTTCCTTTCGGTCATGGCCTGCCTGAAGGAGTTTGTTGTAGCACTCCGTGAGGATACCATTGACTTCGGCTTCACGTTTCCTGTTGGAGACAAGCAAGTTAGTCATGATCACCCTTTGCATAACAACCCGCTGGCGCTACGCACCGAATACGTTCCCTTTCCCTTTGTACCGCTTCTGCATCTGACCGGACATCTCGCAAGTTGGCTTCAACCGTGTTGATGCGCGCTGAGGAGAGATCAAGTCGGGTCTGTTGCTGCTCACGCTCTTGCTCCAGATGTTCCTTCTGAGAATGAAGCTGGCGAAGCTGGTCGTTGACATTTCGTAGAGCCTCTTGCCTCGTACGGATCTGTCGTGTGATGGAGTCGAGCTGCTGACGCTCAGAGATGGCTCTTGCTTCCGCTGTGGCCTTCCTGCAGAGTCAATGCAGAGCATTCAGCCGGAAACGTTGAGCGAAAGGAAAAGAAAATTCGATTCACTCACAGCTCTTGGTATTCTGCAAGATCGCCTTCGCTCAGCGTCACGCCCTCCTTTTGTGCCGCCAGCCTGCGTTCTTCCGCTGCGTGGTCTGCCGCTGCTTGGGCCAAGTCTCGGTCTTTCTGGAGCTTCTCCACCGCGGCTCCGTGCTTGACAAGGTCGACCTTAATGCGCTCAATCAACGACTCGGCATTCTCGGCCGTGCGACGGGAATAGGCCAGGCGCGTCTCTACCGCATCAAGCTCCGGTTGCTAAGAAGGATACCAGTTCAGAACGCAGAACACAGGGGGTTCCGAAAAGCAGACAGCGGATGTATGCGCACCTTGTCGGCCAACTCTGTCTCTGCACGCTTCATTGCCTTCTCTTGCTTGATCATGTCTTTTTGGACTTTGGCCACGTCCTTCTTCGCGCTGATGACGCCGTGCTCCTCAACCCCATGCGCTTCGCGGAGTTCGTCCAGCTTCTCGCTGACCTCGCCGATTGTCTCCAGCTGCGTGGTCATGTTTTGCTGCAGGTGGTACAACTTCCACAAGATCTGTTGAAGGACATGAGCATCCTGTCACAGGAATAAACCTTTATATCAGTCTCAAGTATCTGTGATGTGCCGGAGGAAACGCACTTTTTCGTCAAGCAGTTGCTCGTAGCGCTCTGCCTCAGTCTTCTGCTCCTTGAATTGTTTCAGCTCTGAATTGATACCTCTCCGCTTGTTGAAGTTGAAGGTAGAATTGTCAACAGCCTTCTCCATAGCCGCCTTGGCTTGGTCGTATTCGTCTTGCAGATCAAGCGACCCGCTGATTCGATCCACCAACTTGCTCAAATCCTTGGAGTTTTGCGAAGCGACGGCTTCCACATCACCTTGGAACACTAGAAAGTTCTTCGCCTTGACTAAAATGTTGTACTGCTCCAGCTTGCTGTTGTACTGGGCATAGGATATGGACTTGCCGTTGATGCGGTATTCACTACTCCCTGAGAGGTGGATGCTGTTGTTGGAAGTAGAGCGCGTGAGTGATGTGGACTGTATGCGCCTGGACGGCCTATCTCTATCGCACACTCACGTTCTCTGAAAGCGGTGCTCAATGGCCTTGCCATCTCGGAACACTGCAGTGACCGACGCCCGCTTGCCCGATTCCTCGCTCCTCGCCTCATGATCTGGGTCACTCAGATCAGACTCTCCATCCACTTCCTCTGTACCGAGCCTTCGGCCTCTATAAATCAAGTCCTTCAGTTGGCTGGACCGCAGTTGTCCACTCTTCACACCCAATACGAAGGAGATCGCATCCATCAAGTTGCTCTTGCCACTTCCATTGGGTCCGACTTGAAGAAGCAGGTTTTGTTAGACACAAGCAAACGGGAACAAAGAGATGGAGAGGAGGACTCACTAATGCAGCTAAAAGAGTAGAACGGCCCGATGATCTGCTTGCCGCGGTAACTCTTGAAGTCTTCGATCTCCAGGCGGACGAGTGGCATGGTTGCAAGTTGCTTCGTCTGCGCTCCACACGCAGATAATCCAGTGCAACTGTCCCTGCTCCTTTGACAAGGCTAGCTGGTAACTTTGACCGCCAGCATGAACATGCTCACGCAACAGTGTTCAAAGATATAGGTATTTGATGCCTGAGAGCAAGAATGAAGCGTTTTGAGGTGTGGGCGGGCGCTTAACAGCCAGCCACGTGCGAGGGCGCGACGCGTCTTCACTTGGGCATCCCGCACGCGTCGCGTCTCTCCACCAGAACGCGTTCCGCATCTTTTTTTCTTTTTTTCTCCCCTTCAGCGTCGCCAGCGGAGCCTAATCACAGGCCATGTTGAATCTCGAAACCAACATCGAGACGATTCCTCGCATTTCCAGCACATGCCCTTTTGATCAGAATGGTGATGTATGCGGGCTGAGGCCAGCGATACGCGTGCGCTTGAAAGTATGTTGTGCGCAAAAGCCAAGCGCCGAGCAGATCCGACGCGAATTACATCGCACGTGCGCATCAAAGATGACGACAGACCCAAGCACGTGTCGATGCGCGGTTGCGGCATGCAGACAGGCAACTGCCTCCGCTTTGCAGCGCATGCGCGTTTAAGCCACGCTCCTATATACACAATGACCGTGCGTATATATGCACGGCTGCATTTGTACGCATATCTGCGCCAAGCTTGCACAAATATGAAAAGTTACCGGCTCGGAAGACTTGAACCTGCGGCGACCGTGAAGATTATCACCTTGCCCGAATGGACTCGAGACGGAATTGCACGTGACGCAGTCTTTTGTGAGGGTTGCCCATCCCCAGCACCTGCGACAAATTAGCGGCTTCGCATCCTAAGCCTTCCGCTGTTCTGCCAGCAGCTCGAGGAAGTGTACCATGTCTCGAACACCAGTCCTGACCCGGATCGAGCCAATGCGGCAGTGAGCCTCCCGAGTTCGGAACGGAATTACTGTGATAGCAACTCACAGGTCCACAGCAGACGTGCCTAGCACATCCCAGATCGTGTCTACTGGGTCATCGGAAGATGATGACCCTGGTCGCTCGGAAGATGGTGTCACAGCTGCACTTTCAAAAGCAGAGGGCGCTGGTGTCTCAGTCTTGCTGGCTTTTGTTGCGGACCTCGAAATAACGCTCGCCAGTCTTGAGCCCCACCACAGCCGTGCTGTATCCTCGAGCTCCGATATTTGCTCGGTTTTATACCTGGATCGAGTCTGGCCATCGACTCCCGTAAGCTGGTCAGTCTTGTTGAGGACGATCAGAAAGGGTACAGTGGACATGTGCCTATCTTGCATAATGGCGGCTGCACGGTATGGTGTATATGCTTCAGCACATATTTTTTCAGCGCCGCGAAGTCCAACTCACCTAGCAGGTCCCATGACATCGCTGCCTGCGCTCTGAGCGCATTGGCGGCTGGAACAGGATTTGGGTTGGGCATTGAGTCCGATGGTTCCTCAGATGACACCTCTACATCGTCCCACCATCGGGCATCCACCACCCATAGGAGCGCATGGCTCTCTTTGTAGTATTTCTGCCATAGCTTCTGCATATCCTCTGATCCACCCAAGTCCCATAGCCGTAGCAGATTCCCTGTCAACGGCAGCTCAAAGATGTTCTGCCCGATGGTAGGCTTGACCTTGTCAGCCGGCAGCCCAGGCCTATTTCCATGGGTGGTCTTGATGGCCTCGATGAGGCAGCTCTTTCCTGCACCCTCAGGGCCGAGAATAAGCACATTGAATGGGATTTTGCGAGTCCACTCAGAGTAAAGACCCGAAATAAGGTGCAGCATGCTGGGCTTTGGGATCCGCGAATTCAAGGGGAGGGCCGCGGACCGCAGCCGCAGCCGATGCGTAAGCCTACACCGCACCGGTCGCTGCGATGTTTCGGTCCTCTGGAACGTCGACGCTCTACCCGCTATCGAATTGGGCATTCATCGTCATGTGAGGTGACAATACCCCCGAGCAGGCCAAATCTTGCTACTACATCCTCTGAGTGACCTGTGTCTTGATGAGCCGCTTAATAACAAGGCGCGGTTCCGCGGAAATGAATTTTCTTTCCCAAATGAACCGTGCTACGCGTCATGGCGGACAAGTCTACCCGTTGCTCACAGGCTTCAGACCAACACCGTCTATGTAAGTCTCATCTCTCGGCTCGCATTTTTGTGTCGTCCGTTTTGCAACAGGAGAACGCGCAGCTTGAAGGCATGGTAGCGGACGCCAATGACATAGCTCGCCAGCGGTAAGACAGTGGGCGGCGATGAGGAAGGGCTATGCAGAAACATGGCGCTGACGGTACCGATGCGCGATGAGATGTGCAAGGGAGGCTCATAGATGTGCTCACGCTCTTAATTTACAGAAGGCACGCCACACAACAGAATCCGTGCGCGCGCCTCCAGGTTCGACGTCAAAGTGCCAAATTAAATGATTAATGAGCTGAGCCAGCTTGGCTTCCAGCGAAACAAACACCGTACATCAGATCAATTCAGATGACAGTCGGCTTGGTCAGAAAGTTAGAAGCGTTTGGTAACGCTTGGTCAAACACAAAGTGCTGGTGCTTCTTGTGCGCACGTCTACCATTTCTGACATAGGCGCTGTGTAGCCCCCCCTCCCAGCATCATCGGATTCCTGCGACGTTTCATAAATGCTCTGAATCTCTTGCCTCCCTTTCTGTCACCGCATATCCAGGACGCCGTAATTCTGGAATAAAGTCTCCACCCATCACCCCCTTTCGATTCTCTCAGATACCCTGAAAGCCAACTTGGCCGTCCTTGCACTGAGTGGCAGCAGCAACCGAAGGTAAATCAGCCAAATGTCAGAGCCTTGCTTGTCGGTTGTCTCTGCGCTGTCTTCTCAGCCACAGTTGCATTTGCCACCTGCCAGTGCTCGCGTGAGAGGTTTGGCCGAAGATGCACGAAAGAACAGACGAAGAGAGCAGAACAGAAGAGCGCAGGAAGCTCACCGTGCAAAGAGGCTTGCGCGACTGCGAGAGGTACGTCAAGCCTACTTGAAGGGACATCACCACTGCATGGCACCGATGCTGACCACGTCTGCTGTTGTGGCGCAAACAGCTCGAGGATATGGTGCATGAATACGAGCTACAGTGTCGAAACAAAGACCGTCAGATCTACGAGCTCCAGCGAAAGCTTCGCACTTCGAGTCAGGCCGGAGATCAGCGCGAGTGTCTTGAGCGAACGACAACAACAATGATTCAGCATCGATGTGGCACCAAGGACGATCCCAGGAGGCGTTCGCAAGACCAGCGCTTTGCTTCCTCAGTCGAGCATCGTCTCGCCCTCTCCGACGCGGTCACGAATGATAAAAAACAACCATTATCACGGTCAATGCCAGTCGGGCCGTCTCGCAGCAATGGCGAAGGACGCTATGAGGTACTCGACCGTATGCTGCCTGTGCCATATACTGTTTCAAGACCAAGCGACTCGCCGAACGGACAGGTTACGCTGTGCCAAATTGCGGACATCCTCAAGGAGGAGAGATCACCCGGCGTTGAGCAAAATCCAAAAACACCTTGCCGCAGTAATACATGCTCACATCTCATAGCTCTGGGTTCTTCGAATGAGCAGTCTCTATCCATGCTAGCGGCAGCCGCAGTCTCCATTGAACAGTCGGGAGGGCAGCCGTCACGAAAAGACAGCTTGGGCGCGCAAGACGCACCGATGGATGAAGACTCTGCGGGATCTCAAGAGGCTGGGGCAAAGAAACTGTATGTCAACGACGAGTCAAGCTTCCACCCTACCCCCGCCACGGTGCCATCGATGCCACTTTCGAGTCGCAACACTGCCATGTCTGCTGCACTCCCTATGTCAACGCTTCTCCCCTGGCACAAGCGCAAGCAGCAGCAAGATCATGTGGATCAACGTTCTCCGCTATGCCTCCACTTAGCGCCTCTGAACAGGTCAATTTCATCCTCCTCGACCTTTTCCGAAACCACTGTTTCGCACTGTGCTACCACGAGTGCCCCCGAAATGGCTTCTACCGCGACGGCCATCGGTCGCATGCTTTCACCACCTGCACTTCCAACAGCACCATCACTGTTCCCGCCGTCGAAGGAAAGGCTTCCATCGCTGTCTCAAGCTCTCTCCGCTACGAACTGGCACCCCCACAGTTTGAACCACCATCCCTCGTCGTGGCCGCCTGTCGTGTCTGCTTTCGCGGCGCATCCACATTTGATGGCTTCAGTATCTTCCAATTCCATGTCTTCGTCCTGGTCGCCGCCACCCTCGTCGGCATCTTCGTCTCCACCTTCATCGTCGCCGGCGTCGTCATCACCATGTTCGTTCACGTTGCTTGCTACGAAGCCTGCGCTCGCGCAATCACCGGCGTGCCCTTGAATGCGCCTGACCCAGCAAAGAGGGAGTGCGCATGGACCATTGTCCTTTGAGACTCAAGACCCCAGCTATTTGGAACGCAAGTGTTCTCCTAACATTTTTTGGAATTCATACCTAACAGCGCACTGACCCGTCCGGCACCGCGCGATCGCACATTTCTTGTGGTCACTGTATCGTAGGGTTCTACTTGAATCATGCAATGCTCTTCCCAGCAGCTCGAGAGGCGAGGGAAAGCTCATCGGCTTCCGGATGACGTATGCGTAAAGACCTGTCCAATATTCCATCGCGCTTACGAAGCATAGCTGCAATTTGCCTGATAAAGTGTACGGCTGCAACAAACGACGAAGGACCAACTTTGATTGGCATGGCAGCTGCCACACCGCCGCTGGTCGTCATCTTGCAGGTGTTCAGGAGAATGTCACGTGACAACGTCTGGCAGCACTGGCCCATGCGTATACTGTGCACTCAAGTTCCAGCTTGGGCACTGTTTCGCTTGCCCATTACTCTACCGCGCAGGCTAGTATTCGTCAAGTTTGTGCTATCCCAGATTTCCACGAGCTTCTATCGATCGACACTAGGACGCTTGTGCTGCTGCTGTTCGTATCCGACGGCTTCCGGTGCAAACACATCCCAAGCAGCCCCTTTGTACGAGGGCTGTGCCTGTTTTCGACTGCATACCCAGAAGGAATTGCGCGCAGATCCGATCTGACAGCGCCGGGAGAGAGCATATCCAATCCCCATCATACTCAGCCTGCTACCCAGAGTCCAATAGGGTCCCTCCGCGTGAACAATCATCCGCTCGTTCTAGAGCAACAAATTTCGATAGCCAAACTCGCAAGGCTCGGAGACTGAATCGAAAGAGACAACGGGACGAGGACTTCACTCTGAGAGGGTTTCTGTCAACCATTCGGCAGTGTTCCATTGATTGTGCGCTGGTCTGCAGACCATTCAACAGTGATCTGGGTCTCGATTAGCAAGCAAGAAAGGTACATTTCATTCCTAAACGGAGAGCTCACTAATCGTCGGCAGGGATAGCGGTTTCAAGCAACACAAGCGCACGCCAGGACTCATATCTGCATCGTTCCTTATTTGCTTCGAGAACCATATCGAAGACAGGTTCAAGAGGAATATTAAAAGTGCAGACATATATCTGAGTGAGTCACCATCGCTCTATATTCCTTTTCCTCCATTTATTGTCATCCACAAAAGACCAGTCCTTTCACGAAGCTTTGGGCTGACATTTTCTCGCTTGGCTTCGAATCATCTCCGCCCCCCTCGCAACGCTTGCACTGCACTGATTCCGCATCTGTGCTGCACCTGAACTCGATAATATGTTTTGCTCTGCTGGTCCCGATCTTTCCGCAGACCGCACACCTGCACCATCACGCCAGAAAGACGCGAGCGACGACTTCAACATTGAAGCTGAGCGCAGCATCGACGAGACGGAAGCGATCCTGCTTTCCAGTGACCGCACGCCGCGTGACACGCCAACGTCTACGACCGCCAACGCAAGCACCCTTGGACACTATACACGTCTCTCGCGCCAGCTTGGCATCCCTCTCTCGAGACAATTCCAATCGAGCATCCCACGACTTCTCGATCAGCTCTCGCCGAGGTCTGCTGAAGGTCCCGAATTTCATGCCACGTGGACCAGGCCGAACCTTTACGGCGCCGTTGAATCCGCTGCCGCAGCGGCTACAGCTGTTGCTAGTACCGTCGGCTGTGACTACGGGAACCGTGAGCCTGCTCAAGACGGATTTCTGAATCAAAATCGCGCTCCAGGCACACACAGATATTCACTTCTTTCGCGCCTGGAAGACGCTTGCCTGCAAACCGCCGTCGCGCACATACTCGAAGAAGACTGGGAGCGTGAGGGGCAAGTGGCCAACACCAAGTATTGCAAAAGCGCCGCGCGGTTCCTTCTTGAACAAGAGGATGACCTGTGGCCTTTGAAAGAGCGTTTCCAACGTCTTCCCGAGACTGCCAGCCTTTCGGAAGCATCCATTCCAAGCAGCCTCATGGTTGAAAGCGATAGCAACAACAGCAAGTTAACCAAGATGAACGTCAAGCACACGACGCGCTCTGCGCCCAAGCTTGCAGAGTTGTCGCCTAGCACCTACGTAGAAGAGCCGGTCCTCTACCCTGCATCTGCCGCAGACTCGGCTGCCGCTGAAGAAAAACCGTTTGTCCAAGGTTCAGCTCAATCCCAAGCGCACCTGCCGGCTCAGCTGCAGGCATTCGCAAAGCCAAAGACGCTCGGCGACAAGCACAAGAAGGTGTCATATCTTCAACCGCACTCGTCTTTGAGCGGCCCACCGCCGCCTCCATCCCCCGCCTTTGCGAGTGGCAACAAAAGCCCCTTTCCCCATCCGACTAATGCTGCTTCTACTGCTTCTCCCCCCAGCGGCGGCGGCGGTACTAGCAAAGGCACACCGACTGCCCACACCGTCGCCTCCGCATCTTTGAGCAAGGAGCGACAAGCAACAGAAGCATTTAAACATCAGCATGAGCACAACCTTGAAGGCGGACTCTCACAAGCTGCGCTCGTTGGTGAAGCCACACGTAAGTACAGCTCAGACCGTACGTACCATCCGCGCAGGAGCATGAGCACCAGTAGCAGTCGACGCCTTGAGCCTAGCTTGAGCGGCCATTCGAACGCCAGCTCCGTCGCTGGTGGCGCTCCCAGCGCCGGTAACCTGCTGGGAATGGGCGGCATGGGCTTCGCGGACGGCATCGGCGGCGCGGGCCTCGGAACAGCCGCAACCGGCGACTTGGGCGAACGGCATCAATTCGAAACCCTGTTGCAGATCCGTGCGCAAGTCCGCGAGCTCGAGGCTGCATATGACGCGCGGCATCCGGACAAGCCGCTCTCCGGGCGCCTCATCCATGTTTCGCACTACATACCCTTTGTGATTCGCGCGTTGGCCGAGGTGGACTACGAGCAGAAGCAGCAGGAGCGCGCGCTAGCCACTGACAGCGTCGCTGCTATGGCTGCAGCGGCGAGGAAGAAGCGGGCGGCCAGGGAGGCGGAGAAAGCGCGCGAAGAGATGCTCGCGAGCGGCGAGCTGCATGCGCAGCAGCTTGCTTCTGATGCGCAGCGATTCAAGCGCTCGACGAGCATGGCTGCTGCCGCTGCCGCTGGCGCGAGTGGTGCTGCGGCGAATCTGCGGCTGTCCATGGCGCTCAATGGGCTTGAAGGCCAGGATATGGAGGCAAGGCTCGCGGAGAACCAGGCAAGGAGCCAGATGCGTGCCGGTCGACGAGCGTGGATGATGACGCCTGTCATTGATGACGATGACGATGGCGATGAAGATGGCGATGAAGATGGCGATGTCGACGCCGAATATGGCGCCGAGGGCAACCTCAAAGACCGCTTCACACCCGTGTCATCTCGCCGCCCTTCGCATGTCAGCCTTGGCGGCAACAGCTCCCGCGCTTCCAGCTTCGGTGCCGGTCCGAGCGGTCTGTCCGCAGGAAACATCTTCCCGCCCGCGCAAGAACCAGAGAGCAACAGCTGGACACCACCCGACGCGACATCGCTCCTCGCTGCCCAGCGCCCTGATCCGGTGCAGTGGGTCCTTACGCCGCGGCGTGGACATACGGCCCTCAACAGTGGCGTGCGGTCGCTGTGCAAAACCCACCATCAGACTTTCATCGGCTGGCCGGGCGACATGGTGTACCCTGCCCAGGCACGTTCTGACAATCGCACCGACCCTTCGCAGGCCACTGACGGCGAGCGAAGTGAGATCGAGAAGCTGCTAGCGGACCTGGATGACCCGACGAACTGGGCCGCGCACACTGCACCGGTCGTCGGCGCACCCAAGGATGGCAGCGGGCACGAGCCGATCAGCAGGGTGCCAACGCCGCTGATGAATGGCGCAGAACCTCTCAGCGCGAACAGGAAAAGCTTTGCTAGCAGTACCAACTTTTCTGGCGGTGCTGCTGCCAAGAGCAATGCGAGTATCCCTGGGGCAGGTGGAGCCAGTGCGTCGCAACGTGCTCCCGCCAAAGGCAAAAAGAGCGTCGATCACACAATCGATTGTGCTGATGCTGTTGCAGGTGAGGCATCCTCAGATGACGGACAGGACAAGGGCATCAAGTACGTTCCGGTCTGGCTCGACTACGATACTGCGCACGGTCACTACGAAGGCTACTGCAAGACTGTCCTCTGGCCGCTGCTGCACTACCTCGTCTGGCAGGACGTACAAACGGAGCGCAACGCAAGCACATGGGACGATACCAACACATGGGCTGCATACGTGCGCGCCAATGAGGCATTCGCGAAGAGGATTGCGGACGAGTACAAACCTGGCGATATGGTCATCGTGCACGATTATCATCTTCTGCTCGTGCCCAAGATGCTCCGACAGCTCGTGCCGGATGCCCACATTGCTCTGTTCATGCATGCGCCTTTCCCTAGCAGTGAGGTCTTCCGATGCCTGCCAAGTGAGTTGATACTCGCGACGTGGCATTTCCATTTTGGAAAGGAATCTAACAAGACATATGATCGTACTTCGCAGAGCGACGCGAAGTCATCGAAGGCATGCTTGGTGCTGATTTGGCGTGCTTCCAGGCATTCTCTTACTCGCGTCATTTCCTCTCCTCGTGCATTCGTGTCTGTGGATTTGACGCTTCTTACAACTCTGTCGAATCCTACAACGGTCACATCACCAGCATCTCATATAATCCAATCGGCATCGATGCAGAGAAGATCGCCAAGGACAGCATGGCGCCGGGCGTCAAGCCAAAGATCGAGGTGATCAAGAAGATGTACGAGGGCAAGAAGATCATTGTCGGACGCGACAAGCTTGACATTGTCCGCGGTGTTCTGCAGAAGCTTCAGGCATTCCAAAAGCTACTGGAAGAGTTTCCCGAGTGGCGCGGGAAGGTCGTACTCATTCAAGTCACCGCACCTGCCATTCACGACTCGCCGCAGCTCGAACGTAAAGTTTCCGAGCTGGTCTCACATATCAATTCAGAATTTGGCTCGCTCAGCTTCACGCCTGTCCACCACTACCATCAGATCATCGAGCGAGATGAATACTTTGCGCTGCTTTGCGTCGCTGACCTCGCGCTGATCACGAGCGTGCGAGATGGCATGAACACCACATCAATGGAATTCATTATCTGCCAAGAGCAGCTTAAGAAAAGCCCGCTTATCCTTTCCGAATTCACAGGCACAGCAGGGCGGATGCGCTCAGCCATCCAGGTCAACCCCTGGAATGTGTGGGGCGTTGCCAAGGCGATTGACTATGGTCTCAGGCTCTCGCAGGATGAGCGTCTATGCAGACACCGACAACTGTATGACCAGGTGACCCTACACACGTCGCAAACCTGGGCTGCAACTCTCGTCAAGCAGCTTGCCTACCGGCTGATCTCAGCAGAAGCGGCGCACTTTACTCCGCCACTCGATGGCAATTCTGTCCAACAGCAATTCAAGACAGCTGGCAAGCGGCTGTTCCTGCTCGACTATGACGGCACTTTGACGCCCATCGTCAAGCGGCCGGAAGATGCGCTACCATCCAAGGATCTCTTAGATGCCCTCGAAAAGCTCAGCAACGACCCGAAGAATATCATCTACATCATCTCAGGGCGCGATCAATCCTTCTTGAGCAAGCATCTCGGCCATCTGCGCAACATCGGCTTTTCGGCGGAGCACGGCTGCTTTGTCAAAGAGCCCGGCACGGACGAATGGCAAAATCTGACGCTCGAGCTGGACATGTCCTGGATGCAAGACATTCGCAGTATGTTTGAGTACTATACCGAGCGTACAAGCGGTAGCACCATCGAGCAGAAGAAGAGTTCCATCACTTGGCACTACCGCAACAGTGACCCGGACTACGGCTCATTCCAGGCAAAGGAGTGCCAGGCCCATCTCGAGAATCTCACCGCCACCAACAATCTGGCCATCGAGGTGCTTGTCGGCAAGAAGAACCTAGAAGTTCGTCCGCTTGCGGTCAATAAGGGTGAGATCGTCAAGCGCATCTTGTGGGACAACACGGATGGCGAGTTCGTTCTCTGTGCTGGGGATGACAAGACAGACGAGGACATGTTCCGGGCGCTAGTCAATCTAGGCAAGGGAAGCAACGGCGATTCTCCTCTTTTGAGCGCGACCATGACAACGTCCAGCAGCTCTGGCACAATCACAGCCAAGCCGAGCAACCCGGCAGTGGATCAGCTGAAAAAGAAAAGCCAAGAGGAATCACTGCTAGTCATGTCCCCGCCTACCCCGCTTAATTCCGCAACGCCAATGGGCAGTCCTCGCATCATGAAGCTAAGGCCCGAGGCAATCTTCGCAACGACTGTTGGCCCTTCGAGCAAGAAGACGCTAGCTCATTGGCACGTAGACAGCCCGCATAGAGTCATCGGGACTTTGCAAGGTCTCGCAGGTCTCAGCTGCTCCTAACTATAGAGCTTCTTTTAGCAAAACGTACGCGTTGCCTTCTCATCTTGAGTTCGTGTAAAAAGCAAGATATAGTTTCACCAGTGTTGCTCGATCCATCTCTGAAATAGATCTCACGCATTTGAGAGGCTTGCTCTAATTACAGCTTGGGTGCACGCTCAACCGCCTTGAAGACATTTCCATCCATACTGCTGTCTTCGAGCTGGGCAAGCGACGCCTCCCTGACGAGAGTCAAATACTCTTTGAGCTTGTTCTCCTTCGGCCAGATGAACTCGAGATATAGTTTCATACGCTCGTCGGCTACTACGTTGGCCAGTTGTAGGGCTGAGGCAAGATTGCTGTGGGAGACCAACCGAACAAAGGTGCGAGCAGCAATTGTCAGTCGATGCCGATTCTACCAAACCGTTTAAGCACACTCACTCGCGAAGAAGTTCGCTGGTATCAAAGAACATGTTGTGCAAGCGAAAGATAAGGTCCGGTATGTAGATCTTGCGCATCCGTGCGAGCTGCTCGAGGCGCTCTTCATCTGGAGAGGAAATGCACAAAAATCGTGGCAATGGTCACCCTATCTGCTTGTGGTACGAGGGACAGTGCGGTCACTTGTATACGAATCTCACCTGCGGCAGTCTCGGGCACGATGTCCAGCTTGAGCCAATCTTGCTCGAACACTTGCATAGCGGATCGGTAGGCCTCCCCGCAAGCGTGCGCAACAGCTTTGTCCCACTTTGCCTTTTCGGTACGAGTTGTGGACCTGATGGGCGATGCGGCATGATTAGCACATGTACTAGATGCCACAAATCGAATGAGGACTGGCAAGAGTTTAAGCGCGTGACTCACGTTTCGTTCTTTCTCTCGCTCCAAATCTGCACAAAGCGGTCATGCTGGTTCAACGCGTCAAAGAAGCTATGCCATTGCAGATGCTCGGTGCTTTGCTCTCCTGGCAAGTTAAAGCCTGCGGCCATGCCGACAATCTCTTGTGAAAGGCTGAAGAGGAGCGTGCGCGCTGCGTGCAGACGCCCAGATGCTACGCATCAACGACAGCCGAAAATTGCAAAGGGCCGAGCAGGGAGATGAAGCGCACGATGGGTGGTCAGCAAGAGCCAAGATAAGGCGGAGAAAAAGGGGGCGAACCCGCGAAACCACTTGGAGAAAGACTCACACAAGAACAGGCGCATGAGCGCATTGCTCTCAACAATGTAGTCTTCGTACGTGGCGGCATCAAAGCCGAGCCAGTCGACCGCTTTGATTAACCGCTCTTCGACAGGGCTGAGGCCAAGCTCAAAGCTGCTGATGTGACCCATCTCTTCAAGTAAGCTTGGAACCATCTTCGTGGAGCGAGAAACGGATCGGTTAACACGGCGCCACCAACATGGTTGGCCCCGGGCGGGGCCACAGCATACGTCTCGAGCACTCACAGGAATCGAGTCGTCAAAGACCAGTGCTACTGTGCGTCGCGCAACGGCTGGTAGGTCAAGATCATGATCCTTGGCGCGAAGCAGCGCGCTCCTCCTCGTGCCGATGTCAGTGTTGACATCGATGGACTTGAGGTACTGCGCGTATGAATCGACTGCATTTTGCGAGTCGAGGCTCGATGCGTACAGAGCAATCAGATCGTCGTCTTGCCCTGCTTCTTCGAGCAGCTCGACGTACAGACGCAGGATGGCGTTCGCGGCCAGCTCAGCGCTGCTGCTGTTGCTGCCTTCCTTGCGCGCCGCCTCCGAGTCGGTGCCTGCTTCGGGCGGCTGCCCCGCCTGGCCGTCCGCATCTGCATCGGTGCGAATGAGCCTGGCGAAGAGGATGTAGTGCGCAAAGAAGCGGACGAATCGCGCGTACTGCGCGCGCGTGAGGGTCGTACGCATGAGGCGCAGGCGCTCGTCTACTTGCGCGAGCAGCGAGTCGGTCGTGTTGAGGATCAGGTAGCGTTGGAACGTTCGAAAAGGGTCGTTCGCTTGTGCGCTGTGGAGTAACATGAGTGAAAATTCGTGAAGGAAGTCTCAGTCAGTGGTCTCCACAAAGAGAGAGCTGCTGGAGCACAGCTCACTAAATGCCATCGGTCTGCGTCTGCTCTAGTCGATCGAAAATTGCTTTGAGGGACATCTTCACCGACTCATCTATGCTGCTGTCGCCATCGATGCCTATCATCTCCCGCCCAGTTGTGCAACCCTCTTTGGCGTACCACCAGTTATCTTGCGCAGCCTCTTCCGGGTTCGCCCCAGCTGAAGCATCAGAGCCAGATACAGGGGAAGTGAGAAGGCGGTCGAGTTTCGCTTCAAAAGAAGCGTTCACGTACGCCCACAGCTGCTCCTCCCAGCTGTGTGAGACAGCGAGCACAGAGCGCAGGTCACCGCCGAGGCTGCCGTACAATGCACGCTCGTACGCGTCTGCATCTGCGCCGACGCCGGCACCTGCGCCTGCGCTTCCATGCGCACTCGCCACGCCGGAAGCGATCCGCCGACAGACGGCCTTCCAGAGGGCACGGTTGCGATTTCCCATCGCTCGCTTCTCCAGGCCCACTAAGCCTGCCGTGTCTCCGTCTTGGTAGGCGTCATCCTCGTCCATCCCTGTGCCCAGTAACGCTGGATCAGAGTAGAGCAAGCCTCCGCGCAAGCTTGCTGCTTTCCAATGCGCATTCATCTGGCGTGCCATGTCAAAGCACAGATCTAGACGCCCGTGGCGCGCAAGTTCAAATAGGAAGCGCCAGGATGCGGTTTCATAAGTGGCGTCTTCGAAGGACAGTGAGGTCAAGGTGGTGCTGGTGTTGGCGCTCCCGGAGGGGGCGCTGCTCGCGCGATTGGGAAAGTCTGGGTCAAGGGATATACCGGCTGCGTTTCGCTCTACGCCAGGTTGAAGGCCCATCGCGCCCGTGCGCTGCGCATTCCTAAGTTTGTGCTTGGTGAATGTCCAGTAGCCCTGTCGCACCTCGATGGGATGGCGTACGGGCAGCACATGCGCCTGCAGCCACTCGCGGATCACGTTCAGCTCGGATAATTGTGTGGATGGGGATGCGATGAATGTCTGTGCGCGCGAGATGGGCGGGTCGTATGGATTTGAGGAGAAAGACATCGCTGCTGTTTCCGGCTCCTCATCGTGGGTAATGCCCTTGGAGAGAGATGGTCGTGTATTTCGTTGCTGCTGGGGCTGGTACTTCCGTTGATGGTAGCGCTCAGCGCTGAGTAGGCCAATCAAGAGCCAGGTGCGCGCTTCCATCTCCCAGCCAAGCGCGTCACCATCCTGATCCCATTCCACCTCGTCTTCATTTTGCACGACAATCAATGATGACCCTGTTCCACCATTCCCACCTCGGCCTCCTGCCGAGCCGATCGACAGGCGCGCCTCTTCTGCGCGCGCTAAGCAGACCTGTGCAAACTGGAAGGCCGTACCCTGGCCGCTGTGCACGTCGAGACGCGTTGGCACATCGGCGTGTTGTGCATTTTGCAGGATTGCCGCAAATGCTGCAAACGAGGACGGGCCGCCGCTGCTGCCGCCGCTACCGCTTGGCTCGCTGCTCCGGCCGCCATCTGCTTTGGCCATGGCTTCGAGCACACTGATACCTTGTCCTTGATGACCGGCGGGGCTTCTTTACGAGAAGGGCGTCTGATTGGCAGGTCTGCCATACGCATGCATATGCGGCAAGAAGCAAGTCTCTCATCGGGAGCATAGCCAGACTCGTTTCTCTTTATGATGATCCTACAGACATTCAAGGTTGCTCTCGGCCGAGAAATGCACCGCGATTCGCGCATTCTAATTCATCCGCGCTCGCTGGTTGCACCGAATGCCCCGCAACCCGTTGCTCTCCGTCACACAAAATCACACACCGCAGCCAACAGAGTCCATCCGGAGCATGTGGTCCCCCTCCCAGGCCCATGTACAACCTCGACGGACATCCAACTCAGGGTCCCCTTCCCTGTTTGACCTTGGCCGAATCAGACACCATCGGAGGGGAGTAAACGACGGCATGGTCTGCGATGTACTGCATCGACGCAAATCAGCAGCTGATGGCGGACAGGCTGACAATGACGATGCACCGTGCACTCGGCCCCCTATGGACATTGACGCACACCCCGCACATCCCTTGCTCTGGATCAATGCTTTGCGTCAAACAGGCTGCACCAGATGTAGACTGACGAGCAACTGCTCTATGGGACCACTCCTCACTATGTATTTGCGCAAAGTACGAGTATTTACCACGTTGAGCTCCCGCGTCGCCAGTTACCCTTTCCCTAGTAATAAAGCAACATCGCAGCTTTCCGTCATTCTTGATTTCTTCACGTCCGTGTCTGATTCTCAACGAAACAATAATGTTGACCTTGCAAGGCGCAGCAGAAGATCGCTCAGCAAAACAGTATCAGAAGGACTACGTTCCGTCCAGAAGCAAGCGCGCGACAATTCATCCGGGCGTATTGCAGGACATGCCTTTTGAACAAGAGGTGTGCACAGCGCGCATGATGTAGCGCGGAAGAGCAGAGCATGCACTGACCACTGGCATCATTCGGCATTTCTTTGCTTAAAAAGAATGTGTATCTGCCGGCAGAGTGGAATCTCAAGCAGAAGGGCGTCGTCGAAAAGTACAAGGCGGCAAACTAGCTGCACGGCACGCATGAGAAAATCACGGGTGGCGATAGGGGTCTCGGTCGAAGTGTGAGCTCCAGGCAGCTACGTAGGGATTCAGACCCGGAGAAATGAATGCTGGCACCGAGTTTTACTTTCTCTTGCCTCATTTACGCCTCACAAACGGCCATCCTCGTTGTCATTGAGGGCTTCTCCGCGATTGTGTTGCGCTAAGTTCCGGAGCGCGAAGAAGACATTTCCCAAGAAAAGGCGCATTTCATCAAGCAGGCTGGACGCTAGGATGTGCTCCTGATACCCCCAAGACTTGGCGGGATGGCGAGAAATCTGCGCGGTCTCTCTCGTCCAAAACGGTGACAGCGTTCGGTGTCCGCGTCCATATCCTCTTCAACAACGCCGTGTTCCAGCGTGAGGTGGAGGATATGGTGGATCTGCCTTCCTTCGGGTTTACGCAGACAGTCGACACGAACATCGTGCTGGTCGCACTAACCAAGGATATTATGCAGCACATGGCGCGCAGCAGCGCGATCATCATTAACGCGTCGATCAACAACTACGTCGGGCACCAAAAGTTGATGGACTCCTCAAGCACCAAGGGCGCGGTGGTCGCATTTACGCACGCGGAGCAACCAAATCATCAGCAAACGCGTCAACGATGTGTGCCTGGGGCCAGTCTCGGCACCGTTGCCGCCTATGATGGACAAGAACTCGCTTGAGGCATTCGGCACGACCACACCCATTGGCCGCTCGTGGCAGCCTGTCGAGATTACCATCGCCGTCGTGCTCCTCGCGGGCCCGTGTAGCAGCTACATGAGCAGACAGAGTTCGCCTCAACGGCGTCGTCGTCGTCAACAGCTGAGTTGCAACGCACGAAATTTGTACAGTCCCAATTGCAACGCGAATGTTGCTTCTGTTTCGAAATCTTGCAGCATGCGACCGATGTGACACCAACGCATACCGGCTTTGCTTGTCATTCAGCCGTAGAAGCTGTCTCTCATGATGACTCTCTCAACCGCGCAAGTGAATTGATTGTTCGAGCTCGACGTGCCAAGCGGGCAGGGGCACGTTGGCTCTCCCCGGGTCGTGTGCGCCATGCGACCGTGCGATCGAGGAGCTGCTCTGGTCCTCTTAAACAGTGTAACAGGGCAGGTGCAGCACGCACTTCAGAAAGGGGCCAGCCCTGAGAAGGGTCCCAGCGTGGCTGGCATAAGCTGATCCCCCCTTCCTCCTTAGGCACCCCGGGGCGGTACGCCCTCAAGGGCCCATGTGCAGCGGCTATGGGAGGGAGCAGCAGCAGCGAGCTCTGGCACACGTTGCACAAAGCAGCCGGTCAAAAGACAAGGTGTCGCTCCATGCGCTTCGCTACTACAATGCCATATGCTTTATATAATTACACTTTTGGCTGGAGCCCTCCTATGCACCCTCCCCAACGTCTCTCCTCTTTGTCCACGGAGGCCGCCGCGTATTACCTTTGATTTTTGTTTCGCATAAGAAGAGGCAGCGAGCGCGATACGAGGGCCACGGTTCAAGCTCTCAAGCGTTCAAGCGTTGTTGTGAGCGGGCGACTGCGTGTTGTGCGTCGACCATAGCCATATCCAGCTACTACCGCCTACACTTTATCATGCATTCACTCTGTGTGGCATTCAATCGACAGATTGAATGCGCGCCTTTGACCCGACCCAGCCTGCATGAGCGCACACACCCTATGGGTTCGGGTGAAGGACCATTCAAGACAAGGTGTCCCCGACGAGACAGGGAGGGTACCGCGCAGAACGGATCCATCTTGAAGACTCGCCTTCCATTGAAGCCGCATTGCTGGTTCTATGCATTATTATTATGCCTCGCGCAGAGTTACGGGACTTCGCGCGTTGTTTGGCCAATATGGAAGGAACCCTCCTCGCCTACTCTCTGCTTGCCACACCCTCACACTCGTTCAGACACTCTATTTAGATGGTGCTGCGATCAGCTCATTCACGAGAAATAACCCATGGACCCTGTTCGTCTTGGAACACTCGAAGCTTCGCATGGGCTGTACCTCATGTAACAAGTGTGTTGGTTACATGTCCTAGCGGACCTATCACGACGTGTATGCTGAACGTCGAACGGATATAAAAGCGCATGTACGGAGCAGTGATGATGATTCATGTTGAATGTTATACTTCCCCCGCTGTTTTCTCAATGGCACATGGAGCTTGACTACACTGCCGGAATCGCCATTCGAAGGGCCACCATGTCTTGCAATTCTCGCTGTCTGCTGGGACAAGCGCATATTGTAGCGTACGCTCACCGCGCAGAGCCAACACGGCTCCCGTGCTCATCAGTTTCGCCATATTCGGGCTCTGGCCTGCCTATCCCGCAAGAGCAAGAGCAACATTGGCAAGGCAGCCGCAAGGACTTGGCAAGGGCGATCGCGCTGCAGGCCCGACTGGAAGGGATCCCGCTGGCAAAAGAGATGGACGCGATGATGATGGCGAGTGGCGCTGCTGCTGCTCCAAGACGCAAGGTCGCGTTGCTGGATACGAGCCGGACTTTCTCCCAGGGTGAGCGTGGAAGAAGTTGAGACTGTCACAAGTTCGCGGTGCTACATAATCGGTGCAATTACGAAGCAGCGGAGGCAACGTTGATTGGACGGGAGAATGACCGCACTTCCTGGGGGAGCCTACAGCATCTCGGGCTGTCTGAACCTGCAGCCTGCAGATTGTGCAGACAGCCCCACCAAGCTGGGAAGGGGGGCGGGGGCTTGCTTCCTCACATCTCTCGCTCGCATCCTGCGTTGCTCTGGCGCTGCTTGCGTGTGTGCTTGGCTGCGTCCCCTTTATCGCTGTCCTCATCAGATCAGATGTTGGATTGATATGTGGCTGCTGGGCGGAACGCAGAGAGCGGAGTCATACACAGATATATGGAGGGAAGACCTTGTCTTGTAATGGGTTCCTAATCACCAACATCCCTCCTTCACCGTCACCATGTTCATACTGCATACTAACATGCTGTGACTCACATCACTTTTGTGCTCTCCTTGCAACCCATCGGATGCTCGCTGTGGGGCTGGTACGCGGCTTCAAACACGTCCGTCACGTTCCCTACGGCACTTACGTTAACCCCTCTGTCTTCTGCTGCCTGCCTGTCATGCTCAACCGGTGACACCGCCCCCCCTTCGGTTGGCCACTGTAACACTCTCTTTCACAAAAATGCCCAACAATGCATCGCGGCGTGTGCAGAATCTCATCCTCGAGATCTTGCACGCGCAACCCTCGCTCAGGGATAGCAGAGTCTACCTCAACACCTTTGGGCCAAAGTCGCAGTCCGGAGCGCTGCCTTCCTCCTCCTCCTCTTCTCCCAATGCGCTGGCCCCTATCGCCGATGCTCACGCAGACAGCAGCATCAGCAACAGCCGCAATGATCACGCTCCGATAGCTTCTCGTGCAGGCTCCGCAGCAAATGGCCTGAAGCCGCATGTCCCCTTCTCCCAGACGGCACAGCTACTGCTTACCGAGCGACAGTCCCCATCGCCGGCCCCGCAATGCGCGAGCGAAAGAGAAGCACTCTTGGGTGTGCACACAAGCCGGCCGGGCGACGCCGCTAAAGCTGGCAAGGCCAAGCCCAAGGCTAGGGCAGGCAGCGGGCGCGGGAGCAGCAGTGCATGGAGCTTCCTGGAGCAGCGGCAGCGCGCGGCGCGCCCTTTTGCTCTCAGCGGCAGCGGCAGTGGTTCCTCTTCGTCTGTGCTACGCGGCATGCAGCCTCAGAATCTAGAGACCACTCAGGGAAAGGGCACGGGGAAAGAGGTGGCCGATGCTGAGCAAGTTACTGTCCATGAAGGCGACCCCGAGGATGGTACGCATCGGCTGCAAGGAAGTGATGTACGCTCTGTTCAACGGCAGTTGGACGCATCTGGCGTGCGTGCTAAAATCACTACTGGCTCGAACGATCCACATCTACGACAAGATCAGCAGCCGCAGCAGCAACAGCGTCAGGAGGTCCCCGTCCCCTCGCCAGATGCCGCCCCGCACTCACAGGATCATGTCGCGCTCGTCAAGATCCAAGGGCCTTTTACCTCGCGTCAGCTCTCCTCCATCGCGGAGGGAATGGTCTACCTGAAACGCCTTGGACTCATCAGCATCATTGTCGTTGATAACGAAGACTGGCGCCCAATGGCGCTCGAGCGCAAGAGGCGTTCGTTGCGATCGCAGCGGCTCATGTCGCAGGCGCCCGGTATGCACGATACCCCGCGCCAGGCACCTCTCCTTCGGTCTGACACCTATCAGCGGCTGCACAACCCCGAGGTGAGCGTACAACGTTTCGATCAGCGCGGCAGGCTCGTCGTCGACAGCAGGGAGCTGAGGGAGGAAGAGGAGTTCAGGCAGTGGGCCTCAGCGCAGCGCACTCGGAAAGCCGCACATGTGCTTGGCGAACAGCAGCAGCAGGCGCCATCTGCCCCGCCAGCGTCGTCGTCTACAAACAATCACAGCATTTCCTCTCCACTAACACAGCCTAAGCAACAGCAGAACCAGCACGCGATGCACAGCCACGAGTCGCTACGGTGCCGCATGGTCGCGCAGACACACGCGATCGCCGAGCTGCTCTGTGCACACGGCGCACAAGCGCGTCCGTTCCCATTTGCTATGATGCGTGTCGACGCGCACGCCGCGCAAGCTTCTCGCGCCGCGCTCGACGCTGTTGCTGGCCTCGCCGCGACGAGCGCCAGCACCGGCACCGGAAACGGAAACGACAATGCCCCGCTAGACAAGGAGATCGCAGAGCGTAGCCCACTCGTCGCCGATGACGGTCTGCGTGGGCTGAAAAGCGCACTCGTCGCAGACCAGATCCCCGTCCTTGCTCCCTTGGCTCTGTACGAGGACCTTGAGAATGGAGTGGTGCGCACTGTCACTGTCTCCGCGGACGACCTGCTCGTTAACCTTGCGCGGGAGATGAGTCTTGAAGGTGCCAGGTCCGGCCAGAGAGGAGAGGTGGCGAAGGATGTGGATCTGACGCCGGTCAGACTTATGGTCATGTGAGTCTCCAGTTGACGGTAGCAGGGCCTCCACCTCTTAAACGCCTGACGCATATGTTCTGAACGTGACTTGCGACTGTGTTTGCTGCTGCTTGAACATGTGCGACACCCAGTAATCGCGAAGGCGGCATTCCGTCACATGCGCGTGGCGGCAGCCCGCATCTGTCGATCAACTTGGCATCTGAGTACAAGCAGATCCGACAGTCATTCACATGGGGCAAGACGCATCCTACGGCGCTGTCGAATCTGTCCACCGCACATGCGTGCTTGTCGTACATCCCCAAGACCTCGTCCGCCATCGTCGTCTCGCACCGCTCGCCGCGCTCGCTGATCGCTAACCTGATCACCAATAAGGCAGCGCACTCGCCTAGCTTGCCGCATCGCCTGCTCGCTGGGCGCCAGGACGTTAAGCACACGCCAACAATCATCCGCTCCGGCCTGTCGGTCAGAGTGCTGTACGAGTTTGATCGCATTAACTGGGACAAGATGACCGCGCTGCTCGAGGCGTCTTTTGGTCGGCGACTCCATCGCGAGAAGTACGTCGAGCGCGTGCGGCGCTCACTCGATTTCGTCATCATCACCGGCGACTACGAGGGCGCGGCGATCGTGACGAAGGAATACGCGCCATCCGACGACCCCACTACCGCGGAGCCAATTGCGTACCTGGACAAGTTCGCAATGCTGCCACAGCTACAGGGCAGCGGTGCCGTCGATTTCCTATGGGGAGCCTTGCGCGACGAGGTTCACGGCCTCGGTCTGCTCGACGCGCTCAACGACAATGGCGGCAAAGGGGGGTTTGGCGCGGGCCGCGACCTCGTGTGGAAGAGCCGCGCGAACAACCCGGTCAACAGATGGTACTACGAGCGCAGCAACGGCTTCGTTAAGATGGATGTGCGCAGCGCCGCGGACCGCCTGCGCGACCCGGCACCACAGCTCAACTGGTCGCTGTTCTGGTGTGACGCCGAGGAGCGTCTCGCGGCCATGGCGGGAGAGTTTCGACTTGGCGCTAGCGCCAGACCGGAAGAATTCATGGACCTTGTCGACGAAGAGGAGGAACGCCTCCGGCTGGCTCTCGGCGCGGCAGAGGAGCAGGACATGACAAGGGATCTCTCGTCTGCCTTCTCAATATCTGGTTCGAGACTCCCGTCGCCGACCGTAATGGCCGCGGCGCTGGCTGCAGCCGGCTCATCCTCGTCCTACCCGTGGCAACGCGATTTGAACGCATTGCGTAACCCACGGCGACCCGAGCACGGAGGTAGCACGCTCCTCCCCGTGGTTGCACCTGAAGAAGAGGGGCGCATCCAGCGATGGGCAGAGTGCATGTGCACAATCCCATCCGCGTGGCTTTGAGGCAAGCACAGAATCACACAGCAAACCTACTCATTAGACACATCTCATCGCGCATCGCATGTAATATGCAGCGCTACTGCTCACAACGTACACCCTTGCATTTCAGAATATTTTCTGGTATTGCTGCGAACTTTACAGATTCTTCTGATGCACTGTCTGCTTGGCCGCGCGGAGATTTGAGAGATGCTCCCTGATCCACTCCTCACGCTGCTCTGGCTTGTGTGCGAAGGCTTTGTACCGCGCATCGCCCTTCAGGACAGCATGGACCTCATCGAGGTCGAAACTGGCCACCATGTCGATCACGTCCTTCTCCAACTCCTCATCCTCATCGCCGCCTGCGACCGCAGCAGCATCGGCTTCAGCCTTGTGACCGACATCGGTGGCCTCTTGTGCGTTCTTGGCCTGGCGCAGTCGCCCCCAGAATTCGACAAAGGTGTTCTCGCGCAGCATCTCGTTGAATGCAGATCGGGCGTCTTTCTCGCGTTTGCTCTTCCACATCTCAAATTCGTCTTCCATCGCATCTCGCGCGTCGACAGGCCGTCGAGAGTATCGCTCGGCCTCGCCTTGAACAAAGTCTAGAAGATTGAGCCTTTCCGTCTCCGAATCGTTGAGGACGAGCGGGATCGCCTCGACGGGCCCGACGTCCAAGGTAGGCGCAGCCTTTTCAAAGACCTTGTACACGCTCTGTCTCCGCTTTTCCGCTAGAGACGTGATGTGACGCTCGAACAGCTGCTCTTTCTCTCGCATACCGCTAAGTCCTGGCGCTTCAAATCGCGCGTCCTCGTGCAATCTCGGCAGTGTCGAGCGAAAGTCGGCGAGAGGATTTCGAACAACGTCGATGAGAAGCTGGTTGAAGTGCATGAGCGACTCTTCCCGGGCCGCAGAGCTAAGTGCACGCTTCGCTTGTGATGCCAGCTTTGCTTTTTCAGCGCGAACCTTTTCTTCTCGCTCTTTCAGGGCCTGCGATGTGTCCTTCGCTTTGGAAGACGTTACGGCGGCGGCGGTGGTAGTCGCAGTGGCGGCCGATGCAGAGCCGCCGACACCGTTGCTATTAGCTTCATCAGGTGCGGGTGAAGCAGAGGCATCGACTGGAGCTTCGCCTAGCAGCCAGAGACGCCAGAGCTCGGCGCGGCGACTGCTGCTTCCAACAGCATCGTACCGCGGGTCGGTATCCAACCCGGGTGTCTTTTTTCCCTTGCTCCACCACTCGCTTGCTGCGTCCGTCTTCATCTTTTTATCAGTCGCCTCCTGAAGAATCGCAGAAGCATTTTCCTTTAGCTTGCTGTCCACCTTCTCCCCTAAAAGGCAGACAAAGTCGCGATCTGCTTGCTCGGCTTTCCGCCGCTTGACCTCTCCTAATTCTCGCAGATGCGTCTTGAATATCTTTTCACGCTCACGGTCATCTCTGCCGAAAGCAAAGAAACGGCGGTCCTTCTTGAAGGACTTGCGAAAGGCTTCCCATTTTGTACGCGTCGACGTTACTTCGGATGTGAGAAGCTGCTCGTACGCAGATTTGGCGTCGAGGGAGGGCCGGGCCTCGGATGAAGTTTGTTCCGCTGAGGTGGCGCTTGAGGCCTCAGGAGCTGCTAGCGGTGCAGCGCTGTGCTTGACCACACTGGCGCTCGCCTTGGTGGCTGCCCGCTCCGCCCTTTTCTCTTTGATCCTGTGTTTGCACCATTCATTGAAAGCGTCTTCCCTCTCTCCCTCAGGCAGACTCCTTGAGATGACGGCGTAATCAGGATGTGCGCTGAATTTGGGCAGCTCAAGCTCAAATGGAGCCATGGGATCGACTTCTGCTGTTGATCCATTCGAAGACGTCAACAGGGAGTTGAGGAGTGTGAGTGCAGAGGGCTTGGTGAGGGTGGACCCTTCGTCGGGGGGCGACTGTGGTGCTACCGATTTCGAATTTGACGGGGCTGCTGCTTCCGACTTGGGAAGCGCTGTGCCGAATGTAATCTCTGCTGCCATCTCTGCTGCAATCCGTCGCTGCCAAGCCTCTTCGTCTTCCTCTCTATCCTCATCTTCATCCTCGTCCATCTCATCACCCCCCTGAATACGCGGCTTTTTGCCATCTGGGCTGCCTGCGTCATCGTCAGCCGCGCGATCCTCTCGATTCCGTTTTCTTTCGGATGCACTTTGCTCCGCAGCGGCTAGCATTTCCTTTTTGACAGCCTCGCGGTACTCGCGCTCTATTCGTTCTGCCTCCTCTTTTGCTTGAAGTTCTGCATCTTCCTTGCTCCTCTTCGTCTCCTCTCGCTGCTTGTCCCTTACATCTTTCGCTTGCCGCTCCGCCTCTTCTCTCGCTTGCTTTTCACTTGCAGCCCGCGCTTCCCTCTCACTCCTCTCCAAAGACCGTACAGCATCTTTGATATCCGCAGGCACAGTCCATTCGCTGTGCTTAGATGCGATGTGCGTGTAGAACACGTTACCGAGATTTGTTGTGATGCGCAGCCAGCCTTCCGCCCCGGGGATTCCAGCCTTGTGTTTCGGCTTTTCCTTTTTTTGAGACGGTCCAGCTTGTGCCTGAAGATGTGCTTGATTTGATGCTGGCACTCTGACGACACCATTTCCAGCATGAAAGCCGGGGGGTGGGCCGATGTAGATGACCCCAGTTGGGGGAGTCGTTGCAGTCGCTGCAGATAGGATAGCAGGCGTTGCGCGAGGCACTATTGCTTGATTTTCTGATGCGGGCGGAGGCGCCCCGGGACGCTTATATGTGCTGGTCTTCGTCTCTTTGTGCCAGTAGTAGATCTGTCCTTGTGGGCCCACATGCTGCGTCCAACCCTGGGGCAGCGGTGGCTGAGAAGGAGGCGCCGACATCCTGATTCGAGGCCAAGCAAGCACAGCAAAAGCTGGAGGCCGACTTCTGCCTTTATTTTCACTGCGTAGCGCAACAGCGGGTGGTTGCGATGCGCGCTGTCAAGCTCCGAAAGGAAGGCAAGGTTGTTGTCGTATACTTTCGTATGTGAAGGCCGCCGATGGAGAGTCAAATGGACATAGACACCTGACTTAATGGCTTCCAAGCATGAGTAGATCATATATGACCTAGTTCACTCCCTCTCGAACCAAAACTCCTCCTCTCGCCCTCGAGCCGCCATCCAATGCAGCCCGCCACGAATAGGAGAGTAACACGCCTTCGTACATGCTACAGCTACCGCATCTCGGATGCAGATCGCATCAGGGCAGTTCGACCCGGGATTGGGCACTGAGTACTGCACGACGAGCAAGGCATTCGAGCGACGCCCGAGCGACTGCGTGGGATCTTCAGTAGTGAATTTCAAGATGCCGGCCGAATCAGCATACTGGCTCGTCGCGGTGCCGCTCGAGAACCATGATCCACATATTCAATTCTCCAGCTTGGCCACGGCTCTCGGCGTTGGCTCCTCGGGCAGCGCTTTTCAATCGCCCTCATCATCAGCGCTCTGCTCCAGCATCGGTCAGGTAGCTCTACCGCCTTTCAAGACGGGGACCCTTGCTTCCCTCATTGCGCTGTCCGAGGAGCTGCCCAAGCACGATACCTTGTTCACCTCCATCACTAACAAGGTCGTCGACTCGCTCAGGGCCCTGTTGAATAACGACGAGGAGCAGCTACGGCAGCACGTGCTCGTCAATGAAGCCAGCGTTGGCCAGTATGTCCTCGGGAATTGGAGCTGGAACGCAGGAAAATACCGGGTGGGAGAGCGCGCATTGAGCGACGTTGTTGACAGCCTTGTCAAGGTGCGGCTCTCGCGTAGCTCTGGCCGGGGTTCGTTTCGCATAGCCATTGTCTCGCTTACAATTTCACCGCCTCTCATTCTTCTTAAAGGAAATGAATTCGATCGACAACGTGATGAAGCAGAAGCTGAACGCATATAACATGGCCAAATCGCAACTTCAAGCCCTGCAGAGAAAGAAGAAGGGTAATCTGTCCGTCCGCTCCCTGGCTGACGTTGTCTCGCGATCCGACTTTGCCGATCCCGCTTCCGAGTACCTCGAGACCCTGCTCGTGGCAGTGCCTAAGAACAACATTAAGGACTGGCTCTCGCGGTACGAGCGCTTGACGCAGATGGTCGTGCCGCGGTCATCGAAGGAGATTGCGCGCGATGAAGAATTTGCGCTGTTCAATGTCACGCTCTTCAAAAAGGTTAAGGAGGAGTACTTGCAAAAGTGCAGGGAGAACAAATTCGTCGTACGAGAATTCATCTGGGATGACCAGCTGGTCCAGCGGCACAAACAAGAGCTGGAAGAGGCAGGAACGAGCGAAAAGGAGCTTTGGGTGAGTGGGTGGTAGGCTCAGATGAATGCACTTTGAACTAATGATCCCCCATGCTCACCACTTTGCTTCAGACCGAGCTTCTCCACTTATCACGCACCAACTTTTCAGAGGCCTATCAAACACTTATGCATCTCAAGGTAGTGCGGGCATTTGTCGAGAGCGTCCTGCGATACGGTCTGCCAGCCGATTATTTTGCAGTAGCCATGAAGGTGAATCCCTGCTCCTGATGACTCTACCCTGTGTAGACCATATCTCTAAACCCCTTACTGTTTCTGGTGTCGCTTCAGCCGAATCGGAAACGCACAAAACAGCTGCTTCAGGAACTCTCAAAGCAGTACGGCCACTTCCTGACCGAGCGCAAGGGATTGAACTACGGCAGCGGCAGAAATGCAGGGCCACATGTTGAGACGCCTGGAGAGTATGCACAGCTGCTAGAGGAGGAGTGGACGCCGTTTGTGTTGATGGAAGCAATGCAGATTGACATTTGAATGCATGTGCGCCTGGCGGCACAAGCGTTTGACGAGAAACGCTGGAAGGGGAGGACCGAGGCGTTCGGTGGACGCTGTTTTCAAAGGACTTCACACTGCACCGAGCTACCGGGCATCACATTCGATATTCGTGTAAGTCACGCACTCTGGTATAAATATCGTTGTTCAGCTTTAGCGCTTTCTTGGGCTGGTCGCTCAGCTTAGCGCAAGTATTGTTACATGTTTGGGTCCTAGGATGGAGAACCAGCACCCAACTTCCCTTGTTCAGTTCCGCGTTCCGCGCTTGCTGGCCTGTTGCTCTCGAGTATCGACATCTTGCCTTTAGGCATGCCTATTGGCCACCAAACCCTTCTTCTTGAGGCCATGATCAATGAATCGAGGCTGCCGTCGTCACCTGCTCACCCCGAGCAGAAGCACGCCATTCAGTCATCTCAACAGTTATCGAAATGTCTGAATACCGCGGGCGGGGCGGGTTTCGCGGCGGCGCCAGGTGGGGTGGCCGGGGCAGCCGAGATGGACCGGCGTCAGCGACAGGTGCTAACCACACGCCCCTTGTTTCGCGTGTTCGGCCTGCCCCAGTCGCGGTACCAGCAGCCCTCGACAGCGACAGGGAAGAAGGAGAGGCTGAAGGGGAACCAGGGATGATTGAAGGGCCGCGAGGGATGCGCAAGTGGGGCTCCAGTGGCGGATGGGGTGATCGGGCGCGAGAACGAGACAGCGATCGAGAAGGTGATCGGGATCGAGGCTACTCGTCAGGCTTTCAAGAGGCGCACAGCAGGCTATTAAACGAGCGCGGCGCATTTGATGATCGGAATAAGCGGCCACGATTGGACAGCAGTGCCGCTTCTCCAGCTTGGCCGCACCGCCCTCGCCAGTCGTACGATAGCGCGGTGCAGCAGCCTCTTCAACCGGACAATCCTTACGCAACACCCAGCGGCAACTCAGGACTTTCCATCCCTACTGGACCCAGATCGAGCTTCCACGGGCCAGCGATGCGCGGAAACTGGGGTTCACCAGCAGGAACTAGGGGTGGACGTGGGGGATTCGGCGGTGGCGGGCCTGGAAGAGGTGGCGGCTTTTCAGGAGGCTGGCGAAGCGGATCTTCTACACCAGGATCTGCTGGTTATGGCGGCATGGAAGAACCCCCTGCTCGCAGCCTCGCTCGCAAATACGAGGAACCTCGCTCCCCTACTGTTCCAGCAGGACTAAGGGCAAGAACAGGGTCGGTGTCAGCTGCCACTTTTGATACCGCGTCAGACCCGCCCGCTATGGGCAGCCCATTTGGCGAAGCTAGGCCAGCAGCTCTACCTAGTCACAACTTGTCAATGATGGAGCCGTCCGACTCGCCTTCCAAACTGCCTCCGGGTGCCCCTCCGGTGCGCCCAGCCGTTGCAAGGCGCCTTTCTGCGACGATTCCAATCCACGAGGCGACGAGTGGAGAACATCAACCATCAGTCCCCTCCGGTACTTCAATTGGAGCCTCATCAGTTTCTTGCACTCCATCAGGCCCCCCGGTACAGCCTGCATCAACAGTCACCTACGAGCCGTTGCAATTTGCGTATGCACTCAATCCTTCACTCGAAGCTCAGATCTATCGCCTCGCACACAAACGACTCGCATCGCTGCGCGAGATCACATGCAGCAAGAAGCGCAGCGAGCTTAACGCCGCGCTATATTCACTGAAAGACATTGAGACGGAGTTGCAGGCTGCCAGAGAGAGGACTAAAGCGACGGATATGCAACTGCAGAATGCAAGCGAGAGTGCAGACGTTTTCGCACTTGAAGCAAACAAGCGAGAAGCGGAAGCGGCGACTTGGAGCACGCAGATGATGCGCTCAATATGATGCGTTTTGTATAATAACAGCGAAGCAAGCAAGACACGACATGGCACATTGTAGCATAAGACTTGTCACACCCTATCATCCTCACACTTGATACGCGACGTGTGCATAGCTGCCCGTCTCTCGGCCTAACATGCCAAACCCGAGCAACACCTCCATCTTCTTGGAGTGCCAGCCGATGCTGCCAGGCACATGGCCGTTTGCAGCGACGAGCGATCGCAGCGCCTGCACGCGCGGATGGTCTTCGGGCAAGCCGCGCACGACCTCGTCGCGCGGCGTAAGCGGCGCTGCCGACTGCGCATCCTGCAGCTGCTCATCGTCTTCTAGCAGCATCCGATCCATTGCGCCGCCGAGCGGGCCTGAGCGTGTCATATCATTGGCAGCTGCGAGGGCGTGCTGCTGCTGTTGCGCCAGTGCTCTGCTGTGGCTTGCGCTGCGAAGAGGCGATGGACTGAAGCGAGGTTGGGAATGCGACTGGCTCCGGACAGGTGAGAGCGAGTGGTGAGAGCCGCCGATGGACGTGGCGCGCCGCACGGCCGAGAATGTGTTGCTTGCCAGACGACGGCCCCTACCATTTTGATGTTGTGAAAGATCTTGCGCTATCACATCTGCCATTGAATCCTCATCTTTGGCCTGCGGATTCGGTCCTGCGGTCGTATCGACGACCCATCCTCGCCGACCAGCTCCACGGACGACTCTCCAGCTGCCGATGCCATCACTAACGCTGTTTAAGGTCAAGTCGCTAAGCCCGATGACGCGTAGATTCGTCGCGGGCTGAGGAAGCTTGAAACTTGCTGCCTCTTCCTTGGTGATGCCCGCGCTGTTATTGAAGCCCATCAAGGCAAGCTGCATTGCCAAAGGCACAGGCGGGCTCTCGGTGCATGGGGACAAGACGTGCTTGTTAAGGGCTGACGCGCTGATCGCTAAGCCACCGGGGCCGGCGCCCAGTTGCGATCCATTGACCATCTGGCAGCTGTCGGCCAAATCCATGATTTGCACGTTTGGCGCTTTCTCTTTGAGAAAATTGCCGATGGCAGGGAGCGAGAGCTGCGGGTTGTTACCAAGGCCGAGATCGAGCAGCGAGGGCTGAGGCGCGAAATCCGCCTGGAGATGTTCGTCGGTCACAGGGCACCCTCCAATGTCCAGATAGCGCATACAGCCTGAGCGGAAAGCAGGCGCACGTCTGATGATGTGCGTCAAGTCGTCGCTGGTCAGAGGGCTCGGGAACATGATGCTGCATTCCAGGCTTAGCTCGGTCAGGTTCCACGCGACGGGGCTCTCGACGAGCAGCTCAACAATACTCTCGCTCGTGATGCGTCGGCAGTGAGCCAAGCTGAGGCTCTGAAGCGCCAAGCCGGACTCGGGGCCCTGTTTCGCGAGCGCGTGCAAGAGGCTCGAGTCTATCTTGGTACGCGAGAGATCGAGATGCGTGAGACGCGGAAAGGCGAGGACGAAAGGATGCAGAATGTCAGGAGTAAACGTCACGCCGGACAAGCCTAGGCGTAGTACCGAGGGGAAATGCGTCGCCCGCGCTGGATGGCGAGATGGCTGCGCGTTGGCGTCAAGCGAGCCCCGATCTCGGTTGTGCGAAGCGCTGCGGGCGCGAGACGTACTACGACATATCGAGCGACTGGCACCGATGGCCCCTCCTGCTGTGGACGTTGCATTTCCATCTGCTGCTGGTCTGCTAGCCGAGCTTCGCGCATCCCTGTCCCTGTCCCTTCCTCTCCCTCTCCCTCTCCCTCGGTGCTCGTCATCATCGTCGCTACTTTCTCCTGCATCATGATCGCCGTCCTCCTCGTCAAGCGTGTGCGTCAAGCGACCACTAAACTTCTTCAAGTGCTCCTCCACAAATCCGGAAAGACCATCCTGGAACTTGCTGCTGACGCAGTTGCATAGATCCAAGCTCTGCAGCATCTTTTTCTTTGGCAAACCTTCAGCCGCCCCAACGTGATTTGTCGCATCGCCGTCCCCTGCATCGTCCCTTCGCTTACGCTCGATACTGACGCCGCGCAGTGCGCGTGAGCCCATCCCGCCTGCGCCGCTGCTTCGCAACCTATTGCTCTCGCAGCCGGTCCGTCTTCCACGCGTGTTGAAATCATCAGGTGGAGCCCCGCTGGCGCTACCACCTTCTTGCTGCCCACCGCGAAATAGCAAAGCTTCGAGCACGTCCTTGCTCAATGCGCTGTCCATGGTTTCGCTGGCGCCAAACGCGACCAGGCCATCTGAGCACGCGGTAATGAGCGCCAGCAGGCGCGCGGGCGTGACGAAACGCGCATCATGGCCTTCGCCGATTGTGCGCCGCAGACCTTGGGTGCGGTACGTGGAAAAGTCGAGGATACGGACCCATTTGTGCACTGCAGAACATGAGGGTGAAGTGTGGCATAACGAGCATGTGAGCAGGTCTGTGCTTGGGCACAGTTGGCACAGCAGAACGTGGACGCACCTGCGGTAAGCACAGCATCTTGGCTGAGTGTGACGTGATATCGCTGAATTTGTCGCCTTCGGGGAGGTCTGAAGATTTCATCCATATCTCTCTGACGGTTCATGTCAGGACTATCGTCTTCTTCTTCCTCAATTTCGTCTTCACTGCTTGCGCTACTCGCTGTTTCGCTGAGCAGGTCTTCTTCTGCCCAGACCAGCTCAACCTCTCCGTCCTCGTCCGTGAGGAACTTCGCACGATGGCTCTGCTGAGCCAGCCCGGATGGTGCGCGACCTTTTCCTTTGCTGCTCATGGTATCGTGACCCTCGCGGGCGGGTGACACAGCTACTGGCCGTACGGGGGCTGACAGAGAGGAAACCGATTCTTTGCTCAATGATCGATTCCATAGCGAACCGCTATTGGTTCTCCCACGGTACGGGCTAGCTGTCCGGGTGCTCGGCACACTGACAACCAGTTTGCCGCCGGTCGCATGGGCGAAGCCTACGGCGGCGACCATGTTGACGAAACTTGCTGGGTCGGTCGGGTCGAGGTTAACATCGCCGGTGCTGCTGAACGTCTCGTATGCGCTGGCGAGATGACTCGCGCCGAGTGTGCGCAGGAGGAGGAGGAACGAGTAGGGTAGCGTGATCCGGATTTTTCGAAAGAGTAACGGCCGAGCTGCATGGTAGAACGACTTGTTGACCAGACAGAGTGAGTAGAGCGTCCGTTGTACAATCAGATGAGGAGAGGACGTAGATCTTCCATCTGGGTAGGAAGACGGCAGCGAATGCGGGTCGAGCGTGCGAAAGGACGTCTTGGGGATGGCATCGAGATAGGCCAGCTGGCAGATCATCACGAGCAGCTCGTGCGGCAGATCTGCCAGTTTTCCCTGTTCAGGCTGACCGCACATCTCTGTGGCCTCCATTTTGCCTCATTCAAGCCATGCCTGCTTTGATTCTCATGGGGCTCTGGTTGCAGGAGGCACCTCGATGGTGCTAGAAGATGTTCCGACGCGTTGATGGACAGTAGAAGAGACACGGCTCCTTACGGTCTCGGTAGCGGCCTCTAAGCGCTTCGAGGTCCAATTGAGGGCGACAATGCGAGCGGGTGCTAAGCTGCAGCTTTGCCATATTGTGGGTGTCAGAGCTCGAAACTTGGACCTGAAGCTTGTGCACCTACTTCAACAACATGATCCAATTAATCGATCTTCTCCCGAGCTCGCACTGATTGAGCGAAAGTCACACGTGAAGTCTGGCAGTGTGTTGTATTGAGGCAGGATGATTACGTAAGTGACACTGCATCGGGGCACAGATGACGGTGCAACAATTGAATCACTTCACCTCTTCAAGGACCACGACCATGAGAGAAAGACGGGGGAGCCACCGTCTGCGCACGCTCTCACATCGTATTGCAGTCCCCGCCTCGCACAATCCTCCCCAGAGAAGAAAGATTCAGACCGCAGACACCGCACGGAGCGCCCTCCCTCCCATGCTGTACTTCCAGAAGCACTCCCGACGCGAGCCCAGCACGCCTGGAGCGCACCAGAGGATGCTATTCGTTGCCGTCGCTGCCAGTGCGGCGTGCTCATCGATCACACTTACAGCTGCCGCTGTTGGCACTGCTGCTGCCTCTATTACTCGCAATGGCTCTCCCTTCAATTTGCTGCGAAAAGGTCAGCAAATTGTCTTTGATGCCAGCGAGTCCTCTTCCAGCACGCTCGCCAGCTCGAGTCCCGTCACCACCCAGCCCCTTGCCGCGTCCGCCCTTGCCGCCGTGCACCTCTCCCACACCGGGCTCTTCGTCAACCACGCGCATCTCGATTACGTACAGGAAGGCGTCTCGCAGCCTCTGACACTGTATGTAGATCCGCAGCTGTACGATGTCCAGCGTGCGAGCCTGCACGTGTCGCACGTGCACAGGAGGGCGTGGGATGACGTCGCTGTGGAGTGTTCCTACTCTTCTCCAGACGCGGCGATGCAGATGGATGGTGGGATCGAAGCCTGTGAGAAGATGGACCTTTCTGCTGCTCTCAAGTACTTTGATGCAGGCCAAGATCAAGAGGAGGACCACGACATGGTCTGCCCCCCATCTGCAACAACGCCCGACGGTCGCGCCATTTTCGGGTCCAGCCATGCGCCTCCACCCGTCGAACACACACCAGACACCCCGTCTTCAGGTCCACCTCGGAAAGACACGCGCACCCAAGCGTGCAAGATGGTGGACGAGTTTCTAGGGAGACGCAAAAGGCGAAGAAGTGGTGCAGCAGGGCAGCCAGACGACGGCGGCGAAGATGCAGAACCGCGGCTGCACAGCATGGTCGTGACTGTTCACACTCCGCGAAAGTCCACCGCACACTCTTCCTCTTCCCGCAGTAGAGGCCAAGACATAGACTCAAAGATATACAAAGCAGACGAGATCCACCATTTCTGGCTCTCTCATCTCTTCTTGCCAGATGCATACAAGGCACGCTGGCCACTCGCAGGCAACGCACACAGCAACACATCCGGCAAGGTCGAGCCCTGGACTGGGCGCAACGTCAACCGTATCGCCGGTCTTCCCTACGACCCATTCATCTCCTCCCCCCCTCTTCGGCGCAACTCGCCTGCGCCTCCGAGCGGCTATGACCCAGCGAAAGGCACGCTGGACGGCGTAGGGATCGTCAGCGCCAGGTGGAACACGGGCGTCTCCATCCGCTCACCATTCAACACCCGTCCAAACGATCCGGTCTTTGAGCCCGTCCATGCGCCCGTCGCAGGACAAATCGTCTGGGCTGGTCACTACTCTCGCGGGCCAGGGCACAAGTCGGGCGCGAGACAGGACACGGAGCGCGGGTACATGCTTATGATTCGCGACGAGTGGGGGTTCGTGTGGCAGATCGCTGGCGTGGAGGAAGAGACGCTGCGCGTGCACCCCGGAGATGATATCTTCGTCGGACAAGTCGTTGCGGATGTCCGGCGACAAGGCGCGACAGCAGCAGCGGAAGCTTCAGCGGGAACACGAGCTGCAGCAGACCCTTACCGCTTCAAGAGTCTGCGCATTACGGTTGCGAGACCTGACGTGACATGGACCCGCTGGCCAGCCCCTTTTGTAGCAGGCTGGACATTCTATGATCCCATGGCCTTCTTCCTTGAAGACACACCTCTATTCTCACCCGGAAAGCGTACTGGAGGATCCGTAGCATTGTCGGGCAAAGAGGGCGCACGAAGATCCTGGCGCTCGAGCGTCCCGCCGTACGCGAACCCGAACCGCATCTTCTTTGCACGGCCAGCACTGGACCCGCTGACGGAGACTGTCTCCGCGTTTGCGTCCTCGACAGACCTGCTCACACCAACGCTGAGCGGAAAGGTGCAGATCATTGTTTCATTTGACTCATACGTCCAAACCCCCGGAGACGGCGGCGATGCGATGGACGGCACAGGCCTGTATTCCCTGCAGTGGGGGCTCATGCAGGGCCAGCAAGACCGCGAGAGGGATTGGGACCCAGAAGCATGCGAGTTTTTCGGTCACGAATTGGACGGTAGCGAATGGAGAGTCGCGTTCGAACACGACAAGGTGAGTAGCGGGCTTCCATTTCTCAGCAATGAGAACTTCAATAGATGGCACTGTTGCTGACTTCAGCCTCTTCTGGCAATTACACAGATGGTGGCGACGCCAGAGCCAGGATCTAACGGCACAGAGCCAACTTCTGTGTTTGCGCACATCGTCCCCTCCTTCACGTACGGCACCTTCTTTAAGACGAAATACCACTCCGCATTCGACCATCGCGAGCGCCACGTCTTCTACACCCCCACGCGGCGTACGCGCGGGCAAGCGGATCTGCACGGTTCGTGGGACACACGCAAGGAGCCCAACGGGAACGGATTCTACACCATCATCGTCAGGGCTACGGACTTTTGGGGTAATGTGGGCTGTGTCTCGTCCAAGGTCTACATTCGGAATCGCAACATTGACTACGGCCTTCCGGATGCTTAATCTTCGCGCGTCGCACGTCGCAATTGATTTGAATGTATCATACAGAGTGGAAGCAAATCATTTGAGTGGAAAACTTGCGATATCGTGGTAATGCGGAAATGTGTCTATGCTCATTGTGAATGCGATATGCTACATGCCATGCGAGTGCTCAAAAAGTCGTCCACCCGCCCGTATCGAGTGTTTGCTCGATCTTGCGAGCGACCAGGTTAGAGATGCCGTGTTGCAGCCACTGTTTGCGCAGTTCGTCGTAGCGCTGACGATGCAAGCGCTGTGGTCGTCCCTTCCGCAGACCAATGTCAACCTCGCCATGCGAATCGAGGTAGGGCGAGAAGAGGAACGTTCCGTTCTGTTCGTACAGCAGCAGAACAACGTTCGTCTTCACTTTGAAATATATGCCTACGGCACCACTGCATTCATCCATATGTCGATTGCACTCGCCGCGCTTACCATCTTCGCTCTGGCAGCAGAAGCTCTGGTAGCAAACAATCTCTCCGCAGAGCAGACAGAGCGCGGGATCGGTGGGCACCTGCTTGCATCGCTTGCACACGCGTTGTTGCGTCTCTTGCAATAGTGTCGCCAGATCGTCAGGCAAATTGACGAGCTCGTAGATGTGAGGATGCTCCAGCAGTAGAGTTGGGTGGGCAGGTGGCTGAGAAATCTGCGAAGCACCGAAGCTAGCCATCGAGTTGAGAGATGAGTAGTGGATAGGCAACGGCCGGAAAAGAGATGCCAACGGCACATATGCATGTTTGATCCATCCCTCGATCAGTCCAGCCAGCGGCGTCTGCCGTTCTGCCCTAGCAGGCAGAGCGACGGATGGAAGCGGAACATTCATATGGCGCATTAGACGGAGGTACTCCGAATCATGTCTGTCTGGTCCAGCAGCGCCTGCATTGACTGCGCTTGTGGTGCCAAAGACAGCGGCACGAAGCACCGCTGCGCGCCGGAGGAATGGTAGACTGTGGGTGCAGAGTAACTTTGCCAACGTGTCGTCCTCCAGATGATCGACGCCGAGCGTGATGTTGCCACGAGCATAGCCGACAAGCCCGATGATATTTGCAGTTGTCCAACGAACGTCGGGGAAGACTTCGCGCGCCGCCGCAATGTCGGATGCATATGAAGGCGATGATTGCGTAATGGCGAAATAGCGACTTCCGCCAAAGCCCATGGGTCCTTGTGGCCACATACTGGGCTGTGCAAGGCCGAACACCAGCTGCACGAGGAACACGTAGTACATCAAGGTGATGATGTGATCCAGTGCTTCAGGCGCGATCGCTGCAGCTTCAATGAGAATACTCATCGGGTCACGAAGGATCAATGGCGACCGCACGGCATCATCGCCCGCCCAGTGTGGCAAGAGCCGCTTCAAAAGGCCTTGTCGAATCACCTCGAGCCCATGGTGCTCATTGAGATCGATAATGGCTGTGAGGCGGAGGCAGTGGATCAACGAGCGAAGCAGGCTGAGAGTGGAGTCGCTGGCACCATTGGCAATATTGGCACCGGGTGTGTTCTGGCCTGCAGTAACCAAACCGCGTTGTCCGATCTCAATCATAGAGAGGGTATACCCAATCAATTCCTGAGGCATGTATAGCTTTCTGCTCGGCAGCGCCAAAATGGTTCTCTGCTGCATCTTCACACGCAGCGGCTTGAGCTCGGACGACTGTAATCGCAAGACGGTCAAGAAGCGATCAAGCATATGATAGGTGTCCAGGTCGACCTGCCCCAAGAAATGAGTGTTTCCAGAGAGGGAGGTCAGAGAATCCTCGGCGTACCAAGGCAAGAACGTCCCCGTCCCCGCATCGGCTTCTTGGTAATCCTGTGACTGACTGGTTGACCATTTCAGAATGTCGATATTGATCTTGCGGATCCAGTCTGCCAAAGGGATTGAGTCAGGCGGGCCCTTGCTGATGGCTGCAATCGCATCGCAGCTGTGAGACTCCGGCAGCGGTAGAATGACGTTACCCAGCGCTTTGCACAATGGACAAACATACTCGCAACGTGAGAGGTCTTCTGGGTGCTCTCGCGCGATCTGCAGAGCATGCCGCTGTTCTACCGACCGGCAATAGTCCCAGAAACATGCTGCATGCATTAAGTGACCACAAGTCGTGGTGTGCATCCCGGGTTTGTTGTAGGCAGGTGGGAATGACCCTGCAGGTCTGCTTGCGTCTGCTGCAGCGGTCGAAGCATAGCTGCCGGGCAAGCCGCGGAGTCGGCGTCCCTCTTTTCCTTCCCCCCTGTCAAGAGTGAGAGGTGTGTTCGCTGCCTGGGCGATGGCGTCGCTGTCCGCGCAAGGCATCATGCGGATCACCCTGCTCGTTTGAATGTGCGCAAGAACGCCAAAAGGCTTCGTACCATCCAGATCCTCCTGACAGAGAATGCAGCTGCCAAATGACTTGCGTTCTGCCTCTGTCCCGGAGGCGGTAGAATGCTCGGCATCTTCATCCATGTCATCAGCATCCAGATCGTCCTCGAGCGACTTGAGCAAATCTTTCTGCTGAGCAGAGAACTTCTGCATAATAGCTGCTTGCCGGGCCTTGGCAGCTGCACGCTTGGCATCCGAGCGTTTCTTCTCCGAAGATTGGGCATCGATCCCCACCGGTGCTTTGCCAGCCTTTGTAAAGATCTGGTTGACCAGTTCCATCGCCTCCGCGTTCTGACTTGCGCGAACCAGTTCACTCGTCTGATTGATGAGCCACGTCACTTTGTGTTTTGTTGGCTTGAAGCGTTCATCAGCTTCGAGACTGCAGAGAAGGCCAAGTAAGGGCAGGTTCTTTCCTTCAAGATTGGTGGATGGGCCGGACCGAGCAGGAGGCGGAGCCAGCATCTTCGCGGCGACAGCGTAACCCTTCTCTGACAATGCTGCCGAGAGTAGGTGCAATGTCGAATCGAGTAGCGACTCGGGTGTATGTTGCATGGTGTGCTGGCAATTGAGAAGGGTCGAACAGGCAACTCGCATGAATGAAGTCGTCAAGAAAACATCGTGTAGGCGACCACTCGCGAGAAGCCCACTGTTTTCAATGTCAGCCTTGGCGGCCGTCCATGCGAATGCCGTCTCCTCGCGGCCGCCATTCTTCTTGTGGCGCTCCATCAAGATCTCCTCGGCCTTCTCGCGCTGATTGCGGCTGTAGTGCATGAAGCACGGCCTGACTTGGTCGAAACACTCTTTCTTCAGCTCAAAAATGCCAAGATCGGTGATTCCATCCGGCGCTCTGAAATTAGAGACTTGACCGAGCACCTTTTCGAATGAAGGGTGGTCCATAAAGCGCTCCGACACGTGTTTGGTGATCTCGCTATATGTGCCCGAGCCGAGAGCCAGGAAATGAACGATCTCGCGCCTGATCAGCTTCTCCATCGACCATCCCCCTAAAATAGCCGTCTCGGTCAACAGGTAAACAAGGAGCAGCATGAACTCGTCAGCCATGAGGATGACATGATCCGCGTCCGCAGAGCCATCCTCGAAGAACCAGGTGAGGCCGAAGCGATCGATAATCGTGACGAGCCAGCGATCCGGATCAGCGAGCAGCAGGCCGCACTGCAGTAGGTATAGATCCTGATCGTACATGATGTCACGCATGGGGTTTTCGCGGTAGTGATGCGCTTGTGATCGAAGTGCATAGCCGTTCCTAACCCACATGCCTGATCGCACCTGGGCGAGTTTAACGGCGACGCGCAAGGGGAATTCGAGCAGCACAAGGACGCCATTCTCGTCCACATCGCTGACTAGAAGATCCGCCAGGCTGGATTTACCGAGCGCAGCGATATTCTCGCCAGAGAGCACGTTGACATGCTTCAGCATCTCGGCGAAAAGCCAGTGCATCGGGTGATGGAACGATGTCGCTTGCGTGTCGACGGCAAAGTCGATGATTTGGAACGACCTGCCGCCGAACGGGACCGTGTGGAAGATGACCGGTGCGTGCACTTCCGGATCGTTCTGATGTAGCGTCAGACAGTTGAGCAGGATGCGACGGGCCGTCAAGCCGAGCGCGGCCGCGAGTTGACGCGTGTTTGACTTGGCGAATGACTCGCCGAACAACTTTGCTGCGCGCCCGAGGTGCGAGCTGACGTGGAAGACGGGGATCCACACGTCAGACTCGTACTCGACGTGCTGACTGACAGCACGTCGATCGGGCGTGATGGCATTGAATAGCGACAGAAAGTCGAGGAAGTAGTTGAGATGCGAGAGTTGCGAGACGAGTTGCTGCTGCACGCCCTCGGCGCTGAGCAGGTAGCGCACGTCGTAGAATATGTGGTAGCACCGCTGCTGCTTGAAAAGCGGAGAGTTCGGATTCGCCTGCCCCTTGGGAGGCGGCGACGGAGGCAGCTGCAGTGGCTCATTACCCTGCTGACTGGTGAAGATGGCTTGGAGGATGAGCAGCAGCTTCTCTAGGAAGCCGTGCTGCGCGACCAGCGTTGAAGCGATGGAAGGAACACTGAAGAGCTGCACGGTCATGAAGCAGATTGAGTGGTCCGCCTCGCGATCCCGCAGGATGAATGTCTCCAACACCTTGGAGTACATGTGCGCGAAACGCAGGGCTGATACCATCGGACGAGAGCCATAGGACATACATCAGCACAGTCCGTGAAGTGCACACAACTGTATAATGGTCTGCACTCACCAACTTCCTTCTTTGTCTCCTTGATGCCGATGCAAGCCATGAGGACCTGCTTGACGTCGCCTCTGAGCTCCTTCCGGAGCTTGCTCTCGAGCAGGAGCAAGCCATCCAGCTTGCGCAAATCGCTCGCACTGAAGAACGCAGAGCTCATCGAGTCTGCGTACACGGGCTTGTTGTGATCCCATGGCTTTAGGAGCTGGTCCGTCACCAGTGCACGCATCAATGCTGCGCTGGGCACGAGGGTCTCCAGCAGATGCGGCTGACTACCTTCCTCCTGCTGATTGCTTTTTCCTCCTTGGCCAGTGTCTTTCTTTGGCACGTACAGCACTGAGGATGTCAGGTCTAGCAGATGCTTGATCAGCACTGCGGCAATCTCCTCAGCGAATATGTCGAACGAGGGCCGGATGCTGACGGCGAGGTCAATCGAGTTGAGCTTCAAGCCCCAGAGCAGCAGCTTCGGCACGTCGGTGGAGATCTCGATAATGTCGCGCCCATGCTTGTCTACTCTCTCTGCGACTGCCTTGGCTTGCGCAACGTTTCGACCGGTGACGTCCATGACAATGTCGATTACTTGCGTGAAATCGTGCTTTTCGTCGTTCCAGAGCAGCAGCGTGAAATATCGCGATGGGCCTCCTTTCGTCGCCGTTACTGCTGCAGTTCCGGAAGAGCGCTTCGGCCCTCCAGGCCGCGGAGTGGCAGCCTCGGACAAGTCCGAACTGAAGAGGGAGCGACCACCAGACTCAGTAGATGGCGCAGCCAGCGAACCGCGGGAGCCGCGCTGCATCCAGCTGTTGAGCGTGAAGAAGCCTCCTGGCAGCGCGGGCATGAATTCAGCTGAGTCACTCGTGTATGCTATGGTTTCTTCCGGCCTGTCACGCCCTGCCTCCACATCCGAAACACTAGTCGCGCTTTCGCCGTGACCATCGCGGTCGGTATCGGTATGTGCTGTGCTTGAGGACGGAGGCCCAACAGGAGCGAGCGAAGGAGATGCCTGCAGCCGGCTGACTGCGTCCGGAGTCGACGATATCGACACTTGGTCAGGAGCATGTTCGAAAGTGTCCAGGATGAAGTCAAAGATCGAGCTGACGTGCGCCTCAAGAGCGGTTCGGATACCCTTTGGGATCGTTTGGAGCAGGGCGGCCATCTCGGCCGCCTCAGGCGGGGTCGGAATAGCGCCTGAGCTGGCGCTTCCGCTGGCGGATGTGGCTGCTGCGGCGTCGCTTTGCATCTCCCTTCCTTTCCCTTTAGTGCTCGATGGCACATTCGCGGCCTGCGAAGAGACGTCATCCAGCTCCATTTTGGTCTCTTGGAAGGAGGGGGAAAAGCCGCGGGCACCAGTAGTAATGTCAGATGATGATAGAGTTGATGAGGATGGCACGTACACATCGGATTGATGGTACTTGCAGCCTAAAGGCTTGTTCCAAGCTTCGTCGTCGCCACAGTCGCAGCAGCCCGTCGAGTCGGAGCTGATGCTAAAGACAATGTCATGGCCTTGATGATTCGAAACGTTAAAGCACGGCGCACACTGCACGCAAGTGTCGTCGTGTCCGCAGTCACTGCACAAGCAACGCTCCAGCAATCAGCCCCACTGCTCGCATTATGCGGTCATAGAGGGAAGACTTACCGACACCTGTAGATCGCCTCTCCTTCCCTGAAAATGTGCCCGCACGGCATTCCTTTGCGATCTGGCCCATACTCTGGACCGAGCGAAAAGGCTTTGCTGCTTGCGCCTAAGCCTTGCGAGCTAACATTGACATTGCCACGCTCGACAGCCTTTCCCTTGGCGTTCGCCTCATCCGCCTGCTTCTGCGCGGCTTTCTGCGCCTCAGATAGCTTCCAGTCATGCTCTTGGAGAAATTCGAGCGTCGCTTCGATCGTCGGCAGCTGTGTCGCGCGTGTTGGCAGCAGATGGGAGGGTGAGGGGAGGGAGGCTAGAAGGGATGTCCAGAGCGAGCGAAGAAGGCGAGAAGTGACGCCCTGGTCGACCAAGTAGAAAAAGGGAGAGCCGGCCACATCCCACGATCCCCCACCATCCTGAGAGAAGAACGGATGTGACTGGCCTAAGTGAGCCTTGATGAAGTCAGACGGAGTCGATCGGCTGCTGCCCTGCGGCGAGCGGGTAGGGTCCACAAGGCCAGCGTCCTGGGCCATGATAGCGGCGTTCTCCGCAATCAGCAAGCGCTTCGAGTCTCGGTTCTGCGTCTAGGCAGCGCTAGTGCAGTGGCCATGCGTCAAGAGCCCCGAGCGCAACAAGCAATGTATGACCAAGACAGAGATGGAGGTGAGGGAGACGTCGAGGTAGAGGTTGACAACATCATCCAGTGATCGCGATCGGAAGCTGCGCTGGAACGGCACCACTGCAACAGTCAAAATCTGACTGGGTGGCGCCGATGCTGATACTTTCAGCGCTGGCAGGGTTTTAAAATGGGACTCCCTTTGTGCCCTTCGTGGTCCCCACAGCGTACATGGCGAAAGAGGCTTCGTGTGCACTGCAATGGCAATGTGTGTAACGGCTACTCCACAACCAGGCTGCCTCTTTCCTAATAATGGCTTGTCCGGTCGCCAGAGATGAGCGCTATAGCACAGCACATGCAACGAGTGAAGAACAAAGGACTGCAAGAACACAGTCGCCTCAGAGGTCTCTGAAAAGGAGCCTGGGTAGGGTCTGTAAACAAGCACCATGGCAGCCAAGACGTCGGCGCCCAAAGCGATCGCATCCTCGTCCATACCGGGTGGCAGCATCATCTCTCCCTCGCATTCGCTCCCCCCAGCCGTCTCCTCTTCTTCATCGTCTGCTACTGTTTCAAATACGAATGCGAATGCAGCCGCCTCGTCCTCGCAGCTTGTCACTCCCTTTGCGCGCGACCTCTCTCTCCCGCCGACACGGCAAGTGGACGCTGCCGCGCTCGACTACATGACGACGGAGATGACATTTACCCTTCAGGAGAGTGCACGTTTCGCGGCGAAGAAGCTGCTCAAACATCGAGAAGAGCTCCGCGAGGCCGGATTTCCGGTCCAACTTGGGTCGTCGGCCGGGATCGCCGGCTCGGCAGTAGCCGCAAACGCAACAAGTGCCATAGGAGGGGTTGCGGGGTCATCACCGAAGGCGGCTGGCAGGACAACTATCGACAACCAATCGCCGGCAGCGGTGGTGGACAGGCGATCCGTCTCTCAAGCTGGTGCATGGGATGGGAGTGGAGGTACAGCGAGGCGATTCAGCAGCTTGTCGCTTGCGGGGCCGAGCTCAGAAGAGGTAGACGCGGAACTGACGGCACGGTTGGAGGTGATCGGGTATCATGTGGGTGCTAACATGGCAGAAAGGTGCGTCTCCACAATTCAAAGCTTCCAAAAGGGATCCTGGCTAATACGCAGTTTGTCATTTCTCCCTCAGGCTCAGCTCGCTACGGCCACCGCTGGGCACGGTGCTAGACGTGCTCAAGTTCGTCTGCAAGGACGTCTGGACGGCTGTCTGGGACAAGCAGGTTGATAACTTACGAACGAATCATCGAGTCAGTCAACCCCCGCAATAGTCGCTCGACTTTCGCTGACATCACTACTGACCTTTGCTGACTATGTTGCCTGAAGGGCGTATACGTGCTACAAGACAACAACTTCAAGCCGTTGCGACGCATGAGCACGGCGCGAGGGTTGCAAGAGACAGCTCGAGAAGCGAAACCTGTAAGTCCTTCTCCCCTCTCCGCAACTCGTCGCCATCGCACGGCCTTCTCTTGCTCACTCACAACCCGTCGTCACCTTTCCTCCTTTACCATCATCGACCGCCGCAGCATCTATCCTACGCGACGGGCATCGTATGCGGCGCACTAGCGCGCATGGGCGTCACGAGCACCGTTACCGTCGATATCCTCCTCCTTGCCGCAGGCGCCACCCAAGCCCCCGGACTGCACGCCCATGCCACCGCATGTACTTTCAGCGTCAAAACTGCCACGGGGCGGTGATTGTCACAAGCCCATTCTCATGTCCAGAACTTCCTAATTATGGTAGGCTCGAGACAGAGGAGAGCATAGAGACATCCCTACGCACCTTGCCTTTCACCCACATCCGTTTTCACGCGCTTCTTTTGCACACGAAACCCACAAAGCCTGTATACATCGTCCCATCTTGATCGTTACTGGAGCTTGGATGGAAGCGACAGCAAGCCGCGAAGCTCATCGTCAAAGGGTTGAAAAATGAATTGGTGAATAGGGTTCGATGAGAATATTGTACCGAATAAGCTTTTCCCTCGCTTCTCGGAACTCGGAATCTCGTTGAGCAAGCGTTTGATAGACTTGTTCTCCTTTTTTTCTCCAGCGTCCAGCAATCTTTCCCATCCGATCCTGTGGTCCCCCATTCCTAAGCGTACGGCAAGGAGAGTAGCCTATTCTCAGCTCTATACGCCGACAATCAACAGAGGGGAGCAGCAGACTGGGACGTGCTGCTCAAAGCAGTCGGTTGACCGCCAAGATGCGTCAGCTAGCAATGACAGATGCCGAGGGCGACTTTGTGCCCACTGCCCTCGAGCACAAGATTTCAATCGTGAGTCCTTCATTGCTGTTCCTTCCTCTTCCCGCATTTTTCATGTGCTAGATCCTTCATCGAAGAGCGGCATTGCTTACAACTCGTAACAATCTGGCTTGTGCTTCGCGCTCTACAGCTCCCAGGCGCGGAACAAGACCTGTCCGCCGTCACTTTCTGCATTATGGATGAAGATCACACACTCGGCAATGTGCTCCGATGGATGATCATGAAAGAGTAAGTTCTGAGAACTCGACCGCGCAGCAGAAATTGATTTGGGTGCGTTTTAGGGAGGAAGGAGCTGAGTGGAGGTCCTCGATGATTATAATATTTTGCACGATGCAAAGAGCGAAAAGAGGGTTGGCGCCCTCCCAGTAGCGCTGCTTATAACCTTTAACAATTGGAATTCTTCGTTTCTGAGGGGATCAGATGTGCTTAAAGGCGGAGTCATTGGGAAATAATGGAGCTCATGGGACTTACGAATTGAGGAAAGAAAATATTCACTAACACTTTTTTCTTACACCACTACCTTCGACATCAAGTCCGCAAGTGGAGTTCTGCGGCTACAGCATCCCACACCCTTCAGAAAGCAAGATCCATCTACGTATACAGATGTATGGTGAGTATATTTTCCTGGTTCTTCATGCTCTGAGCTTGATAGGGCATTGGTGGTAGGATCAGAGTCGCAGATGGGACGCGGATGTCACACCCTCGTGTGTGGGCCGCCAATGACGAATAATGGGATACAGACGCTTCCGCATGGCACAACTACGCAAATCAGTGCATGTGGCATGACGACGAAAAATTTACAATTGTTCCTACTGAGCCTTCTGCGACAGCACGGGTGGAAGGAGAACTAGTTAATATGCTCCGGGTGCCTCTGCTTGAGCGCCTCCTATGGGCTCCAAGCAATTCGGACCGCAAGACAAGGGCTGGCTGACACTTTTTGACATTTGCCCCCCTTTTATTTTGGAAAATCTTTCAAAGACCGAAGGTCATCCATCAAGGCTCTCCGCAGCGCATTGTCCAACCTCAACGAACTGTTCCTCTCCATCGGGACCGCCTACGAGCGCGACTATGCTGCCGGCAACTTTGAACGCTATGAGGAGCCGCAGCTGGACCTCGACCAGCTGAGACTGGATGCTGCCGAAGGCAGGCGACGGAGGGCCGAAGCGCAGCAAGAAAAGAAGAGCAAGGACATATCGCAGCGTGCCAAGGCATAGTGTATGCGTCAGTCGAGAGACGTCGGAGGAATTGTGCCCTTTAGAAAGGGCAAGTCGGCAATGTCTGTATTTGTACCAGTATATCAACTGTATCTATTACGTTTAGCATTACTTTGGGCGCCGGAGTTACACTAAAGCTACGTTTTTCGTCCCTTACCTGGCGTTGCGGAGTCCGCGTTGAATATTGACGCATGAGCCCTGTCGCCGCTTAAAAGAGGCTCTTGATGCGGTCCTTTGCCGCAGACTGCAGAGCCATGTTCTTCAGATTCCGCGAGAATTGCGACGCCCCGCGCTCGAGGTTGCTCAAGCCTTCCTCTAAGCTGTTCATCATCTCCCCACGCTGCTTGGCGAGATCGACATTCCAGCTCGCCTGATCGCGTGCACTCTGCGCAGTAGTGAGGCCCGCAGCTGACTTGCTGTACGGCACCGGATTGCGGCCGCCAATGGTGGCTGTCCCACTTGCTGATTCTGGAATGGGCCAGCCTTGAGCATCCACGTTTACCAGAGATTTTGCGTCCGGAGGCCGGTAGGACGCACGTTGCCCCAGCGGTTCCGGCAACGCAGCGGGTGGCGGCCGGTTTGCCCCGGCAAGTATCTCATCTAGCTGTCCACCAGTTGTGACGGCTCCGCTCTTACTGCTGAACCAACCAGTCACGGCAGCCGCAACTGAGCTTGCGCCTACACCTGGGTGTATCGGCGTCATCAAGCCCGGATCGTGAAGTAGATACGAGGGTGGGCCGGGACGGGGCTGCGTCGCAAAGATCGTCCAGAGGCGGACATCAAGGCTTGAGCCGAGGTCGATAAAGTCACCTGAGATGTCAGCGCAAGCGCGAAGCGCGTAGCCTGAGCTCATGCCTTGGTCGCGGTGATGTCTGAGAGGGGGCAGTTCCGCACGAGGATAAGTAATATACTCGGGGATTAAGAGATTATGCCTTCAGACGCACCTTTGTTTACGATCGATCAGGTCCAGATGGGGCAAGGTGTAAATGAAGATGCTCGCGGCTGTGATGACCAGCAAGACCCTCTCCATGTTGCGCTCAACAATGTTAGCACCGAGAATCCTGTCATTGATCTCTTCCTTTGCAATCACGGGCCCATCAATACCATAACGAAGTGTAACCACTGTGGAAACGAATATTGTTCAGAGCTTTGAAGAAGCCAATGCCATCAAAGGACCACTCACTGCCTCTTGAGATGAAGATTGCAATCCCGCATCTTACAGCGTCGTTTTCTGTCGGGCCTCCTCTTTCAATTTCCCGCTGGGCGCGCTGCAGCTCAACGCCAGTTGATCGCACTTGGAAGCCATTAGCATCGCAAACCATGACCTTCTGCGTGTGAGCAGTGCCATCCAGCTTGTGCGCAGAGCTGCGGGACGCAAGCCATTGGTCCAGCGTTTGCGTGATCGTCCAGACAGACATCAGCCCATTCTCGCGCGAGACAAGCAGTCGAGGAGCCATTCTTGGGTCGCTTGCAACTCTCGTGATTGCGAAGGTGAGGTGGTGAATGATGCTCTTGCTCTCAGCTTCGACAGCCTTACGCTCCTCGCGCGATGCGTCCTCTGGTTCGACAGTGTCGCCAAATGAGTCGCGCACGATCAATTCTTGCCCACGCAAGTCAATGAGAGCCAAAGCGCTGCCGCATGCAGCTGCAAAGAACCCAATGTCGCTGACTGCAACCGATGTGCAATCTCCTCGATTGAGGTCGATGAGAAGGAATGGCTTGAAACCGTCAGCATGCCAAGTAGAGAGGTGGGTGATGTCGGTCAATTCCTGCGCGGCCAGCATTCGCGGGGGAGGCATATGCGAAGGAGGGAGCCCTGGACTGAAACCAGGTAGAAAAGTTGACTGTGGTGGCGTCAGTGGTTGACGCGGCTCGAAGCGACAATTTGAGAGCAGTGGCGAGTTTGCTGGAGATTCATTGCGGCTCGTTGTAGGCCTGTTAGGGTCTCTGGGAGGACGAGGTGGTCGCACCGGCGTACCAGTCACGCCCACTGGCCCTGGCCCCGGCCCTTGATTGGACGGCGTCGGCTGCATGTTCATCGTAGACAAGGCATCTGACATCGCTGCATCGAGCCGAGCCTCTTGCGAGAGGGAAGAAGTTACGGAAGGGCTGGATCTATGTGTTTGCTGGGCCTGCGTATGCGCGTGCTGAACAGGTGGGATACTGGCGAACGCCGCGTTGCGCTGTAACTCTTGCGCGACGTCTTCCACAACTGCATCCTTCGCCCTTGCTCGTGCAAAGCCGTGCTTGAAGTAGATGATTTTGCCAGAGCGCAAGATGATGGCCAGCTCCAACATCTCAGTGGCTAGCTTGACATCAATCACGCTGAGTCTCTCTGAGTCCACCTTGAGCGGTTCAACAGAAGGATTTCCAGTAAGGTGTGGATGGTGGATGAGATCGCGGGAGGAGATGGTCAAGTGAGGAAGGGGTGCCGGAAAAGGGTGCTCGAGCGGCCGCTCAGCAGGTACCGCAGCATCAGTGCCTTCTGTACCCTTGGGCGTATGCAGTAACAAATGCGGACTCGCATCGTGAAAGCGAACTGTACCGTCAAGGTGCCATGTGATGAGCACTCGGTACGACAGCCGCTTAGCAAGCATCTCCGGTTCTAAAGAAGGGTCGCCCGAGACAATCGGGTATGCCTTGCCGCCTTTGAGGGTCAGAGAGCCGCCATCGACTAGCTGCGGTGCCAAGTTAGCCGATGCTCCCAGTGCTCCAGATATCTCACTGCATTTTCCGCCAAGCTTGCGATAAGAATGGACAGACAAGGTTTCCAAGGTTGCGCCCAAGATGGCTCCCGAACCTGTAAAGCTCAGGGGCAGCGGCAGTTGCATCTCTGGAGCTGGCTGTTGCATGAGAGATCCAGTCGGAGGCAGGCTCGCCCGAGATTTGCGGTCTGAGGCGCGCGGCGGCGGGAATGGATAGCACTTCAGTCCCCTGGCAGCAGCTGGTGGTGGAAGAGAAGGCAAATTTGGTTCCGCAGCGAGAAGAGTGATGATAGCCTGTGGGTCGTAGTTCATCGAGTAGTGCGGATTGTTCTTTGGAACCAGCAAAAAGTCCTCCACAGGAGATGGCGTGTTATACCGTGATTCGCGCGTCGTATCTAGAGACGCGCGCAGCTGAGCGCGAACCTTCGACAAAGCCTCTGGAGTGCTTGCGGAGCTTCCCCAAAGCGCTTTTGGGATCGCGTAAGGCGGCATATGTAGGCATGTGAGACCAGGAGCGTCGCGGAACGGAACGACACCACCCAGAATGGTGACGACGGTTCCCATCTGCGGGTCCTGCGCCTTTTCTGCTGCCTCTTTCTCCGTTGGTGGGACTACACTACCGCTAGGGGTTCGCGAACCGACGGCCTTGCTAGCGTACTCGAGCCATGACTGTTCAGGGAAGCCAGTCCACGTGATCTTGAAGATGGGCTCGCGGGGCGGCGCTGCTTGCTCTGGACCGTTCGTGTTCTTGCCATCGGGTACCTGTGGCCTGTCGACGTCCATGCGATCCAGTGTCCGGACCAGCAAAGGCTTCCCGTCGTCCTTAACATGCCAGAACGAGATGCACCCGTCTTCATGCCCCACTGCAAAGACATCGCCGTCGGGACGCCACGTAATGCTCGTCACCGCCGAGGAACGCTCCGTCCATATCTGGTTAGGATCCCCACCCCCTGCTCCAGGCGCACCTGGAAGCAGACGTAGTTGATATGTGCGAAGCACCGTGCGCGTCTTGAGATCCAAGAGCACCACACCTCCTTCGTAAGCAATGAGTAGCTGAGTCAAATTCTTAGGGTGAGTCTCGATCTGGACGACCAAAGGCACATGCCGCCGCGAAGGTGCGTCTGGCACGCCTGACTTGCGCAAGCTGTTTTACATGAGCAATAGCATTAGCAAGGCCCTCCGCGCCATGCAAAAAGGATCGAGGCACTCACATCTCCTCCTCTTCCCACCACAGGTTAGGGATTCTGTACGGGCTTGGCTGTAATCGTGTCAAGTCGTAGCAATCGATCGTTCCATCGCGCATGCCAAGGAAGAGGTGATCATGGCTAGGACTGAGCTCGACGCATATGACCTCATTCCGAGCCGAATGCGCCGCAATTCGTGTTGGTGTCTCTGGATGGGGTGGTCCAGACTGGGAGCCGCCTTGGAGCGCATTCAGCGGCTGGAAAGGATTCGATGTATCCGTCGTTTTGGAAGCCACCTGCGGATCCGGGCGCGAGAGATCATAGACACTGATCGTGTCCTTCGCGTCTGTAGAATCAGCACGAGGTGTCAGTCAACGACTCGTGAAGCGATGGTAAGTCTGCAGGACATGATGCGCACCAATGCAGATCAGAAGGGGTGAACCGGACTTGAAGAGCAGATGCTTGACTTTCACCGCAGGGCGCAACGTGATGCTCAACTGCACTGGGGGGGAGCCGTAGAGGTGCAGCGTTCCGGTGGTAGTTCCTACGGGAAGACGGTGCTTCAGCTGCGTGTCGTGCACGACTTGATGCAAGCCGGAACGTACCAACAGCCAGATACCCCAGCACAGGCTCGCAGGCCATGGCCGTGACTTCACCGGGAAGAACGAGGTTGTGCAGAATCCCTTCCGCAAACCGTTTGTGTGCGCCAGCGTCCGTGAATGATCCAGACCAATTTGCGTATTCGAGCTCTGGCGGCGGCGTGGCTACGCCGCCGCCAAATGCAGACTTGATCCAACTCGACATTGTACTGAGGAAGTCTCAATTCTGAGCTTGATACAAGCGCAGAGAATTGATGGGCTTTGTCAAGGCCTTCGTCCGAACACAGCGGTAACAAGTCTTCGCGTCAGTCGTGCCCTTTATGCAATCGTAAGCTCTGAGATGCGAGGATTGCAACGAAATTTTCCTGTTTCGCAAGTCTTCAGAGGTTCATGTTCATGCTCTGTGCCCAGTGCCGGCTACCGCGAAGCTGACTAAGTCTTTTGTTGCCGACCGAGGGCACCAATCTGGGAAGTCGGGGCGGCGTCGCTTGCTCCAACTTCAGAATTGACCAACTCGGAGCACATCCAGGCGCAGTGAGAAGGAGACGCTGGCAGCAAATGGGCAATTACTGAACCCTCACTGTCTTCAATGGATGATTTTCGAGTGTCGGGAGAGTTGTGTGAGGATGCAACAGACTCCTGATTGAACGCACCAAGCGGCGCGTCATCGGGGGATGAGATGGAGCGTCCGCCCCACAGGAGAGATGTCTGCAGCTGAGGGGAGAGAATAGGAATGATGCGAACTCTACACCTTCGCTCCGAGCTGGCCTTAGGTCTTCTGATCAAAGAAGACACACACTTCGGCGTGTCCTCCTGCAGTCTGGCTCCAAGCTTCTACCAACGCGACTCACTGCCTACTGCGACACGGTGTCAAGACGACGACAGCTGCATCTGCGGAGATGGAGGCCCTCAGGCGCCAAACTCTGCGGTCACTTCTGCGATCTTCGGAATGCAGGCGTCTCCAAGACGTGCCTGCCCAATCTCGTTCTCTGGCATCGTCTGCTTCACTCCGGATCACGCGCTCGCAGACCCCAAATGCGCCCAAGGTGGACAGCACCGATGGAGCGGCCCACAAAACAGGTGCTATACATGGCGGTCAAGGATCTGCATCACCAGGTCCATCTTCTCCAGCCCGCAAGAAGCCCGCTGAAGAACCAACGCCGCTTTCTGACTTCTTGGCCCCCGGCTCCTCGCCAAACGCCAAGCCCGTTCCCTTTAGCACCTCTACGTCTGCAGCCGCGGCACTGGCTGATCAACAACCGCTCCCCTTTCTCACCATCCCGCTCGGCGTGCGGAATCCACCAGTAGATTTGACGGGTCCACGCGCATCGAAGCAAAATGTGGCATCGGAGAGCGAGGCGACGTTCACAGAGAGACGCATGCAGAAGAGAAAGATCATCGTGAAGGAGGCCACGAGAGGCTATTTCCATGACTTCCATGCCATCAGGAGCCATGGAGGCAAGACTTGGAGAAGCCCGGGTACGTTGATCAGGGAAGATGTGAGCATGCTGTCCATAGAAGAAACATAGATACGCAAGATGCGAGAGGGCTGACAGCATATCCATTCGTTGTTCTTAGAGGGCTCTGTACTTCCCAGACATCATTGGAACCTGTCTCAAAGACCGAAGCAAGACATCAACCACGCAGATGCTAAAGGGCAACGTGTCGATCCTGTCCATCTTGACATCAAAGATCTCGGAAGAGCACACAAAAAGCTTCTATCAGCCCACGCTCGACCTCTATGCTTCCAATCCAAGCTTCCGTTTCGTGCAGGTAAATATATAGCGTTTATGAATCCACTGCCTTACTCGTATTGAGCTGGCAGATTGAGACGGTATCTCCCTTGTGATCGATCAGGTCAATCTGCAAGAAAACACCCTCAAAGCCTACCTGGTATCTCTCTTCCTCTCCTCCCTCCGTACGGTGATCCCTCCGGAGTTCCACGCAACGTACCTGATTTCCAGCCAGAATCTCGAAGTCGAGCGCGGCGCACTCGGCCTGCACAACAAACACGTTGGGTATACGTACCTGATCGATTCTGATTGTCGCATCCGATGGGCTGGCTGCGGGTTTGCCGAGCAGGCAGAGAAGAATGCGCTCATTGCTTGCACAGGCGTGCTACTCGGTCGCTTGGGTGAGACGCCCGCAGGTTCGGGTGCGCAAAGGCGCTTGCGGTGATGCGATGGAGATTCTGTAGGATTTGCACAGCGCACTTCTTTTTCGCAAGCAATAGACAAGCACTAGAGATGCTTTGCGTCGGCTCATGTCGATTTGCATGATGACCTTTGATTGCTGGGAAATCCCATGATTGATTGGTGCAAGAAAATTTCTGTGATTGATTGTATTACAGGCGTTGCTGCTGTATTGCGGGTATACAAGAGAGGATATGACAGTCCGTGGAATGCGTGAAACTTCTTTTGGGATTTGATGATTGATTCGCGCTGCCACCGCCCTACGCCTGCGGCCTTGCGAGCTTGTACGGGATGCTAAACACGTGCGCCAGTTCCTCCATGGGCGACCAGCCCAGACAGACGATATGCGCAACCTCGCCTTCCCCATCATGGATGGGCCACAGAAGTTCGAGGCGAGCAGGTCGAGGTGCAGGCCGTTCAACGAATCCTGTGCATGCTTGCGCTCGCCGCAGACAATCGCCACGCAAGACCGCGGCGCGCAGCTTCGCAAATGAGCGCTGAGCGCGCATGCGCCTGCAACAGCGCAGCAAAGGAGGACTGAAATTTGCGAAGAAGGTTTTTCGCGCGCTTATCGTCTCTCGACGCTACTGACAAAGTGGAAGATGAGAGTGATGAGTGCGGCGACGACTTTCCATGCTCCTGCTCAAGCGCGTGAGGTTTAATGTTGGTCTTGCTATTATGCTCGCTGAGATGCTTTCTGATCGTTGCGTTGGGCAGCAAGCAGACGCGGATGAGGGCTCGCTCATTGCTTCTCCAATGATGGCGGATACAAGCTTGGGTACGAGGATGGTGCAAGTGCCACGCATCGGCATCGTGCGCTGTCTTCGGCGGTGCCCTGGTTTCGCTGGCAGCGTGGGAGTGGGAGCGGTCTCAATCGCGCTGCTTGAGCTCCGCTGTCGCATGCGCATGCGCTTGCGCCAAGCGCAGCAGCCTCTTCTTGGCCGGGCGCTGGCGAGGAAAGGCTGGCGGGGCGACCGATATGGCGGGCGGCTTGTGCAAGGGCCTGGCATGAGACGAACCTCACTGGCGTTAGTCAGCGACATGGAGCACTCACAGAGGGCCATGCGCTGAGCGCGGAAGCGCACCCTAGCGTGCACTTTGGCAGCGACAATCGTCTCCAAGATTGCTTGGGCGTGCAGCACGGGCTCGAGCGGTACGCCTGACGGAGGTGTCATGGTGCATCGTGGGTGCGCCGCCCCGCGTAAGGGCGAGATAGTGGCTTATGTGACGTACCAAACATGACAAGTTGCTGCCTTGGCATGCTATGCAGCCGAAGACGAGCGAGGGTGCGTCGGGGTGGGACGCGTCGGGCTGGTCGACATCGAGGGCTACGTTGAGGTCGGAAAATGGGCATGTGCGCCACGGCGTTTTCGACGTTGTATAGGGTCACGGACCCGGGAAAACCCAGCAGCAAGTTACATTATTCGCCGAAGTCCGGAGCCCTTTTGTGTTCGTGTGTGTGTATATGTACATAGCGTACAGGTTTGAGCAGATGAAGTAGCGAATGCGTAGAACAGAACACGAGGCGATGACACAGACGTGCCAGATGTGTTGTGTGCGCTACCGTGGTTGGCGCGGAACTCTCCCAAAACTTTCTCGTGCGACACGCCAGGGGAAAGCGGCTGGAGCCTGAAGGAAACAACGCGAGAGGGGCCCAGAGGAATATGGAGGTGCAAATAATATACATACATATATATGCGAGCGAGCGACTGTTGGGGAGGTTGTAACCGGCACTCTCTCCCGCCGTGCATTCGACGACGCAAGACCAGAGAGACCAGACCCGGCGACAAGGGCTGTGGCGACGCGACCAAAATCAGACGGCGTTGGACGTGCAGCCGAACGGCGCCTTGATGGCGCCGGTAGCGTACGAGTCGATGATAGCCTGAACGGACGTGTACGTTCCCGGGCCGAGCATAAAGATGCCAACGGGAACGAGAGCGCAGTTGAACAGCGTCTCTGCTTTGCGCAGCAGCGGCTGCCCTTTCCACAGCTGACCGCGCTTGATTTCGAGGTAGGCGAACGTCCAAAAGATGAAGCCGATGAAGCTGAAGAACAAATGGAAGGAAAATATTGTAAGATGTCTGCCCAGAGTCAAGGAGTATGGACGACAGAGCCCGCCCGCTTTTCACCTATCGAACAAGGCCGACATGAGCGAGATGAGGCTGCCAAAGAACGGGATGGACTCTCCGACAACCCAGCCGAGCAGCCAGATGGCAAAGACGACGGCGATCCAGACGGCCCATCCGAGTGTCGTGTGGTGATCGTAGTGCTTGGTGCCGGCAAAGATGCGCGCAAAGATGTACTTGGCCGCGACGCTGGCGTAGATAACGCCGATGATGACCGTCGTCGGGAAGACAAAGGCAAAGGCGATCTTCTTGTACGTCGGCGCAAGCACGATGACGGCCGGCGCGCCAGTATACTGGCCACAGAAGGCGTACACAAAGATGCCCACCAGGCTGAACAGCAAGAACTCGACGGCGGTCAGCGCGTAGAGTGCCTTGGGGAACTCGCGTGGGTCGCGCATCTCGGCGATGAACGTCGGGTAGGTGATCTGGCCGATCCAGAGAAAGGTGATGGACAGCGCCGCGTTGAATCCCTCAACGAACGTTATGCCCTCGGGTGCCCAGACGGTGAGGAGGACCGGCGCGCTGGAGCTGGCGTCAACCCCGGCCGGATGCCGGCCCTGGATGCCAGTGAAGATGAGGACGAGGAGGATGGAGATGGCCATGCTGGCGGCGCTGGCGATGCCCATGACGGCAACCTGATTCAACTGGCGCGGCAGGGTCGCGACGGCGCAGAGGACCATGACGATCACGCTGAGCGCGACGCTGCACCAGCCGCTGCCAGGACTAGTGACAAGCGTGTTGATGATCTCGGCTCCGGTCAGCGTGTGCAGGCCCATGAGGAAGATGTTGTTAAGCAGCAGGATGATCGCCGTCAGCTCGAACGCCGTGCGCGAGAAGCCCCCGGGGGTGCGCGAGAAGATCCGCCCGCCGATCTCGGCAATGTTCAGCTGCTCCGGGTACTTAAGGCAGTACTGCCACAGGGTCAGCGACGTATACAGTGTCACGAGCCCGATGCCGAGCACAGTTAGGATGCCGCCCGCCATGCCGAGCACGGCAAACGATGAGGGCACCGCGAGGATGGCGAGGCAGACGTACTGTGCAGCAGGGTCAACGAGCACGATATCAGCGCCCGCCCACGCGCGAAGCATAGCAAGATCTGGTCTGGGACGCAGCGTACCTCTCCGAAGAGCAAGGCGGCGGTGCGCTGCCAGCTCATACCCTTGAGATTGATCTGCTTGGCGCTGCCATCGTCGTCAGCGTCGTCGACGACTGCGAGTACCTTGGTCTTGACCGTCTCGAGGGGGTGGAGGGCGGCACCATATACGTCATCGCGCTGGGAGGGGGAGGCGGAAAAAGAGTCCCTTTTGGAGAGTCTGCTGGCGTCCGACAGCTTGATCGCCTTGTCTATCGTGTTGGGCACGGCGGCGGCGGTCGAGGAGCGCTTCCCGAGGTCCGGCATGGCTGCTACGGGCGGAGCGGTGGCTGGGCAGTGTATAAGTGGGTCTCCAAGTGAGGCTGGCGAGGAACTGTACGACTGGGTGCGGGCCAGCGTTCCAGCCTTGTCTGGCGGGCAAGGGAGGTAGGCCCTGGCCACGGAGGAGCGTGGGTGAGGGCGAGGCGCGGCCGTGGTGGTGATGCGACCGAGGGATTGCTCATGCGGGGAGGCGATCAGGCAGTGATGGAACGAAGCGAATGCCTCCTCAAAATTCTAGGTGACTTGAAAAGCACCCTGCAGAGCAGTGCAGGTGTGCCGCACAAGACTTATTTTTTTGTTTGCTCATTGCAATATACATATACATTGTCTTGACGGGAGCGGTGGATGAGTAGAGCGACGGAGGTGCATGATTCCCACGTGTGTGGATGTAGCAATGACGAGCAGAGACCGGCCGGCCGAGAGGCGTAACCCCGAGGCCTGGGCGCTGAATCCTGAGGTGTCGCTCTGGTTCTCTCAGCATCTCTGTGTCCCTGGAATGGATTTTTGAGGTCCACACCACACCTTTCCCAGTTCCCACTGGGCATTACAGACCAGATGGCTCACACTTGCAATACTGTCCCCACACCGCACCGCACTGCTCCTCTGTCACACAATGTCCACGTGGCTGATCCAGATCCCGGATCGATATTGGCGTTGATTCCATTGATTCTCTCGATATGCAATGCTTGTGCATCGATGGCGCCATCGGGCAGACAGAACATCCGTCTCGCACTACACCGCCGCCCATCACACCCCACACGCTTTCATGCACATCTTGATTGTCTGTTCGTCCCCAGGCAAGCACGCACTCACACTCCACACCCCCACAACCCTCTTTCGTAACTCCTTGCATGTCGTCAACGCGACAAGCAACAAGCAAGGACGCCTCTTCAGCTGCTTTCCAATTCGCGCTCGCTTTCCCCTCGTCGTTATCAAGCACTTTGTGTTCTTGCAGCTTGCGTGCGCCGGAAACGGTTTCTTGTCGCTGTGGGTGGTGGCAGATATCGAGATACATGTACCCGACGTGTATGCATGTATACACACAGGGAAGGGCGCGCAACTTGAAGAAAACGGCGCGGAAAGTGCCGTGCAGGACAGGACGCTTTGCGTGGGCATCCTCCTAGCCGCGCTCGACACATACTTCCTTTGGAATCTGGATCGCTTCTGGGACGGGGCACAAGCTGCCCACAGGTCACGGGCGCGGGAACAGGCACAGGCTGAAAGGCCGCGCAGGAGGCACAGGAATAGGCCAGGGACGGGCATGTAACACCCAAAGGATACATGCGCAATGTTTTTCCTTTCAAGTGAGCACCCTACACAGCGTGTCCGTACCAGCGCGCCGCTTGATGGCACACGCAAAATCGGCCCCCTCCCGACTCCCACGCGTAAATATAGACATACATGTACATTGATGTACCCTGATTACCTGCGTGCTGGCCTTTGTCCTGCACAAGCGAGCGCCTCTGCTTTCTCTTGCTAGATGGGGCAGGATGCGGATTGGCCGGCGGGGAGGAATGGCGCACATGTATCCTCTTTGTATCTCAAAACTGCAAAAGTTCAATCCTGAGCGATGACCGCTGCGACATAGCCTGTTCCATCATCAAAGTGCGAAGCGTCCACGTCGAGGAACGCTGCTGATCTCGCCATGAGCGCTGAAACAAAGCACATGGATGTAGATGGCATGGTCACTGACTCGCGCGAGGGGGAGCGCGTGTGTAATGCCGACTGACGTGCCTGCTGCGAAGCGAGCTTTCTGTTGCCTGATGGCCCAGCTCGATGCTGCTGCTCGACATAGCCGCTCTCAGGTGGAGACCTGAGAAGCAAGTTAACAGTAGTCTGCGTCGATGGAGGTCCCTTTGACACCCCCCCTCCCCCCCTGTCCTCTCCGCTTGCGCTCAGGGCGCCGGTGGGCGGAACGGTCTGGCGGAACGAGTGTCTGCGGATGCAGACTGCTGCAGTGCCGCGGAAGGCGTCGTCCTCAGCGGATCGTTCCCAACAGCGAATGGGAAGTAAAGCGAAGCTCAGCTGAGAGCACCAGTGAATCAAATGGCGTCCAACAACACCCCACCCGCCCATCCATGCATTCATCCCATCCCATCCCATCCTCGGCTGCCTTGGTACGACATTCATCAGTGGACAGACGAGGCAGACTTTAGCGACAGCGCGCTACAGCACATATCCTCGCGCAGCCCTTGTGCATCGCGGCTCCAGACACGCCAGGCTGCCGCATCAGCCTCTCTCTGTCACGCAACGCGCACGACCCAGGCAGTCGTTACACACCCACACCCACATACACATCTTCTCAACTTGTCCTGCGGAATCTCGGTGTTCACTCGCCCGAGCATCCGCCGTCGTTCTTTGATTCTCGCGTGAGGAGCGATGAAAGATCGGCCAGCACCTGTCGAACTGCACACAGCCATCACCGACATACAGCGCAGCCGCCGATCTGCCGTCGTCGCCGCCCCCCTTCATCTCGGCCAGCACCACTGGACCACGCGATCCGCCCGCATAGCCAGCTTGGACCTTCGCGCTCACGCTCCACAGTGAGACGCCTCGTCCTTTAAGTCGACGACTGCGAGGAAAGCGCCGCCGGCGTATCGCAGTCGGGGGCCCGAGCAGGCACAAAGCACTCTTCCATGTTCCCTTCTCCATCGGTCTCACCCGCGCCCTCGCCGCCTGCGTACTACCTCTTGAGCCAGCAACAACAGCAGCAGCATGGCGGTGGAGGCGGCGGCAGTGGTGGCGGAAATGGTGGCGGACAGCTGGGTAGTATCTTCTCACCGCCGGGAAGCAGCGCAGGTGCGGGAGGAACCGGCGGAGCCGGCGGCCAAGTGAACGGGTCCGGAGGCTATGGACGCTTCGGCGCGTCGGCAGGCGCCTCGAGCGCTGTAAGCTGGGGCGGGCCGCGAGGACATCACAACCACCATGCCGGCGCAGGGTCAGCGGGTGGCGGAGGAGGAGGAGGAGGTGGTGGTGGCGGCGGAGGAGGAGGGCATCAACAGAATCCCTCTCTCTCCTCTCTACCTGGCTCCATCGGCCAACCATCATCAGGCGGCGGGCCGGCCTCACCCGCGACATACGGCAACGCGCATCACCCATCATCGCTACATGGCCCGCATGGCATCTCGCACCTAGCGAGCCCGATCCCGCTGCATGCGCATGCACATGCACACTCACCCGGGCAGTCACACGCTGCCAATAGCAACGGCCTGAGCAGCGCTGCGGCCGCTGCGGCCGCAGCGGCTGCCGCAGCGTCGCCCCATTGGCAGCAGCAGATCAAGCAGGCGGAGGTGAGTGATAGAACATGGGCGTGGGGGGATGCCAAAGCAGAAGATGCGGCACAAAGCTGAGCACGGCTGATCCCTCTACAGGTCTCGCGGCAATCGAGTTCGCCGCATCATCACGCACGTGCAGCAGCGCTGGCAGCGAGGAGCGCAACGAACGCTGCCATCACCATCACGGACCCAAATAAGATCCCGCAAATAGCCGCCAATGGTCTGCACCTCGACACGGGCAAGAAGCCGGTCAACGGGACGGGGAGCGAGGAGAAGGACGGGGAGAGCACGCCGACGTCGACACCGACGTCGACGCTGCCGAAAGGAAACATGACCAAGCCGGTCGAGACGGACAAGTCGCAATCGTGGACCAAGATCGACATGGGCGGGCTCGGGCTCAAGACGTTGGCGGTAGAGGTGTACCGCTACTCGTTCCTCACGTCACTCTTCATCAACCACAACGCCATCACGTCGCTCTCGGCGGACATTGTCAAGCTGAAGAACCTGACCGTGCTTGACGCATCCGGTAACAAGCTCAGCTCGCTCCCACCCGAGCTCGGCATGCTCACCGGGCTCAAGGAGCTGTACCTTTTCGATAACAACATCCTCACTCTCCCCGCCGAGCTCGGCACTCTGCACCAGCTCGATATGATCGGAATTGAGGGAAACCCGCTCGCGGAGAACCTGCGCTCGATCATCCAACGCGACGGAACGCAGGCGCTTATCGCGTTCCTGCGCGACACGTGTCCTGTCCCACTGCCGCCGTCCGAGCGCGAGTGGATTACCATCGAGCCGGACCTCCCGCCGGCGACGGGCGACAAAGGCGAGCCGCCACAGGAGTCGTTCAACGTGCTGTGCTACAATGTGCTCTGCGAGAAGCTTGCGACGACCCAGATGTATGGCTACACGCCCAGCTGGGCGCTCAGCTGGGAGTACCGCAAGGAGTTCATCCTGCAGGAGGTCATGAGCTACAGCGCGGACATTGTTTGTCTGCAGGAGGTCGACGTCGAGCAGTACGAAGAGTACTTTTCCCCGCACCTCTCCGAGCAGGAGTACGAGGGCGTGTACTACCCCAAGTCACGCGTCCGCACCATGACCGACACCGAGAAGCGCCGCGTCGATGGCTGCGCCATCTTCTACAAGGCGACCAAGTTCCAGCTGATCGAGAAGCAGCTGATCGAGTACAGCCAGACGTGTCTACAGCGCCAGGACTTTCGCAGCTCCGAGGACATGTACAACCGCGTCATGACCAAGGACCACATCGGTGCCGTCGCGCTGCTCGAGAACCGCGACAGCGGCTCGCGCCTCATCGTCGCCAACACGCACATCCACTGGGACCCAGCTTTCTCAGACGTCAAGCTCGTCCAGGTCGCCATGATGATGGAGGAGCTGGAGAAGATCGCTGCGCGCTTTGCCCAGTTCCCCGCCAAGCTCAACGTCGCAGATGGATACCCGCCCGCACCCAAGTACGGTGATGGTACGCGCATTCCCACGCTGGTCTGCGGCGACTACAATTCGGAGCCCGAGAGCGGCGTGTACCAGTTCCTCTCCACTGGTGCGCTCGATCCCAAGCACAAGGACTTCCTCAACCACGTTTACGGAAGCTACACCACCGACGGCCTCAAGCACACTCTTGCCCTCAAGTCGGCTTACTCAAACATCGGGGAGCTACCTTTCACAAACTACACGCCCACCTTCGTCGGCGTGCTCGACTACGTCTGGTACACCTCCAACTCGCTTGCGGTCACCGGCTTGCTTGGCGAGGTCGACAAGGGATACCTCTCCAAGGCCGTCGGCTTCCCCAACGCCCATTTCCCTTCAGAGTGAGTCGTGCCCCCTCGGAAGACCCGCTCTTGCTTCCCTCACAGAGAGTTGCGCACAAACTGCAGCCCGACTGACCCGACATATTTCACTTCTTTCTAACAGCCATATCTGCCTTCTGGCCGAGTTCAGGGTCAAGCACCCGAGTCAGACAGTGGGACCACAGCCCCGCGCCGTCGACTTTGGCCCTTCTTCCAAGGATAGGGATCATCGAGATCGGAGGCGCCACTAGATGATGAGGAAGCGCAACGTCAAGGTTCAGTCCAGTCTAGTCCGGTCCGGTCGCACTGAAATCAGGTGCGCATCCGCTGATTCAGCGCCTGGGGCGCCGGAAAAGACGACGTTCGCCGTCGAAGAGCACCCACGCCCCGCATACCTACTTTATCCACTTCTTTGTTGACCCTTCACCGCCACTTCTCGAGACCAACACACCTCTCTCCAATCTCCGCTTTGCCAAATCGTCGGCGGACTGCCAGCGGGTTCTCCACTCCACGACCCGGTCGGGAGCAACAGCTGTACTACCCGTTCCTCTCTCTTGTTTCGACGCAGCCACTTGGCATTTTTCACCCATTTTCTTTTCTCTTGCTATCCCTCCACCATTTCCCCTCTCACACCCTCTCCGCACTTTTTGCTGTGGTCCTGTTCCTCCAAGACTAGAAGAACTTGTACGCTCTTCAATGTAACAATAACTAAGCAGCAGCAACAACTCAAAGTATAGTCAATCACACTCTCTCGCGTGTCGTTTGTGCTTCATTGAACTGTTCATTACTGGGAGCGTCGTGGCGTTCGTTTCTGCAAGTACATGTGGTCTGGGGTGCGGGAAGCGGTGGAGCACAAGGCCACGGAGCTCGAAAAATGAACTCCTGTCGATCTTGTGTTTCACTTGATCCAGACTTTCGAAAGGCTCAAGAACAAGCTGGAATAGTTGAGCTCTCGTCTACTACGACGTCCTTTGTCTGCCCACTTGATACGAAAGCGTCGGGTAGGTGAGTGTAGCCGTGTCCTCCCAGTCGGTCTCCTTGGCGTAGAGCTGCTTAACAGGGCTGCCCCTGTCGACCATCGCACTCATGCCCATATTGTCCATGCTTGGCCTATCTGCATCTTGGTCTTTGACGTAAACCTCCTTTTCGTAGGAGAGGTCGACATCTTCAGCGTACGTTTCCTCCGTCGATAGGATCCATGCGTGGAACATGGCCCAGAGACCTGTGGTCTGCAAGAGCATGCTGATGAAAGCACCGTCGACCTTGGCACCTGACGCCCGGCAGATAGCACCTGAGATGACAAAAGTGACCACCTAGAGCGGTCACCAAAAAAGTCGATTTGAACTTGAGCATGCGAACGCGATGGGAAGGAAGATCAATAAGCTCACCTGACTGCTGCCCCACAGGAGACCGGCAAGTACATTGAAGGCTGCAGGAGCATGGCTCAGTGAGAAGAGCCTGGAACGTGCAGGGCAAGGTGAGGAAGAGAACTCACACAGGGGCTTCCATTCTCCGAGAATGCCTACGGACACGTACACCTTGAGGAAGCTGACGATGGTGACGGTGATGCTTGGCATGAGAAAATCGCTCGTGAACATCGAATTGTTCTTGAGCGTGTTCGGCAGCGGTGCGCCGTGGCCCAACGTCTTTGTCCAGCCGTACGCCGTGTCAAGGTGCGTGAAGGTCGTCGAGCTGAAGTTGATGAAACAGAATACCCACGTGGGCAGCAGCGAGCCGATTGTACCGTCTTCGACGATTTGCGTCTCAACGATCGCACATTGTAGCAGCACTTTTCATGCGTCACGTGCAAAAGTAGCGGCGATCGATGCAATTAATGTAGAAGCAGAGCAGGCGCAGGCAACAGGAGCACTGTGTCAGCAAAGGCGGCTGCAACAAGGACGAAAATTAGAATGCGACAGAAAGGGGGCACTGCTCACCGCCATACATGGCAGACAAGAGTCCAGCCTGTATTGCAGACGCCAAGACGAGCGACTGGGAAGCTTGCTCCAAGAAAGACCCCGATGCGAAAACGGCAGGGATGAGCGTGACCGCGTATATGCCGACAAAGATCATCATCTCCGAGCGTCCTGTGGGGTGGGTTGGTTGTATTGGGCCCAAGTTGGCAAGTCTATTCGTAAGTACGCATGTTTCCAGAATGTGGGGAGGGAGAGTTGTGGACTCACCGACCGCAGCGATGCGTTGGTGGATACGCAGCCACATGAAAAGCGTCCAGACGAAGCAGAGGGAGCCGACGATAGCCAGTGCTGATGCCATCCGGGGCGCCACGAGCGATAACGAGGTGCATGGTCAGCCTCGAACATCGTGCGTCGACTTTGCTGAGCTGCTGTTCCGCAAAATGGGGAACGGGCAAGCAAGTGGAATGGATACAAACTCACGGAAATTGCCATGGCTGCCTTGGAACCCCATCCTTGGGATGGCGCAGGTAGAGTTGACGCCTACGCCTGCTGATTGGATGATAGACTGTATGTCGCTGCTGTTGACGGCTAGAACCGCATTGCTCACGTTGAACCCTGGCGTGCTTGTCAGGTTCTGCGGTAGCGGCAAGCCGAGGAGGTCGCTGCAAGATGGAGCGGGCGCAGGGAACAACACAAGGTGGAGAGACAGCCAAGTGTTCATGAGTGGACGCCTTGACTGCTTCATTGTGAGCATGCGATGCTATGGACTCACAGATGGCCTTCTTGCAGCAAGCGCCTGAAGAAGATGTTGCATAGTGCCAGGGAAGGCACCTCACGGCAGAATGGAGCGAATTCACCGTACCAGCCCATCTTTGCTTTCAATGTCGTTTTCCGTTTTTAGCTTTGATTTGCTCGCGATGTGATGGGTTCAAACTTGAGGCTCGCTCAGGTACGGTTAATTATTGAGTTACTTTTGAAATGGAGGTTCGATCGGGAGCGCTGCTCCTCTCCGTCAGCTTAAAACTAAGGCTGTTGTGGATATCGCGGGCTTTTGCAGCTGCAAGTCTGTACAGTGCGGTTGTCGGGATGAGGTGTAATGGCGAGTACAGTGGTCGGATGTCGAGAGTCGGGTTCCGGAATGTCGTAAGAAGGTGCGAGCCGGGTTAGAAGAAGGAAACGGGGAAGAATGGGGGGCGCCGATTACTGCCTGAGCCAGCTCACCAGCTCAGACCAGCTGAGCTGCCGGAGAGGTGCCGAAGCCGGTGAGCTCGTTTACGGAGCACCAGTCAAAGCGGTTGTTCCTGGTAAGCAATGTGGGGGGAAGTGTGATAATTTGAGCGGAGGGTCGGTTGTTTTGGCTAACTTGTTTCCTGCGGTTAGCAGATCATTCAAAGTTCGTAAGATCGTCAGAGGTCGTAATGGCTGGTGATGAGGGTTACGAGGGATGTAGGTTAGGAAGAGGTTTGGCTGGGAACTGCATTTGCGTGGACTTGAAGGCACCTCTCTTTAAAGCAGCTCGCACTTTGACCGGGTTGGCCGACTCGCGACCAAGTAGGTATGTTGACTGTGTATCTGTGTGCGGCCTCGGGTATATCTCGGTGTCCTGAGGAGCATGCAGGCGCTGCGCTTCGGGCCGACAGCCTCTTTGAATTGATTTCAGTCAGGTATGACGGTGTGCTCGTGTGGCAGTCGGCAAAAAAGCGGCAGGCAGGAGGGGCGTTAGAGTGAGAGATTAAGGCCAATGTGCAGAGGAAATTTAGCACGTCGGACGAGGCCCGCATAATTAGGCCAGTCATCCGAGACGTGTAGATGCACCTTTCAGATCTCAGGTGTGAGCACGAGAAGATCCGCTTGAAGTGGAAGCAGTTGGAAATCAAATTGACATATCCACTAGCTCGACCACCTGCAGCCAAGCTTAGTTGAGCGGGCCTGCGGTGACTCTGGCGCAAATGATCACAGCGCACAGCCAATAAATCAAGCGAGGCACTGCCCAACTGCGTCAAGGCTCACGATAGCGATGAACAAGGCTATCCGACGATGACGAAATGCCGCATGTTCTGAGGCCATCTGCGTTCACCCTGCCTGTAGCCGGCATGGCCGAGGGTTCAAGATGGTGGGTGGACTGTGGGCTCTGTGCCAGGATTGTACACAGGCTATGCTTGCAGCCACCAGCTTCCAGGAGATACTCAGTCAAGGTTGTGTGCCCTTTTTGGAGTGAAAGCATGTGCTGTAGATGTCGATCAACGTCGTTGGAGTGCAGTCGGATAAGAACAGAAATGGCCGTTGGGGGAGTATTGCGTGCAGCGTAATGCGTCACGTGCTCTGCATACTATACGAACACTTTGGCTTGATTTGGAAAGTCTCGCCTGCGTGGCATCTCGCTGTCTGTGATCGCGATTGTCTGACCATCTTCTCTAGCTAGTCCGGTCGCCCGCCCGCCTGCCATCGCCATGGCCGTCATTCAAGACAGCTTCCGTATAGGTCGTCAGGCTGCAGTGCTCTTCAGCTCACTTCTCCATACACCTCGCGTTTTGAGTGTTGGAAGTGTTTGTTGGTCTCGCATCGCCATCTCTCAGCCCCCAGCCTGTCACATCAATGCATGAGTATTATATAAGGCATCATCGGTGACTTCACTCTTGTTCGGCGTTTTTTTCTGCAACAGACCACCTAATCAAGATCTGACGTTCGTTCGTCCAAGTACTTGCAACGATGAAAGATGCCTTCACGACACGGATAGCTTCACTTTTCTCATACGGAGGAGCACCAAGCCGACGACGGGACTCGAAGGTTGCTCCTTGTAGGAAGGGCTGAGAGCCAACGACGGCGCGCGAGAGAGGGTTCTGGCGCTGGACGAGTCTGATGGAGGGCTGAATGGCGGAAATGCAACTCGACTTGAAACCCATGCTACGTCACTCATAGCGCGTGTCCCATACCCACACATTTTGGCCATCTGGTTGCTTTGTATCATGGGGGGCACACAGGAGGGTGAGCCGGACTATCGAGGCGTAGCCACAATGTGCTGTGCCTGAATAGAGGCTCTGGGAGCTGATGCGACCTGGACCGCTTGGTTTCCTCTGCGTCTGACAGATGTCAACGAAGTCTTCTTGCGGCCCGACTTCTCCGCACAGGCATACGCAAATGCCATCATCGAAGGCCGCTCGGCCGACGGAGCATCGCAGGGCCAATCCCAAGGGCAAGCGCAGAGCAGCGTCACGCTTGCGCTGAGCAAGTTGAACATCGCGCTCGATGATAGCGCGCGTCTCATCAAGGAGGAAGTCACTGCCAGCGCGACGGAGCTCGTAGCTAGCGCGCAACATGCGTGCCAAACCGAGGGGGAGCTTTCCGTTCTGTGTTCAGCCATTGCTGGTCTGCAACAGAGTACTCGCGAGTGAGCTTGGCCTCCCTTTCCGCTCCATGCACGGTACGAGCTCACGCTGGGTGGTCTCACTGATAATGCCGACAGAATGAAGCAAAAGGTGACATCCGATTACCATCTCCTTGGCCGATTGCAAACACGCACAGAAAAGCTGCAGCAAGTAGCGGGCGTGATTCGCAACACTGTGCGCTTTGTCGTCCTCTGTCGGCGTCTCGACACACAATTGAGGTCAGCTGTACCCTGCTACAGTGAGGCGCAGGCTAGCAGGGACTGTGACGGCCCAGGGGAGGAGGGAGGCAAAATGGCTGCCCTTGCGGAGACGCCAGAGGACGGCAACGCAGCTGCCCACTTGGTCGAAAGCGCCAGTCAGCTGCCCAAAGCAGCCGTAATTCTAACTGCAATCGGTGAAACTTGGCTCTTGATCCTCTGGTTTTTTTTCCTGTGCTGAATAGACTTTCCATATGCCCCTCATGGCTCTTTCAGAAGGACTCCTTGTACCGGCACAAGATTCAACCTCGGCAGAGCTCTCTATCACAGGACTACATGTCGTGCAACAAAGGCAAGCATGGGTGATCGAGGCACGGCAGTTCATCACCGAGCGCATGGAAGACATCGTCGTTCAGGGGCTCAAAGAGCTTTCCATCCCGTTGCTTAGCGCATCGCTAGCTACTGCGCTCAATCTCGGCGGTCTCCCAGAGTTGGTGCAGGACCTGCTCGCGGACCTGACGGACGTCGTTCGCGAGCGCACACGCGCCGCTTTCGACGTTGCCACGCTCGCACGAGAAGCTGCTGCTGCCAGCGGCAAGGCGGCAGCGGTTGGACGCTCGTACGCGCCTCGTTCTACCGCCGGTGCTGCCGGCACGCGTGCAGAGCAGGATGCGAGGTACGCAGCGCTTCTGTGGAGGCGCATGCAGACGCTGCTGGTACATGAGATGAGCGCGGTGTGCAAGAAGGTGTACACGCTCGAGAAGGTGCTCAGGCTCAAGACCTCGACTAGCCCTGCGGATACGAGCGGTGTGGACCAGCAGGATGAGCATGGTGAAGCGCGCGGCGCCGGCGCCGACAACGGCAAGACGCTGCTGGAGGACGCAATGGCCGTGCTAGAGGACAAGCCAAGCCTGCTGTTCTGGCGCACGCTGGCGGAGTCTTTCGAGCGCGAAAGCGGCGCTGCGATGCAGGGTTAGTCCCTTACTTTGTCGCTGAAAGCTCATTGCATCACCTGCTGAGAGATGGTCTCTTTGCCTTTCAGCTTCCGCTCCTTTCAAGAACAATTTAGAGCAAGGCTTCTTGCAGCTACTGCAGATCTTCCTAGACTTCTTTGATCAGATTACCCTGTACACCGACACAGTGTATACCTTTGAAAGACAAACGTGCGTCCTCATTCTGCTCGCGCTACTTTTACGCAGACGGACTTACCTTCTCCATCCTTCCTCTCCGACGCATTATAGGCCTGAATCATTAATGTTGATGACGAAGCTCTCGGCCCTTTCGCGCGGCTACGTCGCTCGCGTTGCATCTCGTCTGGACGACGCGGCATCTACCTCTTTTTCCTCGAGGAACGTTCCCGGCCAGATGGAAGGTGCTCATTTTGCGAAGTTGCTCTGCAAGGAACTCGAGCAGGTCAAGGATCCGCTGCTTCTTCCTGCACTTGTTAGGTGCGCCGAGAATGCAGCGCAGGATTACTTTGATCAACTGCTGCGTCTGGTGAGTTCTTAGGTCGTTTAGCCCCGGACCTGGGGGTCATCTCTCACCCTGAAGTTGTTTCCCTTTCAGCGCGTCTCGCCCCCACTCAACCTGGCAGCAGGCCAGAGTTTCTCTGGTCACCTGAGAAATGCAGATTTGGCCAGCGCTGCCTATGCGATTGTGACCACCCTGCTAGAGCGCAAACACTCGTCTTCTCCCGCGCTTCGGTCTTTTCTCCAAAGTAATTTCTCCGTGAGTCATTGATAGTGGCAATGCTCAATATCTGGATTTTCCGCGAGACTCACCACGGTTACCATGATTCAGAAATTCGAACAGGCTGTTCAGGAACAATTCTTCACCCCGCTTTTCGAGAGCGTTCAGACCCAGCTCCAGCTTCCAATTTCGCGGATGCAGTACACCACAGAGACGAAGCACTTCAAAAGCGTCAGCCCATACATGGCCGACTTGAGTGATCGCATGGCGCTTTTGCGCGATTCGATCCTTCCCAAATACCAGATCGGCGACGTGAAGGAGGATTGGTAGGTGCTGGCTTTGATTGCGTACGGATTCCGCGCACGCTAACGCAAGCGACTGAAACTCCTCGCGAACGGCATCTGCAGGCTGAAACGAATTGTGGAAGCCACGCTTAATTTCTTCGTGGAACAGCTGGAGCAGCTCTCTTCGCCAGATGTGCTGACGGGGAATTCCAGGCTGACAGCCGACATATCCGAACTGCAATTGTCCGCATCGAAAATCTTGGCAAATGGGAGTTTCAGGGAGTCGATACAGCTGGATGCTTTACCTGCGCACTCAAGACTTCAAAGCCTACGAAACATGTGTGCATAGTCAATACATTTGCTCTCCACATCAGAAACCAGATGCAGCTAGTTTGGTGAAAGTACATGCAAAAAAGGCAATTCCTCAGTGATCACCACATCATGAGGCCGGCATATTCCTTCGGACAGTCGCCCATTTGCAACATTGAGGCTCGCCCAAACTGCACCAGAATTCTGCTTGGACAGCTCCCTGAAGAGCGAGATTACTGGGCTGCGCACCTCCTCTGCGACAGATATGGGGAGCGCAGTAAGCAGCACGGGATGACTACAGAGTTCCCAGATCGCCGTAGGTGAAAACCGATGAGCCGCGCCGGAAACGAGGCCATGCAGCAGAGAGATAAGCGCAAGCAAAAGCGTTCGGCGCCTGCCACGCTCGTCATGCTCGGCCTTGATAAGTGCCCCCTTCTCGGCTATTGGTGTGGCTTTGGCTTGCGACTGCAGAAGACTGTCGAGTAGGGTTTTGATACGGGGCCATGCCTCGTCATTGAACCTTCTGGTGAGGAAGTCTGGTGTCGTCCTGGACCATGTCTGCAGAAGCGAAAGCCCTTGAACTTGTACTGCGAGATCCTCGTCATCAACGTGCAGGCGACTTTGACGGCCGCCGATCCTGGCTAAAACCAGGGGAAACGCGCGATTGACGACCGGCATGAGCCTTTCGAAATTACCGCGACTGGCTAAAGCCAGACTTCCCTGCGAGAGTAGCTGCAGTGCCTGAACGCGTAGATACGCCGAAGGATGGGACAAAAATGGTATAGCTCGCTCCATCACCTCTGACACTACCTGGGCCAGGCGCGCCTCCTTCTCATCCTCCTTCGTGGCACCGTCAGGCTTTGCTGGCTCCCCTACTGGCTCCGGGTCTGCGCCTGCAGCGTCATTCGGCGAGCCTTTCAGGAGGCGACGCAGCAGCTCGAGCTGCTGAGAATCTGTCGGCCTTGGCCTAGGCTTGACTGAATGCTCTTTGGGAATTGTTGCAGACTCCGAAATGACCACTTGTACGACGCCTGTGAGAACGGAGAGCAAGCTAGATGTGTATTGCGCGTACCCGTGGAACCTGTCGAGTGCGTCCAGAAGCTCATCCACAGCATCGTGCAGGAGAACGACTGCTTCGGAGCCCAGGAGACGCATCACCTGTACCATTACAAGTGGGCCGGCCTGAGAGGCGAGCATCTCACTCTTTGACTCTGCTTCTGCGGTACTGCGCGGGATACCGGATCGCAGCGCATGCACAGCTTGCCCCATAATGTAGTCTGCGTTCTCCCAGATGAACTCTTTCACATCTGCGTGGTCAAGCGCACGACTCATGCGTGCAATGGCGACGAGTGAGGACTGTCGTAAGTCGTCGTCTGATGCTGCTAGGCCTCGCACAACTGGATACAGAACATGCATCATCGCGCCTTGAAAGCGTGGACCATGCATAGCGCTGAGATGTCCAATTACGTTGTTGAGGAGGATCTGAAACCAACGCGACATTTCCCCTAACTGCTCTGGTGGTGTCCTGGCCACGTCTTTAATCGTGCCAGAGTCGATGGTTGCCGCCAATGCGAATGCTAGATCCAAAGGTGATTCAGAAGCGTACTCTTCAATGCTTGCTTTTGCGAGGTTCGATGAAAGCTGAGCCATGCCTTTTTCGTGGGATCGAAGGGGTGTCTCAGTCGGCAATTGATCTCGCAGCGATTGCAAAGATTGGTCCGATGGAGGAGCTTGGGCAACATTGATCGGAGTATCATCCGCGATCTCTTCTTCTTCATCTTTGGCGTTGAAAAGTTGAGTGACAAGCAGCGTAGCTTCTTTAGACAGCTTTGAAACTAGCTTTTGGGCGCGCTTGCGCTGTGGAGATCGAAGTTTTGCGACACGCTCATGATTGAGCACCATCTCTACTCCTGCCAGAGTTCTCTCTACGATGAGCAAGGCTGAGAGCGAACGTGCTAGCGCGTCCGTTGACTTGAGCGTGTAGAATCGATCGACCTCTCGCAGAAGCTCCATGATCAAGGGCTCTGGACTGTAAGCCTCTTGCTTCAGATCCAACCGCAAGCTCATCTCCGCCAGACATGCTCCGATGGATGCGAGCATAGCGGTAAAGCCTTTGGATGCGCGCTCATCCAGGCCCGCAATCTTCGCAAGAGAGTGTCTTGCATCTTGAGTTTGCTCTTCGCGAATGGTCTGGGACAGATCGAGCTGGAAGCCGCTGATCAGACGAGAGATCCACGTCGAAATGCTTTCCCGCGAGCAGAGCAGCAGTGCGAGCTCGTTTGCGTATTGTCGGCTTTCACTGGCTGCTAGTGGGGCTAAGTCCATGATCGTAGCTATGCGTCTTGATAAGAGACTGACAGCATTATCGTGCTGTTGACGGACTTTGGTGGTGAGCTGCTCCAGTCCGGCCGCGAGCTCTGCCTGAAAGGTAAAGGTCAGGCTTCTAATTTGCGCCTGATGAGCTCTCAGCAGTCGAGAGATGGCATGTTTAGCAGAAGAAGATACTGCGTGGGCACGCGATGTGTCCGCAAGGTCGAGCAGCCATCGGATGAGCACTTGTGGGGTGTGGAACTCGTCATTCTGCAACCCGGCATGGTCCTCAGTGATGGACTGGGCCTTTACAGAGAGTGACTTGTAGCACTCGTGCATCAGTAGGCACGACATTGCCGCCACAGACTGTTGTACGGCCACGCTGTCGTGCTCGGTAAAGAGGCCAAGCGAGTCGAGCACTAGTTGCACGTTTGCGATGGTCTGGCGCATGCCTTTCAGCCTTACCTTGCCACCACCAGAAGGAGCGACTTCTCCTTCCCTGTTCCCGGCCAGGTCCTTGAGGTTGTCTGTGAGTGCGATGTCGTTGATCGAGATACACAATATTTGTCGGAGAGCGTCAAGTGTCGCAGACGCGATCAGTCCCGGCAAGTGGCCTTTCCGCGCTTGTTCCGATCCTGTGGACGTCTGCTCTCGGGCCGAGGATGGCGGCTTGCCTAGAAGAAGGCGATTGAGAGTCGAGACAAGGCCAGGCAGCACCGGCGCCAGATCTGCGCACATGGAGCGAGACTTTTCCTTGCCCACGATGTGCCGATAGATCGAAAAATCAGAGCCAATGAGCTCATCCGATAGCATCGATCGGACAATGACATCGTCCCCCACTTCCACCACCGTTGCGCCTGCCATCCATGTGAGCGCAACCGTTCGGAGGAGATTCACAGCTGACGCACGGAGATTAAGACCTGCTGAGGTGTCACATGCTAGCTCTCCAGTCATCCCAATCACCTGTGCGAGCGCGTTCTTGCACTTTACGTCTTTCATGACAGAGTCACGGTGGTTACGAGTGGGATAAACCTGATGAGGAAGTTGCAGCTTGACAAGGTCGGCCATGGCTGAGTGTTCCTCTTTCATCGTGTGGTTTCTCTTTTCGACAACCTTTTCCTCTGGGTCGAATGTTTCGAGGCTTGGAAGCTCAGACTCCCCGTCCCACTCCCAATCCTCACCCGAAAGTTGTGCGCTGGAAGGAGTTTCTTCTTTTGCTCTTGTCGTTGTCAATAACTTGCTGCGGGGCTTGAGTATCGCCAGCAGAAAGCGGCATATTGCGCCAAGTGTCTCTTCGCTGGGCTTTTTGGAAGCTGCTTTCCCCTTGGCACCTGGAGGGGGAGGTAGCCATGATGATGCGGCTCGGGACAGGGTGAGTGTGCCTAACAGCAGCAGTTGCTCGAAGATGGGCCATGCTTTAGTAGCCGGCTCTTCCGCCCAGCTGTGCCACCAGTAATTGCAGAGAAGCTCGAGACAGCCAAATAAGTGTTCTTGCGCTGCATCGCTAGGGTCGGATCGCTTCGACGAGGACCCAGAAGCAGGGTTTGGCTGAGAACTTGCGGTCAATGAATAGCGAAGAAGCTCTGCGAGCGGGTAGAATATGTAGTTGATCAAGGAAGGCGACAAAGGCCCAGTCTGTGGGTAAGCACATCGGTGAGAGATAGCGCCTTGGAGCTTGAGGCGTAGATCATGCAGTGCTTTCGCGAGCTCGAGCGAAGCAGGTTGCTTGGAAAGATTGAGAACCTTTACGCATGCTGGCTTGAGCTACGGAATCAAAAACAACCCAGTTGCGTTAGCGACACTTGCAAGCACAAATCTTAAGTAGAGCAAAGTTCAAGAATCACACTGTGGAATGCGTCCTTGTCGCCTTGATGCTGGGTGGTCGCACTCGTCGATGAAGCTGCGAATGGAGTCGCTGACGGGCTTGGTGCCGACGAGCCTTGTGCGGCAGACCCCGCTGGCGCATTTAGGAACCCGCGCTTGGCGAACATCAGCTGCAATACATCGCTTCTGCCAGTCCCTGGATTACTTGTGTTCCCCCACAATGCCTGTCGTGATCAGGGCCACTCCGGTGCTGTACCTTGATGTATCATTCATTCGGTCCTCGGATCTCAGACCAGGATTCCAGCTCTTGTGATGTGACACCAGAGATGAGTTCGATGAGGTACTACTGCATGAGTCGCTGCCGAATACGGAAGCGAACCAGCTCAACGAGTTTCCACCCCTTTTCAATTTCCACACCGAACACCTTTCATAGCCTTGTTCGGTCTGACGTTGAACATTTAGCTGCGATATGCTCCCAATTTGCATAGCTCACTATATAGTATTTTTTTACAGAAAGATGTGCATTCGCCTGATGCCCTCCTGTTCATCTCCAGTACGTCACGCCGCCGATGCCATACTCCTGGTCCTTGGCTAGATCGTGAGATGTGCGAACGCCAGCCGAAGCGAAGGGGACTGTCTCGTAGAAAGACTCCGTGGCCTTGCCCAGCCTTTCCTTCATCTCATACTTTTCAAGCAACTTGTCCTTCCTCTCATCTCCACCGATGCGATTGTATGCCCATCGCATGAAGCGGCGTGTCCAAGCGCGCGGCAAGATCTTCTCTAGGATTGCAGCGATTGGAAAGAGGCCAAGCAGGAAGGCATGCAGCGCCGTGCTGAGCGCCCGTAGGATGAGCTCCGGAGCGATAGTCGGCGGCAGAAGAGCAGCACCGCGAGGGCAGGCGGAAGACAAAGAGAAAGAGAATATGCGGAAGTCGGGAGACACAGAGACACTGCCATCTGAGTAGCAAAAGGCGATCCGGAAATAGCCGTCGTTCGCACGGGCTGGGATGCGAACGATGTGCGTCGCGACGGGTACAACATTTCTCTGAGAAATGGAAGAAACTCCATCGCACAGTAATTCATGCGTAGTTTTAGCCTGATCTTGGACAAATTGCCTAGTCTCTTTCTCGTACGACTCGAGCTGTTTTGCTGGGAATGCTGTACGCGCACGACTGCCGCTGCTCTCGCCTCCTTCGAGCGCAGATTTACTGTTGGGCCTTCCGTGCTCCGTCGCAGGTGTCACATCAATTCCTTTGACCGTCTTTGCTCCCAAGTACTTGGCGATCGCCCAGCCGAAGATACCCGCACGCCATCCCCGTCGGATAAGCGAGACTTGGACCCCGCCATCGCGACGTTGTTTGCCAGCCCCGCCCTTCTCGAATTCGAGCACAGTGACGGAGACGTATGTCTCTGAGCCTCGATAGAGAACGAGAAGAGGTGAATGGAGGATACTGAGGTGTGTGTCGGTGGCCGCGGTGTGCGTACCAAAGAGACTTGTGCCGGCTCGGTAGGCTGATGCGGTCATCGACAAGGCTGCGTTCAGCAAGAAAGCCATGCTTGCGAGTGTGATAGAAACTCTGCAATAGGCTGATTGCCTTGCCAGAGCAGAGTTTACGATGATATCAGACAGAATATACAGACCTCGTCCATAAAGCCCGCATGAGGGATGGCTCGGCCCATGGGAGGGAGCAACGGTGAATGGAGCAAGGCTAGCAGCCAAGCATGCTGCATGCACAGCTGCCGTCGTCACCTATGCGCCGTGAAGCGCGCTCAATACCCATTTGATTGTGGTGCAAGTGGACAGGTGCATCCTCATGCATGCTAGATGATTAGGTAATGTCCATAGCTGTTGTGGCCCACAGCAACCAAGAGCCCGCGTCGCGCAGCGCAGATGACAGCAGGCCCCGGAGAGAGATGGCGACATATCACCATTGCAGAGAGTTCCACAGAGCTCGCCAGCACCATTCCTGAGGCACATGAATCACGGCCGGCATGGCGTAGACTGGACCAAAGGACAAAAGAAGCTCACCGTCGCAGAAAGTGCAGAACAAAATTACAAAATTAACTTCCTGGGACGCGAGGACCGGCCAGTAGAGAACGAGACCGGCTTTGGAGGCCATAAAAATGCGCGTGTTGATCACGGGAGACGACGGCCCACCGAGCAAGAGCTCGCCATACGTGCTGGGACTCTATCAGGCCATCCGAGAGCAGCTCGGCTGGGATGTCTCCGTGATTCTTCCTTCTACACGTACGTTCTCCCAAGTACTACTGTCGCTCGTCTCTCTTAAAGGAATCCGCTGACAGCAAACGACATACAGAAAAGTCTTGGGGCGGTCTCCAATTTTCGGTGCACCATCCCGTGAACGTGTGGTAGTGAGTACTTGGTGGTGCTCCTCTTGTGACGTACGCCTGATAAGGCTGACTGGCTGGAACCGTCGCATGACAGCTACTACCCGCGTGCCGACAATGCAGACGGCTCCCACCCTGAAACTGAGAGCTGCTGGAGCTCAGTCCGACGGCCTATAGATTCATCGCGCGGAGAACTTGCCGAATGGATCCTGTTAGATGCCTCTCCTGCGACTTGTGCCAACGCTGGGATCTTCAACCAATTATTCTTCTCTCCCGCCAATGAAAACGATGGATACCAGAGTGACGGTTCCAGTGTAGGCAGCCTCGAACCCCCGCCGTTTGATCTCGTCATCTCCGGGCCCAATTATGGACGCAACACGGGTACTTCCTTTGCACTCGCCAGCGGCACAGTTGGAGCAGCGCTTGCGGCCTCATTAGCCAAGATTAAAGCCATATCGCTTTCGTACGGTCACTTTGCAACCCTGCCAGGTAAGTTCAAAGAAGCACAGAAAAAATACGCACCATCGGCACCCAGGGCCTTGTCCACCGCGTCTACCCCAGCAGGCACGACGGACGGCAAGCTGGTGCAGAACGGTCCGCTGATGACGTACGAAGCGCCAAAGTCGCTCGTGAAGGAAGCGCACGACCTAGCTGTCAAAATCATCAGACGCCTCTGGGACGAGTGGGAGCCCGAGGTTGGCGTGTACACCGTCAATATTCCCATTGCGTGGACCATCAAGGAACCGCGCGTCGTGTGGACGACAATGTGGAGGGGCGAGCACGGTAGACTTTACATGGTGGAAAAGGAGCATACAACCGAATCGGACAATCTTCCTGCAGGAGCCACAGATTTGACAAAGCGAGATGTGCCGGCGCATGTCCCAAGCTCCGCGCCGCAGCCGCAAAGGAGGCTGCGTTTTGGACCAGATATGCAAGCCATGCTTGCGCCGTCAGACCTTCCAGAGGGAACGGACATTTGTGAGTGTAGAAGTGCTCTGACGGAGCAGAAAACTTTCTCCTTGCTAATATACACGGCTGATGTTCTACCTGGTGCTTCAGGGGCCTTGATGGAAGGATGGATCTCCGTCACGAGACTGCGCCCAGCCTTCGCTGAGGTTCTCACACCTGCCGCCTCAAATGGGTCGCATGCGCCCGAAGAACGCGCCGTAGGTAAACCATGGAGATTGTAGGAAATTCCTGGCGCGACGGGACTGTGGCTAGAAATGTGGGTTTGTATTAGTCGTCACTATAATTTGCTTCAATGCCACAGGTATGGTCTGATTGACTTTAAGCGTTATGAGGAATCTTCAACACGACTGCCCAGCGGCCTATTGAGCAAGGAATTATTTCTGTCGCTAAGAGGATAAGAAATAATGCAGAGCTAGGTGCAAGAGTGATAATGAGACGGAATATCTAGGTACCGCAGTGCGCACATGGTGGCGGCGCACCGACTCGAATGCCTGTCCCGTGGTCTACTTTGCAAGCTAAGCGCGAAATTTGCTTCCGCGACAGGCCGCAAGAGTCTCAGCGCTTTGACCTTGAAACAGGCATCTCAATTATCACATGCACATCTACGTTACCACACGTTCTGCATCAATCGACGGAATGTTTGCTCATGCATAGATAATACACTTCCTGCCCCATCGAATCGACATCTTTATATTCGCATTGCAATGCATCGCTCCTCTGCTCAGAGTCGCCAGCTTTGCAGTTTGGTGAGCCTGCTCTTGAGATTCTACAGATGAGAAAGGGGGCGATGGCATTCAGTCAGCAGCCGCAGCTCAATTCCATAACATGCCAAGACTCACCTTCCCACCGCGCTTGCAGTTGGCAGTGACCCACTCCTCCATCTTGCCTCTGATATCGCGCATCTCCTCTAGAATAGGCAACTGTTCTTTCTCATTCGCTAACTTTGGGTTCAGCATGAGGTCAAAGAAGGAAGACCACAGCTCCTCTTGCCAGTATCTTCGCAAGTGACTTCGAAGCCTTGTGCGCGAAGACGGATCGTCGTCCAAAATGCTCGTCTCGATGTACTTGCCAAACAACAAGGTGTGTGCAATGGCTGCAATCCCGTGATAGTCTGTCTCGAACGTCCAGGGCCTGCCTTCGCACATCTCACGGCAGTCCCTCTGCTCAGCTATCCATGCCGCCTTGAACGTCTGGCCTTCGGGGTAAAGATTGAGGTCGATTGAGCGACCGAAATCGATGAGCATCAGACCTTTGGATGCCCAGCCATTCGCACCATCGCTAGAGTAGACATTGCTCCACGTTTCGCCGATGGGCGCATCGTCAAGTCGCAAGAGGCAGTTGTCAATCTTGAGATCGCCATGAATGATGTTGTTGGCGTGCAGATCCTCGACAACGCGCAAAAGTTCGATCACGAAAAACATTGCGAGCAGCTCTTCCACCCCATCGCCTCCGGCGCTACCTGCGGTGATCGCAACCCCGCCAGCAGTTGGCGCGGATCGTAGATGATTGACAAGTTCAAGTAAGGTACCTTTCTCGCCGTAGTCAAGCATGAGATACGACTCATCCTCATACTCCACAAAACGGCGAGCACTAATAATCGAGTCGAGGGTGCGACGAGAGACCCTCTGCTGCAGTTGGCTCAGCATGTAGAACTCCCACTTGTTGGGCGGGCTTTCCACTTTGACCGCGACGAGACGGCGCTGCTCTGCAGTGACGGGATCTTCGAGTGAATCGACAGACAGGTCTGCAAGCTCCTCTGCCATACTCGAGTCGATGTCATCGGGAAAGCGCTTGCGTGTGATCGGTGCGAGACCATCTAGGTCTTCAGCCAAGAAGACGGATGCGAAACCCCCTTGTCCGAGGTGTTGACGCACACTGAGCGCGTGCCCTCCAAGATCCAAGAGCCAATCCTTGATAACGGTAGTTGAATGGCTGCTACCACCAGATTTGCGCTTCGACTGCACGGCCTGCTCCTTAATCTGCTGGGCACGCTTCAAAAGGCCCGGCAAGTTGGCTGCCTTTTCGCCATGCAAGTCCATGTACAAGGCTTGCGATTCGAGCGGAGGATCAAGGCACCGCAAGATCAAGCCAAGGATCGTGGGATCGTCAGGCGAACAAGGGTTCGGGACCATGCCGATAGGCTCGGTGTTGGTGTGCTCGGCAAAGTGGAGAGAGGTGCCAATCTGTTCGTGTGAAAGCTGGTCAGTGCGATCACCCTCCACTCGTACGACCGTGAGGCCGTCGGGAATGTCGAGTTTGACTCGGTCGCCCCAACGAGATGGATCTTCGCAGGTATGTTCGGACGTGATATTGCTGTCAGATACGAAGGACGCGTCATCAAGGATTGGCGCAAGTCGCCCAGGGCGGGAGTCTTCATCATCTTGGGCTGCGTGGTGCTGGCTTGGGGTCATGAATCGGGAGTATCGCTCGCTCCTCGCTGTCCCAGGCGTCTGAAGATACGTGAATCGCGTGATTTCCGTGACCTCGGTGATGGTTGAAAGACGACGACGAATGTCACCGTCCAGCGCATCCGTTTCGGAAGCCCCACCCGGTGCTTCTTCATACTCAGTCTCTCCTACTTCGTCGTCCTCTTCTGCCGCAGCATCCAAGGTAGACACTCTTTGCGCAGATGGCCCTGCAGCTCTATTTAAGTTGGGCTGGCCTGCCGCGACCAGGCCCCTTGCTGGTTGGAAAGGCTTTCGAATAGGAGTGCTAGGTATTGCGGCCGTTGACGAAGTGAGTGTCGGAGGAGGGATTGCTGCAGGGAGCTCCTCCGCAGGTTCTTGCGCCATTGGCAAAGTGTTTGGCGCAGAGGTTTGAGCAGTTGTGAAGACATGGTCTGACGCTAGCCCTATGAAGCGTATTTCATCCTCACTGTCCTCATCGCTGTCGCTATCGCTATCACTGTCCTCCTCGTCATCATGGCCATTGAACATGTTCAGCACCTCTGCTTTGGCAGCGGCAGTCATCATGGTGACGGTGACCGATTTGCGTGGCTTGAACTTCGTCATTTCAGGCTCCTCAACTGGCACTTCGGCCCGTTCGGGCGGTGAATGGCGATCGACAACGTCAGGAGTGCGGTTCCCGTACTCTTTGACTTGCAGTGCAGGAGATGGCTTTTTGGAGAGAGGCTCACTCCCCCCTGAGGGCACATTTGGGTGGATCGCAGCGGCCTGAGACTCCTCCCCTGAGGCCGCTATCTTCTCGCCAAGCGGAGGCTTCGTTTCGCCCAGTACTGGCTGTTTCTTCTCTCCGAGTGCGAGCTGCTTCTTCTCACCAAGCGCTGCTTTCTTCTCGCCTAACACTGGCTTCTGCTTATATCCGAGGAAGAGCTTCTCCCCTAGAGCCGGTTTCTTGTTGTTAGCCTCGTCGAGCAACGGCTGCTTCTGCTTGCTTATGTCCGCACTATTGATGCCCCTTGGGAGATCTGGCAGCCAGCGTCCTTGCAGATGGTCGAGATGGCACCAAGGATCAATCGTGTCGCTCAGCATTGCGCTTGCACTTGCGCCGAGATTGCGCAATACAAGCACCTCCTCCATTGCGCGCTCGCCTGTGATGCTCGAGCGCAGGCCTGTTGCTGGGGTCGCAGACGAAGGCGATCCGGCCAATGGGGCAGCAGGTGCCGATAGCATCGAGAGAGAGGTGAGCTTTGGATAGAGTGCTCTTATGTCGACTACGTGGCGTTCCTTGTTGGATCCTTTTGGTCCTGACGTTGAGGACGAGAGACCTGCACGGCTGCTACCACTTCTAGACTTGGACATCGAAGAAAACTTGCTGGAATGTACTGCGTCTGCAAGCTGTAGGTCTTTCTCGCTCGGCTTGAGCTTGGTATCCTTGCTCCAATGCTTGAAAGGGTTCTTCCTCAGCTCTTCCGCTTCACGCTGTTTCTGTTCTCGCAACTGCCGTGAGGGCGTCACCTTGTTCTTATTAACAGTTCCATCCGACGCCTTTTCTCCATCGCCATCGCATTCGTCTTCGCTTTCTTGATCGTCATCTTGGAAGACGTCGAAAGCTGCTCCACCGCTGGCGCCACCTTTGCGCTTAATCATGCCAGGGTTGACGGTGATCCGCGTGCCGGCCATTGCAGAAGGCTCAATCCTGTTCTCCTGACGCCGTGACACGCGCGTCCCCGCATCGGTCCAGGGCTCTTCCGCTGTGCGTACGGAAGAGGAAGACAACGAACGTTCGCCTTCCTCTGGGTCCACGTACATTGGAACCCGGGCTCCATTCGCTGTTGTACCGCCATTACGGATTGTCAGGCCACGTCCAAGGCCGGTGCCACGGTTGCTGCTAGCGGTATTCGTGCGTAGCTGCAGTGGAGCAGGACCAGAAGCGCCATTAGGTCTAGACGACGATCGCGCTTGCAATGCCGCCGGCCAGCCAGGCTGCTCGGCATTTGCGCGCGCCTGCGATGCGGATTCCTGCAACATTTGCTCGTACGTTCTCCGTTGTTGCAAATGACCGGAGGAAGATGAGGCAGCGGCCGAAGTGGCACTGTGTGAATTGAGAACGCTGGACTGGAACTGGGCGTAGTGTCGCTTGATGCGGTCAAGCGGCTGAACTTTGCGTGCTATTCCGAGGCGGTAGATTGCATCTGCTTCGTGCAGGCTGCCAAACACGCCGAGTTAGTTTATACCTGTGTTGTCACAAGGGCTATCATACGCAACTTACATTCCCTGGCCCGAATAGACGACAGCCAATCCTTCGTACAGCCCTGCAAGGCCGGTGCCAATCTCGTTTGCAAGACAGAAATGGTAAATGTCACGGGGACATTCCACATGTCTAGCATAGAGGATCCACATCTTCAGATAGCGTGGATCGTTCTTGTACTGCTTGTGATCCTTGAAGTGCCTTGTCACACGCTCAAGAAGTGGTACGAGCCCGCTCTCTAGAGATTGCCCAGATGGGTACGATTCGACGACCCAATGCACGTATTTGACCCACATCTCAAGCGGATCATCCGCGTCGGCCTCGTTCTCGGCGGAGGAGATGGACCGCTCAAACTCGGCCCGCGTTGCTTCCAACGAAGCCAACCGGTCTTTGAGCTGCATGCTGAAGGACTGGGAGAGAGCGTGCGCAGATCGGCCGCCGCGCAGGGAGAGGATATTTTCCTTGTTACGCTCGATAGTGGATAGATCGACGATGGGTGTGGAGGATGTCTGGTGGATGGGCGTTTTATGCTGCTGGTGCGTTGGTGTAGGCGTTGCCTTCCCCCGAGCGAGGGTGTGAGAAGGAGTGGAGAGGACGTGCTGCGGCGTCGCGACTGCTGCCGCTCCTGCCTTGGATGGCGTCTTGGTGGATGGTGGGCCCATCATCTTGGCAACGAAGATGTGCGATATTGAGATGCTTACCTAGCGATGCTATTTCCTCTCGCTAAAAATTGCAAGATCAACGCACGGAAATATGGAGCATGGAGGATCGACGTCTAGTGTAGGACTGCCGAGTGATGCGCCGGGCCAAGCGGGTGGACTTCGCCAAGCAGAACACAAGGCTCAGTCCAGATCACTGCCGGTGCGAGCAAGTGCGTACGTAGGCCAAGGTAATATTGTACCTCTAGATACGCCCTGGCCATGCAGAAACCAGAAAGTGTCTCCTAAAATATACAACATATAAAACAACCAGGCTTTGATGAAAGTGTGCGCTGTGTGTGTTCTGTGGTTGTTGTCCTCACTGGAATCTGTTGGCGCGTGAGCTGAGACGCGACGAAGACAAAGGGCATCACGTGATACTAGATGTGTTCGGTGCAACTCACCCCCACGAGTGTTCCCCTCCCCCAACCCTAGAAGTTGGTATATCCGTGGATGAGTTTACCCTCATACCTCCCTACCTCTACAATATACGCGGTATTGTGCATATCCAGTTAGGACCGCTCATGAAACCAGCATGCACCGTGGAAAGAGAGAATGGCACGATGCCCGCAGCTTGCGCAAAGTGTAGACCATGAGCTGGCCCTTCGAACCTGCCTGCTAGCGCTTCCATGAACCAATGGAGCGGACGCGGAGCCGGTCGAGCCGGTGGAACCCCTTTCGGCGCTGTCAAGGTGGAAGGCTATGTAGGTATTCGCGTGCTGTCTTCTTCGAGCTACCGTTCCCTGTACCCTGTCATTTGATTTTAGAACAAGATAATGCGCTAATACGCACGCTGCCCTTTGCCGGATTCAGTGTCGACTTTCCCTTCAACGCTAGCGCGGTCGTCCGCGTCTATGTCCACCTGCCGTAGCACCCCGTAGCTGCTGATGGTCAAGCGCCATGGACAGCTCGGGCAATTGCTTGAGTCTCGCGCAAGAGCACGTCTGCAAAGTCCTGACAACTGTGCTTTCCCAGGTTAAGCCTGGGCACAAGGCATGGAAATGAACAAGAAGACGGCGGACCGTCATTTTTTGATGAACATCTCGTGAGTCCATCGAAGCCCTTCTATGAAGATGCGAGATCTGGAATTGCGCCGCTTACATGAATGGACTGGATATCTATGACGGGCCGCAGCCCGGAAGAGCACACTAATCAATGTACCACGACATCTTATCCCCCTCTCCTCCAACCCTTACATTTCCAATCGACCCGTGCGTGCCCAAAGAGTTGGGCACCCTACCCCCGCGTGTTCGCGCGAGGCTTCTAGCCGTGCTCGAAGAAGGACAGGAAGAGCCACCAGGCTTTCAGACGCGCTTGTATAATTTTCAGAGGCGCAGCCTTTCTGCCATGCTGCAGCGCGAGATTCTGCCGCATGATGCAATCGATGCGCGGCTCATCGCCAAGTGCAGTTCACAACCTCTGGGTGGCTTGATCTATCAAATCAACCCCAGTACGCTGCGCTTCTCGCTCTGCCGGATTCTGATGCGCGCCGAAGGTGGTGCTGCTCCTATTGATGGCAGCAACGCGGCCAACGAGTGCAAGGGCGGAACCTTTTCCAAATAAATGGGCTCTGGAAAGACCATCGAGATCATCGCATTGATTCACGCTACAGATGGTTAGCGGCCCGATATTGACCTCATTCTCGCTGAAGACGAGCCCATCGGCAGTGGTCTGGTTAGAATGCTGGAGAAGCTGGACGACGGTTGCTTGTTTCCAAATTTATCTCGCCAGCGCCAGCGGGCTGAACGGCGAGCGCGCTGCAAAGGTCCTGCTCCGGTACCGTATGAGATCGACCCAAGGCCTGGAGCAGAGCAATGCTCCCTCGACAAAGGATGGGCCACCTTCCCGTCAGCTGCAAATGCGAACCATAATGGCCAACGAGAATCGTCTGCATCATTATTATTATTATTGCTTCATCACCGATGTCATCCGCTTCATTGCTACCCGTTCCATCAAATCGAACGCTGGTACTGCGCGAGTCTGCCTCCGTCGTCTACGCTTCCGATCCGAAACACTGACCCACGCAGAGACCAGAAAGCTGCATGCCAAATACAAAAACGCGGTGTCGTCAACGACCCCACTCCCGGCATCAGCGCTACCTATGACTCCTGCGTGGCCGCGCATTGTTCGCGTTGCATCGCCTGTGACGTTCTCTAATAGAGGCTCTCAAGGCGAGATGGTCTCGAACAGTTTGCAAGGGCATCCGCGAAAGCGGCCGAAGTTATCAAATGTGTGGATATCACCCATGAACGCATCCATGACAAAGCTGCAACCACACACTCTCTCGCGTCTGTGTCTCCCTTGCCGGTACTTACATTGACAGGCCCGTCTTGAAGAGCTGCCCATCGACCGAACTGGCCGAAAGTTCATCTTCAAATGCCGGCAACTCGGACATCTGCTTCCCTGATGCAGACTCTCAAGAAGATTCGGCCTCGAAGAGCTCGCAAGGCCGCTTCCGAAAGCGGCTGAAGCTGCCAAATGTGTGGACAAGCCAACGAGCGGGCGCCGCTTCATCGATGTTGTTACCCCCAAGAGATGCGGTCACAAGAAAGCGACTAAAGTTACCGATTCTGTGGGCGAGCAAGCGATTGAGCTCTGTTTCGACGATGTCGTCCCCCTCGAGAGATGTAGACGCTCGGAATCCATTCAGACAGGTGGATCAGGTGATCTGTCCCATAGCTACAGTGCCATCTTCAGTGTCGTCGGCTTCCAGCCCTGCAAGCGTTCAATCGATTAACAGCTTTGCCTTCAGCTTTGGCACTCAGACCTAAACGCCACCCATCAGGTGCTCAGAACTCCGGTGATTGTCCGTTGGCGTGTGCGGCTGGCAAAGTAGCTCTTCATGGGATCTCTACCACTTCCAAAATTCAGCAGCCACGCTTAAACAAAAAAAAAAAAAATTAGCTTCGTGCCAGCGAGCCTGCATTGAAGCTTCTGGAGCTTACCTCGAAGCGGCAACCGAAGCTTACCTGAGCCGAAACCCGTCGAGTTTTAGGGCAGCCCCTGCTTAGACTAAAATGAGGTAATGGTCAAGGTCAACGCCGGTCGCGGCCCCCCAGGTCCCTGAACGCCGTCACATGTGCCGCCTCAACCCTCACAAAAGGCTTTCGCTAAACAACAATGCTCTCCACCAGCGCACTCGTCTGCAACTTCGCGCTCGGGCTTTGTCGTTTGGAAATAAGAAGACATGAAACAAGATCAATCGTTGCCCTCTGATCAGCGTGGTTGGTGGCGAGGGGTCTGGCGCTTGGCCCCTTTCTAAGAGTCCAAGCATAAAGGGGAAAGGAAGCGGAAATCACATCGCTTAAGGAGGCCCCTGAAGGGGGGGGGGGGAGGAAGTACAAAGAGTTTGGCCAAGAAGTCATGTAGCATGTGCTCTAGCAATTTCCAAACCGCCTGAGATATGTCCCTCAATGCCCTTTAGACATTAGTGCTTGTTCCATCTGCGACAAAGCCTCCCGCTTCGAGCGCATCCCGCGCGGCGCGGTTGATGTGTTTGAACCGATTTGGCCCAAGATGAATGCCTCCAAACCATCTTGTCACGACAACGAGCACATTTTCGACATTCTAATGAGCATTCAGTAAAGGTTAGCCAGCGGCTTCACGTACAATTATCGAGCAGTGAGAGATCTCACCAGAATCTGCAGAAGATGCGCCAGACGTCCACCTGCTGTAGTCTCGCCGTCGTCATCACAATCCCGCTGCATCACGCCGTTGGGTCCGCTGCAGGTCCATGCGTGGATCTTTGGATGTGCAGCGCGCGCTATGCGCTTGTCAGAGAGCAGGTGTTCAATGATAAGCGGTACCTGTTTCAAACAATGGCGTTCCATCAGAAGACAGATTACAATTACATTCGCGAAATTTTCGGCCCGTCCCACCTGTGCAGGATCTGTCAGATGGCAGCAATGCCCGATGAAAGTGCTCTTGCGATCTGTGATTGGCTCTGCGCTGATGAGCTTCAGCTTCTTCGCAAGCGCTTCCAAGTCTTGATGTGACCGTTGTGAAGTGTCTGAAGACTCATGCCCGAACTCTGTGACATGCCTGTTGGCTTTTAGTGTCTCTTGTTGCTTTACAAACACTTTCGCCTCTCGCTCCGCATCCATGTGCACGGTCCGCATTTGCAGCTCCTGTTCTTTCGCGTCGTACCACTCAGACAGGCTCTCCTTGACCCATTCCAAAGCCTCGAAGAGGATCGATTCTCCCTGCTTCCATTCTAACCCTGCAGCCCTCCCTTTTTCTACCAGCACTTTCGAGTCATGGAGGAAGCAGCGAAGTACCTTGCCGAACACGATATGGTCTACGGGGTGTCCCCCGACGAAGCGATTCAAAAGCTGCAATTGTGGAGGATGTTCACTTGCGGGATATCTTTCTGGTAGGGTGACCGCGGTCAAGAGGTCCAGCGGTTCTGACGTCAAGGAGCTCGCAGACGGCTCGAGCTGCGTCTTGAATGATAGCCTCAATATTGCGCCAGGGGTCCACGAGCGCGCAAGTGCAAGCTGAAGGTCTTTGTTCGCACTCCCCGATGCACTCGGCGTTGACAGCCTCGAGGCTCCTGTATGGGAGGCTTGAACAGGTGTGACGGAGTGCGATAGAGGCAGCAGAGTGATAGATTCCTCGTCGTAGATTGAAGACAGCGCGAGCAGCTCATCGGCAAGCTGTGCGGCCCAGGTCTCGTCACTGGCCGCTTCGAGCGTTCTGCTCAACGTCGTAAGAGGGGTCGAGTCCGCTTCATCCATGTTCGTGCCTCTCTCTTTCACGCTCAATGTGAACACCTTTTGAGGGTGCACTGGGATCATCAAGTCTGGTTCCTTGCAGCAGCTGCTTATTGAAATACAGGCGTTGGGGACGTGCATGGCGTGTCAAGACGGACAGGTCTACAGCAATCCGGGTGTTGTCAAGACAAGGTGCAGTGGCCCGGTGCCCAAAACTCCCAAGAAGTCCCGACTTCCGAAAGTGTGTGAAGGGCTGAGGAGGAATGTGCTCTCAACGCTCTTCTCGCAGACTTTGCCGTCGATGATGGACAGCAGACATTTTTTCTCGTCTTCCATCATTTTCTTCTCTGGACGAGGACTTGCTCACCTTTGCAAATGGCAAAGGTGACCACGGTGAGTAAAAGCATCGGAAGAAGTCGCACCGAGAGGATGATACCCCAATTCGAAAATAACAATCTGTCAATCCGCGGACGGCCCTTTCGAGGGTCGAATGCACGACAAAGACTTGAGAGCTTTCCTGATCCTCGTCGTTCCAATCCCCCCTTGTGCCAAAAGGCCGAGAATCTACCCTGATTCTCAGAAGTGCTCAAAACTTACTGCGAACTGTGATTGGATGCGTACAGGTTGAAGATATAAGACGTTGTGACTGTTGAAAACGGTGAGTTGGCCCATTGAGAAACAGAAAGCATGATGATCCAAAATGGTTGTGCCAAACAACATGGCGACTTCGCCGAAAGGCGGTGGGCCTCAGTTATATAATGCGTTATTGTCCTGATCTCTCGAATGCTGAAGCGCGTCGTAGTATAGAGTCAGCAGACGCTGATCAGGGTCCTTGTCTCCGTCTGCGGTTCAGCATCATGTCCGAACATCAACCGCAGCCTGCCGCCGATCACACAACATTCCCATTAAACCTGCCTATTCCAAAGAACGATGGAGGCTCGATGCATCTAATGGGGCATCCGTTGCCGGCCCTCACGCCACTGCAGAGCACTGATGGAGGCGAAGTTGACCTCTTTCTCCTTTCCCTCTCCAAGCCATGCCTCATTTTCATCTATCCTCTCACTGGAGTGCCAGGCAAGAAGGTGTCAGACTCCTGGAATGCGATACCCGGTGAGCTGCATTGATTATCACGTACGCTCAACTCATCGTTGACTGTAATGGACTATTTACCAGGCGCCCGCGGGTGTACTTCAAATCTATGCTCTGTACGTGATTCCATATCAGCGTTGACCAAGCGCGAACCGGAGCTGTCGATTTTCGGCCTAAGCACACAGTCCACAGCATATCAGACCGAAGCAGTTCAGCGCTTGAAGCTGCCGTTTTCGCTGCTTTCGGATGAGAAACTTGAGTTCGCTGACAAGCTAGACTTGCCGACGTTTGAATGGGAGGGAAAGCGAGTCCTCAAGCGAATGGCACTTCTTCTCAGAGGAGGCCAGATCACACGCGTATCTTATCCTGTCTTTCCACCTGACAAGGCGGCAGAGTTGGCTTTGCCGATGCTTGTTCCTGACGAAGACCTGGCAGACAATTTGTCGTGAGATGCGGAGATGGGGTCGGGAGGGAATGAGTGACAATTTGTATTATAGATAACACAAACTTCGACGGGCCAGGCCCCAGACACGAAGTTCGTGACCGCGACGATGCAGCAAGGAATGAGCAGAGCACCGAGCAGGTCTCCAGACGGAGACCCAGTCCTGCCCCGGAAGATCAACCCCCGCAAACTCGAATCCAACATACGACGGCCCGTACCGTATCTATTAAAGAACATTAACGAAGCATGCTGCGACCCGATAACGGGGTGGACCTGAAGTGTATCATCGTAGTCATAGACAGCCTCACCGCCTTTCCGCTGACGGTGTGCGCCAGCTCAGGTTAGACGGGTGTGAAGCGACACGCCTGTGCGTCGATCAGCCCCATTGGCCGTTGGTTGGCATACCGCGCCGTCGGAGAGAGACAAGAGCGCCACAAAGCACCTAATATAGATGGACTCTATGGGTCCAGCCGGAGCCTCCGACACTAATCCTATGCTGGTAGTCACTCGACGAGACCACACTGAATCACACCTTTTCAGTAGTTCTCACACGAGAATCAGACCTCCGCACATCGACACCAGTCTTTACCTCCCGACTCCTCGAGTCTCGAGGCAGCATCGAGCTCAAGGCTAGCCTCGCCCGGCCCATAACCCACGAATTCAACCTAATCACGGCCCGTCCCCGACATGATTTGAGCACAGTCGGAAACAACGCAGCCGGTGGATTACTGTGCATTGCCTGCATTCACCGTACGCATGTGATTCGCGCTGTAGTATTCGTGCTTATTGGAGTGATCAGCCCAAGTCCCAGACGTCCCTCCCGAGCCTTCGACTCGACTCGCAGTCCCCGCAGCGCCAAAGCAACGCGAATCTAGGCCCTTACGACGGAAGTCGCAGATTCCCGAGTATGTCCTCGGCCGAGGAAGCACCAGCATCGTTGCTGGCCTTATTACGAGATCAGGCTCATGCGTCGAAATCGCCATCGAAGTTCTTGGTGAGGATTCGACGAGGAACTTATTGTGTGTTTCAAGCGTCTGACAGAGCTTGTGCGACCTAGCAGACTCCCAAAAGCCGGCAGGTAGAAGAGTCCCTTTTCGATGACAGCCCCAGCTTTGGGTATCTTGAGAAGCTCACTTCGCTATCGTTGTCTTCCATCCAAGCACTGCCTCCCTCGCTTGCACAAGATGCGCAAAGCCTGCATAGCTCTCTCTCATCACTATGTTTGCGGCATGCAAACACTTTCATCAGAGTGCACGATGCGAATTCATCGCTCCTTCCGGCGCTTGCTGCTGCTGAGACCGAGCTCGATGCGATGCTCGATCTCCAAATCGATCAACTTGCAGACAAAGTCGAGACCTTCCAGGCCAACGCAGAGCATCCTCTTGATCGACGGCGGAGTATCGCAGAGTTAATGAGTATACACGAAGACAGCCTCAGCGGCCTACTCGATGTGCCACACTTGGTGCAACTCTGCATCAGCGCTCGTCGCATAGATGAGGCTTTACAGCTTTCAGCGCACCTCACTAACTTCTTCAGCTCTGTGCAGGACAATGCACGTGAATTAGACGTAGGTCAAGAAGGGTTTGAAGTCATTCGCGAGCTTCTACGCGAGGTCAAGCAGTCCCTCACCGGCCTACAGCAACATCTCATTCAATCATGGTCAGGGCCAGGGCTCAAACTTCCTTCCGCAAAGCGCGCGTTGTCGCAGCTCAAGTTGCTTGCTGTCATCAGCGATGAGATCGGAGCGTCCGATCGGCAAGAACAGCACGCTAAGGGTACTCTCAACCACGCGAAACTACACCTCGCTTTCTTGCGTGCCAGAACAAGCGTCGTCCAAGGCCGGCTCATTGATGCGCTTCACCAACGCAACCATGAGGTTGAACACCTCGCGAAGGCTGCCAAAGTCTCCCCTGCCGAATCGGGCGCTCTCGTTAACGCGCTGGCGGACACCCTTCGGAAATATATCAACATCTGGCGAGAAGGTGTGCTCGACGTGCTAAGCATGGCAACTGCGCTCTTTGGATCCGAGTCGGTTAAAGGACACCGTAGCGTGTCCGAGGATCTAATCATCCATACGCAAGGTCTTACCTCCTCGGCGGCAGATTTTTTCAGTAGTCAACTCGCACAGACACTTTCGAAGCATCTGGGTCTTTGTCTGCAGGTCCGAATGCGCTCAGAAACGCGTTTACTCCTCGCCGAACACCTAGCCGATCTGCATAGACAGCTCCGCTACGCTTCCATAGCCTGCTCCCGATTCGGCTTCGACTTTGCGCCCGTCCTTCGACGAGCGGCATCAACATCTGGTGAGCGGCTAACGACGCTTGAAGGCATTGGCATACAGCTATTCGAGCAGTCCGTTGTAGAGGCGGAAGAGAGTATCTCCAAAGATATGAGTGCTGGCTTGGACAAAGTCATCGCGGCATGTTCCATCTTGAACATCCTTGCCGCTTCGGGGATGGAAAATGAGCAGGTGAACCAGGAAGCGCCGCCTTCCTATGTGTCGTGGTATTCCATTCTGGCACGCTATTGCAACGGACTGGCGGACGCACTCACTGCCCTCGCAGCCTTCGCGCCTCTGACTTCCAAGCGTGCGACGAATCAGATCTTGCAACGCTCGCTCGAGCAGATCAGCTCGAGATGGACTGACGCATTGGACGTCCTGCAAGGGCAAAATACGCTCTCCAGCGGCCTGTCGCCTCAGATTTCAACAGCGCTTTCATCAGATGAGGAACTCACGATGGAAGAAGTCGCAGTGAGGCACAAGGAAGCTACAGAGCTCTTGACTGCAAGGCTTGTCTCATGTTGGGCTACAACTATCACTCCATGGGCTCTCAACGCATTGCACAAGGGCATTTACAATTCCTCCCACGATATCGCCGGTGTGGGTTCCTCAACATCCGCAGAACACTTGGTGGATTGGGCTCAGACTAAGGAGAAAGCTTGGAGTAGTGCCGAAGAGGAGCGGCAAAAGCTATTGCAGCAACGTCGTCGAGACAAGGAGGAAGCTGAAGCTGCGGCTGTGGCTGCGATCGAAGATGAACGCCTTGCACAAGAAGCAGCAGAGGTGGAGGCGCGCAGGCTTGCCGAGGAGCGCGCAGTTCAACTCGGGGCCGAAGCAGCAGCGAAGCGCAAAGCTGAAGCAGATGCAAAGGCAGAGGCGAAACGGAAAGCAGAGGATGAAGCAGCTGCTGTGGCTGCTGCGGTAGAAAGAGAGCGCAAAGCTGAAGAAGAGGCTGAAGGGAAGCGCAGGAAGGAAGTGCAGGAAGGGGCGAGGCGTGAAGCTAATGCGGCACCAAAAGCGAGACCAGAGGCTGAAGCTGAGGCCAAAGCAGCAGCAGAAGCCGAAGCGAAGGCGAAGGCAAAAGTGGAAGCAGAAGCGAAAGCCAAGGGAGAAGCTGAAGCAAAAGCAAAAGCTGAAGCTGAAGCGAAAGCAGCAGCCGAAGTGGCAGAGGTAGGACCCAAAGCAGAAGCCAAGGTAAATACAAAGGTCAAAGAAGAAGCGGAGGCAAAATCAGACGCAGGAGCAAAGCTTAAAGCTGAGACGAATGTAACGCAGAAGGGAGCGGAAGAGCTGGCTGCTCGAAGGCAAGCGGAAGAAGAGAAGGCTGCTGCACCTGTAGCTGCCGAAGCGGGTAGATCGCGATCTGAAGACGCAGTAGCAGCAATCGACAGACATGCTAAGAATGACGTCAAGGGACAAGATGAAGAACACCAGGTTGATGAGCGTACTCAGCCTCAGGAGGCGCCCAGCACCAGCGCGCCGCCGAGCGGCACGCAGACGCCAGCTGACGCCACGGAAGGAGAGTATGGAGACGAAGGCGGCGAGCCCGAACCGCCAGTAACTCCAACCAGCCAGAGAAACAAAAATGCAAAAAAGAAGCAGAAGAAGAAGCAGAAGAGGGCTGAAGCGGCGGCGGCAGCCGTGGCAGAACAGCAGAAGAAAGCCGCTACTGCGTCGACGTCCCTGCCCGAATCGGCCCAGTCGTTGTCGTCAGCGACCGAGTCTCAATGTAGCACTGAGCAAAAGGAGCCTGCGAAAGAGGAAGTCGCGGCGTCTGCACCTCCAGCCAAGCCAACGGGTAAGCTGTCTCTCGCCGAGAAGCTCAAAATCAAGCAGGAGCAGCGCCAACGAGAACAACAGATTGCTGAAAAGCGAACGTCCTAGCGCAAGCGAGGCCAGCAAGGCCATGTTAGGCTATGTTGTATCCTACAGATTACAGCCGTGCTAAGTGATACATTGGGCGGTAGTCCCAAGCTCGTGGCTGCCGCCCACGTATGTTGTGTGTTCTATCAGCTAGTCTCCGGCCCACCCCTGAGAGATATTTATCTGCTGCACTTGCCAGTAATGGGGCGGGAAAGCTGTTGTAAGGGGCCTTAAGACGGTTTGTTGCCTGTTTCATTTGCAGCCCACTGTGGCATGCCCGGTGAATGGTCAAGATAATGGCTCTCGGAGATGCTCATGTCCTAACTCTAAATCTCCCGATGTGTAGCCAACGCATGGGATACAAGCTCTCAACAGCACTCTGAGTGCCACAGGCGCCACCCAGGATAGCTCTCATCTTGCAAGGCACCTACTTCCCGCTCTAGTATCCCTCCTTCGGGTCGTACTACCGTCGCGGCTAGGAGCAGCTCCGCATCAGCATTGCCAAGCCGTTCCTGTATCGCGTCATTATCTGGAGCATGGGCGAGAAGACCCCCCGCTACGGTGGACAAGAGGAGGAGAACGACCGCGTACATCTCGACCCGAAGGAGGGAAAGGGGCTGGCGGCCAGATACAAAGCGGCCATGCGCGAGATGATCGTCGTGTCTGCGCTTGCGTGCGCCGTTCCTTTGTCGGCTTGGTTAGTGCTCGCTTCTTTGTTCTTTGACCTGTAAATTGCTATACGTCGCTTCAAAAGATGTCCTTCTGTTCTCTCCATCTATTGAGGGGGAGGCGCAAGGCGGTTGAGTGTGGGCTGAGATTGTCGAGATTGCTCAATGAAGTAATGAGACCTTGATGGCAAGACGCGAGTCGCGACGCGATGAGTTTCCTTTGATGTGAGAAGGGATTCATGTTGCATTTTGCCCTTCACCTATATCGTGACTTCGCATGCAAACGACAACCAACAAGCGCTCACGGGATATGAATCTTGCTCTTCGCCAAGCAATTGTACAGCGCTTCTGAGACGGGTCTGCGTGACAGACATGACTGCTTCAAGCGCAGCCGAGGGCCCCATCGAAATGGCCCAGTTGAACGGCAACCCAGAGCACGCACAGCCATTGCAGCATATTTCACTTCTAGAAGCTCTGCAAGCTTTCGAAGTTGCGCAGAGGCGGCGAGTCGCACACTGGAAAGAGTACCATGAAGCCATGCTAGCGTTCACACAGGGACAGTTGACCAACAGCGTTTCGGCAAGCAATGACCTCGCCGGAGATACGATCGAGCCTAGATATCTCAATGGGAACGCAACAAAAGAGCCATTTTCTGCATCTGGTCCGCCTTCAAATCACTACGACCCTGCTCCTCGCTCCATCGATGAAGGTGTCATGACCCAAATTCTGCGTCTCGTGACGAGTGGCTTGTTGGAGTGCTCGCATGAAGTACGGGCCATTCAAATAGAATTGCAATCACAAGCGTCGTTCAATCGCCCAGATCTCGCCGAGGTCGTCAGTAGCGTCCAGGATCTCGAGAATAGCCTGCTACGCAAGATCGTCGCTAGAGACCAGGCACTCAGGCTGGAGGCCTTGGAAGCCGGCTCCCCTTCGACGGGACTGGCGAGGGACCGAAGTGAGGACGTCGCCGAATATCAAGAGCAGATTGCGCACATCAAGCAAGAGATCATGGAACGGATGCAGGACATCAGCGCAGAGATAGCTGAATTAATTTGATGCCTGAATAGATGAATTGTGAACGCGGTGTGATGGGATGGGGTATCGATGATGTGCTTGATGGTATCAGCAAGTCTCGTATGCGTTATTGGGAAAGAGCTCGTCGAAGATCAAATCTAAGATGGTGTAGATGAGATGTTTATTGAGGCGCTGATTCTGCACCATCGAGAAGACGGTGCGGACACCCTTTCTTGCATTCTGTCGACCGATAAAATTTGCAGCCAGATCTGCAGAGGGTGAAAAGTTAGAGTGATGACTCATTGACAACTTCGTTCACTGACTCACTGGGAATGAGTGTCGAGACCTTCTGGTTGGCACTGTCTCTTGCACTCGCCTTCTGCGCTGGGGTTCGTGGTACACCTGGCTCCTTGAGCTCACCCTTTGGCCAAAGGCCATCTTTAAAGCTCTGCAGATGGCGGAGAAGAGCTGGGGGCGACGTTGCTTCGGCGACAGCCTCCCTCACTTTCCCGTCAATTGTACCCGCCAGCAATTGCTGCAGCAACACGACGATGGCCTGGCGCCGGAGCCAATTGTTGCCAACCTTGAGTTCAAATATCTCAATGAGCAGGTCACAAAGCGGGCTTGCAGTAGACGAAGCTTCTTGTAGCTGAGCAGTGCTTGCTCCACTCTTGGTTTGCGCTTTGTCGACTAAGGCTGACGGTAAGGCTGATGCGCTAGGAAGAGATCGAGGGGTGACCGCCGCTGGCCATATGCTAATGGGTGATTGAGAAGATAGTTGTTGAGTGACAATATCAAGCATAGAGGGAAGGTAGATAAGATCGTCTAGGCCCTCCGCAACTCCGCCAACACCTTTAAACAATGTCTGAAGTATGCTGTTCCCAGGGAGTGCGGAGTTGCTTTTTTCAGTACGGGTATCTTTGCGGGCTTGAGGCGCTAGAAAGGCTCGCAGCTCGTCACTTTCAGCAGCGGCCGGGACCTGGATCAACTTTTGAAGGTAGCGCTCGAGTCCTACGCGTCGCGTTTCGACAAAGGCAGCATGTGTGATGCTGACCAAGCGTCGACCTGGAAGATCGGTTTCGAGTGCTCTTACTCTATCGACTTTGTCCTTGAGCTCTTGATGCAAGGACCAGAACTCGGAGTAGCGTCTGGGCACGATCCAGCCCGAGAGTAATCGCTCCTCAGCCTCTGCAAGTATGCCAACTTCAATCAAGTACAATGCGTGCTCCTTTCCGTCGGAATCCTTTGCGATAGTGTGAGCGTTGATCTTGACCTGCGTACGACCTGGCACAATGCGACCTTTGCCTTGCACAAGCTCCGCTTGCCTCCTTTGCCAGGTGATCTCTGCAGTCTCCAGTTTCACAGTCTCAAGACTCTTGAGTAGTACCCGGCGCTCTTTCGCAGGAGCTCCCGTGAGCTCAGCTTTCTGTACTAACGCTGTGATGACTGTCGCCTGAGATTCCAGCTGCTTCAGCTTCGCGCTCAGCATCTCCACAGGCACTACTGCTAACGCATTTTCCGTTGGTGCGCCATCTGCCGTCGGTGTCTGCTGACCCGATCCAATCGGATTCTGAGATGACGCCGCCTTCGTTGCTGCTTTTTGGGCTGCAGCATCTTCAACGATCAAAGCCCGCGGTCGTCCGAACTCATCCAGCCTCTCCGCCTCGGGCAGTTGCACATCCTCACGAACGGTGCCGTGTCTCCGATCATCGTCTGCTCCAATAATCGAAGTGAGAGCGTGCTGAATGGCATCCATGCGCTCAACCTGGACGTAATCGCTGTCACTGCCGGACTGGGGAGAGGCAATTCCAATATCCTCGACTTCTTCATCAAAGAGCGGCTCCGAGAACAATGGTGAGCGGCCATCGCGATCGCGACACTGTGTAGTTGTGAGGAAGTCGAGATTTGTATTCCTTGTCCCTCTGACAGATGCGCGATCACCAAAGACGCCGTCACGTTCGCTGGCAGATTCTTCTCCGAACAGTTTAACTTTGGCCGAAGCGGAAATGTTGGTTGTAGTTCTTGTACCAAATCGCTGAATGTCGGTTGGAACTGGTCTGAGTTCGGTACCTATTGCTCTCGCTGGATCTTCTGATGGAACTTGGCTTGGTATCGAGCTCCGAAAATCTTCCGCTGCGCGGTGATATAGCGCACTGGCCTTGAAAGCTGGCCAATCGTCATCAAGCATCGATTCGAGCACCTGTGTCTGGGCGCGTAATACGCTCTGCCTCGCACGTCTAAGATCCGTGCTAGAAATGGAGCCAGAGCTACCTTTCGATAGAAACGCCTCTGCAGCAAGACGCTCCCGAACTCCGATCTGCACCAACGGTGACGAATAGTACGCGTCGACAAAAAATCGGATATCATCCTCCAATGTCTTGATGATTGCTGAGGAAGGTTCTCCAGAAGCTTGGTCGGTAGCACTGCTACCATCGCCGTCCATGTCGATGGCTTCGAGCGGGTCTTTGAAACTTTCCACAGCAAGCCAAAATTGAATCACAGGCGACTTGCGTTGGCGGTCCATGAATTCCATGAAGTAACCCATAGACGAGGGATTGTTCAGAATCTGCAGAAGTGTGACATCACTTACTGCGCCCGCACTCCTACTCGCATCAGCGCGCTGCCCTCCAAGGGCTACGACTTTCTGATCCGCTGCCGAGAGCGCTTGTTTCAGCTTTTCCAGCTGGGACCTTGCTCGGATTGACTGAGGTTGCTCGTCCATAGCAAGCTTTGCCTTACGAATTTGCATATTGATATCATTCCTCAGCCTGCGCACATCCATGATAGAGTTTGACTTTGCGATGCTCCGAGCGAGAGCATCAAAAGCGTCCAAATTGTCCACTTTCGAAACTTTGGGAGCCTTCATTGGAGCTGAGGATGCGTCTTTCACCTGCACATTCGGAGATTGTGCCTGCTTGTCGATCGCCTCGCGCAATCTCTGAACCATCCTGTGTTCTTCCAGCGCTGCACCAGCCTACGTGGTGCGTCCCCGGGAATCAGAATGACTTCTGACACATAAAGCAATCTCTTACTCACCTTCTGGATCAGTAGTTGGTTGAAAAAGTCCGGATCGCTGATCAAGTCCACAATGGGCTGCATGACGGTGCAAGCGACAAGTTCCCGGACGGTCACCAGAACCGCCCTGCTGTCTCGCTCCTTTTGTGGAAGGAGCGCTCGCAGAGCTCGTTCCACCATGTGGCGAAGATGATTCTGCTCAGTTGCCTTCGAACTGGGATTTGACAGGCTGCCAACAGCCGAATGGAGGCGGCCATGGAGGTACTTTCCAGCGACGAAGAGGTCGTCTTGGACGTCAAGATCAGCAACACTAGCACTAACGCTCGGACCTGAACGTCGAGCTGCCCAAGAGTCTCCAAGAAGTGAGAGCTCTGCTTTGCGGTACTCTTCGACATGGGCTGTGACCAATGGTAAAATGCGCGCCATTGCGAGATGTGGCACATCCATGGACTGAGCCTTGGCGATCAGCAGGGCAATAGTGTGTCTAATGGTAATTTCGACGGCACGAGGGAAGCTCAACCCAGGTGTTTCGCCTGCTGCATTTTGAGGGCCAGGCGAGTGAGCGAGGGTTCTGGCCTCTCCCTCCCCATTGGCCAAAGGATCGTGCCATTTGCGCACAAAGTCGCGCAATATCAATCTAATGAGCTCGTCTCCGGCTGCTGAGACCTCCGATGATGTGGCATGCAAGGGCCGAGCGGCGCAATCTGCCATGTCGCGAGAAGCTCGGAGCCGGGCGGCGTCGGCGCATACAGCCCATCCTTCGTTTGTCGCAAGATGCAGCGGTTTCAGGGTGCTGTGGCAAACACTGTCAGGTTGCGTCGAGACGAGAGCTCTGTCGCCCACCCAAGCAGCCATCAAGACGGCAGTGGGGATTGAGAGAATCCATACGACAAAGATCACGGAAGTGACGAAAAGAGACGCGAGCTGGCCAGGCATGTAGCCATCAAGGGCAGAAGCGATCACGATGACGACCAGGGTAATTGCCATGGCCCCTGTCACGAACGATGAGCTGTGATTGGACATTGTGGAGAATCAGCTCCCAATGAAATCGCTTGCGTCACCGGCGGCCTTGGATTTGTTCACCATCCTCGCTGGCGCCAGAAATACGCCTGGCATCGCACAGTCAGTATGTGTGCAATCTGGAGTGTTTGACCGTGAGCATTGTGAAATGCGTCGGACCATGCCGTATGTGCAATGATGGTTATGACTTGTGGTGGATTGGGGAATTGCTGGTTCCCTCATAATATCACCGAATCTATTCACTTTCATAGTTGTGACTTGTGAAGGGCATCGTCAGCTTACTCGCTCCCTCCCATTTGCTACACTTTTAGATGAAGATCAACGCAACATCCACCATGTAAGACACCACTTCCAAAGGATGACCTTATTGACACCATCGAAAGACCTAGGATGCTTTTATGGTCATCAGGTTATCGCCATTGATGTGCGGGTGCGCTAACATATATAACAGTTCAGCTGAAGTAAGCTGCCCTAGTCCGCTGCGAGACTCCTTCACGCTTCCACGTTTGTTTCAGATGCTTTGTAAACTACAACAGATGGCAGATTGAAGACAGGCAGAAAGGTCGGATGTTTGCCACCGCGCCTGCCTCAGTACTTGAGGGTACGGACGAGCTGGAAGAGTAAAGGAATGTCGATCAGCGACCAGAATGTCCCACTGCAGACCTCAACTTTTTGTTGAACGGAGGAACAACTCACCGCATCAATGATTCGGACTAGCTCGGGCTTGTAGAACGTCTGGGGAAAGGCATTTAATGTGTGAGGATCTGTTGAGGATTTAGCATGGACTGACTGGGCTCACTTCGTGGACATGAGGGAAGGGAGTGTCCCATCCTCCGATGCGGCAGATCGGGGCCTCGAGGTTGAGGAAGCACTTGTCTTGCAAGAACGAGCCGATCTCTGCGCCGGCGCCCTGGGTGACGGGTGCTTCGTGCACAATGACGCAGCGGCCCGTTTTCGACACGCTCTTGGCCACGGCTGGAGCGAACGCGACATCAGCAAAGGATCGATGAATGCTACACAAACCCGGGTACAAATTACCCACTTTCGCGATCCCAAGGCAGAATGGTACGGAGATCGATCAGCTCGACTTCAGCATCTCGCACGTCGCTTGGGATGAGATCTGCTAGTGCGCCAGTCGGGTTGCGGAGTGCATTGATGGCCTGAACACAGGAGTAGAGTGGTGCGCCCCAAGATAGCAGAGTGATGTCCTTTCCCTGTTGTAGGACTTCGGCGGACGACAGAGGTAGGGTGTAGTCGTCGATGGGTACTTGCTCGACCGAGGATCTGTACAGTACCTTTGGCTCTAGGAAGATGACCGGATTTGGATCACGAATGGACGCGAGCAACAACCCCTTTGCTTGGATCGGCGACCTTGGGATTACGACTTTGAGGCCGGGAACAGCCATGAAGAACTGCTCGACACTTTGGGAGTGGTAGAGCGCACCGTCTGCAGTGCAACAAACGCTGCATCAGAATTCGATCAATGAGATGTTGAGAACGTGCCTGACTCACGCCCAACCCCCATGCAGGGTGTTCGGATGGTGAGCTTGCCGGCAGAGAATTGACCGCCGCTGCGGTAGTTGTATTTTGCGGCCTCGTTGACGATCTGATCAAAGGCAGGGAATATACTTTTGGGAGCGCCGGTGGAAGTCAGTCCCTCAGAGCACACGATAGGAATCTCGGCGTTGCTCACTAATCTGCAAACTGGATCTCAGCGATTGCAGTGTGCCCCAAGTCGGCCATGCCGATGCCAAAACCAACAATGCCTTGCTCGGACAGAGGCGTCTGTATATAGCTTGACTTGAGCAAGAGCATCTTCGACTGAGGCAATGCAATCCTCACTCACGTTGAATACACGGTCCTTACCAAACTCTTCCGCCAAGCCCATCGTGGACCTGAAAACGCCGCCGAACGCGACGTCCTCGCCTACACAAGGAACAATAAACGTCAGCCGCTGACACGACCTAGCTCAGAAAAGGATCTTACTCACCGAAGACGCAGGCGGTTGCGTCACTCGCGAGGGCGTTTGCTTGCGCTTCACGGATAGCCTGCATAAAAAAAGAAACACTTCAGCCGCCTGCCCCTCCAATGCAATGTGATGGTGGCATGCCCCTGTGGTCTCTATTGCGCGGCGGCGCGGCGCCTGATCGAGGTTGCTAGAGTACAATGCAGTGAGGTAGAGCGGATCGAAGAGCAATGCGAAATTGCGGATCGAGGCGGAGCATAGCGAGGTCCGAAAACGAGTGGAGAGGTCTAGGAAGACGACGACGAGGCCGAGTCTCCCTCCAAGTCCCGTTTACGCGCTTCGAGCGTAAGGGCAATGTCGACTCCCGCAGCCTGTTGCAGCGTGCCTGCAAGTCGCTGGCTGGGTGCAGACAACAGGCCGATAATTTGCGCACGGAGATCTTGCAAGTTGGGCAAACGGCCAACTTCGCGCGCTGCTGGGATCTCTAAAAGCTTGGTTCCTTCGAAGAGTGCAGCTAACGGAACGAGTCGCGGATTGACATTCATCTCGGTCTTTGGAAATGGTTTGCCCGGGGCAGGTGCGCGTGATGGCTTGTGGCCAAGCGTCCTGTCGACAATGCCGAACAGTGACTCGAGGTACTTGGGTGACAGTGAGGCGCATGTCAGGAGCGCCACTGGCCCGCCAAAGACCGGCTCCATTGCCTTGATGTCAGGCACTTCACTTTTTTGGCAGACATTTCGCATGATTCCTGAGCGAACGACCGTCAGCTTGGCTGGGCGTGCGGACTTGCCCTCCGCCATTTCGGGAAGTGGGATCGCTGCAATGTCGCTGCGAAGCTTGCTGAGGTCTGCCACGCTGAGATTGTTGTGTTGTAGCGCGACCAACAGTTGGCTCTCGTCGAGTAGGCGCTGGTATTGATCATAGAGGAATGTCTTGCGTTCCGGGAATATTCTCGCTTTGCTCTTGCTCTGCAACGCCTTCTGAAAAGCTACGGTGGCGTATCCTCTCCTCCCTCTTAGACGACAAGCGGACGTAGTACCTACCGTGTACATGTTCATCTTCCTCGTCTCTCGCTCGATGCCTTCCTCGCCATCGGTCCACTTGATTCCTGGTGTTTTTGCTGCAAGTCTGGCGCTGCTCCTCAAGAGTGGGCTGTGCCCGACGACGGGTGCCTCCTCCATCGTGACTGGCTCGAGCTCGGCTGCTGCAAGGCTCCGAATCGATGTGCTGAATTGGCGCCGGGAGCCAAACGTCGACGTGTGTAACGCTCGCGATGAGGCATCGCATACCTGCCCTTTGGGGCTCTTCCATGTGCTGCCGTTAGAAATGCACCAAGTCAGCTCCTGCGCCGCATGATGAAGAAAGAGCAGTAGCTATACACCTACCCAAAGCCGAGTCGCGGAAGTTGCGCGCCGTTAGCCAAGGTGAGAGCGTTGGAAGCCGCCCTACGGATGGCAGAGGCATGCATGATGGCTTTGATTCCTGATGATATCCCTTTCGATAGTGTCTAAAAATTATGTGGGGATGTTTGGCGGGCCTCTGGGGTAGCAAGCTGCGGGGGAGGTGTGGTGTTATATGCCAGTCATGTGAGGCTGATGGAAAAGAGCAAGAAGGCGAGGAGATGAAGCATGCTACAAGAGGGAAGTGCGAGGATAACCGATGCCCCTGTAAATTCCGTCTACAACACTCGTCAATTTGATTGGCCGCAATTTGAGATGCACTGACTGGACGCATTTGCCTCACTCACCAGTCGCCGCATCTGTCCGTCGAGCCTGCCATCCGGGCAAAGCTAACCCACACAAGGTAACCGCCGCCACCACGAAGCCCACAAGGTTTAGCACCAACATAGCCAGAGTGGCATACGTACAGTGGTATGCGGGGCGGCCGTGGCCATGTTTGGGCGGTTGGACTTGAAGAGCATATATCTGCTCGTCCTGGTGTAAGCTCGGCTTTCGCTCTGCAGCTCAAATGTAAATCAGGTATGTAGTGGTGTAATACATCGGCTCCTCCCACTCATGCTTCCGTACATCCCCTATCTGCGTTTTGGGAGTAAACATGGGCGTGCGCTTGACGCGCTCAAGGTTCGCCGGCTCGAGGCATATCCATACTGCATCAGTTGTGCTTCCGTGTGCGCGGTGCTCACGAAAGAGAGGCCAGCCGGCGTATACGGGGACGGAAACGGTGAATCATTCCTCGCGATCGGCCTGACTTTGCTCCGCGCGTAACCCATCGGCATGCTGAGTGCAAGATACCCGAAAAGCGCAGCGATCGAGTAGAGGTAGGAGTTGGTCGGTGCCACAAATACGTCGGGTATTTTTGAGTGCCGCACTGATCCAATTCGTGGCGTGGAGATGTTTGCTTATCGCGAGTGCTTCCTGATACTTTGAATCTGTTGCATCGTCGGGCGCCTCTGCCTGAATGAAGAGATCCTGTGTGTTCTCCTTGCCCGGAAACTCGAGGTGCGGATGGGCGTCAGAGACCCCAATAAAGTCCTTCATGGATCGAAAGCCTGTTAGCACTTTTACGAGCTCATCGAGGTACTTGAGCATCACCTTCTTGACCTCAGAGATGAAAATTGTTGACTCCCTGTTCTTGGCATCGAAGTCTGAATTCTCGACGGAAGGAACTGCGACGTTGACAACGATGGGCCTTGTTTCGTTAGGACGTGTGCGGTGCGCTCGCAGAGCATGAGAACGCTGAAATAAAAGCCCTGAGAGGAACCGTTGGTGAATTTGCTGTGGAGCACGCTGACTCGTATGCCGTGGAGGCTGTCTCTTCTGAGATCCTTGGTAAAGTCTGCACTGTCGCGGCCAAAGATAGGGGTCAGCATCTCGGCTGCACCAGAGACCGAGATGGCCAGCGCCCTGGGAGAATCCTGCGGGCTCGAGTTGGCGTGAAGCCTCGCTAACGCTCCGCGGAGACGATGAGCTTGATGCCAAGGACACTATTCTTGTTGGAGGGACACTTGATGGGCCCGTCGGTCTCGGTGCCCAAAGCACCAGCTTCCAGACTGATGGTTGCAATGGCACCCGCACCTGCGCTTGATGAGCACGCACTTACCCCGGGATGTCACGCGCTGGTGACAAAGCCTCCACGTGGCGAACAGCCTTGCGTCAAGTTTGAACCACGGCCGGTGTGCGACAATGCTCTATTACAAGCTTTCGGCAGTTGCTACCACCAGGAATCAGTATTCACAGTACACACAGGTCGACAATGATCCTTCGCTGAGGATAATGGCACATGCATCGTGCAAATTAGTAACAACGGTCGAGTCCCCTGTTGGGATGTCCCTAACGAACAAGAAGGACCTGCCGGTGGAGTTCATGCCAAGGCTTATAGCCGTGACAGATTTATCCTTGACAATGGGAAGACTATGCAACTTGCCATTCGCCTTTGGATGCCCAACCTTGCGCTCTACATCTGCTTGACGGGCCTGGGCGTGAGCAGTGGTTGCGATCTCTGTCAAGGCGTCGAGTTTGGGGCCGACAAGGCTAACATCTTCAATCCGGTCAATATAACCTTTGACAAGGTCGACCGAGAACCAATGCCACCTGTGCAAGCCATCTCGAAGTTCAAATTTTGAGCGTTGAGCAGGTCCGGGTAATGTCCCTTGGTGCTTTGCACAATCGAGGTGTATCGAGCTGTGAGGCGAGGGTAGGGCAATTGTTAGCGTTGCTGCTATTTAGTGTAGGGCACATGGATATGAGCCACGTGAAGAGGTTGCACATAGCGTGCATCGTGGCGACGTCGACAATGCTCACTGTCACGGCGGCCAACCTGGAGACTGGTAGGGACATGAAGTTGCTGCTTGGCAAATGCATGGCAGCAGGTAGAGAGGGTCATCCTTCAACTCTGCGCCACGCTCATCTTGTTTGAATCAAGTGCAGCCTTCTGGCGGGTACATTAAACGCACTGACTTCGCCAACACCTAGACGGCCATTTAGGAACGACGGATAAGAGGGGTTAGAGGCCGACATGATCAGGACCTGAGGGTTGTGATTCATTCCCAGTTCGTATTGGAGCGGTGGTTCGTGAAGATGGCCGACCTCAACAAAAATGTGACAACGGTATACCTGGCTAGAACATTGCTAGAGGTCGAATGAGGCTCCTTCTCAACCGTCTCTTTGAAGTTGGGTCATGACCAAGCGGGTGAGGTTCATCTTAGGAAATATCTAGTAGAAAAGGACAACATGGCATTGTACCGTCGGTGCCCCATCCCTGTAGTGAGAGCCGCAAAATATAGGCCGCGTTTGATGCAGCGAGATCGTAAACAGATCTCTGACTCACTCGCCGCTCCGGTCTTCTCAGTTCTCTGTCTCGACTCTTCATGTACTCACAGGAGACGCACCCAGCAGCGCCAGCCAGTGTGAGATGCGCTAATTGCCATGTAATCAACAGTAGAGGCCATGACCATTTGATAACCAGGATTTCATCGGCCGATTTCCGAAAGGAGAAAAGCTGCGCCCATTATTTAATTTCAACAGGCGGGGCAAACCGCTTCGCTGCGCAGCGACCTGGCAGAGCACAGTTCAATATTGGAGTCTTGCGCGATTGGCCATGAGCCGTGTGTAAGTTACAATTTCAAGTCCCAAGCGCAACTCGCAACGACAAACCAGTCACCGCGGGCAACCACGAACATGAAAGCCGCCAAACGGAAGAGGACGTCTGTTGCAATTGACGCGTTGAAAGGGGTGAGGCGAGTTGAGACCTTGATGAGGCGATGAGGGTTCAACATTCAACTTGCGCTATTTGACATATCCGTCGAAGATTGTAATGCTTTGCATGTATTGAATCTTCAGCGCTTATACAGTCGTCAGCAGGTGCTGTGTGGAGACCGCATGTGACTCATCATGTATGCAGGTGTGGCCTGCTATGTGCCTGGGATGAGGTTCTGCTCTTTCAGAATCGCTTTTGATTCTTTCTGACTCGAAATCACATCACCATCGATGGCATCACGACCCTGTTACTCGCTCACGTCATGCTCGGTCTTTCAGACCAAGACCCCACCGCTTTTGAGGTACAGAACCTTGTCCTGCATTGACACCTGCTCATTGGCAAAGGCCAGCGCAAAGAAGATTACAAAGAAGAGTCAGGATGCAGTAGATGCTTACATACGGTAACATACTGGCCCATAAATGTCCATGACGCGAGAACGAAGGTGCGACGCTCTCAGGCAGTGCAGGGAGCTTCAGAAGACGTTTTGATTGGCGCGCGGCTAGAGCAGTAGAGCGCCCGCACCGATAGCTGCTGCGACGACAAGTGCAGTAGCACCTAGTGAGCTCGTGCCGACTTGGCCGACAGCTCCGCTATGGTTCGAGCTGCTGGAACTAGAGCTTCCGCTGCCGCTGCTGGGATTCGTACTCGAAGCGCTGGTAGTCATGCTGCTCATCGTCGTACTCGTTGTCATGCCCGGCAGCATGACTTTGTTCATGGGGGAAGCGATGTTCTGGCAGTTGGATGACGCGGGCGGGTCGTGTGCCGGAGGAGCACATGCTGCACCGCAGTCACCTTGATACCACGTAGAAGTGCCGTACACGCCAGGTGGGTCGCCGTTGTCACCTTCGCAGTTGTCAAAGGCACCCACAGTGTAATTTGATGGCATGACCCAGCCGCATCCCATCTTGTCTGAGGGTGGAAGTCGTACGAATCAAACGTTAGAGCGGACGACAAGGAGAAGTGCACAGAGAAGTACTGACCGTAGATATGCTGGCAGAGCGCTGAGTCGTAAGCATCGTTGTTGACACACGCCCGGAAACAAGCCTGGCTGTAGGAGATGAACTGCATCCACTGATGCATTTGTTTTGGATTCCCATGCGAGTCATTCCCAAAGGCCCTCGAGTAGACGAGTGTTCCTTCGGGGTTGCCGTTACCATCGTCTCCGTGCGGATCAAGCTCGCCACCCTCGTCACCTGGAGCAATATTGATCTTTGTAAAATCACCGTTCGCCACTACCTGAACGTAATTCGGCGTTTTCACAAAGTGCACGGAGGTGAGAGTGCCATCGGGGATGAGCCGTGTGCCGTAGCCAGGCTGTCCATTGCAAAAAAAAGTGGAAATGCGCGAGGAAAAGGCGTCAATTCATCGTTGTAGGCTGAGATGCGGTGAAAGCGCAGGGAAACACACCTGGGTGCAGTAAGCCACGGTGAAGCGCTCCGTGTTGGCAATCGTGTTGTTCATCGGTGGCGCATAGAGGCAGAAGTCTTCGGCCGAGTTGATGGCGACTGTATCGCATACAAATCATGCGTTTCGCTCAGAGCACGTCAAGATAGACGGAGCTCTAGAGCATATGCAACACTCACGAGTATTGCACATGCCAGTTTGATTGTACGACCCATACCGCTGAATACAGTTGTTGAACCCGATTTGTCCATTCTGCCACGGCTGTGAGGGTGTCTGCCATGAGTAAGCAGCGTCTGCGCCATCCGCATGCACAAAAGCTGGTAGAGTGGTAGCTGCAAAAACGAGGCTCGCTGCCGCCGCCACGGTCGTGCGCCTTTTGGAAAACGACATCTTCGAACTGTTCTATGCGTTGACAGAAACAATGCGATGCGTCTGTTGAAAGTTGTTCAGAAGGAGGTTAAGGGGTCCAGGTAAGGGACGCGGAGCAGCTTTGCAGAGCTGAGAAGAAGGCTCGAGGTCAGCGATCAGCACTCAGCGGCGGTTAGAAATGCGTGTAGGATGGACAAGTGAGATATATATACATGGAGTTGAGGCCACTTTGTCTCGGCCAGACTGCCAGCTGACAGCCCGCATTGCTCCCTGTCGGGAAGGGCTCCGTTTAGTTCCTACCATGTGGCATCTCGGGTGGGTCACTTGACTACTATTCTTTGTAGCCACTGCAGGCGACCTTGTGATTTTCGCGGCTTCGCCTATTTTCGCTTCGGATCTCAAGCGCTCCGACTTTATGACCAAAAAGGAGCCTCGCTTCTGATCATAAAATGTCGGCATGTGAATTGAGAGAAACTTACGCCCCGTGTCCAGAAATGGGCAACGCAAGAGGAAAGAAGGACATCTGACGAAAATCTATTTCACATAGAAAAGAAAGAAATCATCTCTCCGGTTCAAGATTCGAAAGGTCAACCGGCCAGTTGCCTGGCAACGGTAGTGCAACGGCTGAGGGGCCAGCCGCCGGTCTTATAAGAACCAAGGGGAAGAGCAGAGCCTCTCTGTCATAGTGCCCAACAAGCCAGGTGATGTTAGGTTTGCAGGCTGCAGCACGCAGAGTGCACCAAAAGTGTATGACGGCAAATCGCTTCATTTGCGTGGCGTCTGTGCCTGTATGGTATTACCATTTTCATGTGAGATGCCTTCCGACGGGAGCGCAGCAGAATGCAGCACGCTGACGCTGCCGACCAGTGCTGAAACCCACAGAGCCGTGGACGGCACTCGCATGCCGGAACAGACAGCGCTCTGGAGTCCGGCTTGCCTCTACTGCCATGCTATGGAAACGTCTGGTCTGCTCTGGAGCCTCGCACCCTGCGGCTCCAACGCGTAGTTATCACAGGTGTAGTTCGATGGTGGCATTTCTTTCCCCCTCTTTATCCCTGATTTGGAGCGCCGACTGCCGACGCAACCTGTCGAAATGGTCGTTCACCAGTCTCGATCGCAAGTCGGAAGCAGCAACTGTGTCGTGATAAACCAGTGAACTGCACGCGACAGACGGGAATCTTTGGAGGACAGGACGCATGATAAATGTTCCATCCAGCCTTCCAGGATATTAAGGGCACTGTTCCCTGCAGACGTATTATGTGCAATACGCAGATTTCACAGTACGGACTGCGCAGTGCAGAGTGCAGACATAGCATCTGCCCGGTCACGACACGAACTCATCATATGAACGAACAGGTCTGGAATATCGGGTCATGACAAGCGCCAACAGTGCGAGTCAGACAGCTTCCCGGCGCTTTTGCCGGCGGCCGCGGTGACAGGATCACGGGACAGCGACGTTCGGCGGTGATTGGCAAGTCATCCATATTGCATGGGCACTTGGCTGCAGCTTGTGAGGCGCGGGGGGCACACAACATCGTGCACAGCAGATAATAAATGAGCCTACGAGAACAAAAGGCACGACCACAGATCCCCGTCCTGGGATCCGTCTTCTATTCGCCTGTTCGCCATTACTATGTAGTCTGTACCCAATACCACATCGCTTTAACACTCATTGCGCATCACTCGTCACGTTCGTCAGCACCCGACACAACGCGACTGTCACTCGCTATTTGCCATGGACGCGCACCAGACGGTCCTAAACACTTCCCATCATCGCAAATAGGCACCGCTCTGCACCTAGACCCGAGATCGCCAGAGCCGCGGAGGAGGGTGTTCGATAATGGTTACGAGTTGCGACATTGCGTCTACGTGAATAGAGTGTCTCTGTGAGCGTACTACGAATTCTAAGCAGTCACGATGATGGTCTACAAAACAAATTGATACAGAGGGAATAGTCTTGGGTCTGTGTCTGCTGCTGCTGCGACTGCGCCTGGTACAGCATAATGTCCATGGTTCTGAGCCCGATCTCTAAGTAGTCCCCGCAAGTGAATCGGCGCGGGCACACCGCTTGCCGTATTCAAGCGTCTTAAGTCCCGACATCGAGGAACTTATCTGCCTTTTGCTCACTTGCGCTAGCCTTGAACGCGACAATCCCAATGATGATGCCGCAGGCAAAAAAGCACATCGAGATGATAAACCAGATGACGCCCCAACATTGCGGCGCACCACCGACAAGCTTGCTGAACGCCGTCGCATCTGATTCGTTCACCTTGCGGAAAACTAGATCGTCCAGAATATCCCACAGAGAATAGAGCGAGTTCATGACACCCTGCAAAACAGGCGTACGGTGAGCTCCAACCGGGAAGGGTCGAGAGTGAACAGCAATGCTCACAATAAATAAGATCAGGTAACGCAAGGCTACGGAGTCTGCGATGAACCAAAATGCGACAATCACTGCAAGAGAATTTTGTAATGCCAGGATGAGCTCATGATCCACCTGCTTTCCAGGGCGGGACTCACAGCCTGCCATGCCGATGATGAGAACCCATGTGAGCCAGTCCCTCCGTGCCCACCAGAGGGTGAGGAGGAAAAAGACGCCGACGACGATCGATGCAATCTTGCTCGCTCGCTCATCAAAACCACAGGCGATTAGCGCTGCTCCAATCAATGAAGAGCCGAGGTAGCCGGCCGGTAAAGAGAGATGCGGGATGCCTCCACGCATGCGAGTCACGCCGCCCTCATTTGGCTCTGTCAAACAATGCGTGCCCAGATCAGCAGCAGCTCTTCATAGTCACGGCAGGATCTCTGCCAGCTCACCCAGTGTGATGCTCTCAATTCTTGCGCCAGTGCATAGCCCAACGATGGCATGGCTTGCCTCATGAAAGCCGACGGTCAGTAGCTTGAAAGGGTAGATGATATAGTTGAGAATGGGAAAGCTCCAGAGGATGACGATAACTACCGCATAGACACACGCGACGATGATGGTCGTCCGCTGTGTCGCATTGACTTGCAGGGCAGTATTAGATGCACGCTTGGAGAGAAGGCCGGTATACTCCTCCACTGATGAGGAGGACAGGAGTGCCGGCATGGTGCCAAAGGTGGTGCGCAGGTTGCCTCGGAGCTGAACACGCTGTCGACCCTACCAGTTGTTCCGCCGGAGCAGGTGCAACTTCTGGCCCTTGTACGAACAAGCTGGCCTCGAGGAGAGAAAGGTTCAGGAAGAATTGTCGCTTGCCCAGTTTTGCACTAATGTGGAGAACAAAAGACGGAGGAGGCAAAAACCAGCTTTGCCAACAAGAGTTGGTTGCACTCGATTATATGGACTGATGAAACAGAGAGTAAGAACCAACACAGCCTCGGCACCGTCCTGCCACCTGGCGCGCTTGGCGCATCGCTGAACCTGCCGAAGGGGTGAGTAACAGTTATTACGTAATCACGTTTCCAATGTTGTGGCAGCAAACCAATTGGCCTTTGGCTTGTGGGTGTCTCAAAAGAATACTGTATCCTTTTGGCTCTGAGATTGCGAGAGATTAAAAGCTTGGTTCTCCGAAGTGGGAAAGCACATGGGCGAACGGTTGCTTCGGTCTATATGTCCATGACAATGACAATGGGTGAGACAGTGGAGAGTCGTCGCTTGTGCGAAGCGAGGAATGACGCGAGCAAGGAGCGAGAACCAGAAGTAGCGAGCGCGGAGTCGAGGCGAGTTCCTGCGCGCAAGGACAACTCGGAGTCGTCCTTTGTATTTGTGCGCGGTGAAGGTGTGGAAATAGTCTTGGTGTGTGAGATCGTGGTTTTGTTGTGTAGTGGCGGGTCCGACAAGGATGAAGTCAGTAGGGTGCGCAATGATCTTTTGTAATATTTAGTCGCGCAAGAGTTGTCATTTTGAGTTCCGTTCCGACATCCAACTTTTGGATGTATTCTCGACTCTCATCATTTGCTTGTTATCCCGTTTGTAAGGTATTGGCTGCACGCAACGATGGACCAACAGCGAAAAGGAACAGTCTGAAAGTAGGCCCGAAGCGATTGAAGGCTCATGGCATCCAGCTGAGCGAGCGAGCATGCGATGACCAAGCACTTCTTCTGTATTGAGGCATCTCACGGAGTATTACGAGATTAATCGAGGCAAGCCTTTACGACAATCGACATAAACACATCAGGTCGTCGCCATGTACTACGACCTAAACATCACATGGCCTCTGTCCGCAATGGACGCTTCTAAGAAGCGTAACACGTCGAAAGAGCACACAGATGAGGCCAAGGCACTTGCCAGCTACGTCAACGCTTTGGCCGTCATCGCCGGTGCTCCCGATATAGATCCCGAGAAGGCCCAACAGCAGCGGCGGCCAGGAAAAGAGCAGAAGGGTAAAAACAGAACAAATGGGCAGTCAAATGACGGAGCAGGCCTAGGGTCAGGTAATGCAGATCCAAGGCATTCTAAGCCGGCTTCGCGGCCGTCATTGAAGCCCTTTGACCCCATGACTGGTCTCGTCACCTACGACCGAGAGCGCATGCTGGCCGTGACGACGGATGCCGCCGAGCGTGAGTCACTTCTAAGGCTTGTCGCCTAATCCGATCACGATCGTAGTGTCTGACTTAATACCTATGCGCGCATGCGAATAAGCAGTTGGTTATCATTTTGTTGCGTACAATCACATCGTTCATGGGCGGTTCGACAGTCAAGCGCACCAAAATCCATTCTACGATTCGCGCACTAAGGAAACCCATCCTCCCTTCCCTCTACTAGATCCGCGCACCAGGGCTGCGGAGCAAAAGCGCCGGCGAAAGAATGCAGCTGCAGCGCCTCAAAATGCTGCCAACGCAGCTGAGAAGGGGACGGACAAGGCCACAGTTGCCGATGACGCAAAGAAAGAGTGGGACGGTGTAGATGTCACGCAGTACAGCCGTTGCACCATCGTCTTGGATGAGACAAGCTTTGGCAAGCAAGGCCATGGCCTTGTGAGTAGCAAGAGGCTTTTTACTGGGCAACTATAGACCTTTTACTGAAACGGGGGGACTTGATTCTGGCACTCTACGCAGACATCAGCGTCGACGAACGCACTGTTGACATACGATCTGCTTGCGGTGTGCCCGCTGACCGAGGCGGCATTCTCGGCGGCTTGCCTATCGCTTTCAGAGCTAAAGCAGAACAGCGTCGACATAATCAGTTTTGACCTCGCCGCATCCCCGCGTTTGCCTTTCATGCTTAAACGCAGCGCGATCGGCGCTGCCTTACAGAACGGAGCAGTGTTCGAAGTATGCTACGGCGCTGCGGTCAGCACAGAAGACGTCTACGCCTCATGGCGACGCACGCGTAATGGCGGAGGCGGCAGCTGGGAGCAGGACGCAGAGTCTAGGTCGCGAGCGAGGCGCAATCTGATTGCCGGCACGCGCGAGCTGCTGCGCGTCACCAATGGGAAAGGCGTCGTCTTTAGCAGCGGCGTAGCAGATATATTGGGCCTCCGCGGACCCGTTGACATTGTTAACTTGTGAGTGTAAGGATGCGATGGCCTCGAAGGCTTTGGAACAAGACCATCGTCATTGCACAACGCGCTTACGCCGCCTTGCCTCCCTTTCAAACCTTCGCAGAGCGACAGCTCTATTCGGCATGAACCAGGCGGCTGCGCAAGACGCACTCTCCAAGACGTGTCGTTCGCTGCTGAAGCGTGCAGAGACGCGCAAGACGTGGCGAGGCATTGTCGGCCTACCGAAGCTGCGACTCGTCCAGCCACCGCCGTGCACGACTGGCGGTGGAAACCGAGGCCAGGCGCCTGACCCGCTGAAGGACATGGGCGTCGACGAATCTGGAGTTAACAGCTCCGCAGTGCAGGCATCGGTTTCGTCAAAGAAAAAGAGGGGCCGAGAGGAAGAAGAAGAGGAGGAGAAGGCTAACCCGACCGAATGGAGAGCCAGCAAGAAAGTGCTGAATGTACCAAAGGATGCGGTCAATGGGTCATGACACCTCGGCTCAGTATTTGCTTTCCCACGGCCCGGTGCCTGCGCTATGGCGGCTCGCGAGTGTGAATAGCGTAGCGTATGAGTTACATTGCACCTCTGATCCCATTTTCCCTAGCGAGAGAGAGCGCTCGGAAAAAGACAGCCTGGCGTAGATGATGTGAGAGAGACGAGCCGGCACGATTGAGATGGATGAGGTGAATGGATGGGATAGCGAAGTGGTCATTCGTGGCGCGGGCGCATGTACATATATAGTTGAAATCACGCTGCGTTGTAGTGCCTGTTGAGTCTGTGTACCGCGCGCGCAGCGCTACCTCCAAGAACACTATTGTGCGAGGGATTCATTGATCCTGACACCCTCATGAAGCCAGACCTTTAGGCTTGCTTGCATCCAGCAGAAGTGTTTCCTTCTGGCCCTTTGAACGAACCCCCCTCCCCTGCTGGAGAGACCGAGCACTCTTGGACATCACGGAGGGAAAAAGGAAAAGATGGCGGCCGCAGTAGAGGAACACACGCCGCTCCAGTCGTATGTCGGCTTCGACTCGATCACTAAGCAGATCGAGTCCAAGCTGCTCAAGAGGGGCTTCCAGTTCAACGTCATGGTCGTTGGCCAGACCGGGCTCGGCAAGTCGACGTTGATCAACACACTCTTTGCCAGCCACCTGATCGACTCTAAGGGTCGTCTCGAGGCGTACGAGAGCCCTCGCAGCACCACTGAGATCCATCCCATCAGCCATTGTGAGTGCCAGCAACGTCGCATGCTCGGAAAAGTACCTTGTCTTTGCTGACAATGTCGTAACCACCACACAGTGATCGTCGAGAATGGCGTCAAGCTCCGCTTAAACATTGTCGACACACCAGGCTATGGCGACCAGGTTAACAACGAGAACTGGTAAGCGCCTCATCACCCACTTGGATATCGAGATGACACGCGCAAGAGCTGACTTTCCCTACGTTGCTTGCGGCAGCTGGGACCCGATCATCAAATACATCAAGGACCAGCACAGCGCCTACCTCCGAAAGGAGCTCACTGCTATGCGTGAGAGGTACATTACCGATACCCGCATCCACTGCTGCCTCTTCTTTATCAACCCGTGAGTCCCATGCATGCATTACAGTGGCGTGGAAGCCGGAGTCGGCATCTGACACGCGCTCTTTTCGCGCTTCGATGATCTCAGAACTGGCCACGGGCTTCGACCGATCGACACGTTGGTCATGAAGAAGCTCTCCGACGTCGTCAATGTCGTGCCCATCATTGCTAAGTCGGACAGTTTGACATTGGAGGAGCGGGATCTCTTCAAGGAGCGGGTGTGTACAGCCATGGCGGTGTCTGTCCGTTTTGCTATCTATCAAGACTCATCTTTCCTCAACTCTCTTGTGCGCTCAGATCCGTGCCGAGATGCAGTACAACAATATTCGCCTCTACCCCTTTGACAGCGAGGAACACGAGGAGGAGGAGCGCGAGCTGAACGACCGCATCCGCTCGCTCATCCCGCTGGCTGTCATTGGCTCGGAGCGCAGTGTCGTCATCGATGGTAAGGCCGTGCGCGGGCGCAAGAGCCGCTACGGCATCGTCAATGTCGAGAACGAGAGCCACTGCGAGTTTGTCTACCTTCGCAATTTCCTCACGAGGTGAGTCATCCGCCACGAAAGGCCATGCCGCATCCCTCATTGCTGATTTTTTTCTCGCCTTCCACTAGGACCCACCTGCAAGACCTCATCGAGACAACCGCGCAGATCCACTACGAAGCGTTCCGGTCCAAGCAGCTGCTCGCGCTCAAAGAGTCGAGCACAAAGCAGCAACAGCAGGCGCAAGGCCACGCTTGAGCTCCGATCCCTGATCAACTCGGCGCCCGTGCGCATCGATTAGCTTGTTTCCATTCGCTTGGGCGCGAATGCGCCCAACTCAAAGCGTAGCTATGCGCGATTGCATGGAAGTATGTGTGTAAGGAGTTGGAATGAATTGCGATTCCGGATATACAATAAGCAACAGGAGTAGTTCCGATCAGCATGCTTTCCTTCTCAATGCGTTCCGTGTGAGACGTTCGCTATGTGAGGAGCGAGGCCAACTGGCCTGCGGCGGCCATCGATGCACAGAATATTGAGATGTGCTGCAGCCCTTGTCCAGATGCGAATGCCGCGCCTAGACTGACAATGGCGGGGCCGGGGCACTAAGCATGAAGGAGGCCGTGAAGATTGGATCCGAATCAGATGCGACCCGTTTTTGTCTTGGGCAAGGCGCACTCACCAAGCCACTCAAACCCCACCCAGCGCCAAAGAGCGCAGCACCGCCGATGAGTTTGGCGTCGATGATCTGGCTTTTGGGCAGCCTCCACATGGGGCTGGCAGCATGCAGCATCGGCTGGTCCGCCTCCGTTTTGCCCCCGCGATCGATGCGCGGCTTGACGCTAAGAAAGTAGCCGGCAGCGCTAGGCAGGATGCCGCCGAGGGCCACCATCGCGAGCGAGGGGTCCCATCCATACATGCCGATGATGCGCATGGGTGACAGCGAGAGAAAGCCGAGGACCTTGCTCGAACGCAGCATGCCCGTCAGAGCGAGGCCAAACGCAAAGTGCAGACCCGTGCAGAACGAAACGACCTTGGCGCCGAGACGGTGCCTTCTTGCTACCTCCTGCGGCTTTTCGCCACTCTTTGGGGCTGCAAGAAGCGGCACGAGCAACGTATAGATCAGTGCAGGCAGCTGCAGCAGCGCAATTGCCTTAGCACCGGGCAGATGAACAGGATCCGCCACGGTCGATCGCGCAGCTTGGAGTGTCAGTGGAGAGCTGCTGAGCTGATGCGCGGCAACGGCGACGCAAAAGAACGTGGCTGTGGCAGCTATCGAACGAGGTGAAACGCGGCTGAGGCCACATAGGAAGTGTCCAGAAGTGCAGCCAGAGCCGAGCTGTAGCGGAAAGGGAGACGGGGCGTTTCTTCAGTCATCTGCATTACCTTGGAACCGCACGGAATCCACCTTGGTGCCGAGCCCGACCAGAATGCCGAAGAGGGCAGTGTAAAGCGGCGGGCTGGGGGGCACTGCGTCGAATACCTTGACCCCAAAGCTGCTTTCGAACAGACCCCGTTGAGCACCTAGCAGCAAGCCTCCAGCGAGGAGGCCGGCAGTGAAGAGCCGTGCCGTGCTGACCGCCGTCCTGTCGCTGATTCGTTGAGGATCGTTGGCAACCTTTGGAGAGGTATCACTGCTGGAGTCAACAAAGCTGCGGACGGCACCGTGGAAAAATCCTGAGATGCCCAAGACAGAGCCCAGTTGTGTGAGCATGGCGTGCACGCTCGAGGCCAGCATCAGCCCTCCCAGGAAGGAGTGTACGGGCGTGAACGAAGGGGATGACGACATTGTTGCTCAGGTTCCGCAAGGCATCAAGTTGTGAAAGATGTTAGCGAAGGTATTTCCCCATGCATGTTACCGCTGGCTCACCATTTGATCCATGCTCCTGTTGATCGGATGACGCATCCAACTTCAAGAAGGGGGTGGTGTCTTGAACGTATATTATATATGGTGCGCAAAGGCCGCTGTCTCACGTTGATTCACGCGCGTTCACGGCCTGGCGAAAGAAATCGTGGCGATAACGTCATACACCAACTCGCAAGTGACCAAACCACCAAACACCAACAAAGATACCAGATGCCAAAGCTTTGTGTCCATCGTACGCAAGGGATGCAAAACAACATCTCTGTGCGCCAAAACAGGTCGAGTCTCGTGAGCATTCCTCTTCTGCGCGCGAATGGCTCGCGAATAAGCTCCAGACTGTATCCTTTCGGCGCTGTGGTTGACGCTCATGAAACGTGGGAGTCAGGATTGCAGCTCGCAAGCCTCCCGCGCAACGGTGTCCAAAGTACTTTTCAAACTACACAGGATACAATATACCAAATGGTACTAACTTGCGGTACAGTTATATGAGTGCCTCGTCGTCAGAATCAACAGGTGATGTTCCATCCGAGTCGACGTCGCTATACACGTTACAGCAGCGAATCTTGATCCAAGTCGCCCATTTCCAGTGGCGGTGTGTTGACTTGCGCAGCACGATCCCTTCCAGGCCGTGGAGCTTGACTTGGTCGAGCGCGGCCTTGAGGTCCTTTCGAGACTCAATGTGCGGAAAAGGATGGCTCTTTTGTATCAAGCCGTGATCCTTGACAATCTCTGCAGCCAACCTTGAGCGCCGTTTATGCCAAGGCTCCTCCGTGAGTGACGCTCCGTTTGCTTAGAGCAGATCAAAGATGTAAAGGCCCAGCTTGTACGGCGCCTTGTTCTTGTATGCTAGCCAGTACAAGGTGCGCCGTCCTTGGTTCCACGGTGCGGGGCGGCCCTCTGCCATCACAACATGTTCGGCGTCAAAGATGACACTGTCGAGTCCAGGAAACGCTTCGGCAACTAGCCTAGCATTGGCCGATATGTTAGAGCACATACTTATCAGAGTGATGTTACAACCTCAGCAGAGGTGGGGCAGGCTTGCATACGCACTCGCAGACTTCTGGCTTGCGCAACGCGGCCCAAGACGGGCAGTTGGTGGCGTCCCTGCTCCGCTTGTTGTATACTGTTATTCCACAGTTGCAACGATGAAAGTGAACCTGAATACGCTGGCCGTCCGCCTTGATTTCAGCCCTTTGCCACTTCCCCCGGGAGTAGAACCATGGGCCGTCAGGCAAGGAGAATAAGGTTTTGGACCGTGGACGCTGTACATGGGCGAAGAGGGCAGAGGGAATTGGGTGTGCTGGCATCGATGGGGAATGTTTGTAGATAGCGAGCAGAGAGCAGCAAGGGTGCGCAGAAAACAGTGGATCGCAAGCAATTCTGAGTGTGAAAGGCAAGGATAGGCACGACTACATATGCACCTCATACCCATAGGCTATGGGACTGTGCTGCGTATCCATGGAATGTCGACCCGGTTCGCACTTCTGCGTGCCATTTGGCTGAAACGCCAGGATTTTACCACCTCATTTGTGTTCCGAGTGCGTTCGACCTAACAAGTTGCTGGACAAGGGCTGCGGGCGAGCGCTGATGTGATGATTAGCAAGCAGGCTCAAAACTACTTTTTACGCGAGCGCGACCAGGAACCTGAAATGCAGTCTGCGCAAAGGGGGTCAGCTTGCTTCACTCGAAGTCCCGGAACGTGCTTTGGTTTAGCACCTGAGGTAGTTGCATGCGTGTAGTCAAGTCACATGGGTGCGTAAAAGTCGCCAGGCTCGAGATGTTGACGGCCTCGAATCTGCGCGTCGTGTTGAAACGCTGTGTCGAGTGATCGATCCTGTTTGTCAGCTTGGATCATTAACTGTGCACCCGTTGCAATCAGGTGGCTTTTGAACAGCTTCGAAGGCAGGTTCATACGGCGCTTTCGTTTGTCCTCTCTACCGTTTTAACCCGCTCAGCCGAGCTGAAATCGTTGCGGTTGACTCCTCGTTGTATTTCGTGTAGGTCACCCACATACGAGAGGGCTACAGTACAATCGAAACAAAAACTGACCATGGATGTTACTAAAAGCTTCTCTTACGCTCTCCTGGCAGCCGAGCAACCGTCCTTTGCAAGCGCAGCGTAAAAAGCTGTCGGACTTTTGGTAAAGCTTGGTCAAAGACGTCCTTGTTATAGAGTATTGGTTACCGGGCGTTTGATCGTCATGATTTCATGAGAATAAAACAGACATCGTCACATTGAGCAGTTCCATTTCAGGTCGGGGGTGCGCCAAAAAGGGGCAAAAAAATCCGTGAAGTGGGATTTGAACCCACGAGTGTCGGGGCGCATTGCACATGCAAAAGCGTAATAACTCTTGAATCCGATGCGATGACCGCTACGCCATCCACGGCCTTGAATCCTGGCGAATTCTAAACATTATAACCACTTACAGCAATCCTTTCCGATCTATCACAACCTTTTCTGCAGCATCTTGCAATCAATCTAGGTGCGCCATCGCAACGTTCACTGCAGGCACTTTTGGGAGGTATTTGGTGAGACCCGAGGGGAGAGCTGCTGCGAGCGTCCAAGCGGGGGGGGGGGGGTAACGGGGCACGGACGTGTGTGAATATTGAACCCCAATGCTATTTCAGGCTTGCCCGCTTGATGCTTTTTGTCAATGTATGAGTGACGATACGATCAGAGTACTCAGCTTCCACCGCGGGGAGATTCCCGGGACGGCCCACAATGATTCTACAACTCGTGCATGGCCTGATTTATGAGGCCAATCACATTCTGGTACATTATGGGACTCTGGCTCACTTTGCAGCACGCCCACCGTCAACGCATTCAATCCCAACACTGGCTCGTGCCCCCATCATCCCTGAACGGTGCCTCTGCATCTTCCAGAAGAAGACAAGGTGACCGTAAACGTTGCGGTGGCGGGTGATGGGTACGCTTATGGGTGGCTACGAGATAACGATCGCGGTATGGCGAGAAGGCGTATACTGAGGCGCAGTTCGCCTGAGCGTGTCATCCTGCCGAGGCAATATTCACATTGTTGGGGAGGGCAGATCAAACACACCGCATGGAAGTTCCTTATCACTTGCATGTTGTAAGCTTTCGTTACACAGGCCTCAAGACAGAAAGTTACATACTTTTGCTGCGTTGGAAATCACGAAGTAAAGCCATTGCGTACATTGTCGAACTTCGAATATGGATAGTCAATGCAGTTATTGGTGCTGTCAAGCTTTCCGAGCTGGAGCATCCGCGGACAAGGGATAGTACAGTCAGGTAGACGCCGAGTCCACCCCGAAGAGCGACAGCACTCACTTTACTCGCCACCCGAAGAACCATTGGCGTGACGGAAGAGCTGGAAGTATAATCGCTCGAAAGCTCCCAGTACATGGCGCCGGCAAGGCCCTTGTCGTTGATGTACTTTGTCTTTTGATCAAAGATGGCCGGCGTGTCATACGAGATGAGCAACTGCTGGCTGGGGTCGTACGAGTACGAAGCGCCGGAATATTTGGTATCCTCAGTAACAGAGGCACCGGCGTGGGGAAGCGCCTTGAGATCCCACACGCCATTCTCCCAGCTGCCGGGTCCGACGCCTTGAAATGTGGCCTTGAGGCCGGCCGTGCTGGCAAAGGCCCGTCCATAAAGCGGAAGGCCAAATACGAGCTTCGACGCGCTGACGCCGGCGTTGGTGTACGTCTTGACGGCATCGTCTCCCGAAGCCTCCGAAGCAGGCGATGTATTGCTGTCGTTGTACAGATTCGCATGATGACCAGTAAGGTCTGACCATGAGCCAGCATAGTCGTAGGCCATAATGTTCCAAAAGTCAAGGTACTGATCCATCCCACTGAGATCCATGGTTTGAACCTTGGACTTGTCGGCAGACACAGCGGCTGTCAGCAGAAAGCGTGGCGGGTCGCTCGTGCGCTTGGCTTGAGCTGCGTCGAGGGCGGAGCGAATCCCTTGCAGTAGTAGTGTGAACGCGTGTGCTTGCTCGCTGTCCGCAGGATACTCCCAATCGACTGAGCTTGGCGTCAGCTTCTGAGGTAGCAGGTTCTTGGGATACTCTTCGCTCACCATCAATCCCATCAAGGCCGTTGTCTTCGAGCAGCTGAACGGCAGTCTGGGCGAATGTCTGCCTGCATGTCTCGCTGCCGGCCATCGGCCAGAAGTGGGACCTGTAAGTCCACCCTCCGATCGAGAGCAGGACCTTCAGCGCACGATTGTGCCTTTTGATCAATCCAAAACGCTTGAAATTGCCATAGAGGTTGCTCCTACCGGGAGGGTCGTTCCAGGAATCTGGATCCTCCACGTCCGTGTAGCGGATTTGCTGGGGAAGGAGGCCGCGATGGAACCAGCGCAGACGAAGGGCAGATGTGGCCAGGATCAGTTAGAGTATTGTGCAACCACGAGAGCCGGCTCGCTCACCTGGCCCGACCAGGTGTCCGTGAGAAATACTTCACCAGTATCCGGCTTGACGTCGGCGAATGAGTAGAGGATATGCGTAAGAGAGGTTGCGGGAACATGCTTAGGAAAATACTGCCTGGCGTAGATGCCCCAATCAACAAAGTAGCCCTGGCGGTAAAGAGTACAGCAAAGGAGTAGCAGGCATGGACATTAGGAAGCGGGACGTCTCTGCATATGCCAAGGAAACATACGACGTTGACCTTGCCATTCGCGGGGCTTGTCATAGCTTGCTTGGCTACGTCAATGTTCAAAAATCGCACATGCGGAAGCTGGAATCGGAAGTTGGAAGAGAGTCCAGAATGAGACAAGGATGAGCGAAAGCTTGCCAGGGGCAACGTTATATCATGCCGATTCGTGAGTGATGACTAAAAGACATACCTGCTGCTGACAGCAGGAAAGCAGGAAGCGTGAGGACAGATGGGAGAATCATCATTGATACGGTCCACGATGGCGCAGCAGGAAAGATGAATCAAGAAGCAGATCGTAGCACGAGTCAGCAAGCGCGCACCGCACATTTGGGGCGCGGGGCGGACGGCGGCAGAGGTGAACAGTCATTACATATACATAATCCCAAGATGAAGGGACACCGCCAGCATCGTACTGTCAGAAGGAGCCCAGTAAACCTGCCTGGCGCCAAGGAAAGCGTGACGCTTGACAAAGCGACCGGGAAGCCATTTTGCTGGCTGGAGTCTGAACCTCGTGCGTCCAACAAAAAGCCCCAACACGCGTGAGAGCGCTTGAGCTTGACAAAGGGCTTGACCGCGTAAGTAGTGGGGGAGATTGGATTGAGAACCGTGTGACAGAGCCACTACATAGCATCAGAGCAGCGGCAGCGAGGAGCCCAGGGCGCATGAGATGATAAAGGTGCCTAGCAGCGCAGTTTTCGAAGTCACTAGCGAGCCAACGACACTAACCTTGTTTCTAGGCGCTTCTTTCTTGTCTAGCAGCTTGCGCAGCATCGCGGCATTCGTATGGAATATCTCAACGGTTGTTGAAGAAAATAGCCCTGGAGCGGGGTCGACCTGTGAGATGTCAACGCGGGTCGAAGTTCGATGCACAGACGAGGCAAGCCACCTCGTCTTTCGATTCTTCCAATATTTACGAGAACATGCCATAGGCGTTCAGTGTTGACATGGTTGTCGGTGCTGGATGGAATACTCGATAAATATAAAGCGTACATAGTGTGGTTCGACAAATCAATTGCAAATTCTCCCGAATTCCCGAACCCGAGCGCACATTCCAAGTTTCTCTGCGTGCTGCTCGCACCATCGTCACATGCTTATTGTCAATGCATTAGTTTGTGCGGCGCAGAGGCAAGCTTTGGAAGTCGCAGAGGCTTTTGATTTTTCTTTTAAACCATCATAATCCCATGATAGATGGCCGGTGGCAAAAAGCAATGCGCGATGGAACGATGGGGAGAATGCGTGTGAAGTGGGGATGACTGGCTGACTGTACTTCTAGGACTTGTGGTACATATGGGATCGTCAGACAGGTCTTGCTTTTGGAAGGGAAGTTCCACAACGCGGCTGCTATTTTCAGGCAGCCCAGCCCGATGGTATAGTCAGATGCTGGGACGATTCAGAACGGAGGCGACCACACTGCGACAGTCCGACAGTCAGCATGCATAGTGCCTGGGGTATGCCAATTTGGGCCCAGGCAAGTGGAAGGGTCTTCGCCTGCCGCTAAACCCTTGAACCCATTTAGTCGTCTACAGCTCTTTCTGTGACGCACAAGAGTCGGGAAGAGTCTGGCAGAGTTCAGGCGTTCAACTAGGATTCGAGATCGCCTTTGTCACGCTTCATCTTCGTCAAGCGTCCCTGCGGAAACAAAGCTCTGGCGAGAGGTATCATAAACACTCCCCGTCTCCACACATCTTTCGTGGTTCCAAACATGACATGTGGATACAATGAACATGAACATGTAAGCGGGGGAATGAGTGTTCATCCCCCCGAATCGGGGTATTCTAGTCCGAAAAGGTGCGTTCTTAACCATTGTTTCAATCCCGCGTTCCGCCCTGGCAGTGTCATACATTCGGCGAGCGGGCTGGTGCCAGCCAGGTATTAGATTTTCGGCATGTGTCGAATGCCTCTCTTATGATTTCCATCACGCTCCGTTGGCAATAGTTCCTTTGCGCCCTCTCCACTGCAGAAAGGAAGGCCGCGGCATATCGACGTGTATTGGACGGCCCAGAGCTCTCGCAGTCAAAAGCCTCCACGAGGGCCTTCTCCGCTTCGCTGCCGATCAGCTTTACCGACTTTTGGCAGTGCAGAGGGTGACATTTCAACCAACCGCTGTAGACAAAAGACAGGGAAACTGTTCGGCGTTTTATAGCACACGCTGCAGCCCTTTATCGGAGGGTTAAGCCTGGTACCGCCAAAGCAACTCTGCGCGACCCAATCGCTTGATCATTTCCGCTGTGGTACCGTAGAGAATAGGCACGCATGTCGCCAACGACGCCAACACATGCAGTGCGCTTGCACGACCGCGACGTCAGCGACCCAACGACGGTCATAGATTCGCCGGCAGACGCGCAAACAGTAATCGATCCATCAACAGAAGTGCGACAGGAGGAACACAACATTGGGAAGGAGCAGTTATCCTCCACTTCAGCAGTCGAGCGTAGTAGGCCGGATTTGGTCCTGAAGGAGGTCCCTCAGCCTGCGCAAGACATCCCTCATAAGCCACGGAACAAGGCGCCGAGGAGGGCGATCGAGTACACGCTCAAAAATGCAGATCCACACGTGCGATCAAACCCGTTTCGACGGCATGCACGCCAGCTCGCCTTTGCGGCGCCATACCCAGATTCAGGGGTGGTACTATCGAGGGCTGATGAGGGTGAGAGTGGGACACGTAGAGGGTGGAGAGCATGGAAGCTACCCGGTCCGTTATCATTCGATACCTGGCAAGGGTGGTACCTAGTTCTCTTCCACTGCATTGGTGCAACTATCATCTCGGGAGCGGTCAACTTGTGAGTCAAAGTCGGAGGGATGCATAGTCTGTTCACGCTCGGCAGCTGATGTGAATTTTTTGTTGCTGCAGTGGCATTGCATGTGCGATGTATCGGTCACAATCTGACATTACATATTGGGTGCTCGCACGAAATACAGTGAGAGAAGATGGATCAAACTTTGGCTCTTACATACGAACTTAAATTCATTGTTTTTCTCTTGCAGGTGGCTGGCGACATGGGCGTAACAGTCCTGATCCAGTCGATCGTGACGTTCGTTATTACTTCATCTATGGTCCACTCAGATCTGACAACCGGATCAGTAGCGCCGCTCTCGCGACCATGGCCGCCACTGCTGCACCTTCCCAGCACACCTTCCCGGCGGGGCTTTGCATTCTTCGGCACTCGCCTGCCCCTCTCCGTCCCCGAGGGCGAGTCACTGCCTATGGGTCCACTGGGCACAAATTGCGGAGCATTCAAGCCCTATGCACTCTGGATCATTCGCTCGGCATACACTGGCTCTGAGCGCAACGATCTCCTTGCGCCGGGTATCTCGTGGCGCCAGCGCCTCGAGCGGCTCGTCTGGACCGCCGCGCAAGGGCTCTTGATCGGCGTAATCGTCTTTCCCTGGTTCTGGGGCATCGCCATGGCTATTACCGCGCCCATCTACAGCGCCAGAAATTTGGGTCACACGTGGGCTCCCCAGGTGATCAAGCTGATTTACGGCGGCTTGCTTGGCCTCGTCACCAATCCGTTCATCGCGTTGATGGCGATGGGCGCGGAGAGCAGCGTTAAGAGAGCCTATCCCGAACTCAACATTTGGCAGCAAGAAGGGCAAGGCCCCCATGCAGAATATATCCACGCATAATGTCCTTACCCAGAATTCTTAAGAGTTCAGAATTACCCGCACCCGCATTGAAAAAAATAGGTTTACTTGCCTTATAAAAGACGATAATCATAATGACCATGCATTTCTCCTTCCTTTTGCAACAACATGATAATGAAGAAACGAGGTCTATACATAGATCGACCCACGATCAATCTGTGACGTGCAAATGTGCGTTGAAGCTCCCAGCTGTGCGGTGTGCAAAAATCAAAAAAAACAAGAGACAATATCAAAAGAGGAGTGATTGATTGTCGTCGGGGTCATAGGGCCAGCGGTGGTGGTCGACGTTATCGGCATTCAACAAGGAGCTTTGGCCTATCGTCCACCCTGGTTCAAGAGCGTTGCCCTTCACTGACTCCTGCGACGCTTGGCAGCGGGAAAAGTCTGCTCGTCGCTGTCGTCGTTGTCGTCCGAAGTTTCTTGATTCGGATCGTCGCCAAGTCGAATGGCGGGCTGCTGCGGTGCAGGCGACTGCGAGTGGAAGAGCTGCAGCGCATGTGGGTTGGCCGCATGAACGTGCTGCATAGCATGCGGCATGCCAGGGACAGAAAGGGGAGTCATCGCCATGGGCATCTGATGGTGATGCATCGGCGCCAACGTTATACCAGTATCCGCCTGTGAGTGCGGCGGCTGCTGCTGCAAGAAGCCGGTGTCAATGACCATGCCAACGGCATTGATGGGCACCTGCGGCAGCTTGTCGCGGGCAGCTTGTCCGCCCTCCGCTCGCTCTTCCATCCCATGTCCATCGTCAAGTTCGTCATTTTCTTCTTCTTCATCGTCATCATCCTCTCCTTCTTCGCTGTCATCGACCACAGCCTCCGAATCGGTAAACTGGGGCAAGTATCCGAGCGCATCGTAGTCCCCCGTGGAAGAATCGGAAGCATGCGATCGCTTATTGTTCGACGCACGCAGACGCAGCGTCAGCGAGCCATTTCTTTCGGTGGCAGCGGACGCGCATACACGCTGCCAATTTGTCAGGCTCTCTTGCAGCTCTTGGACTGATGTAGATGGTGTTTAACGCATGTCAGAACCGATTGACCAGCACGAATGCGAACGAAGCACAACTTACTCGAAGCAACACTGGAGTCTCTTCCCTCGAGCTGCGTCGCAAGCACGCCAGCGGTGAGCGAGATAGCCCTCGCTTGCGCTTTGGCCATGCCACGCATTTTCCTCTGCATTGATCCTATCTGTGACTGCAACGACTTGACTTGCACCTCTAATGATTTCACGGTAGCCGGCCCTATCGGCTGCTGCTGAGCTTGTTGATGCTGCGAATGCTGTTGCGCCTGCGATCGTGCTTGGCGTTGGGAACGCGAGTTGACCGATGTGGCTGCTGGAGCTGCTGCAGCAGCTTTGGAGGAGCCTTTGCGCTCTCCTGAACCGGCACTTTCGACAGCCGTCGAGCTACCGCTGGAGGTGGAGCTGGCCGCCGAGGAAGAGCTCTTGGGTTTGCCAGAAGCTGTCCTCGCTTTTGACGCACCATTGATGTTGATGCTGTCGTTGCCAGTAATGACATCTGCAGCAGAATGCAGAGCGCTACTTCCGTTCGACTTGGCTGATGCGCCAGCACTAGCCGCGCTACTGATGGCACCGACCCGAGCCTTTGCTGCATTCCAAGTACCGTCAAAGTCAAGCTTGGGCGTCTTGGGAGCGCGCCGCTTAATCTCTTCCATCCTCCGTGGGTACTTGCGAAGGAAAAGAGGGTGACGGAAGGACCAATCACTTTGGGGCGTGCTGTTGGAGTGGGAGACAGCGGCGGTGTGCATCGCATCGGTCAGCTTGATGAAGCCATAGCTGTAATGCAGTAAGATTTCGGTCAGCTGATTTGTCATCACGCTTCACCAGCAAATGACGGCAACACACATGTTGAGCTGCCTAATGAAGGATTGCCAGTTGTTGTGCTTGAAATCTGCGATGTGATGGTGAAATGCAATCGTAGGATAAGCGCCCTGTTTAATATCCATCATGCCGACCTCTCCCTAATGCCATGACCATCACCGTTAATGTTGCGGAGGGAACGCACAATTTGGAAGAACATCCCGGGAAAAAGTAACTGAGTCGAACACCCGGAAAGCGGCACCGTCTGGTGTCCACTTGATCTGGATGACATCTTTGTTGTCGAGCATGCTCCTGAGTTTCCGCACAAACGCAGGGATCCTCTTCTTCTGCCCTGCAAGTCCTGTCAAGTCCGCCGATCCTTCCCCCTGCTCCATGTCTTCGTCCCCAAGCACGGCTTCTTCTTCTCCCTCCTGTTGGCCAGAGGTGCCACCTTCAATCAGGTCCACATCGTCGCTCGGCGTCCCTGCACCCTCATCGTCGTCCGAACTGTCCGAGTAGTCGTGCGTCTGGCTTTTGTTGGGACCACCTAGCGAAGATGGTGATGCCGGCGCTGATCCAGCAGGCGTCGAGTCTTGCGAGGTTGATGCTGCTGCGGCCGCTACCGCTGCGGCCTTTTTGCGAGTTGTTGCAACATTGGCCGCCGCCGCTGCCCGCGCACGTGCCGTGGCTGCAGGCGCTCGTGACATGAGCCCAGCGCCTTTACTCGTCTTTTCCTCCACACTGACGGCTTTGATAAGAACCGCCGTGCTCCCGCTTCTTGCTTGTCTTCTTGCTGTTGCCTTCCTTGCTTGTGCCCCGCGCTCTCCTTCGGGCAGTTACCGCCCTCGGTTTCGGCGAGACACCAGCTCGGCAAACAACGCAATGACCCGTCGACGGGATCGGCAAGTGGACGAGCGTGCCAAAGAAGCCTAGCTGCGCACAGCCTCGCACTTGTTCAGCGACCGCAGACGGGAGTCTGTCCGATATCGACGATGGCAATGTGTAAAGAACTGGCAGTGATGGAGCTTGCTGTCCAAGCTCATCTCTGCACTGCGGCCTCACGCCGTGCAGACGGCCGAACGATATAGCCACAGAAAATTGCTGAGGCAAAACCAGCAGAGTGCAATTCGGTGCAACCTCTACGACGGGGAAGAGAGGAAAGCCACGCGAGTGAACGAAGACGTGCACACTTCCAGCGTGGCGGAACTGAGGCTTTAGCACGTGACCCATCCGCCGCGGCGCGAGGGCTGAAGAAATCGCCAACATCGATAGATGCGGGAGAGATAGGGACAGAGGAGGAAACCTCCACTTCGAACTTGGGCGTCTCGACCTCGTAACTCATATAAATGTCCATGCATACTGAGCTGCGCAGCGGCGCGCGGGTTGCCAGAAGAAACCAATGTCTAAAATAACCCCGGTCTCCGCTAATAGAGTCACTTGCTCGCCGTGTCTCCGCTTGTTGGGGGTTGCGATGGTGAAAGCAGGCGCTCGCGGGGACCTAGAGCATACTCTCCACTCTCGACTTGGCACAATTCCCAGCTTTCTTTCCATTCAAAGGAGAGCTGGCCATGCCAGGGAAGAGGGACAATTTCCATCGTCTGGACCGCGCATTGTTCGTCCCTTAGATTCCATACATACCTAACGAAATTTCTATTTAGAATTACACTTCTGCTTGCCTGGCTGGAGGTTTGCCTCCAGTGATTAATTGAGTCCGTCCGAGAGCTTGCGGTTCTCACTTGCCAGTGAGCAAGTAGTCCAACGCGCGGAGCGAGCGCAGGAAGACAGCCTGCGCGCTCGAGGGAGAAGCAAGCGAAGCAAGTGCAGGGCTTTGAGCCTTGCCTGCGGAGATGTCCTGCAACGAACGCACTTCGCCGCTGCCAGCGACGCCATTCATAGGGGTGGACGTCGCTGTGCCAGAGCCTTGCGGTGCTGGGGCAGTAAGCGATAATGTGCCATCCACGCTGTGCATGGGTGCATCTTCATTCTCGAGCGAACTCGTGGCAGGTAAAGCTGCCGGCCTGGGCGGAAGGGCTTGCAGCAAGGCATCGAGATCAGCCATGAGCGAATGCGACGCTGCTTCTGCGGACCGCTTGAACGAATCGCTGATCACCTCGCGCGCGCCATCGATATGTGCCAGGTTCGATGCGACCGACAGAGTGTTCTGAAAACCGCGCGAGGAAATGGCGGTACCCAAAGGCTTGACCACAGCTGAAAGACGATCCGCCGGCAGATGAGGGTTGAGGCGTTGGGCGGTGAGAAACAATCCTTTCTGCTCTTTTTGTCCGTTATCGGATGCGTCTGCAGCTTTGTTGGTTGATGGACCAGCCTCTGGCTCTGCCCCATTGTTGTTGGACGCATGTGCAGCATCCATCTGACCTGTCCCGCTCTCGTGTACCTCTGGTGCAGCGTCAGGAGCTTCTTTCTTGTCGGAGCCAGCGGGCTCTTCCGATTGCTTGGGTTGGTTGGCTAGTGGCTTCGAGACCGTGTTCAACCTGTTGCGAAGAGAGACGAGGAAATTTAGTGCGTGATTCGAGAGGAGATTAAAGCGGATTAAAAACACCGAACACTTACAAAGCAATGAGGCTGTCGAGCAGCGAGGCGTGTTGAAGAATGACAGGCCGCTCCAGGAGAGCTAACAGGGTGCCGATAGGCGCGTTGCCGAACTTCTCACCCAGCCTGTCCTTGTCCTTGCCCTTGCCCTTTTTCGATGGGCGCGCGTCTTCCTTGAGAAAATATTCAGATACTTGTTCATTCGCCCCAGCAAGACCCAGTAGACACTCCACGCAGCGCAGCGCGATCAAATACGGAGCTTCGTCTCCCGTCCCGGAGATGGGAGCCACTGTTGGTGTTTGCAAGTGGGGAGGAAGAGAGCCCGGGGTCGTCAAACCCTTCTTCCCAGTCGTCTTGATGGGAGTGGCGAAGGCCTTGGTGATTTTGGCGCTCATCGCAGCATAAGACTTGTCGACGGCAGCCGTGTCACTGGCACCGTCCCAAAGAATCATCAAGAGAAGGTTGAGTAATTCTGATCTCGTTCTTGCATTCTCTGTAAGGTGCGTGAGGACTCTGTGGAGACCGGAAGAACGCGCGTCCAGTTGCGGGAAGAAAAGAAGACGAACGAGCGTAGCAAGGCCGGCTTTGTCCAGCAGCTGAATTGCGTCTCTTGGAGGCGGCTTTTTGACTTCGTCTGCTGCGGGTGGCGTGCCGGATCGAACAGGAGCCGCAGGTCTACTTGCATGCGAAGCGTTGGGCCCACCATGATCATCGTCCCCGGGCTCATTTTGGCCTTCGTCATCCTCTTCGGCCCCGGCATCAGCTTCTCCAGAAGGTCTCGATGCGTTGCGAGCGGCGCGAACCCTATTGCTGATCAGTTCCTGCTGGATGACTTCAGCGCGGATGTCTGGTGGAAGCGCTTCTAGGAACTCGGGTGCAATGCTGGTGTTCTGCCCGGAGGTAAGGCTAGCAGCCTGTCGCTCGCGCAAGTGCTGCTCGACAATCTCCTCCCTCATGTCGTCGGGAAGGGCCTCCAGGAATTCGACATCGATGCCAGAATCGGTAATATCGACCTCGCGCCCATGGATCATGACTGTGATCCGTTGTGTGGTAGAAGAGGTCGGACCAGCAAGATTTACGGCCTGGACAGGTGGCTGCGATGGATGTTCAGTGGCATGTCCACTCCCTCCGGTTGACACGTCCGCATCTGCACCGTCAATGGTGTCCCGCCCGGCATCAGTGTTGCTGAGCTCTGCCAAGCCTTGCTCCAGTGATCCGAGCTCCAGGTTCGGCTGCGACTCGTCCTCCATCTCGACATCTTGGCCACTTTGAAGGGTAATTTCCGTCGTTGACGCGGATGCAGATTGTTCTTCTCCTTCCCCTACCCGACTCGCTTTGTCTTCTTCCTGCTTCAATTTCTGCTTTTCTTTGTCTTTCTCCTGTTGTTCTTGTTTCTCTTTCTTTTCTTTCTCTTGGCGCTCCTTTTCAGCCTTGGCCTCAGCATCTCTTGCCTGTTGCTCCCGCTTCCTGCGCCAATAAGCAGGCAAGAACAGATTGTGGATCTCATTCTTGAGCACATTGGGACGTTCCAGCTTCTCTACAGCAAGTCCATAGATGATGGATGCCTCTTGCTGCCACCTTGCTGCCGTGCTCATCGGAACGAATTCCTGAAGTGCAGAAATGGGGTCTCTCGCCTGGGGTTCGGTGCGCGTGCCAGGTCTGTTCGAGCGCTGGCCGCTCGCAGCATTTCCAGCGACAGTCAGCCCGTCTACATGGATGCGGGGAGCGCCACTATCGCCGGGTGTAGTGATCGAGACACGAAGTTCTTCGCCTATCCCCTCGTGTTCCAAGGACTGCTGAGCTCGTGAAAGCACCGCTTCGAGGAATTGCATCGCTCCACCCCCGACCGCCGCTTCCAACGCATTCATGAACCGGGACTGCCCACCACCGAGCGCCGCACCACCGGCCAGGCGACGCCTTGGAAGACGCTGACCAGGCGATGATTGATGTGCAGAATCAGGGGCGCGGTCTTCCAACAGCGGATGCGATGCAACATCGTCATTTCTGCTGCCCCGACCAGTGCGGGAGGAGCCTTCAAGAAGGCGGCTGGTTGAAGGCCAATGGTCGGCGCTTGAAGAATTGCCAGCAGAGCGGCCCACAAACATGTAAGGAATACCGCCTGTCCCTCGCGCTGTGGTCTGATTGGACGCCCATGCCCAGTTGGCACCGAAGCGATCTGAACTAGAGGGCGCGAGTGTTGCCGGGTAGCGTTCATCGAGCTCAAGCTCGGCAAAATCACCGTTGTCGTACTGGTCATCGACAGAGTCATCGCCGTCGTCATCGATGTCCTCTTCAGGCTCGCTGCCGAAGATGTTGCTTGAGAATGCTTCCGCTGGTTGAGCATCATCGACCCCGTCAGCCAGGAATGAGGGTCGCGGCAGTCCTTCCATTTCTTCTCCGACCTCCAGCACAAAGTCAAGCTCTTCAGCGTCCTCATCGCCCTCGCTTGCTTCCTCCTAAAGCGGATATACACTTGTCAGCAGGCTGTTCCCACGAGTCTTGATGCCATGACAAATGACTTACATCGTCAGTCCACGCATCCTCGTCGTCCTCATCTAGATCATCCAACCCCTCATCATCAATGTCCTCTTCGTCATCGTCGTCGTCCATATCGATGACCTCGATATCATCTTCATCCTCCTCCTCGTCGCTGCTGCTGCAAGAGTGAGTACCGTGAGCAGTGAAGCCCGGCTCCATATTGATGATGTTGCACTCACCTCAGATCGCTGCCAGTCTCATCACTGTCGTACTCCTCCATGTCAACGTCCTCCTCGTCCTCATCCATCTCATCTTCGCTCATCTCTTCATCGTACGCGCCAGCCTCGAGATCGCCAGTATGCATGCCCAGACTACTGTTGCGGTAGAAGTCTGGCGTCTCGTCTCGCATACGCTCCTCTTCATCCAATGCGCCCTCCGAGTCCTCATCGAATTCTGGACTCATGTCTTCATCCTCTTCGTCTCTTCCTTCGCGAGGGAACATGAAGAACGGGCGGTCACGGTGAGCACTTTGAGAGGTGGCAGCGCCTTTCTTCTCGGGTTTTCCCATGCGGATGGACACTTTCGCAAGATGCTCCAATGGTTTGAGCACACTCTCCAGCACTGGCTTGGCGATTGGCAGATTCAGATCGATGTCTGCCAAGGCGGCGGTCAATGCTGCCACGAAATTCTTTTCCAACATCAGTTTCGCCATGTGAAGACTGAGATCCTCATTCTGTCGAGCTGTGCCTGTGCTGTTGGGCTTGGCAGTGAGCAATCGATAGCAAAGATCGGAGAGCATCGAAATCTTTCCATAATTCGATTCGGGTGACTCTGCAACCAATGGGACCTCGCGCAAGGCCTTGCTGAGACCGTCGAGGACAAGCTTGCGCACCGTGATGAGCTCAGGATTGACGTCCTTGAGAGCAATGTTGCTGGCGGTGTCGGCTGTGAGTGCAACAATGACCGACATTGAGAGGTTGGAGATTGCCTTTCCTTGGCGGAACTCCGAGGCAGGCGCTTGAGATGTCTTACCACTCATGAACACAAGTTCGTTGTAGAAGTAGTTGAGGGCGCCAGAACGTGCTTTGGGTGGGGGAGCCCCAGATATGGCTGGCCGCTTCTTGTTATAGCTGAGAAAACTGAGTTTACAGCTGTCGTACGAAGAGAGAAGTTCGGCAAGAAGCTGCATGATGAAGCAATAGTAGAAATGGCGAACATCCGACTTCTTTTCCTCTTCCGATTTTCCAATTTCTTCTTGGGCTATTTTAGACGCCTCTTGATCTTGATCCTTCGTGACAATCGACACTGATGCTGCGGGTACCTCGCTCTTGGTGGAATGGGCTACAAGTAACGGCGCTGACATCAGTTCTGCCATGAGGTGCGTAATGACCAGATCCGATTGTTCTGTCGCCTGAGCAGGCGTCGGCTTCTGCACATCGCCATTTGGCACTTCTGGCTTGCCATTGACATTTCCCCGTTCGTCCGGCAAGTTGGAAATGTCGTCCTCAGAAGTTGTGTTGACCTTCAGCGACAACAGACCCGATTGCTGGGTCTTGGAATAGTCGTCCATTGTGAGAGACTCTTCCACCACCTTGATAAACACATCAGCGTCCCGCCAAGCCGAAGAATTGTTATAGGATAAGAGTGAAGAGGAGTTGATCGACTTGGTCCGTGCTTGCTCGACCGTGCAGCGCAAATTTTGCTGCATCACAGCTTTCAGAACCGCGTTGTCCTCGATAATGTGCCGCAATATCATAATGATATATGACTGGCATCCGGAAGTGCGCTCGATCGGGCCTTCCCTGATGGGCGCCAGCAAGGCAGCGATACCATCCGCCTGAACCATTGCCAAGGCAATGTCGCTCCTGCGGGTAATGACGACCAGAAGGCGGTAGACCGCAAGAAGAGTCTCGTTATCGGCTGTGGCGGCATTGTCTCGAAGGAATGCGATGACTTTGCCGAGATGGGTCTTCGCCTCCTCCTTGAACAGCCCGCCAGTTAGCCCGCGCTTCACAGCTACCTCTCCCTTTTCCCAGGCGGACTCCTCCAGAAGCGGGACCTCCTTGAGACGCTCTGCGAGCGTGAAGAGAAATGCCGCCACCAACAGCGAGTAGGAAGCACCCGAAGCCTCGTCTAGCCTTTCCACAGCCGACACAGCCCTCATGAGCCGGGTTGCTCTGGCTTCGTCGACCTGTTTGGCGAGTTCGGCGTCATTCAAGATGAGTGCAAGGAGGTGCAAGCGGACCTTGATCACTCTGTCATCAGATGTGGACCTCTCGGCAAAGTACTTGGGTAAGGTTTCCACAAGCTCGTCCAGTATGGTGACGCTGTTCCCAACGACGGCGAACGCCTCCTTAGCATCAAACACGAGAGCTTCGTGATGATCTGCGAGGGTAAGAATGCGCTGGCAGACATGCTCCTTCATCTGAGCCCTGAGTGCATCGAGGTCTTCCTTGAAATTGATCACCCCATCATCATGAACCTTCTCTTTTCCCTTTTCGGTGGCTGAAGCTGGCCGATCAACGTCCATGCCTTCCATTCCAGAAGAGGCATTTACGCTCGATTCTGGGGTTTGCGTTGGCAGTGAAACGTCGGCAGCGCCGGCATCATGTGTCCCTGCAGATTGTGTTTCAGAAGATGGTGGCGGTACACCTGTACTGGCCTCCGCAAGACCCGTAGTTGCGGATTCGATGGCGGCGGCTGTCGCACTTGGTGCTGTCAGTTCGGGCTCCTCGGGAGGATTGTCCACCAAGGCGGGATGCTGCATCATCGAACAGGCGGTCAGCGGTGTGTTCTGAAGTCTTAGGACAAGTGACTCACTGTGAGCAGGTATTCGAGAGCAGCACTGGAGCTGTTATGTGTCCTCTGTAGAGCTCGTCGCGCAGAGGCTGTCGGGAAGCCCATCTCCGACAACTGACTGACTCGAGTCTCATCTGCGACAATCGGCGTGTGAGGAGTAGTAATTCCTGTTAATGACGATGCCAGGGGGCTACGCGCACCAGTCAAGCCAGCCAAGGCAACTGATAGGCCACCGCTGAGCCCAGCCACGCTCAGTCGGCTTGAAGACGAAGGTTTTTCAGTCTGCTCCTCTTCCTCGCCCTCACCACGAACGATGACTAGCACAATCTTGACCAGCCAGCGATTGATGAGCAGAGGAAGAGAGAAGAGCCAATCCTTGTCCCAGACAGACTTGATCGCGCGCAGAAAGCGTGCACGAACCGTCACGATGAACTTAGACGGATTGAAAGAGTCAACGCCGCCTTGCTGAATGATGACGAGTTGCGGAGAGTCAAGCAAGGGCTTAGAGGCAACCAGATTTTGCATTAAGTGTAGGCAGACCCTCAGACCCCCGCACGCATGGCCTAGCCGAATAACATCCTCTTCGGACTCTGCGATCTTGCGCTCGCCTTCGAAATGCAGATCGACCTCTTGAGCATAGCGTAAGAACATTTCCAAAAGCCTGTCCACTCCGCCAGCACCTTCGAGTGCGGAAAGCACTAGGATATGCACTCCGCCATGAGCGCTAGACTTGAAATCATAGATTAGACCGTCGACATAGTCAATCATGAGTGTCGCAAAGGCGAAGTCGTTGCACGGGTTCTTCGAGTCGCGCCAGACCAGGCTCTGAGACAAGGCTTTCGCAACTGTCGTTGCTGCTGTCGCGGCTTGAGCCTTGTGGAACTCGTCGGGGTTGCGGCGGTAGAAGAGCAGACGTACGAGCTCGTGAAAGAGAAAGTTTAAACAGGCTGGAATTTGCGAGGCAAGGTACCGCAGCACAGTGGTGTTCTGCTTCAATGCCTCCGGCAGTTTCTCCAGTTGATGGCTTTTGGCACCCTTCGATCCGATCTCAGCTTCCATTTTCTTGCTCGGACTTGCTCCGGGGACTTCATCGATGATGTCCTCAGAAAGACCTGAAAATTTTGTGGGTTTTGCTGCAGCCATCTCTTTGTCCTCTGCGGATGCTGGGGAAGGTGTCGAAGCTTTGAGCATTAAGTTTTCCCACATGCAATCCTGTAGCAATTGCCCAAGATCCTCGAGGAGAGAGGTAGGTGCACTGACATTGGTGCTGTTGAGGTTCTGCAAAAAGGTAGACGGCATCCTCGACCCTGCATACGTGAAATGCTGGCACAAATCAGAGAGCAAGTTGATGCGGGCGTTGAGAGTGACGAGCTGGCGGAACGACTGGTTGCTGTTGACAAACTCATCTTTCGTTCTGGGCGAAAGCAACGGGATCATCCCAGAGCCATTGTTGCGAGACTCGAGCCAGACATGCTTCGTGGCGGCCAACGACTTCCTGACTTCCTTTGTCAGTAGTCCGAGGACGGTATGTGCGCTCATCTCCGTCATCGCTCGGAGCAACGCCACGAGGGAGTCGGCCGTGAACGACGCGCAGAAGTTGTACGGAAGGCAAGGCAATTCGTAGAACTTGAAGATGAGGTCCAGCCCATCCGCGCGGACGAAATCTTTGCAGTGTGCCGGCGTCTGAAAGAAACCTTCAAGAAATCGAGCCATTGCATCCATGGCGGCGATTGCCGCATTGACGGTTGCGGGATCTTCCTTTTTGGTGTTCGTTTCCGTCTCATCCATTATCAAATCACTCAGTGTAACGCTTGGCTGCCGACTCAGGAATGAATCAGCCGGAGACTCTACCGACGCTGGAACCATTTCGAGATCGTATATTTGCGGTGCGGTGTCTTGCGGGCCAGCAAGCTTAGGTCCGTTCTTGGGTGGCTGGTCTTTGTCGGCAGACCACTCGGACCCACGCTCAATGATCTTTGTCAAAGCGCGTAGCAGCGAAGATATTACCTTGTCCTTGACGCTTGGATGATGGCGGACGAGCTCATCAATGGCGGTGCCAAACATGGTTGCGTTCTCGCGATCTTCAAGAACTTCGACGTGTCGATCGGAGACGAGCAAATCGATGAGCTTTTCAACAACCGGCTTTGAATTGAAGAGATTGAGGCCAGTCTGGTTCAGGCAGATTGCGCCGATCGCATTCGGAATAGCTGCGATAACCTCAAAGTTGGCCTCGATGTCCTCCTCGACCACTTCGAAGAACTTCTCCGGGAGCTTCTTTTCCTGAATCGTCGCCAGGCTTGTCGGCTCGTTGTGGACAAAATTGGCCATAATGTTGATGGCAAGAGACAAAATTTGCGGGCCGAAAGTGCGTCTATGCGTCATGATCTTGCGAATTGACTCGAGGAGAGAGGTGTCGATCAGGTTGCGCAATCCTTCAGCCGTACCCGCAGACGTCATCATGTGTGCGATAGACTTGAAAAGATTGCGCAACAGCGATGCGCCTCCAAAGGAAAGTTTGCCATAGAGGTTGTCGCGCGAGTCGGCCTCGCCATCCGTGCGCGGCGTCGCGAGTACCTCTGTGTCCGACTCGGGGTGCTGAATGTCGAACTCGACTTCCTCCTCAATCCTCGCAACATAGACGTCCTGGCCGTGCGCCTCGCAGAAGATGTTGAAGGCGGTCGGCAGTGCATAAACCAAACTGTCAATGAGTCCAATGGCGCGTGAAACGCTCCTTTGCACTAGGTATCGTCTCGACTTGCATTCCCGGATGATGTGGACCAGCAGCGGCATCAATCCAGCAGACGCAACCGTCATGGCCGGGCCACTGAAGGTGGTGACTGCGGCGACCATGGTGAATACGGCATCGGCATAGTGACCCAAGTCCCCATGTCCTTTTTGATTGCAAATTTGCTTCTGAGGGCCAGACTGCGGTTGCTCCGATGGGACTTCGGTGAGCTTCTCGATGAGGAGGCGCACATTCTGCAGCAACATTCCATGATTGACCGACACGCTGACTGCATTGAACACATCTGTTGTCTTAGTGCGGAACTTGGCCAGACCATCGAGCGCGTACAGAGCGCTAGAAGCGATTCGCATGGATGGCGTACTCTCCAGAGAAATCAAATCAGCAATTCCACGAATGGCCTCTGGTTCAAAGAGGAACAGATGCGCGTTGGCGACGCTTTCGGACACTGTATGTGCATAGCAGGAGATAGCGAGCAGCCGGCAGGTAAGCAATTTGTGGCGTGATTCTGCATCGCGCATCGCAAAGACAGCCCTGACGCGCTGAAAGAGTTCAAAGTGTTGTGTTTCTGGAATTTTGTGCGTCTCGATAGCGTCTGCCACGACATCCATGCAAGACTTTCCGCTTGCAGTGATGTTGCGCATATCGATGGTAACCATGCCCTCTTGTGTCGATCCCTGCGTGCATGCAGAACCTTGTGCCGGAGTGTCAGTCGGGCCGGAGGTGGCGCCTTGCGAAGAGCTCCCAACTCGGCTATGGGACCGGGGCAGTCTGGATGGAGTCCCGAAGCTTGTGTTGGCGCGGAGATCCTCGAGATCGAGGGACATAGCCATCGGGTCGACAGACATGGGTGCAGCTTGCGAACGACTAGTGCTCAACACTGCGGCAGAGATGGCAGCATTGGACGGGCCAGCTTCCTCATTTCCCCCCTTGCGCCTGTAAAACGAAAAGCGAACCGAGTCGGCCTCCGGAGGGACCGGGAAGTCATCCTTGCTGAGCTGAAGCATTGAAATCCCGAAGTCCCGAGGAGTCCAAATGACGGCCAGAGTGGACAACCGACCTTGCGCGATGGCAAGCTCATTGTTGCGAGCTCCGCCAGAGGCTGAATGCTGCTGAGCTGGACGCAGCAACAGACGTAGTGTCTCCTCCAGAATGTCCAGGTCTCTTGTCAGAAGTAAGTCGTGCAAACGCTGTAGACAGTGGCAGTGCAGGTCAGCAAGAGTCGCAAACGCTCCACATAATATGCCAAGCTTACCTCATACGATGCGTACAGCTTTCTGTTTGTGCAGTTTTCCATCAACAGCCTGCTGAAGCGCAGGATCGAAACGAGTAACCGCTTCCGATTGGGCGTGAATTCGTTGAGCTGCAGCTTGAAGAGCTCATAGTCTTTGCACGTTTCTTCAAAGATGTCATCGAAGCGATTCAGTGTCGAAGACCAGTAGTGCAGATCGCCTCTGGGCCAGCACCATTCGCTGATTGGATCAAGAATCGCCGGCAGCTCGTCGTCCGCGGCAGCCTGAATACGCTGCAGCAGATGCGAGACTTGCACGATCTGTAAACAAGAATGATCACCGCACAGAGTGAGAGTCAGTTAAAATGCGATCGGATTCGTTGAAAGCAGCATAAGCTGCACTTACAGGTGGCGCAAGCCTCTTTGGTGTCTTTGTGATCTTCATGGTGCGCAGTCGTCACCTTGGCGCGCTACTACAATATAAAAGGCGACAGGCTAGAGTACCACAAAGGTGCTTGCTACAGAGTGAGCCTTGCAGTGCGTCTTCTTCTGTCTGCTCCTCGTCGTTGAATGGTATTTGTGATTCGAATTTGTTAGCTGCTCAAGTTCAGCACTGGCGGAGCTTTGATTGCGTGTGCTGTCGACGCCGCAGCGGAGTCGCTCCTTCGACGTCTGCCGCAGCGCTCAGCTTCTTGCGGGTTGGCTTCAATCTCCCCAAAGACGTTACTGACCCTGACGGCGCTTCAGACCAGCTTCAGAAAGAGTAGCACATGAGATGCCGTATAGCGAAGGCGAGAAAATAATAGCGACATGTGAAGAAGATAGCATCGAAAACTAATGTATGGACTGATGTGTATGTCATTTTGTTGTGAGGCGGGTCTCTTCTGTTCCGCGCCTGGAGGCGCGCCCCGAGTGAAGACTTGGAGAGCAGGAGATTGACGAGTCTTGTCCGCTTTGGACCAACATTATGACATGAATCGTTGGCAGCCCTTGGACGTGCAAGCAGCTTGCTGATCTCAGTGCGTGCTCTCTACTCCTTTGATGCATTACGGGGGTCCGAGTTGCATGACATCCGTCTTCTCACCTAATCATTCGCTCTGACTGCGACATGCATGCAGCATGCCGGATCCCAATGGCGCAGAGTCTTCTGCGGCCGGCCAGCGGCGCGCCTCGACTTCTGTAACTCCACCTCTAACGCCGGGGCGTCGGGGCTCAGCAGCGAGATCAGTGGAAGGCTTACCTGCGCCAGCTGAACAAGACGAAGACGCGCTAGACGAGATCAAACGGTATGAGAGTGTGAGTGTGACTTGAAACAAAAATGATGGACTACACTACGCTTTCGCGCGCTAATATGTAGTATCTATGACTCGCTAGTTCTCGACCGTAGATTGGCTTGTGGATGGATCACGCGAGCGTGCTAGGCTCGCTCGAGCTAGCGCCAAGCGTTTGCAGACAGCAGGAGTAGTGCGACGGTTTCACTCGAGTGATGGACCGCTCGCCTCCAATGGGTCTACGTCTGCAGCATATACCAGTGCAGCCGGTGTCCAAGCGCGTCTAGCTAATAGTGATACGGCGGATTGGGGACAGCTCGGCTTTGCCCCACACGAACGGCCGCCAAGATGGTGGCCGATGCGCAACTTTTGGGGGCGAAAAGCTTGGTGGGCCTGGAGGTTCGTCGTTGCAACAGCCGCTGCAGCAGCTGATAGTGGCGTGGTCGTGCTTGTCGGTGCGTTGCATTCGCCATCCAGCCGACCTATTTGGCCGTAGTGACCGTGCCAGCCTTCCGCTTTTCTCTTGCAGGAATCTTTATCGGTATAAACATGGCCATTATCAGCATTGCCACAGAGTGGGCATCTGACCTGAAGCAAGGATACTGCAAAGCTGGTTGGTGGCTTAATGCAAAGTTTTGCTGTTGGGAGACAATGGACCCAGGTGGTCTGGGGGGCAGCATGAATCCGCTTCCAAGGCCCCCCGGGAAGGCCATTGCAATGCCAGATTCATTGAATAGCACTTCAAATCTGACTGTTGCGCTCGCTGGCCGAGCGATGGAGACTGCTCTATGGTATCATTCTCAATTTACCTCTCGAGCAGATGGACAAGGACAGACAGGCAACCTGAGCGAAACATGTACCGACTGGGTGCCGTGGTCCACCTGGACCCTCCCTGCCTGGTTTGTTTATGTTTTTGCAGCGGTGAGCATTCCCAATGATAAAGTTATACATTAGACTGACACTCAACACCCTGCCAGGTTGTTCTGTCGTCGACATGTGCATGGCTTGTCCAGGCTTTCGCACCTTACGCCGCTGGAAGCGGCATCAGCGAGATCAAGTGCATTCTGGCGGGATTTATCATCAACGGATACCTGGGTGTCTGGACGTTCGTGATTAAAAGTCTAACACTTGTGAGTTGCTTTCACATGAGAATCGGTTGATGTCGGCTGATTCACTCGACTTTCGACAACGTAGCCGCTGGCAATCGCGTCCGGTCTCAGCGTTGGAAAGGAAGGGCCGGCCGTGCACGTTGCTTGCTGCATTGGTAACATTGTTTCCTCCTTCTTTCGGGAGCTGACGCGCAGTCAAGGTGTGTGCAACCTCGTTCCTTTACTCGAAATGCTCGAGGGTGACTGACGATATTTCTCCTTGGCTACAACAGCAAAAATGCGGGAACTTCTGACAGCAAGCAGCGCAGCAGGAGTTGCCGTAGCCTTTGGTTCGCCGATTGGCGGCGTGCTTTTCTCTCTCGAGGTGAGTTCGCGGACGCCAGATTCAAGAACACATTTGACTGAAACTTCCATTCGTGGCGGTAGGAAATGGCCTACAACTTCCCAGCGACAACCATGTGGCGCAGCTTTCTGTGCGCTTTGGCAGCAACGGTCACGCTATCTTTCATGAACCCGTTCCGAACCGGGAAACTTGTCCTGTTTCAAGTCTCCTACGATCGGGATTGGCACTACTTTGAGATCCTTTTCTACCTTCTGATTGGCGTCTTTGGCGGCCTCTACGGTGCGCTGGTCATCAAGTATAACCTACAGGTGCAAAGTTTCCGCAGGAACCACCTCGCATCGCACGGCATATCAGAAGCAGCCATCCTCGCGATGCTCACGGCGTCAGTCGCCTATTTCAATAAATTTTTACGCATCGACATGACAGAGTCTCTCGAAATTTTGTTTAGAGAATGTGAAGGCGGTGGCGACTACGACAACTTGTGCCAAAGTTCCGCGCAGTGGCGGATGGTCAACTCTTTGCTTTTGGCCACGATCATCCGCTTCGCCCTTGTCATCATCTCGTACGGCTGTAAAGTACCGGCCGGCATCTTTGTGCCTTCTATGGCGATCGGTGCCACCTTTGGACGTATGGTCGGCATACTGGTCAAAGCGCTGCACCAGGCCATTCCGAACGCTGCCTTCTTTGCTGCCTGCGAGCCCGACGTCCCCTGCATCACACCCGGGACATATGCCTTCCTTGGTGCAGCAGCAGCTCTGGCTGGCGTGACGCGCATCACTGTAGCGGTCGTTGTCATCATGTTCGAGCTCACTGGAGCGTTGACGTACATCTTACCGACAATGATCGTGGTAATGGTCACCAAGGGCATCGGGGATTGGTACGGCAAAGGCGGTATCGCAGAGCAAATGATTCGCTTCAACGGCTACCCCTTCCTCGACAAGGACGAGCACGCTTTTGGCATTCCTGTGCAGGATGTCATGAAGCAGAATCCTGTCACGGTATATGCTACTGGTATGACACTCGAGGAGCTTGAGCGAAGGCTATCGGAAGATAGCTACAAAGGATTCCCGCTGGTGCAAGGCCCATCAGATGGCACCCTCCTTGGCTATGTGGGCAAGACCGAGCTGCGCTACGCCCTTGGCAACGCGAAACGATCTCGGAATCTCGGACCACGGACTCAAATTGTCTTCATGCGCTCGCCTGAGACGGCCGCCCGTAGGAACGTAAAAATTCTCATCACACCGCTGCTTCCATCATTTGGTGGGGACGGCCCTGTGACTCCTCGCACGCCTGGGCAAAGTCGGCTTGACGAGGAATGCTTGATGTCTCACGCCCGAGCCGGAGAAGGAGATGAAGAGAGCGAAGGTTCAGACCTTGACGATGCTGATGGCGGAGTCAACGGCGAAGGCGAGGACGACGAATTGGATCTTGGTGGATGGGTGGATCAAACCCCTCTTTCAGTCCCGCCGGCCATGGCTCTCGAAGTCGTCATGGACCTGTTCAAGAAGATGGGCCCGCGAGTGATTTTAGTATCCAAGTACGGCAATCTGGCCGGTCTAGTGACAGTCAAGGATGTCCTCAAGTTTGTCGCTGCGCAAGAGAAAGCCGAAGCAATGGCGCTCAAGATTCAAGCACAGCAGGGGGAGGACGAGCTTCCGTACGCACGCATGAATGGCGCCGCCGATCCAGAGGACGAAGGCGAACTCGAACTTCTGCTCTCCTACGTTCTCGATTGGAGCGGTTCAGTCGGTCGCTCCATCTTCGAGCGGGTCTCCCCTTTTCTTGCACGCTTTGCCCCACGAAACAGGCCTAGACCACCAACAGCGAGGTACAGCCGGCCGTCAGCTAGAGAGGGGCATGTTGTGTTCGACGAAGGCGGAATGTCACCAAATCACTCTCCGGAAGGGCCGACAAACCATACAAGCAGCGTTTGGAAGACCGACGAGGTTGAACAATTCGTGCTGGGAGAGGTGTGATGCATTGGCAATTCTGTACAATAGAAAGGGTGACAATCGTAATCACATGCCTGCTGTATGCTACAATATTTGAAGTGATCTGTGCTACGCCTGCACTGCCGCCAGGTCGCTGAGACTGGATCAACGAAGCTTCTTGTCCTCGAAAAAGACCTGCGAAGTGGAAAGTAACGTAATTTGTTAGAAGATGCCTTGCGATTAGCTATGCATTGGTGTCATTCACTGACCCTGAGATGTCTGAGCTGCCAGATGCAGGTCCCTAAGAGCACAAACATCTGGATTGCACTCCAGTAGATGGCCCTGGTATTTGTTTTTTCGCTAAGATCTCGGAAGAGAGCCTCACGCTCTCGTTGGAACTGTTGCTCCTTCTTGATATCATGCACTTTGGCGTTCAAGTCGCGCACCCTCTCCGCCAAACTCTCAACGTGCTGCTTGTTACGGCCAGTATTGTCTGGCTTGGCATCTCCGATGATGATGTCCAAATGCATCCGCACCTGCCCCTGGCTACGCCGATGAGACTCTGTGTAATCCGTAGTCAAGCAGATCTGGTGGTCACCAGACTCGTGAGAGGTGAATGCAAACTTGCCTTCCGACGGCCCTCGAGAGGAAGTCAGGACGTGCTCCGTTGTCATCTCCTACGACAGCGCAAAAAAGTTCGATTTCAGACCGCTGCAGCCCAATGCTCGAATGCATGCAGCAGCAGCTAGCAGGTTCATGGAAGACACACACACCTTGATTGCAATCTTGATGCCAAGGTCTTCGTGCATGACGAACTTGCTCTCTTGCTGATCCCACTCCTCCGCCATGTAGTGTCCAACGACGACGGTATCATTGGGGAGCTCCTCAATGAAGCACTTCTTTCCACCCGATTCCATGTAAAAGTAGACCTACGGGAGAATATCTGCTGGATCAGCTTGGAATATTCGAGCGACTGTTTTCCTGACGAATGACTCCCACATACCGCTTGGGCTGCCTGCAACGATGCAAGAAGCAGCAGCACTCCCGAGAAAACGCGCATGATGGCTGCGCGGATTTGCCTTGCGACTCCAACAGATTAGTAGAAGTGAGCACCGCGGTCAAGCTCTTCAGTACTCGAACACAAACAGGGAGGCAAACGCTAATAGCAACGTTCCGCGCTGTAGCATGTATGGGAGGGAGACCTGGGTGTGAGGTGAGATCCATCGTCGTGTGCAACCCTGGGTGGACAACGTCGGAAACTTACAAGCGCGAGCGAGAGATTGAGAGAAAGATGCCTGGGGAGGGGCGGGGGGGGTGCGGAGCGCAGGAGCAGCGCTAGTCAACGTGTGGGGCTGGGGAGAAAACTAGGGCCAAGTTTGTGTCGTGCAAATTGGGAAGTTACGGTGATTCACACAGTAGTGCTTGTCCTGCAAATCACCAGCAGCATGCACAACTTTGCACTTTCGCACGCGCATTGCACTCCACGCAGCCGATGCGAGCCCCACCCCC